TATCTTATAGAATAGAATAGAATAGAATAGAATAGAATAGAATAGAACAGAATAGGATAAAATAGAACATATAGAACCTATAGAATAGAATAGAATAGAGCTTATAGAGCCCATTGAATAAAATAGAGCCTATAGAATCTATGGAATAGAATAGAATAGAGCTTATAGAGCTTATAGAGCTTATAGAGTCTTATAGAGCCCATAGAATAAGATAGAACTTATAGAACCTGTAGAATAGAATAGAATAGAGCTTATAGAGCTTGTAGAGCCTATAGAACCTATAGAATAGAATAGAACAAGAATTGAAACCGAATCCCGATTTTAGAAAACGAATTCTTGATTCCGAAAACGTTTTCACTTTCCCCCCTTGAAGCCTGTAAAGCGTGAGATCTGATTTACAAGTTTTAAGCCGCCTTACTTGCCATTTTTACGCAAAGAAGCTAACTAGTGACACGATGGATTGCCAAAGCTGCCAAAGCCAAAGCTGCCAAAGCCAAAGCTGCCAAAGCCAAAGCTGCCAAAGCTGCCAAAGCCAAAGCTGCCAAAGCTGCCAAAGCCAAAGCTGCCAAAGCCAAAGCTAACGGCTAACGGCCCAAAGCGCCTCTAGTTCTCTCATTGACCATTTATCTTTTCGTTTTTTCAATCTACGAAATGCTCAACTCTTTCCCGATCCTCATAAATCAGCCATTTGAGTCTTGTGATCGGTCTTTTGTGAGTGATTGATTGAGATCCCTCGTAGAACTCTGATTTCTTGTCTAACAATGATTGGGAAAAGTTGGGAAAAGATTTTGAATGATAAAATTGATTGAATAAGTGAGTTTTCTAAAATTCTATTGGTTCTATTGGTTTTATTGATTCTATTGAAAGTTCTATTGGTTTTATTGATTCTATTCTATTTATTCATTCTCTGATTTGATTGATTGATTGATTGAATCAACAATCATCAACAATCAATCAATCAAATCAACAATTACATTTAATTCTCTATTCTAAATTATAGAAATCTTTATTTTACTTAAATTAAAGATAAGGATAAAGATAAAGAAAGAGAAAAAAAAGAGATTGAGTGAAATGAATGAGGAAAATCTCTTCAATCTCTTCAATCTCTTCAATCTCTTCAACCTTTTGCTTCTAAATCCCTAAAGACAACGAGATACAACGTTGATAGAAGACTATTCCTTTTTTTGAGTCAAACAGAATTCAGAAAAAGTTGTAGAAACGAGAATTGACTTTAAAAAAGAGGAAATTAACTTTAAAAGAAACATTTCTGCATTGTGAGATTCCTGCTTGTACTTAAAATAAAGCTAGAAAGATTTGTGAGGGTTTTCTCTGTGAGAAAGATTTGTGAGGGTTTTGTGAGGTCTTCTGAAATGCTGGGAAGCTTCCATTTCATTATAGAGCTTTGTTATAGATGGCTTTGTGAGCTGGGATGCTTCCATTTCATTATAGAGCCTCGTTATAGATAGCTTTGTGTGCTGGGATGCTTCCATTTCATTATAGAGCTTTGTTATAGATAGCTTTGTGTGCTGGGATGCTTCCATTCCATTATAGAGCCTCGTTATAGATAGCTTTGTGTGCTGGGAAGCTTCCATTTCATTATAGAGCTTTGTTATAGATAGCTTTGTGTGCTGGGAAGCTTCCATTTCATTATAGAGCTTTGTTATAGATAGCTTTGTGTGCTGGGACGCTTCCATTTCATTATAGAGCCTCGTTATAGATAGCTTTGTGTGCTGGGATGCTTCCATTTCATAAAAAAACGATCGTCACTTTAGCGCGTCTGTAACTTCCTTCGCTTTGAGTTTAAACTATTAGTGTTATACCATTTCTGAAAGCTCTTTTCAAGGGCTACACAATGGTAATATTAATATTTACAAATACGGTAAAGACAATGGAGTTACAGACGCGCGAAAGTGACGATCGTTTTTTCAAATATCATATTTCATTGTCCAGTAGTGTAGCTGCGATGGGACGCTTCCATTTCATTGTAGAGCTTCGTTATAGATATCTTTGTGCGCTTTCACTATTATTTTCTGTTTCCCAATCAAATAGAAAGAAAAGAAAGACAATTTTGTGTAATCTTTTGAGATTTTTTATCGAATTTTCATCTAACACAATATTTCAATTTTCCATAAATCAATTTTTGATCTAGAAAGCTTTATGAAGTTCGTAAAATATGTTAATTTGTTTGCTTTAACTCCTTCTCTAGTAAGGTGCATTGTAGCATTGTAGCATTGTAGCATTGATTAGCACATCTCCTTGACAAGCAAAGATCGCAGGTTCAAGCCTTAGAAAAGGCCGTAGAGAAGTCCGTAGAGCTTCAAAAATGTCTTCAGAAAGGAATCGTATGCGTAGATTCCGAATTTCGATAAATCAGACGTCGCTGACACATCAAATTTGGGCTAAAAGGCAAAAACTACGCAACTTAACGCTTTTCCCCTATTTCTTTTGATATTCTGGATATGAATTGTTTTTGCTTGTCTTTCTTTCTTTCTTTCTTTCCCCTTTTATCCCCAGAAGAGAGATTTAGCTCAATTAGGCTGTAATTGTCATGTCGTTGTGGAGAAAGAGAAGGCAAAACACTCTCCATCCCACTCTAGTTTCTCCATTGTTCTCCAATCTCTTCATTTTTCTCTTTCATTCATTCACAAGTCATAAATATACAAGATTCTTTAAGTTTAGCCGACTGGCTGAGGCTCTTTGGCTGGCTAGCTGATCTGGCTGATTGGCTGAGCTTCTTTGGCTGACTAGCTAAGCCTCTAGCTCACTAGCTAAGCCTCTAGCTGACTAGATAAGCTTCTAGCTCACTAGCTAAGCCTCTAGCTGACTAGCTAAGCCTCTAGCTGACTAGCTAAGCTTCTAGCTCACTAGCTAAGCCTCTAGCTCACTAGCTAAGCCTCTAGCTCACTAGCTAAGCCTCTAGCTGACTAGCTAAGCCTCTAGCTGACTAGCTAAGCCTCTAGCTGACTAGCTAAGCTTCTAGCTCACTAGCTAAGCCTCTAGCTCACTAGCTAAGCCTCTAGCTCACTAGCTAAGCCTCTAGCTGACTAGCTAAGCCTCTAGCTGACTAGATAAGCTTCTAGCTCACTAGCTAAGCCTCTAGCTCACTAGCTAAGCCTCTAGCTGACTAGCTAAGCCTCTAGCTGACTAGATAAGCTTCTAGCTCACTAGCTAAGCCTCTAGTGACTAGCAAGCCTCTAGCTGACTAGATAAGCTTCTAGCTCACTAGCTAAGCCTCTAGCTGACTGATAGCTTCTACTCACTGCAAGCTAGCCACTAGCTAAGCCTCTAGCTGACTAGCTAAGCCTCTAGCTGACTAGATAAGCTTCTAGCTCACTAGCTAAGCCTCTAGCTGACTAGCTAAGCCTCTAGCTGACTAGATAAGCTTCTAGCTCACTAGCTAAGCTTCTAGCTCACTAGCTAAGCCATTATGACTTGTATCTTACTCAAAAGGTTAAAGGATTCAACCCTGGCTAGATTCTTCTTTTTCTATCATTCTTTTCCCATAGCTCTTTTCCCATGGTTCTTTCCCCAGTTTCTTAAATTCATCCTTTTACCAGCAGAATCTAGGTCTGATTTTGATTGCTTGCTTGCTTTGAAACGAATTTTACCATCTATTTTACCATCTAATTTAGCATCTATTTTACGATCTAATCGAGTTTTATTAAGGCTTAGCATTAACTTTTTCAATTTAAAAGATTTCTCATATCAATTTTGCTATTTTGAATGATCAATATCAATAAATGATCAATAAACAGCTGATTCATTTGTTTTTTTTCATTTTTCTTTTATTTTCTTTCATTTTCCTTATTTATCCTTTGTTTTATGAATCTAATTTCACTTTTCAACCAATCTACAAATACAATTTCTTTCAAATTCTTCAATTTATTTACTTTTTTAAACTATTTAACTTAATTTCTTTAATTTTAGATATGAAATGAGCTCTCAACCACCACCAATCCTTGAGTGTGCCGAGTGTGGCGTTGAGGTGAGTGAGAATAGGGAAAAGCTTTTGATAGGCTAGCTTTTTAAGCTGTATCAGAGCTCTCTAGGCTTCTCAGAGCTCTCTAAGCTTCTCAGAGCTCTCTAAGCTCTATCAGAGCTCTCTAGGCTTCTCAGAGCTCTCTAGGCTTCTCAGAGCTCTCTAAGCTCTATCAGAGCTCTCTAGGCTTCTCAGAGTCAAGCTAAGCCTTAAAATAAGATCTTACACGATGCGGTGATGTCCATAAGGAGTCAGGATTAGTTTAAGAAGCTGCTAGTGTTCCTCAGAGTTGTCTAAACCATCTCTAGAGTCCTTCTAGTCTTTCTAAGTCGATCAATCGATTGTCAGGGTTTACAATTCTTACAATTCAGTACAATTCTTTTCATTCTTTTCATTGATTCAATTTTCTAGGTTCGTGATCCTTGCCCATCATCAGATCAAGTCGAATTGTGGTGGTGCAGAGATTGTTTGTTAGCTGTTTGCAAGTAAGTTTGCATAGTTTTGCATAGCGGAATCGCTTATTCGTTTTTGCATAGTGAACAAGTAAAGATTTACATCGATATTCACAAGTTTTATTGTAAAATTCTTTAAAAAAAACCCGTTTTATTTGAATAAAGCTAAATAGTATGACAATATAGAGATGAAGAAGATAAGGGGAAGAGTAGAAGAATGATTGAGTGATAGGAAGTTAAGGGAAAGAGTACAAGGGGAATATAGAGATGAAGGAAGCTAAGGGAAAGAGTACAAGAACAATACTAGCACAAAGCTAGGGAACAGTACAAGAGAATTCTAGTAGAGAGCTAGGGAACAGTACAAGAATAATATAGAGATGAAGGAAGCTAAGGAGAACAAGAGAATTCTTAGAAAGCTAAAGGGAACAGTACAAGAGAATTCTAACAAAGCTAAAGGAACAGTAAAAGAATAACTCAGTGATAGAAAGCTAAGGAGAACAAGAACAATTCAGTGATAGATTCAATTCAATAGAACAATAGAAGAAAAGAACAAAATTAATCATTAATCAAGAATTAGTTAATGGTTGTGAAGTCATATAATAACAAGAAGACCAATAGATAATATTAAAAAAGACAAAGCCAAGGGGGACAGCAAAACGAGCATAGAAATCGATTTGTGCTGGTAAATAGTCGGGTTTTGTGAAATAGCGACGAAATTTCTCGCGTAATGATAGAGAATTCACTTCGGAGAGCTGTGAAATCAAATATTTAAAAGATATTCGTTGAGAATTAGGGTTTTTAAGGGTTTAAATGGATTCTAATGGATTCTGATGGGTTTTGATGGATTCTAATGGGTTCTAATGGATTCTAATGGGTTCTAATGGGTTCTAATGGGTTCTAATGGATTCTAGTCGATTCTAATGGATTCTAATGGATTCTAATGGATTCTAATGGATTCTGATGGATTTTGATGGATTCTAATGGATTCTAATGGGTTCTAATGGATTCTAATGAATTCTAATCGATTCTAATGGGTTCTAATGGATTCTAATCGATTCTAATCGATTCTAATCGATTCTAATCGATTCTACTTTGTAAATCGAAGCTTTCTAGTCTACAGAATTATCGTTTCCTCTTTTAAAAGCATGTTAAGCCTCAATGTTAAGGCCATTATGCCTTTAAAGCTCTTTTCTATGTAGAAATATGGATTACTATGGATTGCATGGATTACTATAGACTACTATGCACTCCTATGCACTCCTATGCACTCCTATGTACTCCTATGCACTCCTATGCACTCCTATGCACTCCTATGCACTCCTATGTACTCCTATGCACTCCTATGCACTCCTATGTACTACAGATGTACTACAAACAGTCCTATCCATGTTTATATTATAGCCCCTAGTGTCAGGAAACTTTCAATTTTTTTGCTTTGACAAGCTAGAGACAAATGGACCATAGCATGGCCGAGTGGTCTCAGCTAGTCTCATCAAACGAGCGGAAGAGATAGGTCGCGGGTTCGACTCCTCTTGCCGCCAATTTTGATTGAAAATCTTCTTTCATTTGTAAACCCACTAAATGACATGTGCAAGGTGGTTGATATCCTTGTCCTTCAGTCGCTAACTCTCGATCCCGTTTCTGTGCTTTTCGAATAGCAGCGGTGCGTTTTCGCTCAGTCTAAAGGTATTGGGTTTATCAAAGGAGGCTTAAAAGCTTTCTATTCAGATATTTACAGTAGTTTAGAAGATCTTTTGAAGCTCTGAAGCTCTACTAGAAGCTCTGAAGCTCTACTAGAAGCTCTGAAGCTCTACTAGAAGCTCTGAAGCTCTACTAGAAGCTCTGAAGCTCTACTAGAAGCTCTGAAGCTCTACTGGAAGCTCTGAAGCTCTACTAGAAGCTCTGAAGCTCTACTAGAAGCTCTGAAGCTCTATTGGAAGCTCTGAAGCTCTACTAGAAGCTCTGAAGCTTTGAATCTCTTTTCCTCACCTGTCTACAATTATCCTGATATGAGACGAAAGCGTACTCGATTAACGCACCAAAGACGAACGTTTGACAAGCTGAACTAGTTATTTGAACTCTAGAATCTATTCTAGAAGCCTAAGCAAGTCTTTAACAAGCCTTTAAACTCAAATCCAGTCAACCAAACCTCTAGAATCGATTCCACAACCATAATCAAACTTTTAAACCTCACCTCCAAGCCAAACATCCACCAATTTTATGTAGGAAACTGGTGGGAGTTTTGCGTTGATTGCTGATTGCTAAAGTGGCTGAGAATTTGACGATAACTTCTCGATAACTTACCATAGTTGTCATTGTAAGCAATGTGGTGACTCCAAGAGCCACTCTTCCAGCTGTTGAATGCATATCAATCCAAAAAGAAACCCATGAAACGCAAACGATCATCGTCGTTGGTGCATACAATTGTACAACGTAGTAGCTAGATTAAGGAAGCTATAGAAAGCTATAGAAAGCTATAGGAAGCTATAGGAAGCTATAGAAAGCTATAGGAAGCTATAGGAAGCTTTAGAAAGCTATAGAAAGCTATAGAAAGCTATAGGAAGCTATAGGAAGCTATAGAAAGCTATAGAAAGCTATAGGAAGCTATAGGAAGCTTTAGAAAGCTATAGAAAGCTATAGAAAGCTATAGGAAGCTATAGGAAGCTATAGGAAGCTATAGAAAGCTATAGGAAGCTATAGGAAGCTATAGGAAGCTATAGGAAGCTATAGGAAGCTATAGGAAGCTTTAGAAAGCTATAGGAAGCTTTAGAAAGCTATAGGAAGCTTTAGAAAGCTATAGGAGGCTTTAGAAAGCTATACAAAGCTATAGGAAGCTATAGGAACCTATAGAAAGCTATAGGAAGCTCTAGCAATCTCTAGAAAGCTCTAGCAAGCTCTAGCAAGCTTTATTAAGCTATTGAGATCTTTAAAAGTTCTAAAGGTAACACCTGAATTGCCGCTTTAAACTCAACGTCATTCGGAGGCACGCGTACGAACCTGAAACAGAAACTCTTGCTTAGAAAAAGACTCAGAAATCAACCGGTATTTGTATGACTTGTACAATCAGCATTTATCACAATCGGATCGAGTAACATAAAGTTTGGCAAATCTTTCCCCACTTGATCCTTTTTCTGAACTGGTTTCTCCAAACGAGTATCCCATTCATAAACGATATCCTAAAACGATTGTCTCTTCATCTTTACGGAGATTGTCTCTTCATCTCTTTTCCTTAGCTAGCTTTAAACTACCTTTTAAAAGTCTTTAAACCTTCTTAGTTAGCTTTAAACTACTAAGCTAGCTTTAATACCTTTTAAAGGCCTTAAAACTTCTTTTTAAAGTCTTACAGTCTTAAGTCTAAAATCCAAGATAGTTTTGGCTTTTTAAATAAAAGAAAAAACAAGATCAATTGGCAGTAAGGGGAGTCGAACCAGGATCGTGCGGCTTGTAGACAAACGCCCTGCTAACTGCGCCATGAGGGACATGAGGGCAGTGAGAAAAAAAACAATAAAACTCGGCCAGTCGCAGTCGGGAGGGGGGTCTTCGCACGACTTTTTCTAGCTTTTTTTTCTGGCAGGCTCGAGGTCTCCATGGCGCAGTCGGTAGTGCATTGTTCTACAGATCTGCAAGACCCGGGTTCGACTCCCCGTACTGATAATTTTGGTTTTTTACATAGAGAAAAGTCCAAAACCATTAGAAATTCGTTAGAAATTAGAAAAACCATTCATTAGGCCTTTGCATTGTTGTTTTTCTTGCTCAGGCCCTAGAAGGTTTTCTAGTTCACTGAATTCTCCATTTTCTATGAATTGTCCATTTTCTCATTCACCTTTGTCGTGTGCGCATAGCTGATCAGATCAAAATTACATTGTTGAGTGTCCAAAGGGTAAAGCTAAAGCTAAAGCTGTTAAAGATCTCTTTAAATCTATCGATTTAATCGATTTAAATAAATTAAGTGATAGGCTCAGAGTGATTTCCATAATCTTTCACCTGTAAATTCATACTACACGAAAGAGTCATCGATAGGCGAACACTGTAAAGAATCTAAAAGGGAATGATGAAGATGAATGAAATCAATGAAACCAATCAATGAATCAATCAAAGCCATTACCGTTCCATCGGAATGAATTCGAAGGAACATATTCTCTGTATCAATCAAATGACGATGAGCTGCTTTTTCTGTCTAAAAAGCTTTAATACCCTTTGACCCTTTCTGCCTCTTCCTTTCTTCCTCTCTCTTTCTTCCTCTTCCTTCTTCCTCTTCCGTTCTCCCTCTTCCTTTCTACCTTTCCCAAAAGAACTCACTGGAAAGAAGCTATCAGGGATCCATAAATTATCCTTTACATGTGGCACTGTAAGAAATTTTGGCGCATTCTGATAACCCAAATTTTGATAGGCTAAACGACGATCGATCCATTCTTCGCGGAAAGTGATTTGCATATTATATTCCTAAAGTTTTGCTAAATCAATAGCTTTAATAGAATCACCATATTGACGACATCGATTTTGGAAAGCATTCGAATCAAGATATTCACTCGGACGATCACTGGACCGCTTGGATCTGAAATTTGATGTTTCTAGCCAGCTAAAGAAGCCAGCTAAAGCCTGGGCTAGACCCTGGCTAACTCCAGGCAACTCCAGGGAACTCCAGGCAACTCCAGGGAACTCCAGGCAACTCCAGTCCCTCCAATCATCTAGCTTTCGGTCTAGCTCTGGCTAACAGATTCCTACAGCTAGACCTAGATAGCTAGACAGTCCTCTAGACCTCTAGACAGTCCTCTAGACCTCTAGACAGTCCTCTAGACCTCTAGACAGTCCTCTAGACCTCTAGACAGTCCTCTAGACCTCTAGACAGTCCTCTAGACCTCTAGACAGTCCTCTAGACCTCTAGACAGTCCTCTAGACCTCTAGACAGTCCTCTAGACCTCTAGACAGTCCTCTAGACCTCTAGACAGTCCTCTAGACCTCTAGACAGTCCTACAGCTAGATCTAGACCTCTCATTCCTGCCTAACTCTGGTTTGATCTCGGTTTTCTAGATGGCTGGGAATAATAACGAACTTTAGAGGGTCTAGATTGATCAAAATTGATCATTAATCAAAATTGGCTGAATTGCTCTGATCTTCCTTGAGCTTTTCCCTGATTTCCCTTGATTCCCACCTGACATATTCGTCGGCGGTGGTCGGACTCGCATATCGTAATTCGCGAGCAAATTATTTAATATCAATTGCTCTTGGATTCCATTTGATGGCGCGTATTCGAGCAATGCATTCACAAAAGGAAAGTAGGCAATGAAAGCGATTGAGATGAGAATTCTCATTCTTTAAAGCTAAAGTTTCATTGGTTTATTAGTTTATTAGGTAAATCAAAACAAAACATCAGATTTAGGTTAAGGTTGAGGCTGAGAATTCAGTTAGGAATTAGAGATAACAGCTAGAGAAGAGAATTGGATAATTAAACCGATCAAGAGAGCTTTCCAGTGTCATTTATCCAGAGTAGTGTGCCGGATAGTGTTCTTTCTTACTGGGAAACAGCTAGAGAACGCAGAATTGGATAATTAAACCGATATTCAATCATTTAAACAAGTCTTAGAAGCCTTAGAAGGCTAGAAGGGCGTTCTTAAAGCCTCTAGAAGGCTTAGAAGGCTTAGAAGGGCGTTCTTAAAGCCTCTAGAAGGCTTAGAAGGCTTAGAATGGCGTTCTTAAAGCCTCTAGAAGGCTTAGAAGGCTTAGAAGGCTTAGAAGGGCGTTCTTAAAGCCTCTAGAAGGCTTAGAAGACTTGGAAGGGCGTTCTTAAAGCCTCTAGAAGGCTTAGAAGGCTTAGAAGGCTTAGAAGGGCGTTCTTAAAGCCTCTAGAAGGCTTAGAAGGCTTAGAAGGGCGTTCTTAAAGCCTCTAGAAGGCTTAGAAGACTTGGAAGGGCGTTCTTAAAGCCTCTAGAAGGCTTAGAAGGCTTAGAAGGCTTAGAAGGGCGTTCTTAAAGCCTCTAGAAGGCTTAGAAGGCTTAGAAGGGCGTTCTTAAAGCCTCTAGAAGTCTTAGAAGGCTTGGAAGGGCGTTCTTAAAGCCTCTAGAAGGCTTAGAAGGCTTAGAAGGCTTAGAAGTGAGTTCTTAAGTCTTAGAAGGCTTAGAAGCCTCTAGAAGCCTTCTAAGCCTTACTTCTGGCTATCTCAGATCTTCTTAAAGCCTCTAGAAGTGTGTGTTCTCCCACTGTCTCTAGAAAATCCCATCTAGAGCTCTCTCAACGGATTCAATCACTCTGTACCAAATGGGAAGCGATCATGAGCACAAAGAACATGGTTTCTTGATATTTATAGAACAATTAGCTGGTTTAATTACGCAAAGATTCAAAGAGAAATCAGAAAAAAGCAGAAAAACTTTAACAAAAGCAAAAAAAAGTAAAAAAATCGTTTCTAAATCGTTTCCAAATCGATAAAAGTCGATCAGATTTCAAAGAACTCAACGTTTTTTTCTATTTTGATATCTTTATGTCTCTAAGAAGTTCAATATTTGTGAAAGATCTCGAGAGAAAGAGAGAAGAGAGAAGAGAGAAGAGAGAAGAAGAGACTGATCCGGGTAATGTATCCATTTTTCTTTTCTTTTTTTTCACTTACAAACTTGAGTACTTTTCTGTTGGACAGAAATGAGAATCGATTTATGTCGTGAAACTACAGTAATCTTGTCTTAAAACTACAGTAATCTTGTCTTAAAATGTCTTAAATTCCTTCTGGAAGTGTGCGTACTCTTGACGTCACTCGTAAAGAAAAACGGTGTCTGGCACACGGCCCTGCTAGAAGAGCCCCAAAAAACCCCCCAAGAGCGGTTTAATTACCCAAGTGAGCGTACTTTTGATGTCACTCATAAGAAAAAACGGCGTCTGGCATACGGCCTCGGTAGAAGACCGCCGAAAAGCTCCCTCGACCGGTTTAATTACCCAAGTTGTCAGAAAGCGCGCGACAGTTTTGCTGATGATTTAATTACCCAAGTGTGCGTACTCTTGACGTCACTCGTAAAGAAAAACGGTGTCTGGCACACGGCCCTGCTAGAAGAGTCCCAAAAAACCCCCCAAGAGCGGTTTAATTACCCAAGGTTCTCAAAAAGCGATCTTGGTATAGATAATTGCTCTTATTGAATATATTTGATTTGATTGACTCAATTACCCAAGTTTCGATTACCCTGAGCCTGAGCCTGAGCGCATTGAACAAACCCAACTTTCGAATAGAATAGAATAGAATAGAAAATTGGCTTAAAACCGATGTCAACATTTGTTTTTTTTCAAAATTTTCAAACTTTTAAACCGAAACCGAAAAATTAATGAAGCGTGGAGTTAAGAAAAAGGAAAAAAAAATGGGGAAAAAGAGAATTTGTTGGGTCTCTAATAAGCGTATATTTCTTTTCAAAAGCTTCTTTTCTTTTCCTTTTCTTTTTCTTTTCTTTTTCTTTTTCTTTTGAATCCTTTTCAATCCTTTCCCAATTTCCGAATCCTGGTGGGAATTCTCGAGGCTGAGATTAGACGAAATAGGGGGAAATGTGACGAGAAACGATGGAGAATTGCAAAAATTTGAGTTTTATTTGAAAGGGGATGAGATTTGATGGCTAAATTTGGTTAAAGAAGAAGCTTTCTGTGTGATACTGTACTGTAGTCTAATATCTTAGCGTTCTTGCTTGGCTGGCTTGGCTGGCTTGGCTTGGCTGGCTTGGCTGGCTTGGCTGGCTTGGCTTGGCTAGGCTTGGCTTGGCTGGCTTGGCTGGCTTGGCTGGCTTGGCTTGGCTAGGCTTGGCTTGGCTGGCTTGGCTTGGCTTGGCTGGCTTGGCTTGGCTGGCTTGGCTGGCTTGGCTTGGCTGGCTTAGCTGGCTTGGCTTGGCTAGGCTTGGCTTGGCTTGGCTTGGCTAGGCTTGGCTTGGCTTGGCTGGCTTGGCTATGCAAGGCTTTAAATATCAAATAGTTTACTTTTGATTTAAAGTAAGAGAATCAAATTTTTAAAAATCAATTCTTAATCAATTTTCAATCAATTTTCAAATAAATCTAACAAAATTGATAAAAAAGAACAGAAAAGATTTTGATTTTAAAGAGTTGACATGAAAAAAAAATGATAAATGAATGAAATTAAAGAGAGAGATCGAGAAAATCTTTTTGAGAAAAGTTAAAAATAAAATTTTCGATCAAATCAATTTGATAAGAAATCGATGTGATAAAAATAAAGATTATCTATGATTTGTGTCCTTAAATTTCGTCAAATTTAGCATTTAGCCTTGGCATTTAACAATGGCTTTTTTAGCCTTTTAGCTGTTTAGCTTTTTGGCTTTTTAAAACACTATATTAACTGAAAAATCATCAAATTCAAAAAAACCTTTAGATAAACTTATAATAAAAATGATTCTATTTTGAATTAGATGTGAAAGAAGTGAGTGAGATTCCCCTCATTAAGTAGGCATCTCATTTACTGAATGGAAAGGATTCGAGGGGAATTGATGGGGATGAAGGAAAGAAAAAGAGCCATTAACTTTCTGATTTTACTCCTTCCTTGAATATTTTAAAACTTTCCTAACCAAATTCCTGACTACCAAGCATGAATTTGTCAATTCCAAACTGGCCCGACTCAAGCGTGGCTCGAGTTTGATGGTAATTGGGCATTAGAAGGCTTGGATTGTTCCAATCTTGTAGTGGCTAGTTTGAGTGTATCTAACTTGTATGGAAATCGGTTAATTGACGTTAGGGTCAACTAAATTGCTATCCAGATTAGACCGTTTGATGCTTGTTGAGCAATTCTGAGACATTAGAAGGCTAGGATTGCTCCAATCTTGTAGTGGCTAGTTTGAGTATATCTAACTTGTAAGGAATTCGGTTATTTGACGTTAGGGTCAACTAAAGTGCTATCCAGATTGGGCAATTTGATGGTAATTGAGTAATTCTGAGGTATTAGAAGGCTAGGATTGCTCCAATCTTGTAGTGGCTAGTTTGAGTGTATCTAACTTGAAGAGAATTCGGGTATTTGACGTTGAGATCGACTCAAGTGCTATCCAGATTAGACATTTTGATGCTTGTTGAGCAATTCTGATGCACTAGAAGGCTTGGATTGCTCCCAATCTTGTAGTGGCTAGTTTGAGTGTATCTAACTTGTATGGAATTCGGTTATTGAAGGTTACGGTCAACTAAATTGCTATCCAGATTAGGCAATTTGATGGTAATTGAGCAATTCTGATGTATTAGAAGGCTAGGATTGTCCCAATCTTTTTTGGTGTCCTAATAGCTTTTTGGTGACTGTCGTCACACAAGCTCCAAGCACAGCCTTAAACTAAACAAAATTTGGATAGAGACAGAGAAATGAGGGTTTTATGATCAAGAACAGATGTCTTTGAGCCACTTGTCTAATTGTTTGTTAATTTGCAATATCTAGCTACTGTAATCCTTGTAATATAGCCTTCTGGAAGTGTGCGTACTCTTGACGTCGCTCGTAGGAAAAAGTGTCATCTGGCACACGGCCCCGCTAGAAGAGCGCCGAAAAGACGACTCGGTCGGTTTAATTACCCAAGTTTAAGCGCAGGAAATGCACAGGGTAAAGAATAGATTTTGATTGAAAACTTTGACAAAACAAAATTCAATTTATCTAAAGTTTGTTTAGAAAGAAAGCCTTTTCTTCTTTTCTTCACGAATTTTTCATTAGACCTCTGCGTTTGACATTAGAAAAAGAATAGGAAAAGGGAAAAAAAAGAAAAAAGTTGAAGTAAACGAGGAATGTGAGAAGATTGAATAAAGAAATGGGGAATTTTGGATAAAATTAGACACTTGCATCAACGATCAATGGATTGGAGACAAGAATAAAAGGCAAGCCTGTAGAATGGACGGCTGTAGAATGGACGGCTGTAGAATGGACGGCTGTAGAATGGACGGCTGTAGAATGGACGGCTGTAGAATGGACGGCTGTAGAATGGACGGCTGTAGAATGGACGGCTGTAGAATGGACGGCTGTAGAATGGACGAGATGTTACAAAGGACATAGTAAACACAGAACATCGTAAACAAATTAAAACTGTTTACCGTTAGCTACCGTATCCCTTTTTCTACCGTATCCCTTTTCTACCGTATCCCTTTCGATTCCTTGCTTAGATTAACTGTTACAAGCAATGGACTATGAGAAAAGCTTCAAAGAAAAACAAAAACAACACCTTAAATTCTTCGATAACAAAAGTTGAGTTGAGATATTTGATTGGAAAAGTGTTAGATGAAGAAATGAGGCTAAATTTTAAAAAAACCGTTCAGATTTACGGTCTAGATTTAGACCGAAATACTTCTTTAGCCAATCCAATTCTCAATAATAGCTAGAAACAGAATGGGAACTTGTTAGTGAGGAAATCCGATATCCAGATAAATCTATGGAAAACCAAAAAGGAAAAGACAATAACGAACAAATGTTTGAAAAAGATTGTGAAAGATTGCATTCAATTTCTAAATGATATTAAAGATCTAATCAATATTAAAGATCCAATCAACATTAAAGATCTAAAGAAAATCTAAAGAAAATCTAAATAAATTCAAAATTTCTGAAAGCTAAATGTATCCCTATTTTTTGCATCACACAAAGGAGACGCTTTGCGAATCGAATTTCCAATTTCAATCCTTTTTCCGAAAAGTTCCCTTTGTTTGGGAAAGAATTAAAAATCAGAAAAGAGATTTTTAAACAAAAAAAACCACAAGACTAATAGCTATTCTTTAAATATTGATTGGCTTGGATTGCTCCAATCTTGTAGTGACTAGTTTGAGGTATATAACTTGTCAGAAATTCGATTATTTGACGTTAGGGTCAACTAAAGTGCTATCCAGGTTAGACCGTTTGGTGCTTATTGAACAATTCTGATGCACTAGAAGGTTTGAGTTGCTCCAATCTTGTAGTGATTAGTTTGAGTGTATCTAACTTGTAAGGAAATCAGTTATTTTGTGTTTAGAGCAATTAAAGTGCTATCCAGATTAGACATTTTGATGGTAATTGAGTAATTCTGAGGCATTAGAAGGCTAGGATTGTCCCAATCTTGTAGTGACTAGTTTGAGTGTATCTAACTTGCAAGGAATTCGGTTATTAAAGGTTACGGTCAACTAAATTGATATCCAGGTTAGGCAATTTGATGGTAATTGAGTAATTTTGAGGCATTAGGAGGCTAGGATTGCTCCAATCTTGTAGTGACTACTTTGAGTGTATCTAACTTGTATGGAAATCAGTTATTTGACGTTTAGATCAACTAAAGTGCTATCCAGATTAGACCGTTTGATGCTTGTTGAGCAATTCTGATGCACTAGAAGGCTAAGATTGTCCCAATCTTATAGTGATTAGTTTGAGTGTATCTAACTTGTATGAAAATCGGTTATTGAAGGTTACGGTCAACTAAATTGATATCCAGGTTCGACCGTTTGATGCTTGTTGAGCAATTCTGATGCACTAGAAGGCTAAGATTGTCCCAGTCTTATAGTGATTAGTTTGAGTGTATCTAACTTGTAAGGAAATCAGTTATTTTCGGTTTAGAGCAATTAAAGTGCTATCCAGATTAGACATTTTGATGGTAATTGAGTAATTCTGATGCACTAGAAGGCTTAGATTGCTCCAATCTTCAATCCAAATAGATTTTATATATCTAGATATACCTATAACTTGTCCAATAAAATATTCTTATTCTTTTCTAGAAAATGTCAGCTGATGCGCGGCCATTCTGAGCATCGATCACACGCCTGGAAACCGGAAGAGGTTGAGATTTTTAAGACCAAAAATTTCATTTCTATATTCCTTAAGCTTAAAGAAGATGTAAAGAGGCAGTAAAAATTTCCACTTTTCTATTAACTTTCAATTTATATATGAATTTTCAGATCTATCACTGTTGCGTGCAAGCACTCGAGGGCCGATGCAGTCGACGAAACAAAACCGTTCACGACTACAAAATAGCGATCAAGGAATTCTTGGCAAAGGTTGGCTTTAGTTACTTTAGACTAGCTGGACAGTTTAATATTTTATTAAAAATTCTGGTTTTTGACGTTTAGATCAACTAAAGTGCGATCCAGATTAGGCAATTTGATGGTAATTGAGTAATTCTGATGCACTAGAAGGCTAAGATTGTCCCAATCTTGTAGTGACTAGTTTGAGTGTATCTAACTTGTATGGAAATCGGTTATTGAAGGTTACGGTCAACTAAATTGATATCCAGGTTCGATCGTTTGATGCTTGTTGAGCAATTCTGATGCACTAGAAGGCTAGGATTGCTCCAATCTTGTAGTGACTAGTTTGAGTGTATCTAACTTGTATGGAAATCGGTTATTGGAGGTTAGGGCCAACTAAATTGCTATCCAGATTAGACATTTTGATAATAATTGAGTAATTCTGATCCACTAGAAGACTTGGATTGCTCCAAACTCGTAAACGCTAGTTTGAGTGTAACTTGTAAGACATTACAAAAAGAAACGAAAAGGCCCTCTTGAGCTCTTGAGCCTTAGAATGGTTTCAATCTTAATCAGACATATACATACATCTGTGAATCTGTGAATCATACTAGACTTTTATCCAAAATAGTGAGCTTGTATTTCAGGTGGAAATTATCTTGTTGAACGAGTTGTCGAGAGCATTGGAGCAGTCGAACGAGCCGGATCGGCTGATGATCGCGCGACTCAATCGGGTATCTGAAATTCTGTAAACTAGAGATTTTATATCAGTAATTAGATGAGATTCCCATTTCCAGGCCTTATCGACATCATATCTGAAAGATGATCGACCTTCCCTTTACCACCTCCCCTCACCATCACGACCACAATGGAAAACCTGGAATCTCGATCATGAAGATCCGGCCAAGTTCGTCAAAGCTATAGACAGATAGACAGATAGACAGACAGATAGACAGATGGACAGATAGGCAGAAAGACAGATAGACAGACAGACAGACAGACAGACAGACGTACAGACAGACGGATGAACACTTTTATATAATCTATCTTATCTAATTTCATTCCAGAATGATTCAAATTGTCGAGAATGCGAAAGAATTGCTTAGATTGCCGAGAACAGAGACTTATGAGGTAATGAATATTAAGTTTTTGATGAATTTGGATCATTTGTTAATTGATATCATTTAAATCATTTAAATAATTGAAATTATTTAAATAATTTAAATGGACTAAAAAATTTGATCTAAATTTTAAAGGTGAAACCGAGGATAAAGAAAAACGCGAAAATCATCGAAAATAAGGTGAACAAGGAAAAGTGTGAAGAGAATTCTCTTTGCTTTTCATTTACAAGTGTGCCCGACTAAAGCATGAACGAAAATTACGTTTCTTTTTCTTTTTCTTTAAACTTTGTGAAGTGATTTCTAATCGTATCATTCACTTTTCTCTTTCAAAGCTTTTGAAAGCTCTGCAAAGCTCTGCAAAGCTCTGCAAATCTTTTCAAAGCTTTTCTAAGCTTTCCTAAGCTTTCCTAAGCTTTCCTAAGTTCTGGCTGAGTTCTCAAGCTCGTTTTTGACCGTTTTGGCCAAACACCAAATTGTCAAACGTTTTTCTCATCTTTTATTTGTCTGTTTTGGATGAAATCGATTTTATTCAATAGTTCTGATTAATATATATTGAATAAAACCAAGTCTAGCCAAATCAGACAAATGAACAATGAGAAAATGGCAATAGAGAGGTGAACGCCAAGAAGGTAGCAATGGTGAAGTGGTAGGAGAGGTCGCAATGGAGAAGTGACCCTTCTAACTAGATATCATCATAAAGCTTCAATTCAGGAAGATTTCCTCGTACAACTCCGCGATCGATCCGAATGGGATGCCCGAGCGGCGGCTGAGGCGATCGCCATCCAATTAGGCACACATATCCAACATGAAACGCATTCGTCACTCGGATTGTAAGCTCGAGCTCTTCTTGGTGTATTTCAGTACAAGTATTTCAGATCAAGAGCCACAACTCCAGATGGTCGATCTTTGTGGTCATCGGATGGGGATCTGAAAAGACGAGGGACAAGTGTGGATGCGATGAGGAGGACGAGTGCCGGACAGTTGCCTCTTGAACCATCCGTTTTTGTGAGTACAAGAATACAGTACATTCCTGTATCTTCCTGTACAGCTCTTGAATAGCTCTGTAAAGCTCTGTAAAGCTCTGTAAAGCTCTGTAGAGCTCTATGCTCCCAATGCCGGATATCATTTTCCCTTTAGGTCCGCGATCGACCCTCTGTAATGTCATTTCGCGAGCGATCAGTGCCATTGGAAGAGGCTGAATCGCCTGATCATTCATTGGTACGTTTTTTGATACTGTAGACTGCTGTAGGCTGCTGTAGACTGCTGTAGAATGCTGTAGACTGTAGATATGCTAGTGATCTAATCCTTTATCTTCTAGGCTAATGGAGCTGTCTCCACCGGTGCCCTGTCCACCCTGGGGACTCATAGTGAGATTCTACAAAAACCCGGCAGTGCCATGTCAACTCTGCAACCATATCCAGCTGATGATACGCTCAATACGACATTGGTATGCTCATTCTTCACTTTAAAGCTTTCAATCAAACGCGTGAATCATTCGCTTTTTGTCTATTCATCGCCGAAACACAACAAGAGTTCGACAAAGAAAAGGGAAATGGCTACTTTTTCTGTTTTATTTATATCTTGAGGCTTGTAAAGAGTATAGAAATGTTTTCTATTCAAATATTGACAAGCGTAGCTTACCTTACTGAGCTTACTGAGCTTACTGACAAGCTTATACCGAAGTTCTTCTTGTTTTCCATCTTTTCTAGTCATTGTTTAATTGTTAGCTCTAGATTGTTGAGGGTTTTATTTGATCTGACGTCATAGTTCAGTAGACCTATCCAATAAGCCATCCCTTCCCAATGAGCCATCCCTTCCCAATGATCCATTGATTCCCAATGAGCCATTGATTCCCTATAATCCATCCCTTCCCAATAAGCCATCCCTTCCCAATAAGCTATCCCTTCCAAATAAGCCATCCCTTCCCAATAAGCCATCCCTTCCCAATGAGCCATCCCTTCCCAATAAGCCATCCCTTCCCAATAAGCCATCCCTTCCCAATAAGCCATCCCTTCCCAATGATCCATCCCTTCCCAATGAGCCATCCCTTCCCTAAAAGCCATCCCTTCCCAATGATCCACAGAGATTTCTTTCCCTTTTCCCATACCTAAAATGATCAGATTAATTGATTGAGTGGAAAATAAAGAAAAGAAAACAAATTAAAGTTTACTAAGCGCACTACAAGATTACAAAGTTGTTAAACTTTTGTCCGCGAATGTAAATGACTGGAGAGAAATGAGTTCTATTTTTGGGTGAATGGAAAAGAGACACGCATCTCATTCGAATTTCCGGCTTTCCCCTAGAAAAGAAAAGGGAAAAGAACCAAAATTTTTCATCAAATTCATACTTTATCCATTTTATCGTCTAGAATTTCGAAATCTCCTCTATTAGTCTATTTATTCACCCTTTGCCCGCTAACTATTGTTTTACCGTGAGCAAACAAGAGACAAACAAGGAGACATCGCTTCTTTTTCCCCCAACCAGGCAGCTTATTTGTGTAGTCTGATTTCCCCTAGACTTTACCCAATGAAAAGTTTAGGGTTTTATGGGGAAAATTGGGTATTTATTTTGCAAATATTTTGTTAAAATCTTAGCTGAGTCTTTGAAAATGTTGACGTTTGCTTTTTTTAAAAAAAAAAAATTTGAGCTTGAACATGTAGAGATCGTGTTTTATTTAAATCTATTTAAATTTAAATTTTATTTTTCTTTCCATTGTCTTGTTTTTCTTTTCCCCGTTTTATTTCAAAAACATTTTTCTCGATTTTGCAAAAAAATTTTGATCAATTTTTCCCGATTCAATTCCCGTTTTCTCTTCTATGCGAGCCTTTTAGCTTCCTTGAAAGCCCATTTCATGAGATATTCTCCATTTCCAACTCCATCTCCAACCACTTCCACTTCTTATGTCGACAATTTCACGAAAGATGACTATTTGAGATATTCCCGTCATATGAAAAGACGGGTCACTTTCTGGGGAAATCACGAGGTTTTTGGAAGATTTTTTTATTAATGAGCCATCGATTGGCCTAGAAATCGCTAGAGATCGCTAGAGATCGTCGATTGGCCTAGAAATCGCTGTACAAGATCAGCCGTGAGCACTGACCTGGTTCCCCTGAAGTACCTAAGCTAAAATCAAGACATAAGCCTGGCTTGTCGTAGCCGTAGACATATATGTCGTAGCCGTTTACGAAAAAAGAAACGTTGTCTCTTTAGAAGGGATGCCATTTTGCGAAAATTGCTGTTGACCGGTTCAAACTGATTCCGAGGGAGCTGATAAATGCTAAAGATTAAGGATTAAAATTAATATAACTAACTAGCTTTTGCTGCAAAACTCCATTCTTGGTGCTAACCTGATAAAAACCGTCCTCCGAAGACATCCAAAAAAAGACGAGTGGCCGATTTTAAGTCGATCAACAGCATCGATTGGGAGACGAACAGTCATTCCAACTTCAACTGGCCCACTTGCCCAACTTTAGCTTATCCGCTTCAACCTAAGTCGTCATTAGTAGATACATTCGCTTCTTTAAGACTTGATACGCGTCAAGTTGGTTGTCGAATCCACCCGAACAAAAAAAAAAAAAAAGAAATGACTGAAATAAAAATTTTGTTGGGAAAATTAGCATTTCAACATTTCATTCGTAAATGGCTACGACATATACATAGCTGGATTAGGTATTTTATGTACAAGACATGTAGACCAAGACCGCTCCAGTAAGTTTCACCTCTAAGCCTGTAAACCAGAGTGCCTGATCTAGGCTAGACACAAGCCTGACTTCTGGCTTGGTCAAAACCTTCTTGTGCCAGGCAAGGTGACAGAGTCGGTACAGTAAGTCTCCTCAGTCCATTACCAAATCAATTTTCAGTCCTCAAACACGACGCCCGTGCCGAACTCTTCTCCAACAGTTGCATCGAATCACTCGGTACATTTTCATATTGCATTGCTAGTCTGTTAGCCACAGTCGCAGTGTTAGTCGCTTACATAATGGATTTTCAATCTCTAACCAATTCTATTTAGGGTGATAACAAGCGTGGCTTCGGCGAGAGTTTCCTGACTCGACCAATTTGCGTTCAATCGTTTGAATTGCCCGGGAAACCGCCAGCACTCGCATTATCGGATAGTTGTGGGGGTGAGTTGGGGATTTAATGATTTAACGAAGGGACTCTAAAGGATCGAATCTAAAGGAATACCACCGTAAGCTATAACTGAAAAGTACTCCTATCTTCAGGCGTCTACCTAACAAGCGCCGATGGAGAAGTCACCGAGCATATTCTCATAAAGAACTCATCTGCTTCGTCAGTGGCCGTGGATGAAAAGAATTCGGTATATTCAGTCGAAATCTTTTTTTGCGTACTGTGCTCACTCGTAAACGCGCATTAGCGCATTGGATTCTGAGATTTTTGCCGATTTGCTATTGATATGGAAAAAGGTATGCAAAAAGGTGACACTTTTTGATAAAAGATCGAAAGAAAAGATTGATAAAAGTTAAAAGCTCGAAATTTGAAAATAAAACGACAGTGGAGGACGACAAAAAAACAAAAAAACAAAAAAACAAAAAAACAAAAAAACAAAAAAACAAAAGAAAAACAAAAGAAAAACAAAAAAAACAAAAAAAACCAAAAACAAAAAAAACAAATGAAAAATGAAAAATGTTTTCGTCTTTTCATCAATTTATACCCAGATTACCGTAGTTTCGACGGAAAAGTGTCTGACTACGGTATTTGACACATTTTAGAAAGCACAGAAACCCCCGAAACGTCTATAAGTGTACTTTTGTCTTTAACTTTTCATAGATTTATCCAATTTGTATGATTTTGATGTCAATCGATAGGAAATGTTCTCACGCGTCGATTGACATCAAAATCATACAAATTAAATAAGTCCATGAAGACCCTAGAGTCCTGGAAGCTTACAGTAGGCTTTCTCAAGCTCTTTACAGTACTCTTTATCGCTACAGTGCCCTAGAGTCCCCTACATCTCCGAATTACGGAGAGGTGCTTGTCAATCGATAGGAAATGTTCTCACGCGTCGATTGACATCAAAATCATGCAATTTGGATCAATCTATGAAGAGTTAAAAGCCTTGTTTTACATCTATAAACCCCAAAAGCCCTTTTTTACATCTACAAACGCCAAAATCACTTTGTACACTTATGAATTAGATACCGCGCGTTTACGAGAGCACAAAGTAGACTTAGTTTTGTTTATTATATGTAAATTCTTCTAGATAATGTACGTCTCAGTGATGACGGCGAAAGGTCGATCGATTCACGTTTTCGATATGGCTAAAGGGAATAAAAAGCTCGATGTAAGGCTTAGAGATTGGATTTAGATAATTAGACAATTTAAATAGTCAAAGTTTTAGGCGATTCCCTGTCCAAAGGACCCGAAAATCGAGTTGAGTCGAACGCGGTGGATTACAGGTGAAAATAATCAATCTAGAATTACTTTATGGTACTCCAGGGTACTGTAGAATTGCAGAGTACTAGGCGTTACTGTACAGTAGTCTAGGAGCAAGAGTTCTAAAGCTGGGTAAAGTACTAAAGTTTTCTCTAGATTTCTAAGAAGAAGCTAAGAGTTAATCTAGAGATTACTGTAACTGATATAGGGATTACTGTACTGTAGAGGGTACTGTACTGTACTGTAGAAGGTATTGTACTGTAGAAAGTACTGTACTGTAGAAAGTAATGTACTGTAGAATTAAGGCTATCAAAAGGTTAAAAATGAACTTTCAGTTGGCCCAAGGGGTCACCTTTTCATGACGAGCGGTGACAACATCAAATCGGCTCTCTGGGTGTATATGAGATCAAGAAAGGTGTGGAGATTTAAGACTTAAAGATTCCATCTAAAGCTTTTCTCTTATCCAGCCAAACTTGTTTTTATTCTAGGCCTGGAAAACGTTAAAAGAATCGCGCAAATCGAGATATCAATATCTGAGTGTGGCTGAGGATCAATCTGAGTACAAGTGAGTGAGAAAGAATGAAAGGATAGGTACTTATCCATTCAATAGCTTCCATAGAGAACCGCTAGGGAATATTGTAGCTGCTGTAAGGGGTACTGTAACTGTTGTAAGGCTGTGATAGTTGACCTAGTGATTCAGGACTACTCTAGATAATCTAGAGTTTACTGTAAATGATTTAGGATTACTCTAGATGGTCTACTGTTAGACTGTAAGGGCTTAGGGAGTACTGTAGCTCTGCATGGTACTGCAGGGTTACTGTACTTGATTTATGGATATGACAAGCTAGGGAAAGGGTTACTTTAGCTGTTGTAAGCATTTTAAATCCCCATTCTCAATCTCATTTTTTTCCAGAGCTGTCGTCTTGTTGACATGCGATGCGGCGAATAATCGTCTCCTCCTTTTCGTTGTCGACAGTCAATTGTCGTTGATCAATGAATACGATTTGAGTGTCACTTATCATCTAAATGATTATATTTCATCACCAGCTAGTGCCATTGTTGACAAGGTTGGTGAAAAGCAGGTCTTAGCTACTGTAGGAGGACTGTAACTGATCTAGAGAGTACTATAGCTGCTGTAGAGGTACTTTAGCTGTCTAGGGTATCTAGATCTAGAGTACTGTAGCTATACAATCCATCCACTTCTTTAGCAAGGCCACTTGCTAGTGTTGGACTACGCGAATGGGAAAGTGCAGATTTTGTTGAGCGGGGAAAAAGGAGTGAGACGATTGAAAGAAGTCACCTTCGCCGATCCACTTCTCCCACAACAAGCACTCGGAATCACTGTTCTCGTGGGGTTTTCTTCAATAAATAGACTGATCCAGGGTTACTGTAGCCGTTCAGAATCTCTTAAACTTGTCCATTACCCAAACCTCTCCAATTACAGGGTGATTACGTGTACGTAGCGTGTTTCCACACGCATGAAGTCCGCTGCACTCGATATTTAGAGAACGGGAAATTCCGGTAAGTTCATTTATAGCCAAAATAGACAATCTTAAATCAAAGACAAATCTTAAAAATCTTGAATTTTTTTAAAACAGATGATTCAAAGGTTTGTTTGAGTGCCCAAAGCTTCAAGTGTTCTGAATTTTGTCGGCTTTCTTTTAGGCCAAAGTTCCCAAACGACTCGCCACTTTTTCCCATTAGCAATCTAACTTTAATCTCAAATTTCTTAAAGAACAATTGTCTGATTGAAAGAATTGGTATCATTAAATTATTCAAATGATTTGTATCAATGATTCAAATTGTTTGTATCAATGATTCAAATGATTTGTATATTCACCAAGTCTTCTTCTATCATTTGATACAAAAATTGTTTCAATTGGACAATTGTACGTCAAAGAAATTCAAGGTTAAAGTTTGGTTGTCAATGGGAAAATGGAGAGGACAGTCCAGAAAGTAGTCCAGAAATTCAAATCATTTCTAAAATCATGTCTAAAAGCCGTGATTCCAGTCAATTCCACCCACAAATGGCTCTTCTCGATCAAACAAATCCAAAACCGAAAGCCGTGCTCGCGAACGGGAAAAGCCCAATGAATGAGAGGAGAGCGAATTCCGTGCCCCGACCACCGAATACAAATATTTATAGTAAAGATCCCCATCATGTTGATTTCGGTGGATCGATGTCGAAATTAAAAAAATGATGAATGGATTGGGGAGTTGAGTCTGATTCCGAGATAAAAAAATGATAATCTGATTCCGAGAGTCCCCAAAAGCGGCAATTTCCAACAAGAGATCGAAATTCGCTGAATAAAACGACAATGGCTAAAAGCGGAGAATGATTTTTTTCCAGGTCCTTTTCACCAATTTATACCCAGATTACCGTAGTTTCGACGGAAAAGTGTCGAAATGGCGTAAAAGTGTCTGACTACGGTATTTGACACGTTTTAGAAAGCACAGAAAGCCCCCAAACGTCTATAAGTGTACTTTTGTCTTTAACTTTTCATAGATTTATTCCAATTTGCATGATTTTGATGTCAATCGATAGGAAATGTTCTCACGCGTCGATTGACATCAAAATCATGCAGGTTCAGCGATTAAATAAGTCTATGAAGAGTTAAAAGTACTTTGAACACCTATGGATGGGGGACCTACTGTCCAGGTACCGTTTAGTCTGTGGTACGATACTGTGGTAGCCTTTTAAATGCTAATTTTGACTACCTACCGTGCCTTATATTACCACCGAGATTTTAAAGTATACCACTTATATTACCACCGAGATTGCCCTGACTCAACTCTGCAATACCGCATCCTAGTGATCCTAGTAATCTGTACTTTGTGCTTTGGTTCCTTATCTTTCCCCTTATCTCCGAAACGCAACTTTCCTGGCACACTGAATCCCTTATTTTTATCGCTTTTAGGTACAGCTAATGTCAAAAAAAAACTAAAAAACAAATCTAACCTAGTGTGGCAGAAGATGAGCGTTTAGCTGAATAGAAAGTACACTTTCTGATTGTTTTTATTTCTTTTCTTTTCATCCAAATTCCATAAGTTATTTGATCAAATCTCCTGATTGACTAAAATTTTAAGGTTGTGTTTTTTCTTTTAAATTTTCCTTTAACTTTCTTCGAAATCCTCCCCCACACTTCCACCAAATGAACATTTTCACTTAAACTTTTTCTTTTCGTACAAAATTTGAAATTTGATCGAAATATTCATTTTCAGCCTTATATTCGATTCCTCTCGATATTCGATTAGAAATTCTTCACACCCCATTTCGCCTTATACGAGAAATGCTCACTTTTCTTTGATTCATTGTAATTTTAAAGTTTAGATAAGTTTTTTTAATCTTTTCTGGTGATAAAACAATTCTATCAAACAGACAATTCAATTTTGTTCTCGAAAACTGCACTTAGAAATACATTCTAGAGCGACTACAGCGACCTAAGCCACTACAGTCCCTACTAGGACTTTACAACCCAACCGATTTGCCAATTTGCATGATAGGAAAGATTCGCACGAATGACACAAAAAGACCGTAAATAGTGTAATTGGACCCCATGGGGTACCCCCCAGGGAGGGGCACAAGAGGATGGGGCACATTAGGGAATGGCACTATTAGAGGATGGGGCCTATTAGAGGATGGGACACTTTAGAGGATGGGACACTATTAGAGGATGGGGCACTAGAGAGTGGGATGCTATTTTAACAGCGATGCGAATAACTAACAAGCGAAATTTTGTCATGCGATGCGAATCTTTTCCTATCATGCAAATTGGGTTGTAAACACCCCCAATTCGGATATTCAAATAATTTGTTCAAAAGCAAACTTTTTCTTTAGTTTTTATTGGTTTTAACCATTTGAAAATTTAACAACAAAACGAAACCAACAACAACACAACAAAAACAAAAACTAACAAGCGAAATCAATAGAAACATCCGAATCAATGAATTCATCATTTTCTTGATCCTCGATTCCTCGATGTCCATGAAATCCCGTCGATGCGAGCGGCTCCAAGAGGTCCTCGATTCCCGTCTCTGTCCGAGCATTTCTCACCGATATCAATCCCCTTCGAGTTCAAAGAAAGTTGGTGGTTAAGCCTACAAGTAACGATAATAAATCCAGCCTGGCATCCTTTGAAAGGAATGGTCCATCCGGCTTAAACATTTGAATCAATTGACCTCTTCCCCATTCTAAGGCAATAATCCCAAAGCCTTGAGTGATTTTCGACTCTTTTCTTCGGTAATTCGGCTCCCACGCATCCCGGATCCATTCAGCCAAGGGTTTCCTGTGGGGGTGGGGTTCCCCCGGTGTTGTCTTTCAAAAAACAGGGGGAAAAAGGGCACCCCCCCGTGCGGCGGTGGCGAGCCGATATCAATCCCCTCCGAGTTCAGGTGGCGTCAGGTCTCCATTGCGTCTCTTGCGTTTTCCGTGGACTTTCTCGAGCTCGATTTCTTGTTTGATGTAGGAACGCACACATTTTCGATCAATCTTATAGAATGCAGCGGCTGCTTTGATCAAAACATCATTGCCCATCTTTGCAAAAGCCAATTTCGTTTTCACATCAATGTCCCTTTTTCTTTGTAGGTAGCTCATCCGATTCACTTGAAGATCCTTCAACTTCAGCTTCAGCGTTGACCGAGCTTCCATTGGCATCTTGTTCGGCTTGTTCATCACGCGGTTCTTTGAAGAATTCCCTGTGTTCTTCGTATTCGCAACGAGCCCGATATTCCTCAAATGCATCGAGCGATTTTCCATCGTGATCCATAACTGAAAAAATAAAATTAATAAAGTAAAAGGGGGGGGGGGGCTACTCTGCGCCAAATTCTTTGGCGCAACTCGCCATAGCTTTCTTCTAAGTGGGCCAATCTTTATGATTTTGGTGTTACTTTTTTGCACTTGTTGCACTTGTTGAGATCTACAATTATAAAGATGAAGAAACTCACTTAGAAGAAAGTTATGGCGAGCTGCGCAAAAAATTTGACGCAAAGTAGCCACCCCAAATTTAAAAACAACAAATTTATGGGATAAAATTAAAAATACAAACGATTTCTGAAGATACATGAAAATTTCCCGCTTTAAAAGCGTTGTTTGTAATTATGCGTTAGGTGGGGTGGTATTAGAGAGGTGGCGTATTATTTTTTCCTTCCCCTCTCTAGGGTGGGGTCCAATTAGAGTAGTTACGGTATGTATGTTTGATTTAGAGGGGGGTATTATCAGACGGGTGGGGTCCAATTACAGTATTATGTTATGTTTGATTTTGATGTTTCGTTAATATGTTTGATTATTATGTTATGTTTGATTTAGATTTCCGCCCGATTTAGATTGAGTTAAAATTGGATATAACATGTTCAAGATTCTTTCATTCTTTCAATTATCGTAAATATTTTTTTCTGATCTAATTTGATTTCATTTAGAAAAGAAGATGTCGAGCTTTGAGTCGCACAAGAACAGGCAAGATGTCGAGCCACCCAATGACAGCAGAACGGTTTTGGAGGTAGATTTTATTATTTTTAACGAGTTAAGGTTTGAATTTATTGTTTTTCTATTCTGATTGCTTGGATTGGTTGAATAAACCAGTAAATACTTTTATTGTGAAGTAATGTAAAAACAAAGCAAAGAAACATTAACTCTATTACTGTTAGTAACATTCAAAAGTTTTATTTTTAGCTGATCGTTATGGATCCCCCCCCCCCCCCCCCTCCCCCCCCCCCCCTCCCCCCCCCCCCCCCTCCCCCCCCCCCTCCCCCCCCCCCCCCCCCCCCCCCTCTCCCCCTCCGACGCGCCTCAGATATTAAGCTTTTAAAAACCAATGTTTATGTTTTAGATTTCGAGACAACATGAATGTAATTTTAAAGTTTAGAAAATTTTTACGCCCCCTTTACAAGCCAACTACAGTGATTCCTACAAGCTCCTCCGGCTTCTTTCCCAATTTGCTGATTTTGGTGTCAATCGATAGGAAAAGTTCTCGCGCGTTGAATGACATCAAAATCATGCAAATTAGATAAATCTATGAAAAGTTAAAGACAAAAGTACACTTATAGACGTTTGGGAAACTTTTTGCGTTTTCTAAAACGTGTCATTTACCGTAGCCAGCCAGTTTTGCGCCGTTTCGACACTTTTGCGTCGAAACTACGGTATTCTGGCTAATTGGCGAAAAGAGGCGAAAAAGACCTTACTTTTTTTCCAGAAGTACTTTACAGCCTAAATTGCATGATTTTGGTGTCAATCGATAGGAAAAGTTCTGGCGCGTCGATTGACATCAAAATCATGCAATTTGAATAAATATATATCTTATGTTCGATTTAGATTGAGTTAAAATCGGATATAACATACATGTTCACGATTCTTTTTTCTTTCAATTATCGTAAATCTTTTTTTCTGGTCTAATTTTATTTCATTTAGAAAAGAAGATGTCGGACTTTGAGGAAGTTTTTGAGAGAATTCGACTGCCACAAGAATTGTTTCGGCGCAACGGTTTCGGAGGTGGTTTTTATTTTTTTAACGAGTTAAAGGTTTGAATATATTTGGGTTGTCCAGTTATGAATGCGCGTTTTACCAAGATATCGAACAGATGTATAGAGTGTAATATCATTCGAAAGCTGAAGACCCTCTACATTTCGAATAAAAAGTTTTGAATTCATTCAACTTTTGGGAAATTGACTGCAAAAAGGAGAGATCGTTTTCGAAAAAACCCATTCAGCAGCATTCCTAAGTTTATGGTGTAAAATAACCGCGCCCAGAAAAAAAGAAAACCGAAATGTTATAAAAAGGATTGAATATCTATTGGCAAACACAAATGGTTAACCAATTGAGCGGAGCCAAAACTGGACCAAAGGCACCCCCATTTTGGCCACCCCCGTGCAGCAATGCCCAAAAGCAAACAAATCAAAAAAACAAAATGTGGAGGAAACCGCTTCGAATAATACCAATTACTTTCTTGATTTCGGTATCTTGAGAAATTTACGCGCATCATAACGGAACCCAATAGTTTCTGTATTGTGATTGATTGCTTGGATTGGTTGAATAAACCAGTATATGCTTTTATTGTGAAGTAATGTAAAAAAATAGCAAAGAAACATTAACTCTGTTACTGTTAGTAACTTTCAAAAGTTTTATTTTTAGCTGGTCGTGTCCCTTATGGATCTCCTTCGACGCCTCAGGTTATTAAGCCTTCTAAAAATCTAATGTTTATGTTTATGTTTTAGATTTCGGAGATCAACCAGAACAATTTCATTTGTCGAGCCGGTGTACTCTTTGCCAAGGATCCCAACCGACACGTATCTCCACACGCGCAGCGAGAAGATCAGAGTTGGGGAAATAACGATCTTCAAGAGTGAGGATTGGGCCAACTTTCTCCTGGGACTCCTGAAATCTCTCCCGCTTGTCACTGACAGAGGTAGTTTTTGTTTTTACCGTTCAAGTTAAATAATTATACAAACTGTTTAAAAAACAGTTTGCATCGTTAATATTTACTGATAAAAAGTAGGTATTCCTAGTAAATTACGCTTAAATCTTTAAAAGCAATTACCAAAACCAAGATTTTCTTTTTAGACTCGGTGAGAGTCATTGAGCTTGGGAAGGGTATCAAAAGTGCAGTAGGGTGTACCGCTGGAGATTTTAGAGATAAACTCTTTGGTCTCAACATTTCCACGCACAAACTGGAGGAACAGCATCAATATCCGGTCTATGGTGATAATGGTGGGTTAAATTTTTTTTTTTATAGGTGTGATAGCCACCATACCAACCAATCGAGGATGCTTTTTTTTCTCTTCAGGTGAAGTCGGATGGGTGAGGTACGAATTCGTCACTTTGAATTCTTCTGCCGGTTTAAACCTCGGTCCGCTCGAAGTTGGTGGAAAAGGATTTGTGATCAAGTGCATTATAAAATATGTCGTCTTTGAATCGTTTGACGCACTCGAGGAGGCTTACAAAGAAATGAAATCGGGTCGTTAAATTTGTTATGCCTTTCAATGTTCATGTTTTTACTTTGCTTTAGTCAGTAGCCTAATAACTTTTTACTTGTACAGCTTTATGCATCTGTTCTAATTGTTGTTGTTGTTAGATAAATTGTTAGAAATCAAAAACACGTTTGTTAATGATTTCGATATTTCCAGCTAGAACCCAAGTGGTACGAAACCAGCCGTGTGAGAATCAAGCGATAGCCTAGTGGCCTCGTGCTTCTAAGGTTCGGAGCCAAAGCCTAAGTAAATATAGAAGCTTTGAATGTTGTTAAAAAGAGCGAAATGTTGTGTGAAACCTTCACTAATCGATTCAGCATAGTCAAAAACTCTTGGGTGCAAAAAATCTTGCCCCTCCCAACTACCATAGGCCCACTGGCGGCCTATTACCGGACATAAGCAAGATTTGCTTCGACTGCAAAGAAATAAGTCACAAACACATTTAAAAAATATTACCAATCGATTCAGCGTAGCCGAAAACCCTAGAGACTCCGCCCACCGCCCCAAATTCTGTAAATAGATGGATAAGGCCTTTTTATATTGACTAACCTATCGTTAGCACCTGTTCATTACTTAAGTCTTTATGCTTTTAAAAGCTAATCGCTACTGTTTGATTAAACTAGATATGTACTGTGATTAGCTTTTTTTACGAGATCCAGCTGGTCGCTACATTTTAAAATGGGGCATTCTACCATACACTTTTAGAGTATCTACAATTTGGCAGGCTAATCTAACTAGCGAGTCCGTGCCAGTTGTAGCTTCATGCACTAGATTTTTGAGGCTCACATCAATCAAAACAAAAGCCTCGAAATTTGAGAATTTCGAGCCAAGTGGCTAACCAAACCGCAAAGTTAGCCAAACAAACACATACCCAAGCATCAAACCTAGCTAGCTGCTTGAGACAACTCTATTCCCTAGCTTAGTTATCTATCCAACAGCTTAAGACCCAAATCTACCAACACAATTTGCCGAAGCTGTAAGATTACCCGAAATCCATTGTACGACAATTTTATTCGAAAATATGAAGAAAATAAATATTCTAAAAAGAATTTTCGACGATCTGGATTGCACTAGAAAAGTTGGCAAAAATAAAATTTGAATTTTTGAAAAAAAAGATTTTGAAAAATTTAAACAATCAGTTCAGCCCAGTCGCCCACGAGCTGGTACACGAAAGTAAATTTCGACTTTGAAAATCGAAATCCTGGACCACAGTAGGCCCTTGTGCGCCAGATCGCGAGCGATTACGACATTTGGAAAAGTCTTGCTATTGTACACTCCAGCCACAGTAGCCCATCACAGCTTCGGCGGGGGGTGCCGGAAAAACAAAAATCCGATAATTGTGAGCAATGTGATGAACAGTGTGCCACCCAGAATGGCGATTCCGAGCAATTCCTTTGCACGAATGCACATAGAATCCCGGGAATCGCCGTGAAGACGAGATGGATCGAGATCTGAAAATTCTACAGTTAGAAATTGATTCTTTTTCAAATTTTCACTCAAACTGGAGTGCATTGGAGTTTTTGGGTGAGTTCTTTTCAGCTAAAGCTTCGATTATCAACTCACCAATCTCTGGATCGAGTACATCCAATTTGTTGGCTCGCACATCGATCTCTTGCTCACTCCGAGTCCCGATGGCTTCTCGGTGTTGATGCTCGATGATATTCCGCTTGATTTTACTGAAGAATTGTTTGTTGGAGCTTGAGAGCTTTGAGAAACTTTAGAAAACGCAGCCTTACACTCCTCTCACCTGAATCGACTTCTCTTTATCGGCTTTCCCAAATCTAGACACTCGGGAATCTGAAAGAAAAGGTTTTAAAACGATTTAGAACTCAATTTAGAATCCCTAAATCCTCAATCTCCAAATTTCCCACTAACCGGACACTCGCCGTCTTTAATCAACAATCGAACACTGCATTGAAAGTTCACGATCACCTAAAAGTCCGAAAGGATTACTTTTTTGAGTAAACACTTCGATATTTTGCGACTATGGAAGGCACAAGGAAGATTTAGAATCAGAAAACTCGGCAAAGATCCAGCCGGCCAAAACCCAATCGGCTTCGTTACCCATTCCTCTCTGAACTCACCTTGTCAGCGAATTTGAATGCGTGAGCCTCTTTCTGAGCGTGCAACTTGCCCGGACCGTACTCGAGATTATCTAACAGGTAGCGATCGATCGAGCAACTGAGAAATGAGGATTTATGTAATTTGTAAAGTTGGGTAATTAAACCGGAGTCAAAGTTTTTTCAAAAATTTCAAAATGACTTTTTCTTAGTTTTAAAGTTTTCAATCGCTTTCGTGACTTCCAGCTGGAACAAAGAGAAATCAGTGAAATCTTTTTTAACCCAATATCGTCGAGAATCATGAACTGAGTCCCTGAACCGTCCTCGACGAAGCACGAATGGACTTGCATACACCAGAGATCTAAAAACGTGATAGGGATCAAAGAATGTTCGTTTCCTGAGTTCCAGAATGATCATTTCAAATGAAATCTTCACTTGAATCACTTGGATTACGGTAGAAATAAGGGCAAAGTCGAATCGAGCACCTGGAGCTGATGAGTCGCATGTCCACGAGTGGAGCAATTTACTCCCAACAGTCACCACGTCTAGCGGCTCTTTCGATTTTGGGTCAATCACCTGAACGGTGGATTACAGGAAAGTTCTGATCAGAGTTCTGTTCAGAGTTTAAAGTGATATCAGAGGTGGGTAATTGAACCGAATTTAAAAGTCAACTTTTTGGCTTTACAAGCTTGGGAATGGTTTATGTGCGCTCCAGATAGTTCAAAAAGCTTAAATAGAGCTTTCAAAATGTCACCAAAGCTTTTGAAAACCCTGCAGCCCTCAACTCACCTCATAGCGACACCTCGGCATTTCAGCGATTTCGGTAAACGGTGAGAGACTCTAAATTTTAATGATATTCTTTCAATGCTGTCTTTTGATAAAGAATAAGAATACGGTACAGCTCCGGAAACGGTGATTGGATAAGTGACTGTCTTCTCGGCTTGCATGTAGAAACAGGAGATCTCATAGCCCTGGAAAGTCATCGAATTGGCTGGGCGACTTTGGCTCTAGCTGGCAGAGCTCTAGCTCTAGCTGGGAGCTCTAGATCTAGCTGGAAGCTCTAGCTCTAGCTGGGAGCTCTAGCTCTAGCTGTCAGAGCTCTAGCTGGCAGAGCTCTAGCTCTAGCTGGAAGCTCTAGCTCTAGCTCTAATATCTAGAGACATAACCTACCTTAGCTCTAATACTACTCTCTCCTGCTACAGTACTCTTCAAGAGACTGGGGCTGGAGCTGGAGCTGGAGCTGGAGTAAGCTGGAGATCAAAACACAAAGCACAACACTCACCCGATCGACTTTTGTGATGAACTCCTCGTGAAAAGAAAGCATGATCTTCGTGGTGACGAACAGACCCAATGGATCACCCTAAAGAGAGGTTACGGCAGAATTTTGGCATTTCAATATCGGCACTGAAGAGTTGAACCGAATGAACTTTAAATTCGATACAAATGCTTTGAAACAGATGCAGTGCACTCCAGAATAGTCGAAGTTAAAACAATTTCACTATTTAGGCTTTTTGTTAAGCTTAAAACCCGTCAAACTCGTTCACTCACTGATGAACTAAATTCAATGAGCTTTAAATTCAATAAGAAGACTTGGAACAGATGTAGTGCACTCCAGAATAGTCAAAATTAAAACAATTTTCCTATTTGCGTTCTTTGTTGAGCCTAAAACCCGTCAAAATCGTTCACTCACTGATCTCGTCGTCGTGACACCGCATTTTTTTCGGTCGATAATAATATGCGGACTTCTGGGATGCACCTGAGATTTTTAGTTTAAAGATTTTTGGTTTAAAGATTGAATGCTCTTAAAAACCTTATCCCTCGAGACACAGTCGGTTTCGTTGGCGTGTCCAACGACGAAAATTCGACCCTGTAAATGAAAAATCAGAATCAGATCAGAAAATCCGATAATCATGTGCATAACTTGAAAAAACAAAAGCAAAATTGGTATTGTTAGAATTGGAAAGAGTTTAGCGAGCTTTAGTTTAGTTTTAGCGAGCTTTAGTCTAGCTTTCATCTAGCTTTAGTCTAGCTTTAGTCTAGCTTTAGTCTAGCTTTAGTCTAGCTTTCATCTAGCTTTAGTCTAGCTTTAGTCTAGCTTTAGTCTAGCTTTCATCTAGCTTTCATCTAGCTTTCGTTTAGCTTAACTTTAGCCTTAGTTTAACTGATCAAACCTGAAAATCGTCATCAGTTAAAAAGACGATCTCAATGTAATCCTCGCCACACTCCACCTCAGCCTTTCCTCAATTTTACGCTCGATTTCCGAGATTTCTCCCAAAAAACCTACCAATTTGCCCATTTGGAATCGGAATCGAATCGAGAAATGAGACTAGTGCCAGAAATAGCCAAATTAGTCTCGGTTGTAGCATTTTCTCTGAATCAGAATGCAAATTGGAATACATGTTAGTTTTTCAAATGATAAAAAATGAATTTTAGTGAGTTTTTGAAAAATTTGATAACAAGAGGATTCGAACTCGGGTTGTTTGGCTTATGAAAAGCAGATAACAACAAATCAGATGCTCTACCAATTGAGCTATTTGAAAAAACGTGAGTTGAACAGGACTGCTTAAGATGGGGGAAAAGAAAACAATTTTGAGCTTGAGCAGAGTGAGTCTTTTTTTTTGCTTCCAACAACCAGATACAGGGATAATTTCACGAAAGAACAAGATATACATACCAAGGACATATGCAAGATAAATGGAAATGCAAGATAAATGAAAGAAAAGAGATTGGAAAGGGAAACAGGAGCAATCAACCACTGGAAGGAGAGCGGTGGAATGAGAATGGCACGATTTCTCGTGAATCTGTTGCCTTTTTCGCTGAGCGAGCTGTCGCGTGCGAGATCGATGGAACGCACAAGGGATGCAGGGGAAGAGATTTGGATTGGATGCTAATTTTTGGGACTTGTACAATATCCATCACAATTGGAAACAGCTATCGGAGCTAGACACGAACCAGAGACAGGGATTTCACTTGAAATGCCCATTCTGGAACTCAGGATATTTAGTTCTTTACCTCGTATTAACGAGGTACCTTTGTACCGCGTTTTTCGATCTCTAGCCTATGCAAGTCCATTCCTGCCTTCTTGAGAATGGCACTTAGTTCATGATTCTCAGAAGATATTGAGTGAAAAAAATCCTCGCATTGTTCAAGCTGGAACACACGAAAGCTATTTCTAAACTTTAAAACTGAGAAAAACTCATTTTCAAATCCGGTTCAATTACCCAACTTTTCAGGTCAAGAAATTCGTCGATTTTTGGAACGTTGAAAAGTTCTATTTAAGCTTTTTCGGTCTATCTGGAGCGCACATAAATCATTCCCAATCTTTTAAAATCAAAAAGTTGACTTCTCTTCAAATTCGGTTCAATTACCCAACTTTGCCTGTCAGATAAGCCGGGCTTTCTAAAACTTGATTTTCCTTGATTCAAAGTTCACTAGCCTGGCTTGGCTAGTAAGCTTTGAAATCTTGCCCTATATTGAAACTAGATCAATATCAGCAAAATCTGTCTTCTAGCTGATGAGAAATGCTTTTGGAACGATCCTGGACCTGAGCTTGAACGATTTTGATGAGTTTTAAGCCCAACAAACACCTCAAATAGAAAAGTATTCAACTTTTTGTCTATTTTGGAGTGCACTGCATCTGCTCCAAGTCTTCTTATTGAATTTAAAGCTCATTGAATTTGGTTCATCAGTGAGTGAACGATTTTGACGAGTTTTAAGCCCAACAAAGAGCTCAAATAGGAAAATGGTTTTAATTTTGACTATTCTGGAGTGCACTGCATCTGCTCCAAGCGTTTGTATCGAATTTCCTTCCATCCCACCCACCCCGTTTCCGTGGACTTTGCAATTTCCCCTAGTTAATCCTATTTCTCCCATTTTCTTCACATAAACTGACACCCATATCGTGCTTTTTCCCCCTTCTTTTCCCATTTCCATTTCCCTCCAAAAAGGAATTTCGCCTCTTATCAATCTTCTTACAATTACGGAGCTGATTGGAATTTCACGTTGGCTTTCTCTCGTTAAAGTTCGAAAAGTTAAAGATCGATTTTTTGGCTGGTCCATTATTCCAATTTTCTCTTTAAAATGCGGATATCGCTGATTTCTACGATTTCCCTACTTTTACTTGTAACAAACGCTGAACACTTCTCGAATTTTGTGAGTTTTGAAGAAATTTAATTTTCATGTTGGTAGTTAGTAAAAGTGACGTCCAGGAATGACGAATTTTTTCGTGAAATTGTTTTTTCTAAAGCTAGAGTCAAGTAATCGATCCAGTCCTGAAGTCGAATTCAAGTCGATGTGTGAATTTTGAAGAAATTTCATTTTCATGTTGGTAGTTAGTAAAAGTGACATCCAGGAATAACGAATTTTTTCGTGAAATTGTTTTTTCCAAAGCTAGAGTCAAGAAATTGATCCAGTCCTAAAGTCGAATTCAAGTCGAGGTGTGAATTTTGGAGAAATTTCATTTTCATGTTGGTAGTTAGTAAAAGTGACGTCCAGGAATGACGAATTTTTTGGTGAAATTGGTTTTTCTAAAGCTAGAGTCAAGAAATTGATCCAGTCCTGAAGTCGAGTTCAGGTCGAGGTGTGAGTTTTGAAGAAAATTCATTTTCATGTTAGCAATTAGTAAAAGTGACATCCAGAAGTGACGAATTTTTTCGTGCAATTGTTTTTTCTAAAGCTAGAGTCAAGTAATCGATCCAGTCCTCAAGTCGAATTCAGGTCGAAGTGTGCAAGAAAGACTCGGCACTTGGTCTGGAAACGCTCGATTATGCAATTGACGCTATCCTAGAGGAAGCGTTGCTGCGACGGGAAACCCTCCTCCAGGACGTCTATCAACAAATTCTACAGGTACAAAACAAATTCTACAGGTCCAGGTCCAATTCGACAGGTCAGGTCCAATTCTACAGGTCAGGTCCAATTCTACAGGTCCAGGTCCATATATGCAAATTTTGTTAATCCATAGCCTATTTGATGATTTTGCCGGAAACTCAATTTGTTGAACTCGGACAAATTTGAAATTTGCATTTAATCTACATTTAATTTGCATTTAATCTACATTTAATTTGCATTTAATCTACATTTAATTTAATGTGTGATCCAGATGTCTAATTAAAATCAAAATTGAGCTTTTCAGCACAGCGAAAAGGTGAGAAGCCAGCAAAAAGATGAAGCGACAGCTTGTACGACAATCGCCTGCCCTACCCCACATCCGACCATCTTTCCACCGTAATTTTTCACTGTAATTTTCGGATTCCCCATTTCCATTTCAGCCCGACCACCACTGCACCGCCCACCCAACCCCCACCGCCCACCCAGGTCCATTTTTTGCGGATTTTCTAAAAAAAACAGCTGCTGTGCATTCCAGATTGAGCATTTAGAAAAGTAGATCATAGATCTGTGCATAGAATTTGGATATTTTGATATGGTAAGGTTCAGCCATCTAGATGAGTTCTGTGGATTTCCATTTTTGGCAGATTTTCTAAAAGAAATAGATGATGTGCATTCCAGATTGAGCATTCAGTTAATTAGATTATCGATCTGTGCATAGAATCTAGATATTTTTTAGCCACCGAACACTGGCTCGACGACACCTGAATCCGACAGTTCGGCAACGGTAAGGCCTTGCAAGACAACCGCTTCAATTCCCCAAGTCGATTCAGGATCAATGAGTCGTTTTTATTACAATCAAAAAGTTTAGCCACCAGCGGAATCCGAAGAACAACTAAAAGAAAAGGAAAAGGAAGTGAAACCGAAGATTCAATTGGTAAAAGCAATCCGTTACGGTAGATATGACAAGTTTTAGCCGAACACGTGGCTCTCTGGGGTCGACCCTGCCCAGGATCCGTTCTATATCTACATGACAAATTTGAAGGTTGGCAAATTTGAAGATTGGCTTATTTCTAGCTTCAACTAGCAGTAAATCGACAAATCGAAGAGATTTTTGGGAATCCTGGCACGCACAATCGTTAACCTCAATATCAAAATGTTATTAAATTAATTTTTAAAATTTCGCGCTGGATCAATTACCCAATTATTGCAGTGGAGCAAAAGCAAAAGCAAAGCCTTCAAAATCCCCTGTGCCATATGTGTTTATCGATCACAGATCTTCTAACCATTTTCCAGAAATACTTGCACAAAAACTCTGGCGCGTGTGCCCCACCGCCAGCCGACTTCTCGACCGGCTCAATCACGTGGGAACAGTTATTTGGATTCTTTTCCCAGCTTGCCACCGTTCACGTAAGTTTTTGAAGCTATCTGGATGTCACTGTAGAACCTTATCAAATGGGATCTTTCTCTAGCCTGGCCCTTTCTGCAACTTATGCGAGCGTTTCGCGGACGCCGTCGAAAAGAAGATTCTCAAGCCGAATCCAGTGCTTTTGTCGGTAAGACTTTTCAAGCTGGATGTCACACTAGTTTTTGAAATCTTCAAAAGTTTTTGAAATCTTCTAGAAAAACGATCAATTGATGAGGAAGCTGATCAACGCGTATTTCCCTTCACCTCGGCTTCTCTGCGCAGCCATCGCACCCGGATGCACCGATAAATTGATTTTAACGAAAAATGGTGAGCGAAAGAGGCAATGAATGAAAAAATGGGCACAAATCAGAGTTGCAGAGTAAAAATGAAGATGTTTTCTGGGCTTTTCGAGTCAAATAACGACTTGGCTAACCAAAAACCAAGTTCTAAGGAGTTTCTCCAGTTTTGAGTAGGGTTTTTTGCAGATCTGGATGTCACATAATCTTTTGAATTTAACAAATCGGTAAGAGCTGCTTTATGAGTGGTGGTCGAGTGGTAGTGTGTTTGGCTCTCGCTCACATGACCCTGGTTCGAGTCCGCTCCACTCTCAGTCTAGAAATTTCATAACCCCTCGTGATATATATCGTTTAGAGCTTTCCAACTATGGAGAATTCAAATTTAAACGATTTGACTAGGCTAATCTGTGCCAATCTCCAGTATTTCTATTTTCAGCCACCCTGATTGGAGAGGCCGTAATTTGTCTAGAGTGCACTGCTTGCTATTCAGTCCTCAATTTTGTCTTCGTAAGTTCTCAAAGAGCAATTCTTTAAAGATAATTTTAGCACAAAATCCTTCTCAACGAGCATTTGATGACCGAAGTGGCCAAATGGTTGCACGAGTTCGTTTTTATGAGCTGAAATCGTGCGAGAACGAAAATCTCTTGAATTTTCGACAATCCTGGGAGTCACGCTGAAACTTTGCCTTTTGAAATTTCAGTTTTCACTCATTTAGATTTTGACTTATTTAGAGTAACAGAACCAAAATTTTACAATGTCTTTTCAAGAATTCACATCAAAATACAATAGTGTGACATCCAGAATTGATAGTGACATTCATCGATTTTCACGATTTTACCTGGTTTACCTGATTCAGTCATCTAACCCATTTAATCCATTTAACCCTTAGCAACCTTTTCTACGATCTCTGCGCTGGGGTGTGTCCGATCGCGCAAAGTGCGACAGACATTTTTGGCTGCTTCACGATGGAAAGTGTGCGTTTCAAATCCGTTGAATTTCAGGAATTTTCAGGAAATCCAATTTTCAGTGCCAAGCCTGGGCGGATCGGTTGATCTACGATGTCATCCGGGCCATTAAGGTCATCTTGAAACCAGAACGATTTTGTGTTCTTGTGAGTGCTTGAAATTTTGAATTCTATAGGTCGAACTCAATCGGGAAATTCTAGGAAATGGGCTGGTGCGAGCTAGGAGAACAGCCGAACATCATGCATTGCCTGAGGGAGTATTGTGAAGCTGGTTTGTGAAAATTCTGATTTCTTAGGGGCTAAATCGTTGACCTGCTCTCCAGCTTGAAGGGTAGTTCAAGCTTGGAGGGCAGTTCAAGCTTGGTAACGGGAAAAAGCTTCCAAGAGTGCCGGAAGACCATTCCAATAGGCTTTGACAAAACGAAGCCGGTTCAATTACCCAACTGCCTCTTTTTAACTTCAATCATTTGATCCCAAAAATTTCCAAAAACCTAGAATGCGTTCTTGATCAAATAAATCAATAAAAAAAAACTCAGAGCTTGGCACAACGGCTCCATTCGGCGCTCTATGCGCGTTGATTCCCGATCGTCCGCCAGATGCCGACGCATTCATCAATGTAAAGGAGACCAAAGTGGGTACAGGCTAATTGGATGTCACAACGTGCAGCGTCACAACGTGCATTTAAAAAGAGACAACTTCTAGATCTACAAACAAATGAAAGACTACCACTATGCCTACTACGAGAAGTTCGCCGAACCGAAAACAGAGCTGTGATTTCGAAAATCGAAACGTGTAAGCTGGAGCGCAGTGTAGCTATTCCCCGAGTGTTTTTGTTTGTTTTTGCAATAAATATTATTTTTCATAATTTAGTTTATTTGCAAAAAAACACATATCTACAGTACCCTAGAGTCCTGGAAGCTTACAGTAGGCTTTCTCCAGCTCTCTACAGTACTCCTTATCTACAGCTACAGCTACAGCTAGCTACAGTGCCCTAGAGTTCCCTACATCTCCGAATTACGGATAGGTGCTTGGACATTAGCCACCCTAATGTCCATAGGTGTACAAAGTACTTTTGTCTCTTCATAGACTTATTTAATTTGTATGATTTTGATGTCAATCGACGCGTGAGAACATTTCCTATCGATTGACATAAAAATCATACAAATTGGATAAATCTATGAAAAGTTAAAGACAAAAGTACACTTATAGACGTTTGGGGGGTTTCTGTGCTTTCTAAAATGTGTCAAATACCGTAGCCAGACACTTTTACGCCATTTCGACACTTTTACGTCGAAACTACTGTAATCTGGCTATTGATGAAGACCCAAAAAAATCGTTTTCCCCTGAAATCCACTGTCGTTTTATTCGCGGATTTCGATCTCTTATTAGAAAGTGCCCTGTTTTTGCAAGGATTGTAAAAGGTGCCGTCCTAAACCTCTAAATTGCTAGCATTCGTTCCATTTTGTCGCGTAATCGTAAGATTTGAAGAAACTCTTTTGAAATTTTATCTTTTTAATGTCTAAAAGTCTTAAATAACATTCACCTTTCAAATTTTCTATTCATTTTGCGTTTCTTTCAATTACTAAATTGGTATAGGGTGCTTTGGTGGGTGGGAGGGACCACTTTTGGCTTAACTTTGTCGAATCTAATGTTTTGAGTGCTTCATGTCAATACTTTTTCTTCTCTTCCGGGATAATTATAAATTCTGAAGTGATTGGTGCTAATTTTAGAGTATTTTCAACATGTTTCGAGTTAATATTGCAGCTTTCCAAGTGTAATCAGCTTTGAAATAACGTTTGGTGGTTAAAGTGTAGTAGGCTAGGAAAAATCATTGAATAGAATTATCAAAAGCGTGCTTGAATTAACACCAATCGCTTCAGCATGTTCTTTAGAAAAGTATCGACACGAACCACTCAAAACACTAGATTCGACTAAGCAAATCAAAAGCGGCCTCTCCCAACCACCGAAATAAAATAATACAGCCCCCAGACTCGGCAATTTCCTTCCTCTTCTAATAGGCGACATTTGGCGAGAAGTTGCTTTTAAGATGGAAACAACCTTTTAACTTTTCTAAATGCTCGTTTTAACTCGTTCTAAATGCTCTGAAAATGTTACCATTCAAGCTATCGTCACCTTTTGGTTCTCTAAGTTGTCTCGGATCTCCGTTAATTCTATTTCATTAAGAACTCAACTCGTCAAAATGCTTTCTGAAGAGTCTGCATGGAAGCAGAGCTTGACGCTGCCACCAAAGGATCTCCGCTTCAAAACTGTTGATGTGACCAAGACGAAGGGAATGGAATTCGAGGATTTCAGCCTCAAACGCGACCTGCTCAAGGGAGTCTTCGAGAAAGGATGGGAGAAGCCGAGCCCCGTGCAAGAAGCTGCAATTGGACCCGCTCTTTCGGGTTAGTTTTGCTTTTTGTTTTTCAAATCTGGGTATAGGTTAGCTGGAGCTAAGTTTGTAGCTAGGTATTTTTTAGCTTTATGTTGTTAAGATGAAAATGTTTCAAGATTATTCTTTAGGACAAGATGTGCTCGCTCGTGCGAAGAATGGAACAGGAAAAACGGGCGCCTTCGCAATCCCAGTGATCGAGAAGATCGACGTGAACATCAAGAAAGTGCAAGCGATCATCATGGTGCCAACTCGGGAGCTCGCTCTTCAAACATCGCAAATCTGCGTCGAGCTTGGAAAGCACATGAATATCAAGGTTGGTTTATTTGCATATTGGCACTTTTATCTTTATGTTTAGGTGATGGTTACAACTGGCGGCACGGATTTGCGTGACGACATCATGCGTCTCAATGGAACGGTCCATCTGATTGTGGCAACTCCCGGACGAATCTTGGATCTCATCGAGAAGACGGTCGCTGATGTGAGCCTCTGCAAAATGCTCGTCTTGGATGAAGCCGACAAGCTACTCTCGATCGACTTTCAAGTTAGCTTTTTATTTGTTGTCGACTTTAACTTTTGTTTTAGGGTGCTCTCGATAAGATGATCAGCTACTTGCCAAGAGAGCGCCAGATTATGCTCTTCTCGGCGACGTTCCCATTAACGGTGACCAACTTCATGCAAAAGTACATGAAGAAACCGTACGAGATCAATCTGATGGAAGAACTCACTCTTCATGGCATCACCCAATACTACGCTTATGTCCAAGAGAAGCAAAAGGTTCACTGCCTCAACACGCTTTTCCGAAAGGTAACGTTCTTTCTCTACACATTTCTGTTGTTAATATTTAGCTGCAAGTCAATCAAGCAATCATCTTCTGCAATTCAACACAGTAAGCGTTTTCAATGTAGAGCTTTTCAAAGTCTAATTTTAGGCGCGTTGAACTTTTGGCAAAGAAGATCACTGAAATTGGTTACTCATGCTATTACATCCATTCGCGAATGATGCAACAAGATAGAAACCGCGTCTTCCATGATTTCCGTCAAGGGTGTGCTCTGGCTATGTTTTAATCAAACTGGTTTTTAGAAACTGTCGCAACTTGGTCTGCTCGGATCTTCTCACTAGAGGCATTGACGTCCAAGCCGTGAATGTGGTGATCAACTTCGACTTTCCACGCAACGCTGAGACTTACTTGCACCGAATTGGCCGGTTGGTTTTTCGATTCCATCTCGTTAATACTTTTATGCTTTAGTTCTGGACGCTTTGGACATCTGGGACTTGCCATCAACCTTGTCACTTACGATGATCGCCACAACTTAAGACGCGTCGAATCGGAACTTTCAACTCGTATCGAGCCAATCCCAAGGAGCGTCGATCCAAAGCTTTATGCCGCCGACCTAAAGCCTTACGTCGCCGACCCGCACACCGTGGACAATGATGATATGGCAAAGACTGCAATCCAAGGTTAAGGACTACCAAGCTACCTTTTTTCTTTATGTTGTCCAGTTTCAAATTTTGTAACTTTGACAGTCCCTTCCTGTGATTCTAATCTTTGTTTACTAATCGTTGGTTTTATTTGCTTCCCGCGATATTTTTTATGGCACATGTTATTTTTGAACATTTGCTGAACGTATCTGATCGCCACATCGTTTGTGAGATCACGCTTGTCTAGCTTTTTGGGCAAGTTTTTCACTTAAGGGCAACGTTTGCAATAAATTGTTTAGTTTACTTTCGTCAATTAAGAAAGCACTGATACGAATACGGGGAAATATGTTGTATCCGTTTTGGATTGAAACATTGCGGGGTATGGTATCATGTTTTAATCTAGAAGTTTAACTCTGGTAACCTAGAACAGTTAGCGCCACATTTTGCCGAAAAAAGGCTTTCTTGAATTTTACTGTGAACGCTTGAAAAAGTTGCGAGTTCTTATCCATGTAATAAATTTTAATGGTGATTTGCATGAGGAATTCGTGATGTTCTAGCTGAAATTACTTTATGCTGGTGTTTCATAGCAAATTCAATGTCTAGCCAGGATGTTTCAAGATTAGGATTCCAATTTGATACTTAAATTGATAACAAAGCATGGGAAATCGTTGTACATTTATGATTTGAACGATTTCCAAGCAGTTTTCAAACTTTTAATTGCCTAGAAAAATTACGTTTTGTCGAATTAGACTCGTATAATTCAGTTGAATTTGCAAAAAGCTCTTCAAAATTTTGATACGGTTGCTAATTCATTTTTTCAGATCTGAATGAAGCATCAAAAGAACGAAAGCAAGGCCTCTGGAAAGGTAACATTTCATCAAAAGTCAGTAAATTTTTTTAATTTCGCGCGGCTCCGAAGCTAAAGGACGCCGCGGACGGGCTCGGAACGAATCTCGGTGACGGCGGTAAGCTTTTTATAATAATCACTTAATTTTTATATGCAAGTCGTTTACAGTTTAGTCTAGCGGGTTAGGTTGATTTTTTTAAGCAAGTAAATATGAAAATTTTAGTGCTCGTCCTGGTCCCCGACAATGACGAAGCCATCATGGACGAGTTTTTGTAAACTTTTGCTGATGTTTGTTAACTATCAGATTAGTGGTAGTGTTTTTACAGCTTTCTTTTAGTGAACAGCCAAAACCGCCTTGTCTCGCCGCCGAGCAGCCCTTTAAACCAGGTTTGTGTTTGTTTTTAATGTTTTACAATGTTTAAGATTGTTTAAGATTACAATGTTTAAGAAAGTTCATACTAAGATTTGATATTCAAGAAGTTTTTTGAGGATTCTTTTTTAGAACTTGACAAGACCCATCTTCTGTCGACGGAAATACGCCAGGGACATTTTGAGTGTTTTTTTTTATTGCAACAAGTTAAATATCTTTAAAACCGTTAGAAATTTTGGAACTTTAGAGGTTAAACAATTGCGCTACAAGATTTTCAAAGATTTCCAACGACAAGATTTTAAGGGAAAGTATTCCCCCCGCCGCAAGGAGAAGGGAGAAGCTTTAAACTGGGCCCAAACTTGTCGGCTTTGCGTGAGTTATTGCAAAGCTTTAAAAAAACATTGAATCAAGGTGTTACATGGGACAGATTTAGCCAAACTGGACGCATTGCATAGGTTTTTGGTCTGTGCGCAACTACTTTTTTTTATTTTACGGAGTCCGCGTTAGCTCAAAAGCCGCTGCAAAGGGCCACATCCAGAACATTCACGCGTTTCATCGCTATCGGTATGCTTTTTTTGAAGCTTTATTCATTGCGCATCAAAATAGCACCGATTTTGATGGCACTTATAAGTATTGGCGGCAACGCAAACACAGCAAACGAAGCAAGCTGTCAATAGGAGCAAAAAGAAGATGGATGTCATTGATATGACAGACATTGACGGAGAATGGTTTGTTCTTTTTAATTTATTACTAATTTTTTGATTAAGTCAACGGATAAAGCTCTCAAAAGTTGTATAGATGCTCGCAAACGTTATCAATTCTTAAAATTTTTGATTTCAGGAAATTCTGGCATAGTGTTCATCATCTGATGCTCCGGGAACTCTGTTTTCCCTCGATCACTGAAGAACACTGGGGGGCATTACTTTAAAGGTATAAAGTTTTACCTAGGCAAATTAAAATTATCCATTTTAGGCACCAGGCCACGGGACAGTCGATCGAAGGCTTCCGGCAAGAAAAAACTGCAGCTCCTGGGTGTTTTATGTGTTCAAGTTCGTTTCTGTGCTGGAGTTAACTATTAGACATAGGACATAGGATCGTATTAGATTGCCACTAAAGTTCAGGATTATGTCAATTATCTACGTTATGAGCTTCATGAAAAGCTATTTTAGTTGGCAACTCATCCTTGTCGGCTGACAGTGAGGTGCCTCAACTTGGATAACAACTTGGATAACAACCGAGCCAAGGTAAATTTTGTTTTAAAGCTTTGAGAAAAACTTGAAATATTGTATAAAATAAAAAAAGATTACATTTTTAGAGCTCAAGTCTTTTACGAGGTGGCCACATCGTGCCTTCATCCATTGCTGTTGCCTATCAACAAGTGCAGGGTAATTTTTTTCATGCAAAGCCTTTAGAATTGTAAGAACTTGTCTAATGCAGCCATTTAAATGTACAACTTGTTGCAATTTTTTTTTAGGCTCATCGACCAGTCTTGGTGGTTCAACGATGAATTATGGCTACGGTCAAGACGACACTTCTGATGGAATGGGTAACTTTTTGCTTTGGCTACCATAAATGGCTGTGTAATATGAAAGCTTAGGTGAGTATTCGGGTTTGGATATAAAAAATTGGACTTACTAGGTCTTTCAAAGATCCTGTAAAGCTCAATTAGCATGTCTACATTCTAAAAAATATGCAAGCAATAAAGAAGAACATCTTTGACAAGAGAAAAGCTTCAAAATATACATTCAGTTAGGTTTTTGGTGTTGTTACAGTAAAAAATGGCACTCGTTGAGCTCATTTGACTTGCTTAGAGCTGTAAAAAATTGTCTAGCTGCAGAAAAGGCTAAAATTTTGAAGATTTTCACAGAAATAACTGTACGATAATAAAGCTTTTAGACAAAAATTTCTTTAGATTTGTCGATTTCATACAATGGAGATCAAATAGAAGATCAATACTTCAAAGGTTGACAATCCGGATGATTACGAGAACTATCACTCTTCGATTTAATATTTAACGTTTAACTCAAATTTCTCACAATCCAAAAAACCCAAGCCCGTCCGCGTTTTATACCAAAAATTCCTTGCGTTCTTGGCTTTATGATAGGTGAAATAGTTTTTTAAAAAAGTTAATATTTCGGATAAAATTAGCATTCAAAATGAGTGTCGAGTGATACTAAGTTGGTTAACTGAATATCTTTAGAGACCGATTTTGAGTGCTCCTCGATTTAATATTTAACGTTTAACTCATCTTTATGGGTAGATTTTAATTAATCATCTTATTTTTTTATCCAAATAGTTGAGCATTTTATGATTTGTTTAGCATAAACTTTTGAAAAGCTCCGTAAGCTCCCGTATTTCTTCCGATTACAGTATGAAAAGATTGAATAGATCCGCCAATTTGCCTGACACTCGCGCCTCTCATCTCCAGCGCCAATCCGGTGGGTGAGTGCGCGCTCAAATGTTTGGCCTTCAAGGGCATTTGCGCTACACTTTTGGTTGAATATCTTCAAAATTTCCTCATTTTCCCATTATCTAAAAGATATTCAATCAAAAAGTCTAGCACAAATGCCCTTCAGTGCCTAAATTTTGGCTGTTCATTACACTCAATTTACCCTTGCATAAGTTTTGTTCTCGTTTTCAAGTTGTTAACTTTTAATGTACCCAATAAAATTATTTTTCAGAGTTTTATTAGTTAATCGATTTGTTTGACTACAATTTTAGAGGATCTTGAATGAATTTGATGAGTTTTTCTAGCTATTGATGTTAATTTCACTTCGTTAACCTTGGTTTTACCCTTCGGAGACCGGGAAAGAGTACATCGCGTACTCCTAAAAATCTGTTAGCTCAGTGGTATTTTTGGCCATTTTCCAGCTCTATAGCACCTGATGAAGCTTTATGCAGAAAAGAAATTTTAAAAGGGTGCGAGCAGGGTACGCGATGATATCTTTACCCGGTCTTCTATTCGGAAATAGGTACTTCTTAAAATGTCAATTTACAATTAAAATTGTTCGCAATTGACAGCCTTCTTGAAGGAAACTAACTTTTCGACACGAAAAGACCACATTTGGGAGGAGTCAAATGAGCGCCAACAAGGGCGCCAACATTCAGCGCCAACGATTTGGCCACGCTATTTCAGCGCCACCATTTGAGCGCCGGCCAAAAGACGGAAAACAATCATTTGAGCGCCAAAAAAAGGCCAAAAACGGCAAAGCGCCGGGCCAAAAGACGGAAAACGCATTTCAGCGCGACTAAATTTTAATATTTTGCTTCACGCGCTTTGCAGTTTTTAGGGTTGCTTCTGTTTTACACTTTTTCACTCATTTGACCTAGGGCACGGTAGAGGCACAAATGCGCGGAAAAATTGTAGATAGCTCGATTTAAGGTTTTGATGAAAAGTGAATTGCAGTTGATGAATTTTCCCCAAAGCAGCCACCGTCTTGCCGTCGTTACAATTTGCTACGGAACAAGCTTGCTAGGCCGGAATGCGCAAGAGGGCGGACAAAGGAACACCTGAGTCAAAGAACGTTTGTCATGATTTATTTTGGTTATTTTGCTGCCAAGAATATTTTATCTTTAGATGATTAGAAAAAACAACAGAAAAACTTGGACAGCAGAAAATGCAAAAAACGCATATACAGAAGGGCGATCGGCGCGAAATGAAGTTTTCCAGTCATTTTGGGGGCGCGAAATGAACGCGCGAAGAGGCGCCAATTTTGCTCATTTGTACCCCACATTTTATTTGTAGTTTGTTATTTTCACGTAATTTGGATCCACTCCAAGACGTGAGAATTAAATTTTGCTTTGGCTCTACTAGAAATTTAGAAATTTCTTTTATAACATTAATTGCAGAAATCAATGCGTGGCAGCCCTTAAAAGAACGCTGCTCAACAAAAGGGCTGCCACGCAGTGATTTCTGAAATTAAAGCCTTTTTGGGGTGGACTATATTGGACCTTGTTCGGTACGCTCATCCCTCTATTTCGGGCTGGGAAAATGGGCCTTTTTTGGAAAGGCCTTAGAGCTTCAAAAATGTTTCCATATAAGGGGATCGTATGCGTAGATTCCGAATTTCGACAAAGCAAATCAGACCTCGCTGGCACGTCAAATTTGGGCTAAAAGGCAAAAACTACGCAATAAGCGCTTTTCCGTAGTTTTTGCCTTTTAGCCCAAATTTGACGTATCAGCGAGGTCTGATTTGTCGAAATTCGGAATCTACGCATACGATTCCCTTATATGGAAATATTTTCGAAGCTCTAAGGCCTTTTCCAGCAAAAAAAAGGTCGCATTTGTCCCACCCCCCTATATTGTATTGTTCGAGTACCCTCACCCCTCTAAATGTCTCTCTTTTGTTTTCGTCACTTTTCACTTTTTTTACATTTTTTAAAACTTTATGCAACAAAAATCATAAGGGACATTAATTCATTATGTCCCCTGGGGACACGAGGGGACTCGAACACTATAGTTTACGCTTCTAAGAGCTCCTTTAAAACCTCCGGCAGAACTTTAGCTGAATATTTTGACTTTATTTCGTGAATAAAAACATGAAATCCCTAACAGCCTCCTTGTTTTGTGCTTTTGTTGCTTTTGTTCAGTCTTGTTTTTTGTTTTTTTTGCTCTTCTTCACTATTTAGAGAAACGTTTCAACATTTACACTTTTTAGTCGATGTCTACCGTGTCTTCGTCAAGTGTTTCATCGGCTGTAACGGATAACATGAGCAAAACTTCGATTACCAGCCCCCAGCTCAACAAGATCCACTCAGCGCCCGACTTCAGCAATTTATCGAATATGCCCGAATTCTGGCGGGATCAGTCCGATTTTGAGTCAAGTGAGTTTTCTTTTTCTTCTTTATAGGTAAGACTAAAACGCTTCCAAAGCTCTAAAGTCGCAGAACCTGGGTTTAGACTGGCAAAAGTCGGCAAAAGTTCTTGGCTGGCAAAAGTCGTGCGCAAGGCATCGAATTACCCCAGAGAAAGCGTTGTTGAAGCGTTTTAGATTTACTAGTCCCGAGTCCCGATTTTATCTGTCCTTAACCGTTGTTTCTTATGAAATGGTGTTATTTTAGAACGAATAGTTGAAAAACAATCGGTATTTAGATTAAGAACTTTAAAATAAAGTTGATGAACTTGTGCAGAACAAAACTTTTAAGTTCTGTTGTAGGATTTAGCCGGAAAGTGCCGTTTTCTATTGATTCTAGAAGATGAATCTAACGTTTTGCTCTTGGTTTCAGTGGAGGTTTTGAAACGTTAAGATAACCATATCATTTGACGTTTTGAATAAGAAAGTTCAATAAGTGAAAAAGTGGCTCTAATTTAGCTCAGAAAAACACCATTATTAGATTATTAATTGAAACGGAAAGTCTCGTAGCGACTTTTCGCTTTTGTTAATATTAAGGTTTTTCTAAAATTTAGTAGACCCGAAAAAAGTTGATATCTTCTTGTGATAATGTTCTTCATTTTAGGCTGTTTTCGTTTGGTGGCGCGTGCATTGACGGATCGAATCGCTGATCAATTGGTGAGCCGTACCGGAACCATGAGTGCCCAAGAAAAGCAAATGAAAGAGATAAATGCCGAAACGTCGCATGTCTCCGTTCTTAACAACATCATTCGCCGAAGTGAGGTGAGCACCACGATAGGAACAACGGCTCATGGAACTCTGACGGCTCAAGATTTGCATTCACGTCCCTCACGCGCTTCGGTCATGCAAAGTCTTCTGCGTCGCAACCATACCGAGCTTTCCTTGTTCGACAACAATAACAAGAGCGTCAAATTTCAAGAGGACCAAGCAAAGTTGGAAGTGAACGAGCCGGTAAAATCGCTGAAACGTGTGCTAACTTCGCCGGACACTTTCGATGACTTCTCACGATTGGCGATTATTTATGGAGGAAATTGATTATTTTATTTTATCGCTGTCCGTTTTACCATTTTTTAATGGGTGTGGTCTTTGTTTCAAATGACCTTCTGTGTTACATGTGCTTTCTTTGTTTTATGGGACATTAAATTCAACAAGTATTAATCAATAAAATTTAGGTCAAATGGTCGAGAAGTCAACAAAGCGATACGAAAAGATCAAACATTTGGGGAGGGGGGACAATTCGCCAATGTTTAGTTAGCGAAGCAAAGATCCGTTGGAGACGTTCTCTCCTTTGACCAGGCACCGATATATTTTTTTTGTCTAGTTGTTGTTTTTCGTATTGTTCTTGATGTTGATGCTGACATTGTTTTACGTAGATTATTGAATTTGGTTTGTCTAGTGACGTTATGATATCAATTGTTTAAAATCGTTTGTTTATTTTGTTGGCTATTTACGTCTTGGTGACTTTCTTGGTGATGGCTTCACGTCACGATGCTTTCAGTGGATACGAAACAGTTTTTTTTACTTGTTCAAATATATTGTTTCGTTTAATTATGCATCTACTCATCAGTTTATTCGTTTTTGTTCGAAAGTAATAAATTATATAAGTAATTCGTATGAGATTTATGCTGTATTAAAACTAAAATTTACTTTATTTCGGTGTTTTCATGTTTGGTGTTTGGTCAGGCTATTTCGAGAGTAGGATTCTACATTGGTGCTAAATTTGATGACAGAACGTGGAAGCTTTTCCACGTTCTGTCATCGAATTGCTTTAAACCGCGTTTTATCGGCAGCTGTAAGGTTTAAAACTTTTTCAGCTAGCTTTCCCTGAATTTGTGTCCCCATTTTGTTCAATTCCCTTTTTGATGATTTAAATTTACAAAAACATTAATTCCGCCGAAATTTCTCTTTCTTTGCTTGTTTTCTCGTTAACAATCAATTCTGTTTTTTTTCCAGCAAGGGATGAATAACACATCGGAATTCTTGGCGATCGATCAAAATTGATGGAGTGATTCGACGAGAAACCGCCGCGGACACTCTACAGCAGTTCATCGTGCGTGCGGTAAATTTTCGTGTTAGATCATGAAAAGAATAGAAAAAGCAGAAAAACGCTTTTATCAAAGAATGGTATAGATTCCTCTTTGGAATCTGTAAAAAATGATGGTTAGGCTAGTAGAAACGATGCTATGCATTGATCATATGTTTAAAAGCTACTGTATTGCATTAATGGAACGTAATGTTTACTATTTAAAATGCTCTGGATTAATTACATTCTACCTTAATAGCGTTTGAAGCTGACTAAACGTGCTCATTGTGTTTGTTTTTTCAGATGCCATTTGCTGATTCGACGGTGATGTGACAGAATCGCTAAAGAAAGAAGTGATCGAGCAGCTCCCTTTTGGCACAAATTCAAGAGAGGCCGACTGCTGAACGGGGCACATATGGGAATCGTCTGGCTCCTTCAAGCCAGTGAACAACTAAAAATGAATAAATGGATGGTTTTTGCCTGGGGAAAATTTGAAACGAGCTAGTGCGATGGATAGTTTAAACAATAGGTTTAATGTTTATTCAAAATGAAGTTTTTGACTTTCTTTTCCATGCTCTGAACATTTAATCCGATCTTCAACGCTTCCTGAAACAAAACACTTTAGTTACACGCTTCTCCACAGTTTCTCCCTTAAAGGGAGTCTTTTTAAGCCCCAATTTCCTCATAAACTCTTACTGTTTTGTTTTATATGATGTTGGATAGTCTAAAATCATTAAAATTAATTAGACTGGTGACTTTTGTCTCGTGCGTCTTGTAATCAAAGAATTAAACTATTATAAACTTTAATAAAATATCAAATTCTTGTCAAAAATCATGAGCCCAATCGATTTTAGTAGTTTTAGACTATGTAAAATCATATAAAACAAACATGGTCTACCAAAAAAGTTTATATGAAGATTGGTCTTAAATAAGACTTCCCTTTGATTAACAACGCAAAGTAGACCCGAATAATGGACCGACTTTACATTTGATCAATGTGCAAAAAGTTTCTACCATTCTTTTACAAGATCTTAGATTCAAGAAAAATTTCTCTACCTGTAAAGCTTCTCGGGCCTTTCTCGGTTATTCCACGCGTCGAAATGCTCGATTTCCAATAGGACACACCTAAAACGATAGGAATTAGATAACGCGTCTTGACGTCGGATGCGCTCTTCCTCGTAATCCATCGCCGACAACGTCTCGGCCATTTTCTTCATCTTTTTGTAAATGCCATCGTTTATTGTTAAGTTCAAATGATTGATCAACTAAAAATTTTACGATTTTCTTGGAACGTTCAAGAGTGAATGGATAAAGATCTCTGACAGATCATTTCTAGGAATTTTAAAGCAACAAATACGCTTGAGTTTGATTAAAATCAACAAAACAAAAGAAATCTCTAAATCACGTGCAAAAATCATTGAACTTGCCGAAAATTCACTGAAATTTGTCAAACTGCCAAACTTTGGACAAGTGACCAATCCGGCAGGATCCGAATTTATTCGTGCAGATTGATACAACAGCTCGACTTATATACACAGACGTCTTTCTGCTGCATAGAAAGCAATGACGCTGTATAAATCTGCACGAATAAATTCATATCGTGCTCATTGGTCACTTGTGCAAGATTTGGCGGTTTGAGTGATTACAATAAGAGTTTGCTTAGATTTGTATGTTTTTCGAGCTATATTGGATAATTCCCGACCCACCCCTCGAGTCGTGAAGTGCTTACGAGAGAATTCGAACCGATCAACAAATCGGTAATTCGACACAAGAAAGCTTTCACTCAAAGTTGAAGGTATCATTTACGTGTATTTTTGTTTGGATTTTTTTTAGCGCCGCTGAAAAACGAAAATCCACAGTATGCTGCGCTTTGCTTTCTCGACGAGTTGAATTTGTTGGAAATTGCGTTGGTCAAAGGACTCACTTATGGACAACATTATAAACAAAAAATTTTCCGCATAATTTCAAGATAGACGAAATTGAATCGACCAAATCCCGCTTTGGATCATTTGGTTCACATTTTACAATTGTTGCGTTAGATAAGTTCGAGTTTTTGTTTGCTAATATTTTGTTATCGTTCTTTTGTTAAGCGCTTAGATAAAATGTTTCTTTAAAGTCGAAAAAAGCTAGTTTGTCCGACCATAGAGTTGAAATTTAACAATTTATCAAAATAATCTAATTTTTGTCAATCAAGTACAAAATCAGCTACCGTAAATACTGTAATAGTACCCCACCCCCATAATGACGGTGCGGACCGTTGCGTAGTCTAGCTTTGGACGTTACAATGCGCGCTTTGGTATCAAAAAATAGCTGAAATTCAGGGCTATTTTTTGATACCAAAGACGCCTTTTTTGAAAGTACGGGTGCTTTGAAAAAAATGAAATACTAAAAACTTTTGCGACTACGCGACTCTACGAGGGGGATGGGGTACTATTACAGTATTTACGGTAGGCTTGTCTTGTGAGTGTGCAAGTGTTTTGAAAAAAAAGCTCATTTGGCGCAAATGATACGCGACGCCAAAAATTTTTGGAGCAAATAATTTGTTGTTCCGGGGTACTGGCAAATCCACGAAGATCCCCTTTGAATCCTTAAAGAAATGTTTTTGAACATTAAATGATTGGAATCTACCTCAATATCAAAGTTTGTCTGTCCCGAAGTCGTTGTAGATCCGGATGAAGAGGTCATCGACGATAAATTCATTTGCGCAAACCGATAGTGTGAACTCGGCACCAAAGAGATCACTCTAAAATGAAATGCTGTTGATCGTTTAGTGGAATGGCATGGAATCCTAGATCGAAAATCTTATTGATGCTAAGATTTTGGTAAGCTACTCAAATGCTAGCGCCTATTCGCGGACCATAATGTAACAGTAACCCCAACCCGCAAATCAGTGCCCATTGCGAGAAGTGCTGTAGACGTAAATGCATGAGAAACGACCCTTTCTTCATCCAACGCCCAAAAATTGCACCGCTTTCTTTAATGATCGCACGCATTCTCATTCCAGCTCCTAAAATTGGTTTCATTAAAAGTAAACCGATGGTTTTTTAACCATTAATACATTTTAATAACATAGCAAACAAAATAAAGTTTGATATCGTCAAAAGATCAAAAAAATCAAAAGATATAAACACACGAATGTTAGTAACAAGAGTCAACTTCTTCACCACAACAAGGATAAGTCATATATAATGTAGTTGTTAGCTGAATTTATTAACGCTAGTAAGCAAAATGAAAAAGAAATTGTAGATCCACATGTCTCATCAAAATTACCAGGAAAGTCCCAAGCGTGTCATCGTTGCATCGTCAAGTGTGATCGCTTCTTTCGTGAATGGAATCGCGACTCCAAGACCGTCCATTTGCGGTGTTCCGTCAGAAATTGGGTGCATTGTTTTTTCGAAGATGTGCTAAAGTGAAATCATTCAATACTGAAGGAACTATGAAGGAACTTTAAAGGAACTATAAAGGAACTAAATAGGAACTAAATAGGAACTATAAATCATTCAATACTGACACCGAATTCTCCGTACCCTTTTTCGATGCTCATTCACTTCTATGAAAAAGCCATTTCAGTCGATCACAAAGCTAAATAAGAATTTTTATTTGTTGAAGGAAGTGCAAGCTTACTTCTACAATCCTTTGAATGGTTTTTAAGCCAACATTTCTTGAAGGAAACACTTTGAATCAACACCGACGATACCCGATGAAGCACCCTAGAACGATATTCAGTCAATTCCTTGAACAAATGCATACCTTCGCTTTGCCTCCTTTGTCGAATGAATACAATTGGATAGCTCTGATTATTGTCGATCAACATTCGAGTCACCTAAAAAATAAACTTTGAAAACTTAACTCGGAACTTCTGCATCGAAAATTAAGCTATCAAGTTTAAAAACAATAAAAACAAGTTTCGAAGTCCCCACGATAAAAAACGGAAATTCATAATCGGTCAATCTAATATTTCCATGGCTAATCAAAGGCCCAGAATCTACTCTCGGATTTCCCAGCTCCAAAAACTTTTATTATCCATAAACTCACAAGAAATTCCCGAAAAAACACACTTCCCCCCCCCCCCTCCATAATGAAACAACAAAAAGCACATTAAAACGAGGTTGTTAACGCTTTTTGTGGCACAACTACTTGTTCCACATTGTTAAACGAAATACACAAAACTATAAGCTAATGCACACAAATACTGACAAAAATAAAAGCACATGCATAAAATAAAGCTAGCCAAGGGTAGAAATGAATAAACATATTAGTTATTTGCGGGGGCAATCGATCGTCTCTTCACCTTCATCTCTATTTTCTTCATCATTTTCACGAAGCCGCTCAAGTTCCCATGTATAACCCTCGAAAAACGGCGTGAAACGATTCGAGACCATTTGCGAAAAATGTAAATATCTAAATAAGAAAGAAAAATTTGAGCAAATTCTGATCAGGTTTATTCCTAGAACTTGATTTTCTAGTCAAAGTCAAGACAATTTTTAAACCTTGGAATGCTGAGCTAAATTCTTGAGCGCAAAAATAAACTAAAAAAAACTGGCTTGGCTTTGGATGGGTCGAGTTGGAACAACCTTAGTTACGACCGAAAACAAATTTCATCTACACCTGAGTAGGGTTTTGAAAAATTTATAAACGTGATCGGATTGGATCCGTTTTGGAATTTATATGGAAAAAAAGTCCTCAATTTTTAAGCCTTTTCTAACTAAGCTGATTAAAAGAATTGAAACTGCTCTTAGAATTCTGTTGTTTTTTCGATTCTCCTCAAGCCCTAGTTCTGATTCAGTACATTTTTGCATACAAAAGGCTATAATTGTTTTTTTGAAAGTATTCCATGATCCAAACGATTATCTCGGACCTAAATCGATGTTAAAAGAAAGTCAGCTTGAGCATTTCATTAATTAAAATCCACTCACGTTGCAACGAGAGTTTTGTGTCGAAAAAACAATGGCGGAATTGACGGGTCGCTCGCGAGAACGTAGTAGATCTTCAGCAGCAAATCTTTCGTGTCCATCGTGTCGGTCATGATCTAAAGATAAAGGAAACCTTCATCACTAGACTTACATGCAATAGAAAACAAATTAGCGTACCTTAATTCGCGAATCGGGTTGAACATCGTAAGTTTTCAATGAGATTTGCACTCCCCTCTTCTCGACGAGTCCCTCGCCACCGTTGAATGCTAAAATAAAAGATTACACCGCTACACAAATCTCTCGTCATTTTCTTCCCTTGCACACTCCATTACATTGAACACTAAAAACCCTCACCAAGTACAAGTAAAAGAAAAGCGCGAATGATCTCTTGCATGTGCTGAGCTCGACGTTCAGCGGACTCCCAGTTATCGAATGGAACGTACAAGATGATCGATCCTCCGACAACACCTGAAAGAATAGAATTAGTCTGATATTCAGTAAATTTAAAGCGGTAGTTTCAGTTGCCGGACTAGTACGATGGCTTTAAAAGCTGTGGTACAGCTGGTACAGCTTTATAGTGTGCGTCTAGCTGCTAGTATCGAACCCAACATGTAACAAAATCTATCGAACCTACAAATCAGGTACTAGCGGGCATTTTAATATTGGAAAAGGAAGGCTTTATTCTGAGAAAGCAGACTCTTTTATTTAGTGTCACTAAGTTTGGCTTCTATCGCGAAAGCAGTGTTTGAAACCTTCACGAGATTCTGCTAGGGGTCTCCTTAACTTCCTTTTATTAGGAAAAATAAATTAAAATAGTCTTTTAGGGCTATTTCTACATGTAGATTACAACAAAATGCGGGTTTAAATGATAAAAATGTAGTTTTGGGGCTTTACGAGATTTTTTTAGCTTATTTGTGGTTGGCTTTATACCTTTGAATCGGTTTTTGCTAAACTGGTAGTTCCTAGAAAGAAAATTTGAATATTTTAATGTTTTTTTTTGTTGAGACTGTCCACTAGTACGAGATTTATGTCTGGAACTTTAACAAATACATCAACGAGTCCTCTTCATCAACAAAATTTCAAACAAACTCACCGGTTTCCCTCTCGACAATCATTTGACCTTTAGTGCTGTGGATGATACGTTTCAATTTTTTCTGTAACATGTAAAAAAATTAATGGTTTTAATCTTGATCTCAACCTGATGATCCGAGTAATATTTGAGCACGCGTCGCTGACATTCGTCCTCTTTTTTGTGATCGCTGGAATTGAAATAGTTAGCCCAAAGCAGTTTGTCAAAATCTTTACCTAAATTCAGCCCATTCAAGAGTTTTTCGGGGAATCCATCGCGTCTCATTCCATCCAATGATTCGAGGCCAAAGACTCGAGACACGCAGATATCTAAAAAGAACAATGTAATTTCATCTGACAACAATCATTATTGTGTTGTATATTTAGTCTTTCCCATTGAATAAGCCTGTAAAAATTCACCCCCGATGCTCAAGTACTCATGGGATTTAAGAGAAAAAGTGCTGGGATTTGTTTAAGCTTTACATTGTTCAATTGATTGTTCATTGTTCAATTGATTGTTCAATGTTCAATTGATCGTTCAATGTTCAATTAATTGTTCAATGTTCAATTGATTGTTCATTGTTCAATTGATCGCTCAATTAAACTAGTTCCAGTATCAAACGACAGCAAAAACATCAATTATAGCTAAATCATTTCAATTAGACAACCTAGCACCGAGATATTTCGGTTTAAAGTTAGATTGTCAACGATAAAAAGAGGATCAAATATCTGAAAAGCATCAGAATTCAAGTAAACATCAAGTAAGCTTAAATAAACTTTATTCCCACCTAGATGAGCAGGGATCCGAGTCACAACTGATGAAGATTTCCTTGAATTGTCCCAGCTCATCGTCGCTCATCGTCGAGAAGATTTCGGTGATGATTTCCCTCGAGAATTCCCCTTTCACCTGCATGACCCTGAAAAGGGAAAAGAATTGTAAAATTTGAGTGAAAAAAAAGAAAATTTGAGCAAACACGAGATAAATATATGTCGTAGCCGATTATGAATGAGTGGGTCTAGGAGCGTCCAATCATCAAGTATTTAGTATCATTCAACGCAGAATCATTGATAATTATGTTAAATTTTTGAAATTAGAAAGATTGGATAAAAAGAACACAAATTATGGGGCTTCAGAAGTTTTCTCTTGAAAAAACAGTTTTTTTTGCTCTAATTTTTTTTCTTTTCATCAAATCTTGCTAATTTTAAAAATTTAACATAATTATCAATGATTCTGCGTTGAATGATACTAAATACTTGATGATTGGACGCTCCTAGACCCACTCATTCATAATCGGCTACGGGGGTCCCGCTGATTTTGAATGAAACGTTGTAGCGCCGGTAATTTTTAACCTAAACTCACAAATTTGGTACCAATCGACGCAGAATTCAATTCGCTACAAGATGATATAATATTGTCCTCATACATTAAAGGGTTGCTCTACTAGAAAGATTTGCCAAAAAATTTCATTCATAATCGGCTACATATAACGATTTGCAGGTTCTAGCGAATAAAATACAAGTGTTCTAATGCAATTTTAAGCAGTAAACAGTAGTTAAACGCAATTTTCATTCAGCTTGCTCAATTTAGCCTTTCCAAAGCACAAAATTGATGCAAATACATGAAAATTTCAAGGCAAACATTCTAGATGAGCTCATTTTCGCTTAGAATTCTAACTTTTAAGTATTAGAAGCTGATTTCTAATGAAAACAAGGAAATTTCGACTAGTTGGTGCAAAGTTGAGCTCTAGAAAACCATTTGAAACAATAAATATGCTAAAGTTTGCTAAAAAACATTAGTTTTAACGCCAAAACATTGACTTAAGGCTACTTTACGTCCGTAAAACAGATAAATATGAAAGAAACAATGTTGTAAGAGGGGAACAACTGTGAAACATCGAAAGTTGGCTGTTTTTGACAAATTTTAGACGCAAAAATGGATAAAACAGACTAACGGGACTTCGGCTATAAGAAAACGATGCTTTTTCGCTTATTTTTCGCCTAAATCGCATATTTCTCTATTAGACGTTGTAAGATAAGCTAAAAAATAAGCAAAAGAGCGAAAAATACGCATAACAAGCGTCGATAGAGCTTTCAAAGGCAATTTTAACGTTGACAAGTACTAAAACATGTCAAACTCGGCATTTTAACGCGCAATAATGCTAACTTTTGCTTTTTTCTAAGAAGAGTCTATAAACTTGAAAGATTAGGTAAAAGAAACGAGGAAAAAGCAAAATCGGAATACAAAAAATACGCATAACAAGCGTCGATAGAGCTTTAGAAGGCAATTTTAACGTTGTCAAGTACTAAAACATATCAAACACGGCATTTGAGCTTTGGAAGGCAATTTTAACACTGACAAGTACTAAAACATATCAAACACGGGATTTTAACGCGCAATAATGCTAACTTTTGCTTTTTATCTAGGAAAAGTCTATAAAATTGAAAGATTAGGTAATAGAAACGAGCAAAAAGCAAAATCGGAAACATTTTCAAAATTAGACAAAAAATGAAAAAATTTCGCTCTTTCAGTCTTTTATATGCTTAATTTTAAAATTTGCATTTAAAATTTTCACCAAATATTCAAATTTTCTCAAATTGTCTGAAATTTGTCTGAAATTTCTTATTTTCATTTTATTTAAGTAATTTTGGGTTTATTAGAAGAAAAGTTTTAAAATTATAGATTTCAATAGTTATAGATTTCAAAAAAGGCCTTGAATTTCATTAAAAATGTGAATTTATGCTGAAAAATGTTATAATTATCAAAGAAAATTATCAAAAATCTCAATTTTTCTTTTTTTAATCAGTCTAGAACCGAAAACACGTTTATTTCTTTTGCAATTTGCTTTCAATTTTGTTTGCATTGAGTAAGCTGGATGTCAGTGCGCATATTGAGGGTAAAAGGAGGGCAAAAGAAGAGCTCCGCCCCCGTCACCCATAGCACCCACCCACTCCGCCCGCCCCTTCTCATTTCCAATATTCTATCCCCGTACCACTGCAGACAGTCCTCGTGACATCCATAAATCGCTAAACAAATCGAATTTACCGCATATTGGTCACCGAGTCACTCAAAGTCTTCGCAAAGTCACTCAATCATTAAAACTGGCTCAAATCAACTCTTTTTACACTCAATTCCTTGTTTCTCTTTTTCTACTCTCAATTTTTTCACATAATGGCTTTTCAGCAAGCGATGTGAACGTGAAAAATGGTGAGTATTTGAGTAAAAATTGAAATCTTTGACCTAAATAAGTTTAAATCAACTGTTTTTGCACTCAATTCCTTGTTTCTCTTTTTCTTTCTCTTTTGTTTTGTTCTCTTGTTTTGTTCTCTTGTTTTGTTCTCTTGTTTCCTTGTTTCTACTCTCAATTTTCTACGATTTACAACGATTATCAAACAGTTTTTATCAAATTTAATCTAAGCTGTATTTTAGAATTTTAAAATCTTTCAAAATTTATGAAAAAAGATTAGCTTCAAAGTTAATATCATTTTTTCATTCGCTCATTTGTCAGCATCGGACTAAAGCAAACTCAAAAAAAAAAAACTCGATTTGAGTAAACTTATGGGGGAAAAGATGACAAATGACAAACAATTCAGGCAAATGAAATCAGCAAATAATGATCGTTAACTAAATATCTTGATATCAATGCTATTCAGCTAATATTGAAGCTAATTTGAAGGCCATGCTGATTTGAAACTTCTAGAATGCTGTTAAAGCTGTTGACTGCTGTTGAAAGCGGTTGGCTTCTGTTGAAAGCTGTTGACTTCTGTTGAAAGCTGTTGGCTTCTGTTGAAAGCTTTTTTCAAGCTGACACTTGTACATTACAAAATGTCAATGCAGCATTTGAATGCGAATTTGATTTCGCTAGCTGTGAGAATTTCAATACTGCTTCAATACTGCTTCTAATACTGCTTCTAATACTGCTTTAATACTGCTTCAATAGAATCTCAATGTGAATCGAATGCGCTCATAATTACCAAATTCACTTTTCTCGTTTCCAATTTTCGTTGACCAAAGCAACAATCTTTTTCTCAATACATAAAATCTCTAAAAACTTTTCCCGACCTTGACTTTTTAGTAGGGACGATGAATTCATGGAAAAGGCATTAGAGTAAAGGCATTAAGTAGTCTAGACCGAGCGTGGAAGAGAAAATTCTCCAATACTCTAAATATTTCCATATATTGCTATATATTGCCATATTTTGACCATTCATCTTCTAGTGAAAATGAAAATGACAAAAATCTTGTACTGCTTTCAAAGTTGTCTGCATCTCGCGTCCAGTGCAATAATTCTCTGCACAGCATTGTTAAGAAGATGAGATTGTTGTTGTATTGTTGAGATGAGCTTGTTGAGATGAACAATAATAAGAAAATTCAAATTTAAAGAAATCGTAATAAAGTGGCTAGTTTTTCAGAAAAAGAATCCTCACAGCTTTTGTTATATTTGTCCCAAAATCGCTAACCAAAGCAAAGCAAACCAAACCAAAGCAAACCAAAGCAAAGCAAACCAAAGCAAAGCAAACCAAAGCAAACCAAAGCAAACCAAACCAAAGCAAAGCAAACCAAAGCAAAGCAAACCAAAGCAAAGCAAACCAAAGCAAACCAAAGCAAACCAAACCAAACCAAAGCAAACCAAAGCAAAACCAAAACCAAACCATCTTTTTCTCAATGCATCTCAATGCATTCTCTGAAAGCCGTGCTTGATTTAGATCCATTGTCTTGATTCAGCATTGTCTTTTTCAAATCTCTCTTCAAATGTCAATAGAGTTGCTGCGTCCTTTTCTGTAATATTACTCGATTTGTCGCCTCTCATCTTTCTATGTGCGCTCCATCGAAGCGCAAAACGCGACAATTATCGGATTTACCGCTTTCCCCAGTAGTCAGAGTGAGCCATCGAGTTGAGGCATTGGGATTTTCTTGTTCTTGTATTAGTAATCGCTTTTTACAATAAGAAATTGATCAAATCGGAAAAATTATAAATCCTGGAGGGCATGGAGTAATTTGGAAAAGTTCTCAGTTCTCTAGTTCTCCAGCTGAATGCTTTTGATCCACTGGTGTTGTTGCAAGACGTCGGTTTAGTTACTCAACTTTTCAGACATCAGAAAAGCAGAAAAGCTTTGTCAGAAAAGCTTTCAGAATAAGCTGTGACATCCAGGATTTACATTTTTCTTAAAATCTCCCTTCAACTCCTATCCAATTTTCAACAAATTCCTCAGAGAACCAACTGGATTACTGTAGTCGTCAAAAAAAAGTCGCAAAACTGTCTTAATCTCGACTAAGATTAACCGGTGACATCCAGAATCAGCTTTACACTTAAAATTCTCCTCTAGCTATGCTCGCTTCTCAATCTATTCGCATATAGATCTTGTTTGTCGGGGGAAGGGTTGAATGAACCCCTTTTCCCCCGATCGCCATTGTGTGTATTGATTTCTTTTCCATATGCCTTTTTCCATGAATTCATCGCCCCTCGCGCATAATGTTTGTTGAGTATATATGGTGTATCGAATTTCCGCACCCAGCCTTGTCATGTTGTTGTTTGATGTATTTGATGCAGAGGAAAGTCGAGATCCGATCCGTGCAAAAGTTCAATACACCAAAATTAGCCATAGAATTTGCCAATATGTGAATTAGAGTCTGGTTATTGACTTCTCTAGAAATTTGGTTCCTTTTCTCTCTAAATTTGATTCCTTTTCTCTATCCAACCAAAATTAGCCATAGAATTTGCCAATATGTGAATTAGAGTCTGGTTATCGACTTTATCGACTTTCAAAACTTCAAAGAGAGCTTAACTCCAAAGAGAGCTTATCTTCAAAGAAAGCTCAGATTTTTCAGCTCCGATAGCTCTGGTGCTTTGCGAGGAACCGACTGAAGAGCCGACAAATAAAGATGAAAGCGAAAAACTCGACAAAAATGAATCCACCGTATTCCCAGCAGAGACATTAATGGGTGGCACGGCACCGGAAACGACTTGGAGACGAGAACACGTCACCGTTTTGCCAGATGTCGGTTCAGTTGCTCAACTGCAACTGCTAACGAACTCGTCAAAGCGTAAGTCGTTCAACAATCCCAATTACCTAGCCCAACTTTTGTACTGACATCCAATTTGCAAGTTGAAACCTCGAAAAATCGAATATCAACTAGATTTTTGCATTTAAGATGACGAACATTTCCCGACAAAACCAAAATTATTTAAAATTGATAGAAGCTAATTTCTGTGTTTTAAAGTTGTTGTGTGCGCTCCAGATTGAGCGATTAGCTTTTAAAAATGCTGCTTGACTTTGATGAAACCGGCTAAAACTTTAGTGAATTCGAAACGTCTTCGATGTCAGCTTCGAGTCGACACTTGCCCGGGTTGTCAATTGCGAATCGACTACAGCTCACCTTTCTCATTTCTTGGTTTTATGCAAATAGGGATGGTAAGTGGGAATCGTTGATGAATGTTGATGAATGTTGATGTGAATGTCAAATTTTAGTATTCCTCTTGTGTTTCATCCGAGAATTGTCTTGATATTCGAATCATTGAAGATCGAGCCGATTGGGTGCTCGATTCGCCGTACAGGTGTGATCTTTTGATTGTAAAACTTTTGATTTATAAGTTCTGGAAGTCACAAGACTCAAAAATCATCTCAAAGCTATCAAAAAGTCAGGAAATGAATTGATTTCTATTTTGTGACCCAACCTACCGTAGTCCTTGGTTTGAAATTCGAATTCAAAGCGATCATTGAAGCAAAAAGTGTGTCCTGTATTCCAAAATAGATAAAAATTTGCGAAATTTACAGTATTCATCAAATTTTGGCCTCACAAAATAACTCGTTTACCTCAACGGGTCCATCGATTCGAATCATTGCGACAATTATTTATGAAAATGCGACCGATCTCGAAGAGTACATCAATGTGAGTTCCAGAAATGCGAAATCAATTCAAAATCAATTCAAAATCAACTCAAATTTCACATTTAGGCTTTGTTTCCGTTGAAAATCTCTGTTTTAAACGCGACCGAGGTAATTCGTGGGTGTTGCTCGATCGAATCAACAATTGGATACATTCAGAGTCCAAGGTGGAGCGCACGGCAGCGAATCGGCTATTTAAAAATATGAAAATGCAAATTTTTCAAGTATAGCCAAGTGGCTAGTGCGCTTGTCTCCAAGTCAGACAACGCGGGTTCGAGTCCCGGTGCTGACATTCATTTTGGAAAACTCCAAAAAAGCTTTTACAGATATCCAGCTGCTTATCCCCGGTCTATGGAAAAGAAATGGATTCTTGAAAATAAGCGTTCTGATGGTTTCATTCGTTTGATCTTCGACGACTTTCAAGTGCATTTCCAAAGCGATTTTCTGGTTTAGAAAAAATTCGCGCTTTTTATCGTGCCTTCCAGATTGTCGATTCCGATGGAAAAGAGCTCATTTCGACGCGCCGAAACTTTCGTCGACCGCCAGCTATCGTTTCTGTTGGGCCAAGGTTGGAGATCTCGTTGAGCGCTCGAGATTTCACGCAAATGGTAGCCTGATGTCCAGATTGGTTAAATTTAGAGGAAATTCTTTTTTAGATTGGTTTCCGGGCCAGATATGAGTTCGTCGAGAATCGCGAGTGGCCAGATCAACCGTCGGAGAGCAGTGAGTTTAAAATTACACCGTAATCCCTCAATTATCGTAATCTTGTCATACCAAATCCTACCGTAATCCAACCGTAGCCCTATCAAAGAAAACAATTGTCTCAATCTACCGTAGCTCTTAGATTGTCTCAATCTACCGTAGCCCTTGGATTGTCTCAATCTACCGTAATCCCTCAATATCCCAGACTGCGATGACGTTTTCGACGGCTATGGTGGAATCGTTACTTGGGAAGGAAAAGAGCCATTGACGGGCTCATTTCTCGATTGTGTTTGGATTATCGGAAGACTGGGAAGAAGACTCTTTGATCGAGTTTATCTCAAGGTACTGTATTTGGCCGATAAACAAGCCAAGAAGTCAAAAGAACCACAGCTTTGTTCAGGTGGAAGAGTTCGATGTGCCCGGGATGGGTGTTCAGCTAGAGATTCGTGAAGGACCGACGTCGATCGGGGAACGAGTATTGCTGTTGAATGGAGCGCAAGCTGGGTGAGAAAAGCGATTTCAATGAAAAACGGAAATGCAGAGATGCTGGATCTCTCTGGATTCCAGAGGTTGTGACCTGGATCCAGCAATAGGTTGTGACTTGGATCCAGCAATAGATTGTGACCTGGATCCAGCATCCAGATCACAACCAATTGCTGGAATCCAGAGAGATGATAAAGGCGTAGACTTTTGACCTAAGAAACCTCGGTTGCCTGACTGGACCTGGATCTGGATCTGGATCTGGACCTGAATCTGGATCTGGACCTAGACCTGGACCTAAAGTGCTGGATTAGGAAATTTGGACGATAGCAGCAGACAAGCTCGGTCAGCTAAATGTCTCAGAGGAAATCTAGATCTCAATAGATCACTGATTAGAAACCATTTCAGTGAACAACTCTCTCATCGTCAACCCCGTCACGGCTTCACCTCATCGCTAAGCCAACCGGCTTTCTACATCCGTTTTCGGGGATATTTGATTGAAGCGTGAGTCTTTTTACCAGTCTCAAACATTAAATACTTCATTCTTTTTTGGCCAATGAAACGTTTAGAACTGGTCTAAACATTGCCTACGCTCAATTCTATCGATGGGCTACAGCGCTATGCCCGGCGCCCGCCGAATGGCATTGTGACAATAGCCGATGCATTAAGGTTGCTCAATGCACTCCAGATCGTCGAAACTTCATTTTAGGCCTCTTTACGATGCGATGGGGTTGATCATTGCGGCGATGGGTCGGATGAGGGCTGCGATTTGCAGGAGACAGCAATTATTGGCAGGTTTGTGAGATTTCTAGGCTAGCTGGAATGCACAGGCTCTGTTACTATCAAAAAACACGACCCGACGACATAGCGCAGTCGATAGAGCGTTAGTCTCATAGGCGAAGGGTCGAGGGTTCGGATCCGCTTGGAGCCAAATGCTTTGCTTTATGATTCTAGGACACAGACTAGGTGGTGTGTGCTCCAGATTAGAAGATCCAAGAGTTAAAGCATACTTTAGCTCCGAAGATACGACACATTTGGCGCTGTTCGTTGTCTCAGCCTGTGCATTGTTGATTTTGTTGCTTTTGGCGACTGGATTCGCGTCAAGAATCTTCAGAAATCGTCTCACTCACCACTCAACACCATCACAAAATATTTCAACAATCAGTTCGGAATCGGGTGTGTTTTAAAGTACACAGTAAATCTGACTCTGACTACAAACTACAGTAATCCCTAAAAATTTTATCGCCATTAAATAGAGTGACATCCAAGATGGATGGTTCTCTCAAATAAATCTCGTTTTCTTTAAAGTCTGTCCCAAAAATCTGTCAAAGTCTTAATCTTAATCTTAATTAAGATTAAGACGCAAATGCTACCGGTTTAGCTCCATCTTAATCAAAGGAAAGTTAACCAAAATGCAGATAAGCTTGCAAAAAGCTGCCAAAAAGCTGCAAAAAGCTGCAAAAAGCTGCAAAAAGCAATATTCTCTCATAAACTCTCCCCTTTTGCAGGTCCATCCGATCTCCTGTCCGCTAATGCTACCGGTTTAGCTCCAATGATGACCGTAGTTGGACAGAGACGATTTTACGTAGCTCCATTGAACGATTTGACAGTCATCGAAGCACCGCCCACCTATGATGATGCTTTAAAACATCCACAAGTTCACGAAAATTCGTTTGTCTCACTTAAAAATGCTTTAGGTGAACAGCAGAATAGCGATTCCGAGTACTATTGCCTATACAAATCAAGCTTTTACGGTGGAGGTAAACTTTTAAGAAAGATACAATGTCAACTGTCAATATCAACTGTCAACTGTCAATGTCAATCTCAACTGTCAACTGTCAATGTCAAATGTCAATGTCAATCTCAGCTGTCAATGTCAAATCTCAATATCAACTTTTTGGCTTTATGAGATTTCCTTTCTCGAATCAAAGCTTTCTTGAAAATTTCCAAATTGATGAGAGAAAAGCCTTGTCTTCTAGAAATGGAAAAGTCCATCATCTAGGGATCTAGAACAACGGAATGGATCTAGGGAGTTAAGCTGAACTAGGAATTGCTTTCATTTGCCGTAATCAATCTCGAGAAGTTGATCTTGCACCAGTACTTTAGCTTTAGCTGTGCACTTTTAGCCTTAGCTGTGCACTTTTAGCTGCATAAAAGCTCAAGATTGTTCACCGAACTGCATAAAAGCTCATGGTTGTTCACCGAACATTGCATTTGTTCAAGGAAAAACGTTTTTTTCTCTTCAGAATCTTTCTCAAAAAATAATCGGGCTTAATTTCGACAATTTTCAACAAAAACAACTGTTTCAAGTATTGGTAGTCACTCCAGAATGACAGTATTTTTGGATTTGATAAACAAACAACAATTCTCTCTGCAATTGATAAACAATCAACAATTCTCTCTGCATTTGATGAACAATCAACAATTCTATCTGCAATTGATGAACAAGCAACAATTCTCTCTGCATTTGATGAACAATCAACAATTCTATCTGCAATTGATAAACAATCAACAATTCTATTTGCAATTGATAAACAATCAACAATTCTATTTGCAATTGATAAACAATCAACAATTCTATTTGCAATTGATGAACAATCAACAATTCTATCTGCAATTGATAAACAATCAACAATTCTATCTGCAATTGATGAACAATCAACAATTCTATCTGCAATTGATGAACAATCAACAATTCTACCTGCAATTGATAAACAAACAACAATTCTATCTGCAATTGATAAACAATCAACAATTCTATCTGCAATTGATGAACAATCAACAATTCTATCTGCAATTGATGAACAATCAACAATTCTATCTGCAATTGATAAACAATCAACAATTCTATCTGCAATTGATGAACAATCAACAATTCTATCTGCAATTGATGAACAATCAACAATTCTACCTGCAATTGATAAACAAACAACAATTCTATCTGCAATTGATAAACAATCAACAATTCTATCTACATTTGATAAATAAACAACAATTCTATCTGCAATTTGAAATATCTGTGCAAGTAAATGATGATTTTATGAATTGTAGGCTTGCTCGGTTGTGAATCATCTATGAAAAGAATCTCTACAAAAGGAGAAGAGTGTCTTGCATTGGTTGACTCTCTTATTGATATTGAAAAGAAATCTAAAGTTTGTATGAGATGAATTTAAGCTTTCTAATCAATCTTCACATGACTGAGAGAGAGGTTTTTAACTTTTGTTTTAATTAGCTCTTCCTCTTCCTCTTTCTCTTCCTCCTCCTCTTCCTTCCTAATTTCCTAATGCTTTTCCATAGGTTTCACTCCAAATCAAGCTTCACTTACCTAGTTATTTTAAAGATTACTTTTTAAATCCAACAGAAGCCAACAGAATCCAACAGAATCCAACAGAATCCAACAAAATCCAATTACAATCAAGTTAAAGTGAAACTTTAGAGCCCTTCCTATCAACCAAATCAATCACCACCACAAGTACGAGCTGAAATCGTGGAAACTTCGGGAAACTTCGGAGAGAATCGTGATGAGATTGAGAGTGAGAAATCATCTTCATCAAAAGAAAGCACACCACCGATTGGATCGCCGAGAAATGAGAGGTGAGCGCTAAACCTGGTACCTAAAAGATAATCTAGAAGTGCCGAAAAGATAATCAAGAAGTTTCCAAGTTAAATAACCCAAGAATCCAAAGTCCAATAATTGAACAGTCCAATTTGAACAATAATTGATTCCCTGAAAATGATCTTGAGCTAACATTTGGAAATCCTGGATAGCAAGACAATTCTAATGTTTTTAGATCTTCAACACCGACTCTGACAAATGAAGTGGAGAAAGAGGAGGAAGAGGGAGAGGGAGAGGGACAGGGAGAGGGAGAGGGGGAGGAAGAGGAAGAGAAAGAGGAAGAGGAAGAGGAAGAGCTTGGTTCCTGGGTTTAAACTGACAATTTCCGAAAGTTTCTAAATGTTTTTTTCAATCTGGAATACATTTCATCGTTTTCTATTAGCAAAAATCTTTCTTAGATCTCTGAAAAATTTTGATTTTCTTACGGGTTTTCACTTTCATTTATTTTCTTTTTGTTTCTTTCAATTTGATAAATTTTTATGAATTGTAAAAAGTTCTTCATGTACTTTTTTTCAATTTCTTTTCTATTCTATCTCTAATCAAAGGAATAGGGAAAGGAATAGGGAAATCAAAGGAAAGAACCAATAGACTTATCAGTCAGCCAGAAATAAAGCCAAACTTCTTTTCACTTGGACAAACGCTTGGACAACACAGAAATTTCCCCACCTGAACATCTGCGGGAAAGATGTAGTCTTTGAATTGAAGTCTTGACAATTGTTGTACTTCTATCGACGACAACTCGACGACAACGACAACTTCAAAATCCAGCGATTCGCAAAAAGGCAATCGACATCTAAAGAAAGAGTAGAAAGAAAATTTGAAACAATTTTTAATATCTATATGTCGTGGCCGATTATGAATGAGTGGGTCTAGGAGCGTCCAACCATCAAATATTTAGTATCATTCAACGCAGAATCATTGATAATTATGTTAAATTTTTGAAATTAGCAAGATTGGATAAAAAGAACACAAATTATGGAGCTTCAGAAGTTTTCTCTTGAACAAACAGTTTTTTTTGCTCTAATTTTTTTCTTTTCATCAAATCTTGCTAATTTTAAAAATTGAACATAATTATCAATGATTCTGCGTTGAATGATACTAAATACTTGATGATTGGACACTCCTAGACCCACTCATTCATAATCGGCTACGGGGGTCCCGCTGATTTTGAATGAAACGTTGTAGCGCCGGTAATTTTTAACCTAAACTCACAAATTTGGTACCAATCGACGCAGAATTCAATTCGCTACAAGATGATATAATATTGTCCTCATACATTAAAGGAACAGGGTCTTGCGGAACAGGGTCTTGCGCAACTGGTTCCTTTACACAACTCACCATAACTTTCGTCTAAGTCGGCCAATCTTTATGATTTTGATGTCATTTTGTAGATCTCAATAAATGCAACAAAATGAAACTAAAATCATAAAGATAGGCCCACTTAGAAGAAAGTTCTGGCAAGTTGCGTAAAGGACCCAATTGCGGAAACTAGCCTACTCCATATTTTGTTAACAATGCTAGAGAAATCCTTTACATCATCACCAAAATAGGAAAATATGGCGCTGATTTCAAATTTAAATCATAATTAAAGCCGTGTACCTGTGTAGGTGAATCTTTGCTTCTAAAAGAAACCAAATAAAACGGTGATCGGATCGATGTTCATCGCAGTGTCAATCAAGTTGTCCACCGTTTGGCTTGTTCATCTTTTATTGCAGCCTAAATCAAAAATTATCATTGACATTAATATTTTATCAATTAACGTTATTAAAGGAGAAGAAGAAGAAGGAGAAGGAGAAGAAGAAGAAGGAGAAGGAGAAGAAGAAGAAGAAGAAGAAGAAGAAGAAGAAGAAGGAGAAGGAGAAGGAGAAGAAGAAGGAGAAGAAGAAGAAGAAGAAGAAGAAGAAGGAGAGAAGAAGCATTATGTAAACGAATCACTTTTTGTTTTGTACGCAAAAGATGTGAAGGAAGGGAACTAAAAGAATTTGTGCAGAAGTTTTCAATAACAAAAAAGAAGAGAAGAAACGAATTTGTTTGCAAAGAAGCTCGGTGTTCATGGAATTTTCTAGGAGGCAGAATTTGGAAAGGCCAACGGTGCTAGGGAAACTAGCTGCCACCTTTTCAAGATTACAATTAAAATAAAAGTACCTTTTCTGATCATCACGAAGGATGGGCAAGACGGAATCGAAAAACGGAATGGAAATTGATCGGCTCCAGGCAGGGGATGCTTGACATTGCTGATCAAATGCTTGACATTGCTGATCCGATCCTCATTTACAGCTACAGCACATCTAAAATCAATTTAGCTTTTATAAGTAAGCAAACATTCACCTTATATGTGATTTGTTCGCTGTTTGATTCACGAGATTAAAGTTGAAGAGAAGTTGACGAAATTTTGATGACGTAGTCTAAGAAAAAGATTTCATTTGTGAAAATCCGTGTTATAAAGGCTTTCTTACCTAAGAGTGATATTTGATTGAGAAGAGAAATTGCCGATAAACACGAGCCATTGCCGATAAACACGATAAATTGCCATTGCCGATAGACACGATAAATTGCCGTTGCCGATAAACACGTACGATACGTATGTATTTCATGCGGAGACCTAAATGAAAAAATAAGTTAAAGGTTGGCAAGAACTTAAGCAAAGATTAAAGATTCTAAATTTGGCTCCAAACTTCATGCTCAGGCTCAGGCTCATTATCTCATGAATCTTGATGAATTCAAAGAAAACTTACCCAACACTTTGATGAACTCCATCATGTTCACCGAGTGCATCACCGAGTCGATCACTTTTCGAACGATAACCGGGCATTTAAATGTTGGTTCGGGTATTCCCATGTACCTGAAAATATGAAAATATTAGTGAGACTTCAGACAAGTCTATTCAACGCTTTAAAATCCTTACCTCATATGCCATTTGTTCGCTGTTTCATTCACGAGATTAAAGTTGAAGGGAGGACGGAGTCTAAAAAAAGATTTCATTTGTGAAAATCCGTGTTATAAAGGCTTTCTTACCTAAGAGTGATATTTGATTGAGAAGAGAAATTGCCGATAAACACGATAAACAATTGCCATTGCCGATAAACACGTACGAGATGTACGAACACGATAAACAAGTTACACATAAAGAACACATCAGCCGTGTTTCTAAACAAAAAATTTAATGATTGAATGGACTATAGCATAACATTTAGACACTTTAGAAAATAAATAAATTTATTTAAATCATCTACAGTTCTACATTTCTACATATCGACAGTTCTACAGTTCTACATTTCTAAAGTTCTAAGCAATTTGGATAAAAATTTCAGAGTTAAATGGAAACTACATCGTACGGAAGGGAAGGTCAACTGGGTATGGTCAAAAGCTCTAAGCTATCGGCCATTCGACGCAGAATTTCACGCTGATTTCGAATCTGTTTTCCGTTTTGGCAAAATGGCTTTCTATAAAAAGTGATAAAGTGTGTAAATTTGTGTTAGGAATTTCAAAAATCATACCCCGATTTTATAAAAAGATTTCCTAGAGTCTTTGAATAGTAGTGGTGGCCGTCCGTCTGTCCGTCTGTCTGTCTGTCCGTCTGTCCGTCTGTCCGTCTGTCTGTCTGTCTGTCTGTCTGTCTGTCTGTCTGTCTGTCTGTCTGTCTGTCTGTCTGTCACAGGCACTTTTCTCGACGCCCAGATGCAGGGGGTTGCCAAAATCCGGTGCAATGTAATGTATGTATACCTATTACCGTATTCTCTCTAATAGTAGTGCCCCCAGGCGCGCCGAGTTGATGACTATTTTACGGTTTCTAAGTTTTCGCAGAAGCTCAACACTCAAATTCCCGACTAGATCTCATCGTCAGCTATATTTTCCGACTGCACATCGATAGGTTCTGAAAAGCGGTTCTCGAGATTTCGAGGAATTTAGACAACGCTGCACTACCATAAGAGATCACGAGGTGATCTTGCGGTGTTCTCTGTGCACGCGCACAATCGCGCACTTTCTGGCATAGGGGGTTTGCACATAGGGAGCCGAGGGGGCTCTGGGTAACTCGTCGGTAACTCGTGTGTCCATCGGATTTCTTGGCGTCACCATGCTCAACTTTTCATCGACATTATCCGATCCGAAATGGATAGGTTCTGATAAGCGGTTCTCGAGATTTCGAGGAATTTAGGCGAAGCTTTTGGTGCATTAGAGATGCTCGACAGCTCGAAGCTGCATTTTCTTTCGAAATTCTTTCGCATTCTTCAATTTCAGCAAATCCACAGCTACTACAATATGGCAGGATGTCAGCAAATGACTACAACTTCTCTATTGATTGATTTATTTATTTTAAATCAATAAAACCTTTGTTAAACTCTGTTCACAACATTTAGAACACAAGAAAGAAGATAAAGGCATTTGAAAGATTGATGTTAGTCATTTGATTCAAATTCTATCCAGATTGTTGTCTCAAAAATCGATCGCTTTTTCTGCCTTGAGTTTCTTATCTACAGGATGAGTCGGCCTGTTTGTGGAGGACTGGGAGAAAAAGCGAGCTGGCAACAAATGTTTGAAGGTATTCAACCGGCAAAACGGTCAATCTGGAGTGCACAACGATCGGCGAGCTCAACCAAAACAATATTTACTTCAATTGTTTCGACTCGGCAACCTACCATAGTCTTTAAACGTCTTTAAACGTCTTTAAATGCAAATTTTTCCCTACTTTATAATATCTTGTTGCAATTGAGTCAGAAATTTCGTTCTATTTGGCTCTATTTGGTTCTATTTGGTTCTATTTGAATTTCTGAATTTCTGACTTTCATTTTCCGTATATTTCTCGATTTTTCATTGTAAAATCTGCGTAGTACTCGGAAATTTTGATGCGCTTCGAATTCTAAACGAAAAAAAGCGCGGAAATGTCAAGTTTTTACTTTTTTTTTTTTATTCTGGAGTGCACATTACAATTTTGTATTTTTAATTTAACTTTTCATAGCTTTTAAAGAATTTGATTGTTAAAAAATGAGTTACAGCTCTTAAACTTCCATAAAAAAACTAGAATCTAAAATTCTCATTTTATTTCTTAGTTCTGGAATGCACTAAAGATATTCAGCTGTTGATTAGCTGTTAATCTGCTGTTGATTAGCTGTTAATCAGTTGTTGATCAGCTGTTAATCAGCTGTTAATCAGTTGTTGATCAGCTGTTGATCAGCTGTTAATCAGCTGTTAGTCAGCTGTTAATCAGTTGTTAATCAGCTGTTAATTTCTTCATTTTATCAAATTTCAAGTTTAGATCGAGATTTCAAAGCAAATTCAAAGGAATTCTTCGAAAATTTTGATGAATTTTTCTCTTTCCTAATCCTCACCTAATCAAAATCGTCTTTTTTTGAAGAGGGAGAGGAAGAGGGAGAGGAAGAGGAAGAGGGAGAGGAAGAGGAAGAGGAAGAGGGTGGGGAAGAGGAAGAGGGAGGGGAAGAGAGAGAGGAAGAGGAAGAGGGAGGGGAAAAGGAAGAGGGAGGGGGAGAGGAAGAGGGGAAGAGGAAGGGGAAGAGGGAGAGGGAGAGGAAGGGAAGGGGAGGAAGAAGGGGAAGAAGAAGGGGAAGAAGAAGGGGAAGAAGAAGGGGGAATCAGAATAGCTAAAAGCAGAAAGGCAGAAAAAGTAGATCATAAAAAAGATGACTCAAAAAGTAAATAAATAGAAGAAATGGGGGAGTTTCAAAAAAAAGCTAAAAAGTGGCGCCTCAAAATTTTTGAATTTTCTTACTCAAAGCTTTTCACAACATTTCATGATATCCAGGATTGATAAAAATTGGCTTTAAATTTCTCAAAAATTCTTCTAACAGAATATTTTGACTCAAAGTCGAACTCAAAGATTTCAGCCAAATCTCTTTTATTCATTTTCCACGCTTTGCTCTCACCAAAAAACCAAATGCTATCCAGATTGAAGAATTTTTTAAAATACTAAGCTGAATCTCGGCTGGTTGAGCATAAATGAGGAGGGGAGAGGGCGCGACGCTTTTTCATCATTTTTTCATGAGTCATCTCCATTTTCTGATTAAATTCAATATCTCACATGACATCCAGGAAAGCGATTTCTTTCATTCATTTTACAGTAATCTAATTTCTAAATGCTAATTTGAGGGGGGTTAGTCATCGATGGAATGAATTCAAATTTTGTCGAGTTTAAGGGGATTTTGTTTTTGTGACTTTAGGCGATTTTTATAAATATCATTTTGCCTTCCAGATTTCTAAAGCTTGTCATCTTTTTGGCATGTTTATTTCTTTTTTGAGACGATTTTTTGAGTGGGTGAGCCATTTCGCTCATTTTTCTTATCAATTTTATTTAGAATGCTGAATATTTGCTGGAGAAAAATGCCTTGGATCGATTTTGTCTTTGAAAATCTTTTGAAATAAAGAATTTCTCTTCCTTGTATCGATTTGAAAGGCTTTAAATAAAAAAAAGATTTTCTTTTTGTTAATCAAAATGTTTCCAAATCTACCGACCTTGATTCTAGTCATCCAAAAAATTTTCCTTTCCCTTTTTCTTCAACTTTCTCACTTCTCGCATCTAAATTGAGTTCCAGATTCGTGAAAAATCAAAGAAATGGGGAGAATACGAGGCTCTCCGTGGCCTGGGCTCCTCATGCTTTTCTTCGTCGGGCTCGCTTCGAGTCAGCGAATTTTTCTCAACTCTCCCGACTCATTCGTCGTTTTCGAGAACCCAGATTTGCTAATTGGAGGTCAGTTGGGGGAAATAAAAAACAAATCTCTAGTAAATTCTGATCTTTTTGAGCACTACAAAACTGTACGCTTCGTTGACGCGCTAGAAAATCGAGATTTTTCGTTGTCATAAACGAACCGAATCAAAGAAATGATCAAGCTGGATTGCACAGCGGCTGCCAAAAGCTTTAGATTCAAGTTTCCGCGACATTTCTAATTCCACAATTTCAGAAGAGCAAGAGGTCCTATTGGTGGTAAAAGTCAAGCCACAAACATTCACCGGAACACTTTTCAGTCTAAAAGGCATTCTAAACGGCACAGAGAACGTTCGGGTATACTGTAGCCATAGAAATCACTTGAATAAATGCAAATTTTTTCAGTTAAACATCTCATTGATCAATGGTTTCATGGAAGTCGACCTTTTTGACAAGATTGGGCATAAAATCTTGAAAAAACCTTTTTCACAAACGATGTTGAGTGAGTTTTCGGCGAAGCTGGAGCACAACTTGAATGCTGAATGTGTTTAAACGTCGAAAAAATCTTCTTTTAGACACCTCGATGGAAGCGCAGATAAACCTCAAGATCGATTTCAACAAGGGTACTCTAGTGTTCAGGGTGAGTGATTTCCAAGGTCCTGATTACCTTGTGCACTCCATAATCACTAAATTTACATAAATTCATTAGGCTTCTAATGCTATCTAATGCATTAGGCTATCTAATTCCAGGTGGATTCCCGGGGCGAGGTCTCTCACGAGATTTCCCAGCAGATACCAATTGAGGGCACCATGTTGACAATGGTTTTCGGATCGCAAAGTGAGTTCGGTGCTTTGAAAGCTTCAAAACCTTGAAAAGGGTTACTGTAGGCTGGGATTTTAAGACAGAAATTCAAAGTAGAGATACAGTAGCGACTGTAGACAATGATGAAGCTATTCCAGAAATGATATAGGTGCTTTAAGCGCAGTTATAGACGTACTGTGACCCCGTCAGGGTACTGTAGCCAGATAGGTACTATAGCGAGTACTGTAGCCAGATAGGTACTGTAGCCAGATAGGTACTGTAGCCAGATAAGTACTGTAGCCAGATAGGTACTATAGCGAGTACTGTAACTGAAACAATGACTACTGTAGCACGAGACCAATTCCTTTAAACTATACAGTCGACTGCTCAAAGGATCCTTGTGTACTGTGTACTGTAATGTACATGAAAAGTGTACTGTAACTGGCTGATTACTGTCGTTTTCTAGCCTCAAAATCTACTGTCGTTTTCCAGCTTCAAAATCGATTATCGGCTGCATGGAGTTGGTCGTTTTGTCGACAAAAAACAATAATCTGGAAGACGGGAAAACGAAGAAAATTGCGGAAAATGATGTCTCCGAGTGCGGGATCGAGGGACGGTGCCAGAATTTCGATTGTGGACAGGTACGGTAAAAATCGAACAAGTACTTTAGCCGGGTTATTGTAGTACTCTAGCCGGATTACTGTACTTTGGTAGGGTACTGTAGTTCCGACAGTTAGTCCAGTCAAAGGAGTACTGTAGCTGCTAGAGCCAGTGTACTCCGGGATACCGTAGACTGTTTCAGGGACGCTGTCTCGATCTCGAGGTGCCCACGTGCGACTGTTCGACCACCGGGAAATCAGGACCAAATTGCAAAAGCGGTTCGTTAGAAGACTTGCGCTGGAATCGTTGTAAGACTCTTATAAGCCAAGAGAATTGAATTTCAGAACCACCAACGATTTTCGTCGACTCCGAGAAAGATCAAGGGGTTTGGTACTCACCTCTCACTGACGATCAAAAGCCGAAGAAAATCGGGATGCAATTCAAGGTCAGTTCTTGAGATTGGGGCAATTCAAGCCTTCTAATGCATCAGAATTCCTCAATGACCCCCGAACTGACTAATCTGGATAGCACTTTAGTTGACCGTAACGTCAAATATTCGAATTCTCTGCAAGTTAGATACACTCAAACTAGCCACTACAAGATTGGAGCAATCCAAGCCTTCTAATGCCTCAGAATCGCTCAATAAGGGCCAAACGGTCTAATCTGGATAGCACTTTAGTTGACCGTAACATCAAAAAACCGAATTCCCCACAAGTTAGATACAGTCAAACTGAAGATTACAAGATTGGAGCAATCCAAGCCTTCTAATGCATCAGAATTCCTCAATGACCCCCGAACTGACTAATCTGGATAGCACTTTAGTTAACCGTAACGTCAAATAACCGAATTCCTTACAAGTTAGATACAGTCAAACTGGAGATTACAAGATTGGAGCAATCCAAGCCTTCTAGTGCATCAGAATTCCTCAATGACCCTCGAACTGACTAATCTGGATAGCACTTTAGTTGACCGTAACATCAAAAAACCGAATTCCCCACAAGTTAGATACAGTCAAACTGAAGATTACAAGATTGGAGCAATCCAAGCCTTCTAGTGCATCAGAATTCCTCAATGACCCTCGAACTGACTAATCTGGATAGCACTTTAGTTGACCGTAATGGCAAATATCCGAATTCCTTACAAGTTAGATACAGTCAAACTGGAGATTACAAGATTGGAGCAATCCTAGCTTTCTAATGGATCAGAATTGCTCAAAAAGCATCAAACGGTCTAATCTGGATATCAATTTAGTTGACCGTAACCTTCAATAACCGATTTCCATACAAGTTAGATACACTCAAACTAGTCACTACAAGATTGGAGCAATCCAAGCCTTCTAATGCCTCAGAATCGCTCAAGAAACACCAAACGGTCTAATCTGGATAGCACTTTAATTGATTTAAACGTCAAATACCAGAATTCCCAATAAAGTATTAAACTTTGCAGAAAGTCTTTTCGTTCTTTTCATACTTCCGTTAAAAAATAACAAATTCACCAATTAACCTATGGTTTGCTCTAAATAAAAAGTTTATTGTTGATTTTAATTGGCCTTTCTAATGAAACAAACCGTAGTTCTGTATTTTTTAGTTTTAAATAAAAGTACGAAAAGGAACGAAAAGACTTTCTGAAAAGCCAAATAGACTGTAAAAAAGATTGGGGCTTTTTAAAGTACATTAATTTCACAATGACAAAACTTTTCTCATCAATCAAAATCCTGGAGCGCACAAAAAAAGTTTAGTTCGACCCGAGCAAGGAAGTAGAAGGAGTCCTACTGGCTGCAAATCTCTCAACAAGCGGAGCGATGCGTCTCTTCGTCGTCGGCACAAAAGGAAGTCTGGAAATGGGCACGCTAGCCTCGCTGAATTTCACGCTGGATGACATAAAAGGGTTTGCGATTGAATTTCCCTACAGTATACGGTAGAACAGTACCAGAAAGGTAGGCAAGGTAGGCAAGCCAGGCAAGCCAGCCACCAATCAACTGAATAACCAAATTCTTTAGCTTCCACTCTCTACTAATCAATCTGGATTTTTCAAAGAATCATCTCAAGCTGACCGCCGATAATCGGGCGCCAATTGAATTGGAGTGGAAAGATGCGACTGAGGGAATTGCGTTCAAGGTTTGATTCAAGAAAACTGGGCCGTGTAGGCCGTGTAAAGATGGGCCGTGTAGGTCGTGTAGGCCGTGTGAAGATGGGCCGTGTAGGCTGAGAAGTACTGGTTGTACAGTATTGATTGTACAGTACAGATTGTACAGTACCGTTGTAAAGTACCATTGTAAAGTATCGTACTCCCTGAAGAAGGTACTTTTTAGCAAATTGCTTTCGGTCAATCGGTGAATCAGGCGCCGGCTAGGGATCTCGGATTCACCGGTTGTTTGCGTCACGTTTTCGTCGATCATTTAGACATTCTGGATCGATTGAGCCTCAACGATCCAAGGGTTAGTTGAAAGATTTAGATTTAGATTTAAATTCAAGCTAATACCCAAGATGAATATCATTTCTTTAATTTGAAATGAAAAGAATTTCAACTTTCAGATCTCCAGCTATCAGCCGATCGTCTCCTGCGAGCAGAAGATTCTCATGGGATCGGTGATTCTAATACGGTTCTAATACGGTTCTAATACGGCTCTAATACGGTTCCAATACGGTTCCAATACGGTTCCACGATTCTGAAAACGATTTCTCTCAAACAAAGCTGAAACTCTGTACATTCTTTAGATTGGTTTTTGGCCTCAAATTGTTGGTGAGATGAAAAACGGGGAAAAGGAAAAGGAAAAGGAGAAGGCTTTAATTGTCACAAGAACCACTGAATCACTTGTCGTTTTTTCGGAAAAAGATCCAAATTTTGCCGACATTTTCCCGTATGGACCGAAACAGAAAAGTGAGTGCTCAAAAAAGCTCAGAAAAGTGTGTGAAAATCTTTTCTTTTCCTTTCCATTTCCAGAGCCACAAACAAAAAAGTCGGATTGTGAGAATGCGGATGCGACGCGATGCCGAAGCGGTTCGAAATGCGTCCGAGAGCAAGGAGTGCCCAAGTGTGAATGCCTGCCGAACAACATTGGACACTTTTGTCAATTCTGTGAGTGTTTCTAGAAGCTTTGAGCTTAATATTTGGTAATCCTGGAGCACACAGTAATAGTTCGGTCATAGGTTTTGGCCATAAACCGAGTTTTTAGTCATAATCCGATTTTCCAGCTACACTGCCGAGAACTTGCGCAGAGGCGGCTCGTTTGGGGCTCCCGCGCGGGGCTACGAGGCTCGATTTGGATGGCTCTGGACCGTTAGACGTTTCCGTGGCAAATTGTGTTGATGGTGAGGGTAAATGAAGGGATTTTAAATGATCAATTCTTTAGCTAACACCTCAATCATTCACGATATGCCTCCATTGACACCAATTCGTGACGCCTCTTTCAGCACTCACTCACTTTTCGTCCTTTCTTACAGGTTTATGTGACGGAAAGCTAGATATTCTGACGTAAAGCAGAAACCTAGAACTAGACTAAGTATAGACGATCAGCTGATAATCAACCAACTGGTTAAAGGGTAAAGAAGCTTGGCTTAAGGCTGGCTTAGGCTGGTTTAGGCTGGTTTAGGCTGGCTTAAGCTAGGCTTAGGCTGGTTTAGGCTGGTTTAGGCTGGCTTAAGCTAGGCTTAGGCTGGTTTAGGCTGGTTTAGGCTGGCTTAAGCTAGGCTTAGGCTGGTTTAGGCTGGTTTAGGCTGGCTTAAGCTAGGCTTAGGCTGGCTTAAGCTGGCTTAGGCTGGCTTAGGCTGGCTTAAGCTAGGCTTAGGCTGGTTTAGGCTAGGCTTAGGCTGGCTTAATACCATATCTTAATCTTGGATTTAAATGTTATTAAATAATCATAACTAAACAAGAAAATCATTTGAAATTAAATAGAATTGAAAGATTAAAAGATTAAAGATTGAAAGATTAAAGATCAAAAGAATTCTAAAACTAAAATCTACTTTCAGGGACTTTTCCGACTCAAAACTCGCCACTTTAATCGCTCAATCGGAAACTTGCGAACAAAAGCTCAAGTACGATTGCAATGGAGCTCCATTGAAGTGAGTTTATGCGCTGATTGGCTTTGTTGGTTGAGATTTTCTAGAAATCAAAGAAACCAGGCAAGCCCTATGTCCCATTTCTGGACCCAGAACCAGTTCAGGTCCGGAATAAAGCCAAGCAGATAAAGCTAGAGTCAAGCAGATAAAGCTAAAGCCGAGCAGATAAAGCTAAAACCGAGCCAGTGCCTCGATTTCTATCAAAATCAAGCTTTTCAGTTTCGCACAAAATCACACATGGTTTCACTCGGCTTTTCACAATCGAACCGTTCATCACTTTGGTCAAAATGGTTAAAATTTCATCTTCATGCAATCTAGGATTACTTTTTCAAGCTCTAGACTTCAAGCTAGACTTCAAGCTAGACTTCAAGCTAGACTTCAAGCTAGACTGTTCAAAAGCTTTTTCAAGCTGTCAAAAGCGAATTTCAGCTGCACCCCGTTGCGATTCGCGAAGTCCAACAAGTGATGAGGGAATTTTACGAGATTTTGATGCAGGTACTAGACTAAATCCTATCCTGATATCCAGATTGAAAGTTTCAAACGTTGAAATGCAAATTTTCTAGGAGTAACTCGAGTTGTCGCTTTGCACACGTCAGGCGACATCGACGGTCGTTTGTCTCTAGGCGAGCTGCAGTGTCGGGGATTCGGTAAGCTGTGGAGATGAGCTGTGGCTGAGCTAAGAGATGAGTTCATAGGAATTCTAATCTTAAAATTCAGCAAAATCTGGTGGAGTTCTTTTCAAAGCCTCGGCCACGTTGCCCACTGTGAAATGGGAAGCCACGCATTTCTCGTTTCATTTCCGCACGGCTCAAGGTTTGTTTGAAAGGTGAAAAGATCTAGAAATTCGGAAATTCGGAAACTCTGATTGTCCAGATCTAATCGTTTAATATTTAGAAGACGCAATTCTGGTGACACTAATTGCCGAGCCACGGAATCGCATTGAAGTCCGTTTAGAGCGGGGTAAATTTTGTTTCTTTGTTTCTTCATTTCTTCGTTTCTAAAGTTGAAAAGTCTACTGACAACAGAAAGTTACAAAGCTAAGACTATCAAATAAAGCTAAGGCTATCAAATAAAGCTAAGACTATCAAATAAAGCTAAGGCTGTCAAGGCAGATCGCTAGAGAGAGGCCGATTGGAGAGCCTGAGCTTATTAAAAAGCTTGTAAAATGAGTTGTAGAAATTCGATTGGAAAGTTTTTAGTAGATAAATGTAGCCAAGATAAAGGGCTTTCTTTTTCTATATAACTCTTGAAACTTTGGATAATTGAGGGGCAAAGTTTTTCAAAAAAAAAGATCTTACGCCACCCTATAGTTTCCTAGTTTTGTCAAACCTTTAATATACTAGGTAAATGCATAAGAAATGCGAATTTCAACATTCTCAACAATTTCCAATTCAATTTCCAATCCAATTTCCAATCCAATTGCCAATCCAATTGCCAATCCAATTTCCAATCAAACCTGAATATCGATGAATGTTATAAACTATTTGAAAGTTGGATCGTCTACAAATCTCGTCTACAAATTCACCTCAAAACTTTTCTTTATCATAATCCACTTGCAGGTCGTTTCATCGTTCTCTTATGGAAAAGCAAAGATGTCGAGTTGAAAGTAGTCGTCGAGACACAGCACCAGTGAGTTCAACCACAAAATCAAACCGTTTAAAATCGTCTCAGATTGAATGACACCGATTGGCACATGTTGCGAGTGGAGGCAGCAAATGAGGAGCTGCTGCTATCAGTGGATGGAGTGCACGGGGTGATGGATCGAGTCAGTCAATCCTCGCTACCCAAAGCAATCTTGTATCTAGGCTCAGAGCATGGGTGAGTTTTAGAGTACCGTAGCCAAGTCTGAAAACCTATCGTCGTCTAAACAGTTGGAAAGTAATCGTTCTGAACCTGAGTCTGAACCTGAGTCTGAACCTGAGTCTGAACCTGAACCTGAGTCTGAACCTGAACCTGAGTCTGAACCTGAACCTGAGTCTGAACCTGAACCTGAGTCTGAGCCTGAACCTGAGTCTGAACCTGAGTCTGAGTCTGAGCCTGTCTATACAACCTGTACTTCTATATCAACTTCTTCATTTAGCGGTCTCGAGGGATGCATTCGATCACTTTCCATCGACAATCAGCCACTCGATTTGAAAGATTTTCTTAAAAAAGGACAAGGTAAGCCAAAAAAAGTAGCTAAATCCTGATCTAATAATGAAAGCTACCGTAATCCTGGCTAATATCCTAGCTAATATCCTAGCTAATATCATCGCTAATATCATTTCTAGAGTAAAGTACCGTAACCTCTCCTATTACAGGTGTTCTTCAAGGTTGTACCGATCACTGTACCACCAATAGTTGCCAAAATGAAGCCAAATGTATCGAAGATTTCGGAAATCAAAGAGCAAAGTGAGATTTAGAATTGAAGCTTGGTCAGACTACAGTAAAAACTCCAATAAAACGGCTTTCTATAGAAGCATTGTGTAGTCTAAGTTTATACTCAAAGAATCGCCCATATCTCGACACCAGTACGTTTCTTTCTGCTCGTTTAGGTATCAAATTAAAGTAGAGAAGATGGGTGTTTTTTTGTGATATCACACAGATTTTTAGCATTAATCAGCGCTTAGAAAAAAAATGATTGAAAATCGGCTTTTTTGAAACAAAGCCAACTCAGCTTGCTATCGTATTTGAAAAGGATTTTCGTTTTCAGATGCATTTGCAAGTATCCCCATATCCACAGCGGGAGCACCTGTGAGATGAGTGAGTTGAAAATGGAAATCTCTTTTCATATGCAAATTCTCAGATCTCAATCACGCTTCCGATGTCTCTTTTCACGGTGGTTTTCTTCGGTACAGTCAATTCGCCGGAAATCCTTTACTTGACCAGGTACAAGCTGACTAGCTGACAGCTGACGGGTTCGAAGGTCTTCTCCCCTCAAGCTATCCCCTCTTTCTACACCCATTTCCCCATCTATTGAAGATGGCAATCGACTAGTCAAATTGGACATAATGGCATTTCTTGATTAGCTTGCTTTACATGGAATTTTCGCAGGCTTGGAACGAAGAGAAAGTTGTGATGGGGAATGGGAATGGATTGTAGCTATCTATTGGTACAGGAGGGCTAGATGACTAGATGCCTAGCTGACTGGAGGGCTAGATGACTAGCTGACTGGATGACTAGCTGACAAGCTGACAGCTGACTAGCTGACAAGCTGACAAGCTGAGCTAACAAGCTGACAAAATCCACGCTTATATTTGATCAAATCGCAAAATCGCTTCTGAATTGGTGTAAAGCTGAAATGCGCTTTAGCAAAGTGAAATGAAAGTTGGTGAAATGATAAGGATGATAAGAATGATAAGAAGTAAAATGATAAGAATGATAAGAATGATAAGAAGTGAAATGATAAGAATGATACTGTTCACAGTCATCCACCGTAATCCAATTGTTGTCCATAGAATGATAAAAAATCGTTCAGATCGTTCTCTCCGCTCGAACCGATCAACCACACGCGTTACTCTTCTTCGCTCACGATCATCACTTCAATTTTGTTCAAGTTTATAGAAATTGATGTCTTTGAGGCAGTTCTCTTTTTTAGATTCACATCTCAGAAGAAATCAACGTTACACTGACACTAAACAACCGAGATAATGTGAGTTGAGCTGAGGAATTCGATTTGATTTCTATTTAAAGTGATCTAAGAGTATGATAGACAGTTTTGTTTTGTTTTGTTTGTTTGTTTTGATGAATCCTGGAGCTCATTATCTCTTTCTGGATTACTGTAAAGCTAGAATTATAGGTTTATTCTTGTACTGTTACGGCTCGACCTCGTCACGAGTTCAGCGACATGAAATGGATTCAAATCGTCGTCTCGCATTAGTGAGTTGATTCAGAGTCAAATCTTTAAGCTCAAGCTCTGAGCTCCTAAGCAAAAGCTTTAGGCTAACACAAGTCAGAAAGGCTAAACTCGAAGAACTCAATTTTAGCGACACAAGCAGTACGCTCACTATTGACGCTGATTCGTGCTCAATTCCAGCTGAAAGGGTTCTCTCATCCGTGGTCGTCAATCAATTCCATCTTACTAAAACGGAAATTGGTAGATTTTCGAATGAAATTCTAGTATCTGGCAGTCACCAAGTAGACCATTTAATGGATTTTTCGAAAAGAAGAAGAAGAACCAAGTAGACCCTGCAATTCTTGGGTCTGACTCGGAGTTCCAAGAGAGGTTCTAAAGCCTAGGTATTGAATCTCTAGCTTGAAACCAGGGTACAAGGGTAAAACCCTAAGCCTTGCGTCCTGAGCTCTCAATTCTTAGCTCTCAATTCTTAGCACAAAATTTTCAGACCTAGTCGAAGTGCCGGTTGGTCTCTACGCTCCGAGCAATCCGGAGCCTCTCCTTTACGTTTTTGTTGGTGGCATCGAACGCGATACGCATTCGCAGAGAAACGAGAAACGGTAACAAAATTTGAATTGAACAAAATTGCAAAGCTGAAGCTGAAGGTGAAGCGAAAAATTCGTAAACACTCAAAAATTTCTCAACATTTTCTAGTCACAAATTCTGGAATCCCACAAGGAAGAGGTTTGTTTTGAAAATAGGTAAATTTTGAGTTGTGAATTCGAGTAGAAACATCTAGAGGTGCATGCCAGAATTGCGCAAAAATCGAAATCGAACAGAGATTTCAGTCTTGCACCCGTCTACCAGTCGAGTATTCCGGATTTGCTCGGCTGTTTGCGTGGGCTGCGAATCGGTGAGACGATTGTCAACTTGCGTGACACAAAATTCGGCTACAGACCTGAGGATTCAAGTTCGTGCTTTTTGGCTTTCATATGCAAATTGAAAAAGCGTCTGAATTGAAGCTGAAATCGAATTGAAATGAAGCTGAAATTCATCAAAAAATCACTTAAACTTTTTAGATCTTATTCGAAATGGTTGCGAGTTTGGTTGCTCGTCGCTTTCTTGTGAACACGGTGGCCATTGTGCGGTTGGATGGAGAAACTATGATCCGACAATCATCCAGAAAACGAGTTGCGATTGCACGAGGACAAGCTATGGAGGACCGACTTGTGGATTTGGTGAGTGAGGGTAGCTGGGTTAGTTTGGTTTCGAATGTTTCGACTGTTTCAAAGCTAGTTTGTTCAAGCAGGCTAGGCCAGGCAAGAGCCTAAATTCTATAAAAGTAAAGGCTGACTGCGAATTATAGTGAGTTTTTGAAAAACTATCTGGCAAATTGCTACAATTCTCTATATAACACTTGCCAGACTCAAGCCTCAAGCCAAGCCTAATCCAAGCCAAAGCCAAACCTAAGCCAAACCCAAGCCAAAGCCTAACCCAAGCCTAACCCAAGCCTAAGCCAAGCCAAGCCAAACCCAAGCCTAATCCAAGCCAAGCCTAAGCCAAGCCTAAGCCAAACCAAGCCTAAGCCAAGCCTAAGCCAAACCAGTGGTGTAGTGGTTAGTGCGCCTCGGTGGTGTAGTAGTTATATGTAATATCTCGCGATAGAGAAGTGTTTGGCAAAAACTGATTGCAGATTTGGAATCAGCGTGAAAAACTGCATCAGATAGGCTTTCCAGAATCAAAAAGCCAAGATAAGTTAACAAAATTCCCTAGTCAGAAGTCAAACCTGGATCTAAACCTGGATCTAAACCTGGATCTAAACCCAGTTCATAAACTCCAGAAGACCCTAAGATAATAGGCCAACTCAAGTCTCACTTAAGCTACAAAACAGCTGACTTAACTGCTATCCTACTGGGCTAGTCAACGAGCCAACGAGGCGCAAATCAATCCTTTCAGATGACGGTATTCGTTTTGATGGACATTCGGTTTTCGAATTTGCTGTTGGTGAAATTCTCAAAACGGTGATCGTTGAGGGAGAGACGAAATTCCCGCAATTGCTCAAGGTTTGCTTTACGAAAAGCTATGCATTCCACGGCTTTCAAATCTAGATCCTAGAGCTGAGCCACAGTTGGTGTTGCCTAAGCCTAAGCCTAAGCCTAAGCCTAAGCCTAAGCCTGAGCCTTAGAGACTTTAAGAGACTGTTAAAGCCTTTTCAGAGACTTTAGAAGGAAAGTGTTATTCAAAATTTCACTTTAATATCTTAATATCGCTTTAATTTTGAATACTTGAGGGTTAAGAAAAGCGCAAAAGCGTCATGAAATGTGAAACGGACCTTTATCTATTTGTTTGCTCTTCTTAAAGTCGTCTTTGTCATTCAATGATCAAATCGATTGAAAATTGTCGGCTTGTTGAAATGAAATCGGTGCTCGGTTGAACTAAAAGATTGGGAAATCAATAGAAATTTCATCGTTTTCAATTTTTTGTTTAAAGAAACGTTAGGAAATAAAATATATACCTTCTTTTCGTCAAAACAATATTGACAAATTCATCGCCAATTGAGATTGATAGGCGCAGGCTCAGGCTCAGGCTCAGGCTTAGGCTCAGGCTCAGGCTTAGGCTTTCGTTTTCTTTGTGCCAGTCAAATTCAAATTCGCGTCAAAGTTGCTTAAACAAAAAGGAATCCGTCAAATTTACTAATTAAAATGAAATAAAAAGAGTAGCATACCTGTAGTAGCAGTAAAAAGAGTTGCATAAATGACTTTAAAATCTTCTTCAATGATAAAAATTGATGAATCCTGCTTGGCATTGATTTAATCCGTTAAAACATTTGCTGTTGATTGCTTCTGAAACGGAAAATGTATTCAAGACTTGGAATTAGCTCTAGAACTAGAACAAGAACAAGGACTAGAACTAGAACAAGGACTAGAACTAGAACTAGAACAAGAACAAGAACAAGAACAAGAACAAGAACAAGAACAAGAACTAGAAAAAGAACAAGAACAAGGACTAGAATTAGAACTAGAACAAGAACAAGAACAAGAACTAGAACTAGAACTAGAACTAGAACTAGAACAAGAACAAGAACAAGAACTAGAACTGACCGCGAGCTTTTTTAAGAACCTAATATTCGCGAATTTCGATCTCTTGTCAAAGGCGGCGTTTTTGTGCAAGGATTGCTTTCATCCTTGCAAGGATCCAAGCTCTAAATTGCTAGCATTCGTGCTGGGGACTAACATCCGTACTGGGAACTAAATCAAAACCAAATCATTCAAACCCCGCTCTTCAGTTCTCGTTCTCAGCCCGCGTCTCTGCTCATTCAGCTCGCCAACATTTGGCCACAATTCGCTTTAAAGAGCCAAATGAGAAAACGTGAGTTTATATGCAAATTTGGTCTTTAGTTTATTTGAATGATCTAGTTTATTGTATTCGAAAATCTTTTAGCAACCAAATTTCACACCGAAAAAGATTGAGGTTATTTAAAGGGATTTCGTGCATGTTTTTTTTTACTTTTTTCTATTTATTCACCTCAAATTGGAATTTAGAGAATGGGTTTAAATTTTTCAAATTTTAGACGTTTCGAGTTGATTTTAAATCGAAATGGGACAATCAACGCCGGAGCAATTATGGCAAGGGGAACACAGGTGAATTTGGCGACCTCCAGAAAAGCTGTGACCTCCAGAAAAAGAGTTCGGTGAGAGATCCGACTCTAAAGCTGGAAGCCGACTCTAAAGCTCTAAGAATCGACCGCAATGGCTTCAGTCCTGAATTTCCATCCAATTCTAAATCCCAATCTCGCAATGACTGAATTTCCATCCAAATCCAAATCCCAATCTTCAGGTTCTGAACTTTGCCGGCAATTTCACCGATGGTTACCGGCATTTTATCGTCGTTCAATTCTCGAAGAAGTACGCAACGACAGTCATGGTGAATTTCAATGCTAATTCTTTTTGTTTTTCGTTTTGTCATGATTCCAATTGTGATCCAATTTGGGCAATGGCAAAAAGCAAAAAATTTCAGATTGATTCTCTGCGAAAAGACTTCGATCCAGAGTTTGATCAAAATTTCGACCTCTACGCAGCCGAATTGATTGAAGTTGGTCAGCGATTTGATAAAAAAAAGCCAAAATTTCAGATCGGCGGTGTGCCAGAGGGGATCCCAGCGCCACAAAATCGACGGAGACGTCAATCGGAGACAGGAACAAGGCTTTCCTCGAACTATGAGGGATGCATCAGTAGTGAGTTGAAATTTGATCAATGAGCAAAAACTTTCTAGCTATAATCTCTAAAGCTGACCTTGGGAAAGCCTCTTGTGACATCCAGAATGATCGAATTTAAGCGGAAATCTTGAATTGAATCAAATTCGATCAAAATTTCGACTATCAGTCTTGAGCTGAAGTTTAAGCAAAAACTTTCTAGCTATAACCTCCAAGTCTAACCATGGGAAAGCCTCTTGTGACATCCAGAATGATCAAATTTAAGTGGAAATCTTGAATTGAATCAAAATCTAGACCTGATCGTCGACTATCAGCGATCTCGTCTCACTTTTGAGCCTTTCTCGCTATTGGAAAATTCGGCTCATTCGCACTCGAACAAGGTAAACCAAATTGGATGTGAGGCTGTCGAATACGCGATTACACGACTTCTAGGTCCGTATGATGCCAAATGTGAAAGCCGATCGAGTGAGATGCGCAAAATTCGAGGAACCTGACGCGTTGCCGAGTGGGTTTTCAAAGTTTTACTTCAACGAATTCTATGGTATTCAGGCTACCAGAATACGGTTGAGTTCCCGAATTGGGAGACGAATTTCGCACGCCGCGACTACACCGGGCATACATCGCTCGACGAGGCACAGAGCGATGATCAAGAGCCGAATTGTGAGTGCATTGGGGAAATGGGAAAATGGGAAATGGGATTTATGCATCCCAGCATTTTCCTGAATGCTTTAAATGTTAAAGTGCGCTCCAGATCGATCAGTCGATTAATCAAAAAGTCGTTTTGAAAACAAATTTCCTCGATTTTTAGGGTGGTTGATCGGTTTGCTGATCGCCGTTTCATTGATTCTCATCATTCTCATCGTGCTTTGCCTTTGGTGTTGTTGTTGTCGGAAAGGCGAGACCTTAAATGGTAATGTTCTCGAGGAAACCCACCAGAATCGGGTTACGGTAGAGCACGCTTTACGAAAGTGACTTTTCCAAAGGATAGATTAAATGAATATCGAAAAATTCGAAATTCGACTTTAAAACTTCAAAACTCTTTCATTCTACAGTGTGACTTCCAGAATAAACAAAAACTCTAAAATCGACTCGAGAAATCCTCTAAATTCAACCGTAACATGGCCGTACTCTTTTCACCGTATCGCTCTTCATCAAATTCTCTTTTCAGGCAAAAAACCTGAGGAAACAATGCCACTGCGCTCCAATTCATTCGATCACACTTTCCCAGGATATCAACAACGTTCGCTTTTCATAGAAAACGCCTCAATCTTTTTTTTTAAGCTAATCACAAAGCAAAGAACAACTTCGATATCCCAGCACCAGATCACGAATTCGATGAAAAGGTGGGCAGAGTGAGTGAGAGAGAAAAATGAGCTGAATATCAAGTAAATACTGCTCACAGTCATCCACCGTAATCCAATTGTTATCCATAGTAAGCTAGCGTAATCCAACTGCTGTCTATAGTAAGCTAGCGTAGCCCAATCCACCGTAATCCACAGAGGTGTAGTTGTGTGTGTAGAGATTTGCCTCTGCGACGGGCACCACATTGTCTGGCTATTTCACGGCTCAGGAAACCCCCTCATGGGCGGGTAGCTACGATGATGACTTCGACAAGACGCTGACTGAGGGAATGGACGAAGGAGAAGTGCCGCATGCACAACATGGAGAAGAGCTCCCGCAAATACAGCTGCAACACACGAGCAATGAGACAACTCCGTGAGTTTTTTTGCGTGAAATTCGAGTCCTAAGTAGTAAGGAGTAAGTAAACTAGGTCAAAAGGCTCAAGCCAGATCTAGAGCCTGCCCAATCTAGAGGCCGGTCAATCTAGAGCCTGCCCAATCTAAAGCCTGGCCGATCTAGAGCCTGCCCAATCTAAAGCCTGGCCGATCTAGAGCCTGGCCGATCTAGAGCCTGGCCAATCTAGAGTGGCTAAACAACAATGTCCCGTCCCTTTAGATCTCACACATTTGGGGTAGCACATCTGCAGAATCCAATCAGCGAAGGGGAAGCCGATCCCCTCTAAAACTCTGATCTAGTTCTACCATGATTCTAAAATGAGGTAATTATGACTCTTACACCATCCACTTTACATTCAAAGATCAATTTGCATTTAAAAGCGGTCAAAATGGAAATTATACTGGGAAAAGTGAGCGGTGTAAAAGTCATAAGAACCCAAAAGCTGATCCAAAATGATCTGATCAGCCAGAGCCAGTCAGGGCCAGCTAGGGTCAGCTAGGGCCAGCCTGGGTCAGCCAGGATCAGCTAGACTGGACTTGGCTTTGCCTCTGGTTCATTCATTCATTTTAAACTAAAGCAATTGGATTGAAAGAAGCAATTGAAACAAAAATCAACTAAAACAAAATGAATAAACTAAAGTAAAGATACCCGATTGATCTCCAAGAAGCTGAAAATCCAAAAACCCAATTGCAGCCGCAATCTGCCGGGTCGTCAGGGTTCATTCCGTAACAATCGTCAATCTCCGTCGTCTCCTCTCTTCTCAGCTCCTCCTCCTCCATCGCGGAGTCCCGTGCCCGTGGCGCCTCCAACTCTTTCGCCAACAAATCTCGCAAAATTGTGATTTTTCTTTCTTTAAATCCGATCTAGAAAACAGTAATCTCATCATTATTCGTTTTTTTATTTATTTTTTGCAATTTTTGATAACTGCCAATTCTCCATGACTGAAACGCATAAACGGGAATCAATTTTTGCCTTTTCTTTCTCTTTTTTTTGTCTTTTTTTCTTTTACGTATAATATTTTGTTGTTAATTTTCTCGTAATTTTCTCGTAATTTATTCATAAATTCATTTATTATTTATTTTTTGGTCCTTTTAACGTTTCGTAATTTGGAATTTATACGGAAATCTGTAAGATAAATCTTTTAGATATGCTAAAAATGAGTGTGCATTCGATAATTGATTTAAAAAAGATAAAAAACTCGGGGGAATGAGATCGTTTGGTTTGAATGTTTCGAGATCATCTCAAAAATGAGCACTAAAATTGATAGAGATTCAAAAAAAAAAAAAAAAAAAGAAAAAAAGTTAAAAAAGCAAGAAAATGAGAAAAATTATATCGCTAGATGCTCTTAAATGCGTGGGAAAATCGTTTTGAATCAAAAAAACCTCTCATGACGTGGCCACGTCGCATGCACGTCGAATACTCAGCACTTGTTTCTGAAATCGCTTTTCTGAATCGATGTCTCAAAATCCTCAATACCACATCGTATTTCCCAGCATTTTTCGAGAGCTTCTCTTTTCGAATCCAACCAGCGCACGCCGTTTCATATTGCTCATCTTTGGCTGAGGCGGAAAGGTCAAACACCTAAGGATTTCTCTTTTTTTAATCCTTCTAAAACTCATTTCACTTACCCATCTCAAATATAGACGCCAAGCTGCCCATTTCAGTGGCTCATGCACGAGCTTTCCCTGAAAATGCTCGAAATCAATTCAGTAACGCCTGCAGAGAGACTCACTTTCCTCGCTCGGGCCTCTGCTTTGAAGAGATCGATGGTGAAAGTGAATGCTTGATCGATCCACGTCGGCGAGACAGATTCCACCCACCAGTCCCACAAATCGTCGTGCCACTGATAGAGTTCGTTAACACGAAAGTCGTTTGGGTTATTTTAAGTTGAGTCTTAGTCTAAAACGTCTAAACGAAAAACCCTGGGCTTTCCTGAAGGCTAAGTTAGTCTTAGCCTTGACACTGGATGATTAGGAGGGTGAGTTTCAGTCAGAAGGATGATGTTAATCTTTAAACCCAGATCTGGGCTAGAATGGTCTAAAGTCGTAGAGATTCTAGAGATAGAAATCCGATCCTGAACTATCAGCCTGAGTCAGCATTGGCTCCGATGAGCCGGTGTCAGTCAGAAGTCCTAGTCTAACGGGGTTCTGAATCCAACTGACAGAAGTCCGGCTCCGACTGAGCTAGTTTTAATTTCAGACGGTCAGGCTCAGAGATATGCCGTTCGGAAATTTCAGAAAGGTCAGGGTCACCCGAAAATTTCCCTCTCAAGACTAACCTGTAAACTTTTGTTTGCCATTTTCCTCTTTGAAATTGCTGGCTTCTCGTAGATGATCGACAGGGAGTCCATTTCGAAGAAACGATAGACTTTCGCCGGGTTCTCGTATCTAAAATCTCGAATTTGATGAAGGATTAGAAAAGGTTGTTGGAAAAATCCCAGAAATTAGATAAATAAATTCCTGTTGCATGCTGTCCAGGATAAGTAAAAAAAATTGTAAAAGCTTTAAAATCTCACATTTCAAAACGGCTACAGTACATCTATAGACAAACCAAAAACGGGTTACGGTGGATTGGAGTGCATTTTCACCAAAAAAACTGTCACTTTATTGAAAGGTGATCGTTTGTGAAAGGTGATAAGAGTTGAAAAATCTCATCGAGAGGTCGATTTGTCGATTTTGCTCGTGAAATAAACAGATTTCAGCAAATTCAATTGTTTCTCTAGTTTTTCTTTTTGAATTAAGCATCAGCTGCGTATTTGTTTCGAATTCTAAATAGAAGCAGATGAGAAAATTCCAATCCTAACCTAATTCCACCATCGTTTCCTCAGCCATCTCTTGGCTAATTCCGAAATGTTTGCTTATAAATAGAAATTGTTCTTCTCTGCTTGTAGACAAAATTTCAGAGCAATCGGTGAAGAGATAGCTGAGAAAACAAAGGTGGAATTCGGTTCTGACTGGAATTTTCCCCATATCTAGTACAATGGCCTTGGTTTAAAATCAAAAACTCTAGTAGTTTTCGTGGTAAATAGCCCAGATTACTGATTAGCTCTGATACGGTAGTGCTGCTGGCTGGCTGCTGGCTCATATGAATACGATAGTTGTGTCGTTCTCTACCGTATTGACATGGTTTACTAAAGCATGTTATCCAGTAACTCTGAAGTAGTTTAGGTGCAAGATCTCGCCAACCAACTATATTAGGGACGTTTTTTTTAAAGGATTAACCGATAAAGTACAATAGTTTAAGCATAAAGCATTTGATATCACAAGGAAGCTAAGCTACTGGGGCTACGGTAGTTCAGATGGAAAATGGGAAAACCCCCCCTTCAAACTAACACCTCCCAATCGCTGTCCGCATGAAAGCAAATCGTCCAAATCCTTATCACCATTCGATAATCATTTCCGTATTTGTTAAGCGTTTGATTTTTGTAAGCCTCCATTTCCTCATCGTCTGCGAACATTTCACGAAAAGATTTACGATGTAAAATCGAGGCACACAAAATATTCGATCGTGAATGAATTAAGGGAAGGCTGGAATCGAGGATGCGTTCCAGAAATGAAGATTTCACGAAAATTCGACGTATTTAGTGCAAAACAAAGGGTTAAAAAAATGAACACTGCACGACGGGGTTAGCTTGATCTCTAGCCAACATCCAGCTCAGCCATTTCAATGCTCAAACCCAGCACTCACCTATCATAAAGCAATTTCGCGAACGTCGACGAGACGCGGGCTTCATTCGAGTGAAAAGTGACTCGTTTCTCGAGAAATTGCCGACCCGAGCCGGCAATGCATAAACAGATACAGAACATCCACAGGGAGCACCAGAACTGGAATTAGCAGCTATTTACAACTTTATAGGTCAAGATCTAAGTTTTTTAAGCAAAGCCAGGTCAGAGCAGAAGCAGTTCAGAGCCTGGTTTCTATCAGTCCAGAAGGCTAAAAGTGGCTGGAGGTAAGACCGAGCCAAACCAGCCAAGCCAGTCAAGCTTAACCAGCCAAGCCAGCCAAGCCAAGCCAGTCAAGCCAAGCCAGAAACCAGCTCAAGATCTGGCTCTATCAGGCTGGGCAAAGCCCGGACCTGGTTGGCATGATTTGGCTTTTGAATGGTACTTCTTGTGATCCAGGTCAAGCTTCAGGTCAGAGATCAGATAAAAAAAAATTTCATTTTCTCACCACATAGTGTTTATATCGAAACGAGCGATCTCTGGGACAAATCTTTTTCGCGCCTCGATTCCCGATTAGTGTGCCGGCAATCGACGAAGAGAACACCGCCCGCCAAATCGACAAATCGAAGACTTTTAGCTGAAAGCTATCAAATTTCGACTCTAGAAGTATCGCATGAGTTCCAGGATGGCCAAAAGCGGCTTGAAAATTTTAAAAGTTAAACGCTCACCGCCACGGTCAGTATCGTGAAGGTGGACATCCAAATCGGGGCGGCGCTTCGGCTCTGTCCGCCACTGTTTCCCACCAGGAAGATGCCTAGAAAATGAGTAGTTTCGGATGTAAGCTGAGATCTGAAAATTACCAAAAGACACCGCTCCGGCGACAATAGTCATTAGGGGGAAATGTTCGGATGGCGAGATGCCGAGTAGAAGATTTCCCGTCCCAGCGACAAACATCCCGAGATAACAAGCTGAAAGTTTAGTTGATATAGACTTTTCAATGGCTGAAAGTTGCGAGCAGGCAGATTTCCTTAGCTACAAGCTGGCTGAATAGTTTGCTTCAAAGCTAATTCTGACTGGCTAGCTAAAGTCGTAGCTAATTTTGGCTAGCTAATTTGACGTCGACTGTTTCCTGCAATAGTTGACCACAGCAGAGTTAAGCTCTGCTGTGGTCTGACATTTAAGTTGACTTGAAGAAGCTGGGCAGGTTTAGCTTTGCTTTAGGGTATCAACGAGTTCCTGTTCCATCTTGGCTTTGCGCTACTTTAGAGGACTATTATCTAGCAGAGATCAGTACTGACAGTCGTTTACTAGTAGCTTAAATCCACCGTAATCCCTTTATGACTTACCATACAAAATCGAGTAGACAAAGCGGCTGAACGAGAATCGCACAAGAGCAGCCGTTTGCGGCAATAGGAAACGCACGGTTCTAGAAATTGTTCACTCGTCACAAAATTGCTCTTTCCCAACTCACTTCCCATTTCCAGATGCCTTTCCCTCGGCGGGATTTCCATCATCGATTCGATCATTGTACTCTTGCACTTGACTGTTAATGAAAAAACTGTCATAGAAGACACCAAGAAGGAAAACTCCTGAAAATTCTTATTTCAATTCCTTATTTTCAATTTTAATCATCAATGGCTTTAATTTTAAAGATTTTAGTCTAATTGGCTACTTTTTAGAGTGGGTTTTAAACGATAATTTCGACTGTTTAAATCTATTCGATTTCAACGCTAACTGTTTTTTAAATTACTTTAAATTTAATTTACATTTCAATTAAAAATTATTTTAAAGCTTTGACCCGATCAGATATTTTTATAATCTTGGTTTAAACGGCTAAAGAACATTGTGCTACCTAGACATATGTTAAGGCTCTAATCCTCTAATTCCGACCGGGTTCTCGGGGCTGAAAGCCAGAGCCAGGTTATAATCAGGCCCAGGTTTTTTTTCTTCTGCAGCAAAGCCAGGTCAGATAAGCATGGCCTGACCTAGGTCTTTTTAAACCTCCGTTCATTCAACTCCAACCATGGAAGCTCGATCAGAGCCGAGATAAAAACCAGATTAAAGAATGGCTTCTAGCCAGGTTTTTTTTCATTGGACCAGTTTTGAAAGTCAGATCGGTCAGAGCCCCGATGAGAAGCTAGGCCTGGTTCCTGATCGATTTAGCCTACAGTTTAATTAGCCTCATTCAACATTGTAGCCCCCGGAAGCACAATTCTCAATACCAATTTAAGTAAGAAAAAACACTATACAAAAATACATTATTTCGCTTATTTAAAGTTCTAATATTCATTTAAACTCAAAAAGCACAAACCCCATGTCGAGAAGTAGATGAATGCCTCGGGGATTTGTCTCAAATATAGTCGATGCCAGCCGAAGATGCCTCCGATCATCAAAAAAGCTCTGAAAAGAGGGAAATCACTAAGATTAAGAATTAAGATCACTCGAATTGATAATAAAAATGGTTAGGATTGGATGGGTATTGAGAAAATTAATTTTAAAAACTTTCAAAATTTCTTACCTTGCTCTTAACACATCGAATGGTTTCTCGGTGACCGTTGCACCGATTGACCCGCTCATCTAAAATTTGATTATAAAAAAAGGTGCAAGAACGGGAAAAACAAAAAGACGAAGGCAATTCAAAAAGATCAAATTTTATTTGTTTGAATACAGTAATTTCATAATAGGCGTCTTTTAGAAAAGAAATGGCCGAGGAAAAAAAATCTGGAGAGGCGCCTTTCAAAAATTTCGGTCAAATCCACAAATTTCATAAATCAAATCTTTAAATATCGCACTTTTGTCGAAGTTTCGATCGAAAATCGTAAAATCGAATAAATTATCGAATCAAGTGCTTTATTTTACGGTAACGAACAGAGGAAAAAGCGGAATCATCAAAAATCGCACAGAAACAGCGAAAAAACCCAGAGAAAATTCGGAAACGATGAATTTGTCACCCATAATTTGCAGAAATAAAACAAAACAGACACAATCGATTCGTGATACGTTGGAAAATGATTTCAAAAAACTGAAGAGAACGCACTGAATTATTAATTCCAGAGCCGACAAAAAGACAAAGACAATCAGCGCTGAATTGATTAGAAAAACAATCGATCAATCTGAGAGAAATCACAAAAATCGTAAATTTCACCGTTATTATTGTATCACAGTTGGTGAGATGGTGTGAAGAAAACCGAGAAAAAAGCCTATAGAATTTGAAAAATACTTCGCTTTTCTCAGTCAATCTTGATCGAGCCATAGATTTTGCACAGGAAATAGTAGGCCGCGTAGAAACCGATCGTCCCCGTCATAAACCACAGAGTGAGCGCCATGAGGAAACTGAACAAATGGAAAAATGGTAAAGACTTTAGTCTCGAAATCAAATTGCCCTGACATAATACTGATATTCAATATTCAAAAGTCTATAAGTTTCAAAAATCGAACTTGCAAACACTCACCTATAACTGAAATAGAGCACGGTGGGCACAAATCCGACAATGTTCAACTTGGTGTAATAGTAGAACAGCGCATAGAGCATCACTGAAAACACAAGAACTAGAAAAATTATCAAAAAAAAGGTAAAACCGACCATAGATAGCCGATCCAGCGCTGATGTAGAATGAGCGCCACCACCAACGATAGTTCTAAAAAAATTTGAGAATGCATATGTTTCAATCAATTCATCTAGATAGTCTCTATTTTAGTCTCTAAAATTTCCCAAAGCATTTACCTCAGCGCACAATTGAAAGTACGTGGCCACGATGCTGATTTGAGCGGTCGAGATGGCCAAAATCACCGAAACGATCATGAGGAAGCCGAAGAGGTAATAGAATTGATTCTCCCATAGAGCCTGAAAAGAATAAAATAAAATTGCATCTTGACTATGGCTTTGAGTTTTTTTTTTACGTACTGTAATGAGCAAAGCCAAAAAAAGTTGGTTGCCCGGGGCAACGTGAGCGGGTAACTCAAGCAAAAAGCTTTAATTGAAAACTACAATTCAAACGGGCTTTTGTTTGGAATTAGATCAATTTGATAAAGTTTTAAGCATAAATCGCTCAAGATCACCCACCGAAAAGATGAAAAACAACTCGATGAACATGGCGCCAAATGGTAGAATTCCGGCGAGAAGCGTGGCTGGCAGAGATTGGAGGAACCTGAGCAAAAAAAAGGTTAAACACTCCTTTATACAACTAACCATGGTTGCTCGGGCACTTGTCGAGGGATTTGATTCGTGCGAACTGGATGAGTGTAACCCTGAAAAGCAAAAAAGATTACCAAATCAAGATTTTGACTCATCACAATCTGTAGGTTCCTAGGTTATCAAGTGTATCAACGGCTAATCTGGAGAACTCTAAATTGTTGTAGGCACAAAATTCAGACTTTCTTCACTTTTCGAGATCTTTGTGAAAACCTCAGCTGGCCTCGCTTTTTATAAGTTGTAACTACTGATCAAAAGGAAGCTAATCCAATGGCTTCACCTTCACTTCATTTGCAGTCAGACAGTGTACAATCTTTCGAAAAAGACTCACAGGGCAGATCAGACCAGAGCCCCCGACAGGCTTACTCATAGTCAGTCGACCAGAACCCAAGAAAGCCTTACTGAACAAACTGAGCCTTACTGCCTTCGACTTAAGCTCGTTTCGTCCGGGTTCAGGCTTGCCCTGTGAAAAAAATCTGACTTCTAGGCTGGCCCTGTCTTTTTAGATCATACCCAGAATGCCTTTTCACTCACATGTTTCCGATATCCGAAGTAGAAACCGATGAACACGAGCGGGAGATCGATTCCGAACCACATCAACAACAGCACCACCATCGTGCCGAATGGAACCTAAAAACATTGATTTGACAAAAGAAAGCTTTTAAACGCACAGCTCCAGAAGAATTCTTTGAGATCAGGAAGAAATTGATGATGAAGCCACCGCCTAAAACATTCAGTGGACAAATTATAATGCAGTTGATGGATAAAAGTCAAAAACTATTCAAAACCCACCCAAAATCATCGACGGAAACAGGAAACCGGTCTGGAAAAGAGGAAAAAATTTGACTCAAACCCAAGAAATTCCCCTACTTGAACAGCACATCGAATTGGATTTCTTCCTTTCATTGTCTTGTACAAACGGCCCGCATGGTATCCGGCAAAAAGACCCATCAAACAGTAGAGAACAAGGCTAAAATTATACAGTTGTAAATGAACATTCGAAGAACCAAGTTACCTAGCCGATGTGAGCGAACCACGCGACGATGGAGACAACATTCCGAGAGTGGCACAAGCTGAAAAATACACACAATAAATATTCCAGTAGTTGAGGCTGGCTCAAACAGCTTAAATTAAGTAGGTTTAGTTCAATGGCAACCAACATTTCCCTAAATCAAGAACCTGGACAAAGGGTTCAGCATTAGACCTCGCAAAGTCATATGTATATCTCGAATGTACAAGACTCTACTCGACTCAGTAACTTAATTTTTACAGTGCTCCAGCTTAACTGGCGTTTGGCTAGATCTGTAAAATTCGGAACATAATCAGGCTAAAGCTACGCTAAGTTGGCTTTATTGGCAAAACCGTTCTGACTGTGACGTTCTCACCAATGGTCACGGCGGCCATTCCAATCAGCTGAATGCCCGTTCCGACCATGTTCACAAGAATCATCTGATGTCGAGGCGGTCTGAACACATCTCCGTGCACTAATTTCCATCCGGTTTCCTCAAGAGTGTCATCCTAAAATAAGAATTGATTCAATTCGTGAATAGACGTTGATTAACTGCACACGATTCCAAAAGCCAAGCCTTTTCTACCTCTTCTTCCAGCCGATTGTATTGAGTGATATCGCGTCGCAGAGTGCGCACAATGCTGATCGAGAGGAATCCTAAACAAACCATTGTTTAGTCTTTTTAAATTTACTGTAAAGTCCAGGATATCCCTACAGTATACCGCAATGAAACTATTTAGCCAATAAGACTGAAAAGCCAGATTTGGCACGGCCAGAAGTTAGACTCCGCTTTTTCGGACCATGACTAGGCCAGTTTCAATATCCATGCTTCAATATTATTCTGGATAAAGCCTGGGATTGAGGTCCTGAAGTCTCAAGTCCAAAGCCTTACAAAAAGTACCAAATTTAGAAGATTTGACTCTGGCTATACCTGGGTTGAACGACTCATTTCCCAAAAAAATCAAGCCAAGCACCGGGCTTCTGGAAAATCCGATCTGGTTCTAGTCTAGAACCAGGTCGGAAATCCGCGTAGAACACCCCAAACTCACCAGACAACGAGATGATGACGATGATCGAGTTGAGAATGGAGAACCAATGAATGTCCGTTCCTTTGATCGACAAGAGCACATCCCAACGAGAAGCCCACGGAATGTCCGATTGTTCCCAGTGCAATGTGTAGGTCCAACTAAACGTTTTGATCAGATAAGATACAAAGGGAATAAACTCACTGAAAGCTCTTCTTGTCCTCCGTGTCCTTCAAAATAAGGGGCTTTGCGTTGTGGTCGTCGACACACGTCTAAATTTGAAGCTGCATACTAGAAATGTGTCATTTAAAAGCTATTCACCAAAGGGAAGCCGTCAATTTTTGAATTTATAAACCATCTGAAATCACAGCAGCTTTCTTTACTCATCTATCGCAAATTCGAAAAACTCTATAGTTTAAAGCCTTGAGCAACGTTAAATTGGATAGAAAATGCATCAATTACACTCCACTGGATTGCTAATAGTCTTGGATTGAAAATTTCAGATTTTGATATTAAAACCAATCCAACTTTGCTCGTACAAGAATTAGATAGAAATTCGAGCATTCTGTCTAATTTTTCGCTCAATTTAACATTGCTTAAGGCTTAAACTTGTAGAGTTTCTCAAATTTACATTAAAATGAGTCCAAAAATGCCGCTAAACCAATTTAAAACAAAAATTTGCTTAGCAAAGATGCCAAATTGTAAAATCACTAAAGCATTCAATCATTAAAGGTTAAATTTGCAAGTGTAAACTGATGAATTTTTAGCTTTTTGGTCAAAATGACCGTCTAAAGGCCATTATGACCTAAACGCCAAGAAAAGAGGCCTTAACCTTTTTTCAACTTCCAAACTTACACTATCATCCCCGAATTTCGAAGCGTCGATGCTCCTCGGGTGTACCTCAAAGCCGACCACTCGATATTTCACTCCATCCGGTCCCGCTTGTTTGTGATACTTTAGCACAAAGTCGAGATGATTATGCAAAATGACCTAAACCCATCGAGTTCAACGATTTCCTTAACAAGACAACCTCTCCCTTATCACCAATTGTTCCCAATTTGTATCCAATGTCATAGTAGATTTCCGGAACCGCCGACTCATCATTTCCCCGCAATTCCAGGCGCGTTGAAACGGGCAAATTGTCGACAAGTCTGAAAAAAGCAATATTATGAGTATTTGTGCGCCATAAGGCAACAAATTTATTCTGTTTCTTATAATATTAATGGTACGAGTCCGTTTGTTCTAATAAAAACAAGTATTCAAGCGTTTTTCACTGAGAAATTTACTTGTTTTATTCAATTTTATGATTTACTTGGTCATTTTAGACAAAATTTGACTAAACCAAGACCAATTTTATTTATTGACTGACGTCGTCAAAAGTTTTTTGGTATCAGAAGTCGTAATTCAGCTAAAATCCAGATAACGATGACCAACAGATCGTAAAATTCCCAGTATTACTATATCCGGATTGATTATATAGCCGAATCATTCGTTTAATTTGTTTATTTGCCTTACAATTTATGAAATTTGGGACTCTTTGGCGGCCATTTTCACGGAGATGAAAATGGCCGCCAAAGAAATTGTAATTAAAGCATGCTCAACTCAAATTTGAGTCACAACTGCCCAATTATTAATCAAACTTACAAATGTACGTGGTAATCCTCTCGGATCCGTGACATCAACTCGGCGGATTGCTCTTTTGTGAGCGTGATTTCCGTTGAGTCGACGCACGACGACGCACAGCTCACGTTGACTGCCATTTTAAACTAAAAAAAAAATGAATTGATTAGCAGCAAGATTTGTTCTTGGCAATCTTGATAGTTTTATCTGAAACTTGACAATAAATTGGATCTTTTTGAGTAAAAAAGGCTAGATGTTCGGTCAATTTTAAGCAAGCTTACGCTAAAAATAGGGCATTGAAGCTTACGCTAAAAACGGCAATGTTCAACTAAAAGAACTTTCTGAACGAATCAATCTACTGATTAAGAATCAACTAAAGTTGTAGATTCTTAACCTACTGAACGGCTCAATCTACTGATTAAGAATCAACTGAAGTTGTTGATTCTTAATCTACTGAACGGCTCAATCTATTGATTAAGAATCAACTAAAGTTGTTGATTCTTAATCTACTGAACGGCTCAATCTACTGATTAAGAATCAACTGAAGTTATTGTTAAGCTAACGAATCAATCTACTTAATCAGTAGATTGATTCGCTAACTTTAAATTGCTTTACCTCCAACGGTGTATTCACAATGCGATCTCCCCTCAACAATTCGCCAATGTTCTCGCTGTTGTAGTGCAATTTTCCTTTGGGTCGACAAAACGGCAACGCGTAGTACTCGTATGGGATCACGGTCTTCGTCGACGTCAGTTTAATGCCCTGAAATAAAAACATACTTATTAAATCATAAATATTTCACTACAATTTGTGCATTATGCAAACATTTTCACACTAAATTGATGAAATCCGCTTTTAAACGCTAAAATTAACGCAAAATGATAGAAGTTTAAAGGTTTAAGTTTAAAGGTTTAACAAAAAGTTAAACATTTGCCTAAAGAATTTCATTTTTAGTTACAAAGCCTATGGTAAATGTAAAATTTCACAAATTTCAATTTGTAAATTGAATTTGCGTTAATCTATTGATCTTTAGATCGTTAATCAGATCAATGAGCAATATTTTCGTTCTTCTTTTAAACTCTGAAAGCGATAGGTTCAAAAGATTGATAAAACTAGTAGAATAGTCAAAAAAAGCTAAGTTTTAGCGTATCTTCAACTTATTAAAGGAAAAGCAAAGCTTCAACTTATTAAAGAACAGGCCGAGCTTCAACTAATTAAAGGAAAAGCCAAGCTTCAACTGATTAAAGAACAAGCCAAGCTTCAACTTATTAAAGGAAAAGCAAAGCTTCAACTTATTAAAGAACAGGCCGAGCTTCAACTAATTAAAGGAAAAGCCAAGCTTCAACTGATTAAAGAACAAGCCAAGCTTCAACTTATTAAAGGACAAGCCAAGCTTCAACTTATTAAAGGAAAAACCAAACTTCAACTTATTAAAGAACAGGCCAAGCTTCAACTTATTAAAGGAAAAGCCAAACCTCAATTAAAGGACAAGCCAAGCTTCAACTTATTAAAGGAAAAGCCAAGCTCCAAAACATTTTGTTAGCTCTCTGGAATAAAATAGAAACCGCAAATTGAAGTTGCTTACACGTCTCAGGCCTTGAAACACCAATAAAACCAATTACAGCTAACAAAAGCTAACAAAACGGTTCCTGATAAGCACAGATCAGGTTTTACCTTGACTTCGATGGAGTCTCTCTCAGCAAATTCGACAGGAGCCACGCCGGGCACATAGAACGTGGCTATTCGATCGAGCAGCAACGCCAAGACGAATAAACGAAAGAAGAGGCCCATCTTGGTTCTGAAATTTGAAAATATTATAGAAAACGTGTCAGAAAACATAGAAACTTTAAAAACAATAAAAATTCTTAGATTCTAAAGAAATCGACGGGGTTTTTCTTGGGCCTTTCGGCCTTTTGCCAGATGAATAGGTGGCTGAAAACGAAAGAATCCTATCGACACAAAAAGATGAGTGTTTTCGATTACGAGCTGGATAGAGGGGATGGATAAAAGGAAAAGCATTTTCAACAAGCAATAAAGCATTTTCCAATCGCTCATTAAAGCCAAAGCCTAGGTAAATCACAAAAATACAAGAGTGGCAAAGAGGGTGGTCCATCCACTAAGCTCATCACACGTCTAGACCGTTAACAACACTCGAGGCAACATCAAGCCTATGCTTAGCCAGAGTCATAGCCTAGTGATGAGCCTAGTGATGAGCTTAGTGTCGCAAGAATAGGCTATAAAAATATTGGCAATCGATTTAGCGTGGCCGAAAACCCTAGAAACTGTTTTTGGCACTTGCTAGAGGCATTTTTGAGGCCTCTCACATGATTCTAAATTACTCGAACTCATTACCAACGACCATCGGGTATCATCGCGTGAATTGGGAGAAGAGTTAGGGGTTGATCATGCTACAGTGCTACAGTGCTATGCTACAGTGCTAAGGCACATCATACCCATGGATTTAAATCGAAACTTGGGGCTTGGGTGCCCCACATCCGCGCGAAATGGTGTTCTCTATCAGAATTTCATGTTTGAATATCCATTTGACGCAGAAAATTGTGCTGAATGGTGAAAAAAATTATCGAAATCCGTCTGGCTCAATTTTTTTAAAAATCGCGTTTTATCAAAAAAACCGCACTTTTACAATCAACTCGTTCGCCGCGACCAACTTTCGGTGGCTCGTTCTCAGCGTGGTCGAAAGATTGCGCCCTCAAAGCCGATAACTTTTGTTTGGACGTGTGCAAAGATCATTTTGATACCAAAAAAAATAAAAATTGATCAACTCTGCGAAGACTTGATGCCTTTATTAAATGCGAATCCGGGACACGCCCAAAATGCGGTTTTTTTTGCTTTTTTTTATATATTTGATCTTCTTCCTTGCGCGTCACCCCCTTTCATTTACTGAGGCGAGGTGTAGTGTCACCGCCGGGGCGGCGGGGGAACCGGGGGTTTTATCTTTGTAAGCTTTGTTTTAGCTCTCTAAGCATGTAAAACTGAAAACACGCCCGAGATTGTCCGTCCGTCACGTAGATTGTCCACGTTTTAGCGGGCAGAAAGTCAAAAAACGTCATTTTCAACATTCAGCACAATTTTCTGCATCGAATGGATATTAAAACATGAAATTCTGATAGAGAACACCATTTCACGCGGATGTGGGGCACCCAATCCCCAAGTTTCGATTTAAACCCATGGGTATGATTTGCCTTAGCACTGTAGCATAGCACTGTAGCACTGTAGCATGATCAACCTCTAACTCTTCTCCCAATTCACGCGATGATACCCGATGATCGTTGGTAATGAGTTCGAGTAATTTGGAATCATCCAGTTGGGGTACCGCTCCACGGCCCTCTGCATCTTTCAAAGATTTGTCCCCAGATCGAAACTTGGCATTGACGCAAATTGACGCAAAAAAAAAAACTCGTTTTGTTTTGTGTTTATTTCCCCTTGCTCGTGTCAAGATCACGTGTTGAGAGGAAAAGAAAGAAAGAAAGAAAGAGAGAAAAATCTTTTCCCATTGGGGTTTCCCGAATCAGAAAACAGACAAAGCTATCACATTTTTTTACCGAAAAAGATTTGGAATTGAAAAATCGAAAACTTTTCCGAAAATACCCCTTCTCTTTGCTCGTTTTGCTATTTTTGGAACACACATTGCCGGTTTTCAGCGAAATTTCTTGTGATAAATAGAAAAGTTTCCGACTTGGAAACTGTCGTCATCCGTGTTTGATGGTATTTAAGTCATCCGCGTTTGATAGTGGAAATGAATCAAAGGGATCATTCTTTCAGCTTATTTTATCAATTCTAGATATCATATTAGGTTGTTCGGATATAAACGAGCGTTTGCATTGCTTAAGGAAGCGAGGAAGCCATTTCCCGCATCTGATCGGCTTTCCAATGGCGTGCTCATCAATAGTAGAATTTGAACATAGAAACTGTTGAGCAAGTTTGAAATGGATCCGATTTGATTATAGCCCTCAAAATATCGTTGTCTACAGCTTGAGGTCTACAGCTTGAGGTCTACAGCTTGAGGTCTACTGCTTGAGGTCTACAGCTTGAGGTCTACTGCTTGAGGTCGACGAGATTGTTCATCATCCTCGAGACTTTCATCACCATTCCGAAAGCGTTGGAGGCTCGGCTCGGCTCGGCATCGGCTTGGCTCGGCATCGGCTCGGCATCAGCTCGGCTCGGCATCGGCTTTCGGACAATACATCATTCCCAAATGCTTTGATCAAATCTCGATGGGATTCCACGACTATTTTGCCCAGTTTGAAGTCATAAAGTAGGCAGACGCGAACTTTAGATATTTGAATCTTAATATCTTGATATTGGTCATCTAAAGTCATCTAAAGACCTTTAAAGTCATCTAAAGGTCATCTAAAGGTCATCTAAAGTCATCTATAAGTCATCTAAAGTCATCTAAAGTCATCTAACGACATCTAAAGCAAGAAAGAGCTAAAGATCTTAAAAATAAGAAATTATCTGTTTAAAAATTTTCCAATAATTTCGATAATTTCCAAATATGCACAAGATAATGTACTTTGTACTGTAATGTACTGTAATACTTTGTACTGTAATGTACTGTAATACTGTAATGTACTGTAATACTTTGTACTGTAATGTACTGTAATACAGAAAGACATGTTTTAAAAGCTTCTCTCAGAACTTCTCTCACAGCAACGAAAGTCTATTTTAACGCTTTTTTATATCCGAACAACCAAATCGAATAGATTTTGAGGAGTTTTATGAAAAGTTTCATGAAATTTCTCAATCTAAAAACGAAATTCATGATCCCATGCTTTTCTTCGCTAAATTTTGAAACAAAAAGTGAGATTTGGAAATTTTTGCAAATCCTGGCTCGCATTTGAAACATTTCCTTGATTTAATTTTGAAATTTCAATTAAAAAAAATTTCAAAAAAATCTCTTTAACTCACTTTTTGAGTTCTAAAGTACTCAAAATTTCTATAGTATTCGAATTTTAGAAAATTTTAGAAAATTCCGAAAAACAAATGCATGTTCTCGAGGATTCCCAAGAGAATTACCCGACTTTTTCATCTGCGCTTCAAATTTGCGGCTCTGAAGTGAATCATTTGGCTGATTTGATTGGGATTTCACCGTCTTACATGCGAAATGAGTAAGTTTTTCAAGTTTCTAGACTTTCTAGGCTTTCTAGGCTTTCTAGGCAAGTTTCTAGACTTTCCAGGCAAGTTTCTAGACTTTCTAGGCCTTCTAGACTTTCCAGGCAAGTTTCTAGACTTTCTAGGCTTTCCAGGCAAGTTTCTAGACTTTCTAGGCCTTCTAGGCAAGTTTCTAGGCTTTCTGGACAAGTTTCTAGACTTTCTAGACTTTCTATGCAAGTTTCTAGACTATTTCCATTTCTGAACACAGAGATCTCTGCCATTATGGGGTTGTTTACCGCAAAAATGGGTAGCTGAAACGGGAAACAGCGCATTTTTCTCTTATTTTTCCAAAAACCCATCAAAAATTTCTATTGATTCCTTTGATCTGGATATCATTTTTGATTTTTCTAATGTTTTCACGAGAAACTTTTCGATTTTAGTGGCCTTTTCAAAGTTGGGGACTATTTTGGGACAAATTCTGCTTTTAGCCTAGTCTGAGAGCCGATTTTTTTGCCATTTTTGCCTGATCTGGATATCACATAAGCTTTCTCGATAATAATATCCATGAAATTCTCTCATTTTTCAAAATCCAATTGTTTACAAGGAGCGAATATTCTCTGACGTGTTTGACCTAAAGTACAGCAAAGAGGGGAAACCCGTTGTTTTTCTGAAAAACTCCATTTGCCTTCTTTTCCCATTTCTCTGCTATTCAATTTACTCCCCTTCTTCAGTTGAATATCGATATTCGGCCGCGTTTTTGAAATTTTCGCTCATCACCGTCTTTTCTCCTCTTCTTCCCCCCGTTTTTCTCATTTCAACGAAATTTTTTGCAATCCTGGAACGCACGTTAACGATTGATAGCAATATTTTTCGAAAATCTCAAAAATCGAAAATTTTCTCTTTTTCCTAAAAAGTGCTCTTTTCTACAGTACTCTTTTCATTAAAATCTTCTCAAAACGCTATTTTCTTTGCATAGATTATAGGATGACCGCCATAATCGACAAAAAAAAGATTTTCAGAGCCAGACGCTGGACAGAGGCGGCTCAAATCTATTCGAATCTAAAAAAAGAGATGCCACGTCGAAAGAGCTATAGTGGTTCGTTTTTTTGGAAAAGATATCTAGCTCAAGATTAAAATTGGAGCACACAATGAATATCGAAAGCGAAAAAATAGGGAAATTCGCGAAATTCGCTAAGTCCGAGATTTTCCAGTATTACTGTAACTTTATCCACCAAATAGAATTCTCAAAAACAGTTTAAACAGTAATTAACAGTAAACAATGTCTCTAATGATACCAATAGCTATCTGAAGAGCTATTCAAGTTCTCTGCTTTATTTATAACCTCTAATTTTCAGTGGTCAGACCAGTACACGAGCCAAGAGCCAGGCATACATCGGGTAAGGATTTGTGAGTGAAGAAGAGGCAAAGTATTGCAAGAAATTTGCAAATTGGATATCACAATACCCATTGGCGTAAAGATCGGAAACGTTTTTAAGTTTTACAAAAAAAAATTTTTGCAATATTTTGTCTTCGTGAAAAATCGGTGTTTAAGTTAGAAAAAAGTAATTTTAACGCTTTATTTACTAATCCTGGATAGCACAGAAGTGATGTTGAATCTTATTTTCTATGGTTGCACTTTAGAATGTCCGACTCCGGTACGGGGTGGAGCTCTCCGCCATTTCCACCGTACTCTCTCCGAAGAAGCCCGAATCGAGAGCCTTCCCGACCTCCATTATCGGTTAGTTATCAATACCAATTCGGTTAGCTATCAATAGTTATCAAGCTTTATCAACGGTGGCCAGATCACAACTCAAATGAATGCAAGATAGCGTAAAAGAGTGTCTCAAAGTATCGTAATCTTACCGTAATCTCCAAGCGCATATTGAGGTCATAATTCGCAAATCCTAGAGTAGATAGGAAAATAGCGAGAAGCCCAAGAAGCCCAAGAAGCTCAAGAAGCTCAAGAACAACTAGGAACAACTAGGGACACCTAGGGAGAACTAGGGACAACTAGGGACACCTAGGGAGAACTAGGGACAACTAGGGACACCTAGGGAGAACTAGGGACACCTAGGGAGAACTAAGGACAACTAAGAACCGAAATTCGACCCTAAAAGATCAACCAACCTACCGTAATCTTATTTTAAAAGTTGAGCTTTTCTGAAACCGTCAATTTTCATAACATCGAGAATCGACAAAACATTGCAATCTTTCCAATAAACATTCAAGATCTTAAAAAACAGCTAAAGAGTTGTAAAAATCAGTTAGAACCAAAACCAAAAGACGAGAGACCAAACGAGAGACCAAACGAGAGACCAAACGAGAGACCAAACGAGAGACCAAACGAAGCAAACGAAGAGGAAACCAAACGGAGACCAAACGGAGACCAACGAGAGACAAGGACAAACGAGAAGCTAAACGAGAAGCAAACGGAGCTAAACGAGAAGCTAAACGAGAAACCAAACGAGAGACCAAACGAGAGACCAAACGAGAGACCAAACGAGAAACCAAACGAGAAGCTAAACGAGAAGCTAAACGAGAAGCTAAACGAGAAGCTAAACGAGAAACCAAACGAGAAACCAAATGAACCAAAACCAAAACGAAGTTAGAACCAAAACCAAAACTAAACGGCGAGAAACCAAAAACTACGTGAAATTTGTTATCTTTGTACCGGCAGAAATGATTGCTGGGTGCATTGTGACGGGAAAAATTCATTCCATTTCTCGTTTTACTGAACTCTGGGAGAAGGGATTGAGTGCACTCACAGTCAGCCAAAGCCAGTCAAGATTTTGAAACTTTTTCCTTCTCTTTTCTCCCTAAGTTCCCTGCGATTCAGCATTCAGTAGGTGACTCGACTCTCGAGATTTCGTAATCGCTTTGGAGACGCTTTGCAGACTCGGCAGATGAAAGAATGCTATCCAGAAGCAGCGATTGAATCAATATTTCGAAAACCCTTTCCCCTTTCCCATCAATAAATAAAAATTCGCTTCTTCTGGATAGCATTCTTTCGTTTGCCGAGTCTGCAAAGCGTCTGCAAAGCGATTACGAAATCTCGAGAGTCGAATCGCCTCTGGCTCTCTAAATCTCTACTCCGTTATCCCACTTCTCTAAACCCTCCCCATTCATCCCAATCTCTCGTCAGCACTCTCACTGACATCCATCTCCGCCAAAACCACCGTCATCCATTCAAGCTTTGCCCTCTCCACTCTTTCAATCGTCCATTCTCGATTCACGTGAACACCCTCAACCAATTCCCACAAAAAAGTGGTCTCCTTTTTTCGAAATTCCTCTTTCTTTCCCATCTTTGCTGCTCAGTTCTCTTTTTTTGACTTATAAAATTGATAAGCGTCTTTCCCAAACCAATCAAATTCCACTAAAGTCTAAAGCACTAGTAAATCATCTTACTGTAATGGAATCTTGCTTTTATTTTTTATTTTTGATTCTCATACTTTTGGAATCTGCTATCTGGAAGTCACAACGTAGTTATCAAAAATAAAAATAGCAAAAAGACGCTTTTTCCATTTTTGAACTATTGACATCGGCAAGTGTTCAATTTCGATCTTTTCTTTCGTCATTGTGCCTTTCCTCATTGCACCAAATTGTGCAGTGCACTCCAGCATCAACATTGAGTCACCGAATTTCCCTCAAATCAAAACGAATGCACTTTTCGACGTTTGATCTCTTATCTGGTACAGTGCCTCTCTTCGTTCTCTCGGTTGCGCCCGAAAATAGCGCAGCTAGCGTTGAAAAGGCATGTATCAAGCCTAATATGGAGCTGATCAAAGAGATGAATGCAGTCTCTCCATTTATCGTTTCTCAACTCCAACAATGACATCATCTCTCTTATATCATGCGCGCTGGGGGAAGGGGTTCCCCCAAGACAAAAATAACCTCTTTCTTCTAAGCCATTATGCTAGCTGGAATGCACAACGAATCTCTCTCCATTTTCTCCCTTTTCTCTTTCATTTTAAGATTTCGATATTTAAAATTCGATCTTTGAATGTAAATTCGTCTTTAAAGTTAAGAAAATGACATTTTTTAAAATTTTATTGACATTGTTAAATTTTAAATTGTTTCATTGGTTTATCTGGAAAGGATGATAAAAGTTGAAAGCTGAAAGCTGAAAGCTGAAAGCTCTTGGGAGTGGGACAAATGCGACCTTTTTGTTTGCGCACATTTGCGCACCTTTTTTTTTCCGCGCTTAGCCCATTAGCGCACGTTTTTTTCGCGTTTTAAAAAAGCTCTAAAAGCTAATTTCTATTCCAAAAGTTGTTTTTTTTAGGTAATTTTAGGGCGTAGAATTGAAATTTTGACAAATTTCCGGGTGCGCAAAAAAAAGGTCGCATTTGTCCCACTCCCAAGCTCTTTTCTAAAACTTCTTTTCTAAAAGCTCTTTTCTAAAACCTCTTTTCTAAAGGTTCAACTTTTTCTTTTTCCTTAATTCTCAAATATCCAGGTGGAAATTCGGTTTTTTTTTTCTATTTGGCTTCGAGAAAATTTCATTAAATGACGTTGACTTAAAACGGGGATAAAAACACTACAGCTTTTATCTAGAAATCTTTTAAATCATTTTATTTCCTAATCAAATCATTTCATTTTCCTAGCAAATCATTTCATTTCCTAATCAAATCATTTCCCTAAAAGTTAGCTTTAGATCAGACTCGAACTAGAGTCATTCTCCTGACAAATCATTTCATTTCCTAATCAAATCATTTCCCTAAAAGTTAGCTATAGATCAGACTCGAACTAGAGTCATTTTCCTAGCAAATTCGATGTTTAACCAACACCGATTAAATGTTAGATTTTTAAAGCTTTCTTTATTTTCTCTATTCTTTATTCTCTATTCCTTATTCTCTATTCCTTATTCTCTATTCCTTATTCTCTATTCCTTATTCTCTATTCCTTATTCTCTATTCCTTATTCTCTATTCCTTATTCTCTATTCCTTATTCTCTATTCCTTATTCTCTATTCTTTATTCTCTATTCCTTATTCTCTATTCCTTATTCTCTATTCCTTATTCTCTATTCCTTATTCTCTATTCCTTATTCTCTATTCCTTATCTCTATTCCTTATTCTCTATTCCTTATCTCTATTCCTTATTCTCTATTCCTTATTCTCTATTCTTTATTCTCTTTTCTGTGTTCTAGTTTAGGTTAGAGTTATTTTTGAAAGAAATTTGGTAATTAATTTTTTGCAAAAAAAAGAGGAGGCATTACTGATACCCTTGCAATTTCTTTGTCTCATTTTTCAATGAAAAATTTTTCCCATTACCTTTGCTGTATCGCATCGAATCACATGGTCGATGAAAAATGAAAACAGCAAAAGAAACTGTTCTCTTTTTCTCTCCTCTTCTCTTACTGATTAATCACCGCCAAAAAGTCGGCAGGGTCAGATAAGAGCCACCATGCACACAAATTTGTACAGGATTTATACAGGATTACTTTCGAAATTTTCTTACTTATGTTGTTGGTTATAAAAGTTATAAACGATCGTTTTGTTCATTTTATAATTGTTGTTCAAGTTGTTCATTTTATAGAACGCAAAAAAAGAACATTAGGTAAGGTATTAGGTAAGGTATTAGGTATTAGGTATTCTCCATTATTATCCAAAAAAGTATTCTCCATTATTCTCCATTATTATCAATGACTTCTTGTCATCTTTAGCGAAATTCCTTGATACAATTCTCAAAAAACTGAGCGTCCTTCTGAACAAAGTCCTTCTGAGTAGAAATCAAGTACGTTTTTGACTTTTGCATGATCATCGAAAAGATTTCCATACAGAAATTGCTTTAACGATCGAAAAAAATGGTAATCTGAGGGTGCTAGATTTTTTGAGGACCCTAAGAGTGACTTTTGTTGTGTGCTGTCACTCCTGGACGGTGCCTCTCATGCGGCTCATCCTGGAGACTTTTGTTGCCACTTTGAAAGCGTTGAAACCATTTTCGACATTGACTTTCGCTAATACTTCCATCTTCAAAAGCGGAAATAATTGTACGATGAGATTCAGCGGCTGATTTTCCTTGTTTAAAATCGTAGGGCTAGCCATCTAGCTGGCCAATCTAGCTGACCAGCCTAGCTGAGCCTAGCTGACCAATCTAGCTGAGCCTAGCTGAGCCTAGCTGACCAATCTAGCTGAGCCTAGCTGACCAATCTAGCTGAGCCTAGCTGACCACTAGCTGAGCCTAGCTGACCAGCCTAGCTGAGCCTAGCTGACCAATCTAGCTGAGCCTAGCTGACCAATCTAGCTGAGCCTAGCTGACCAATCTAGCTGAGCCTAGCTGACCAATCTAGCTGAGCCTAGCTGACCAATCTAGCTGAGCCTAGCTGACCAGCCTAGCTGAGCCTAGCTGACCAATCTAGCTGAGCCTAGCTGACCAATCTAGCTGAGCCTGCGACCAGCCTAGTGAGCCTAGCTGACCAATCTAGCTGAGCCTAGCTGACCAGCCTAGCTGACCAATCTAGCTGACCAATCTAGCTGACCAATCTAGCTGACCAATCTAGCTGACCAATCTAGCTGACAAACTAGCTGGCAAACTAGCTAACCAGCCTAGCTGACAATGCACTCTTTAAACCCATCAACTTCTAGCTAATTCCCATTTCCCTCATTTTTTTCTGTAACATGACACCATTTCCGTCTCTTTCTTCATTCCCCCAGCTCTCCCCAACTTCATCAAATTGTGCAATCACGCATCACAAAGCTAATCAATCATCACCGTGCCAGCACAAACAATTTCCCCAATTTTATACTTGATTAGTTTTCAAAATTTGGTTGTTCGGACTCTGATCGTGAACATGTGACCATGTTGCTCTAAAATTATCAAATTTTAACCAACAAAATGTTTAATCCTGTTGGCTGGAGACCAGAAAACGATTTCCCGAAAGCCATTTCCCTTTTCATTTTTTTTTCTTGATTCGCCAGCCTGAGAATTTACAGCCAGGTCAACTGCTATCAAAGAGAAAAGAGAAAAAACCGACCTTTTTCTTTTTGATTCCATTCCTTTTCCTGTGATTGAGCTGAAGAGAAAAAAAAGGGAGCGATTGATTCCCAGGCCAAGTTCCGCCAGCCACCAGGCCGGCCACCGGGGCGAGAGCGTGTTCACCTCATGGTCAGCACGTGGGTTGGCTAAAATCAAAGAGATTTCTTTTAGAAACTATTTAAAGTGATCTGTGTGTTCCAGATTGATCAAAAATTTGATCCATTAGTTATAAGGGTTACTAAAAGTCGGAGTAATCTCGTGGAACAGTTAAATTCTGTTAAATTCTCAAGTTTTCATTGATTCTGAATATAAGTTTTTCAAGAAAATCTCTGAAAATGTGTTCTTTTCCACTGATCACTCATAATTTCTAAAGTTTGTTGGGGTTTTTGTTTGCTGACGCTCATCAAGAGCTCGTGAATCAAGAGCTGGGTCAGACCCGTGACCCTATCGTGGGTCCCCACGTGAACCCGGTTGGCCTCTTTTTTTTCTTTTCCCATTTCCACCCGCTTTTCTGGGTGTCAGTTTACTTTTCGGCAAGCCAACTAGATCTTTTTTGCATTTTGGGAGAGCTAGGGCCCAGGATGTGCTGCTCAAATCACCACGAATCAAGCACCAACCCAGATCTCGTTTTTGACAGGTCTCGTTTTGACAGATCTCGTCTTTCGATCCACTCAAATTGCCATCCAGAAAGCAGATTTTCGAGTCCCACCTTGGCTCTAGGCCAAATGGTTTTTGTTTTAGAGCTCTATTCTCAATATTTCATGGGGTAAACCCTGATTTTTCAGCTTTTTTCTCTATCCGTATTGGATACGTTCCAATACGGTTCCTATACGGTTTTTATTTTGATCCAATACGGTTCCAATACGGTTCCTATTTTGATCTAATACGGTTCCAATACGGTTCCAATACAGTTCCAATACGGTTCCAATACGGTTCCAATACGGTTCCAATACAGTTCCAATACGGTTCCAATACGGTTCCAATACGGTTCCAATACAGTTCCAATACGGTTCCAATACGGTTCCAATACGGTTCCAATACAGTTCCAATACGGTTCCAATACGGTTCCAATACGGTTCCAATACAGTTCCAATACAGTTCCAATACGGTTCCTATACGGTCCAATCTTTTACGTCTAAAAAGCGTTCTAAAAGGATTTTTCATTTGTCAGAAAGAAATTTATATCTCTTTCATCTCTTGTTGTACTCAAATTTCACTAATTTTCACTAATTCTCATTATTTTTCACTACTTTTCACTAATTTTCACTAATTTGAGAGAATTCCTCTTGTCATTTGTTCCGGGTGGATTTGTCAATCATTGAAATCGATCATTGAATTGAATTGAAACGAGTTTAAGTCTCAAGAAAGTGGCTTTTAATTTATAATAGCTAAATAATTTCTTATCTAAATAATACCTTATCTATATAATAGCTTATCTAAATAATATCTTAATGTTACAGTACTGGACAATGAAATATCATATTTGAAAAAACACTTTCGCACTTTCGCGCGTCTATAACTCCCTTGTCTTTACCGTATTTGTAAATATTAATATTACCATTGTGTAGCCCTTGAAAAGAGCTTTCAGAAAATGTATAACACTAATAGTTTAAACTCAAAGACAAGGAAGTTACAGACGCGCGAAAGTGAGGATCGTTTTTTTAAAAAGTGTTTTTTCCAATATGGATATTTCATTGTCCAGTAGTGGTATCTCAAAAATTTGCCTATTTCTCGATTTTGATTTCAATTTTTGTATCAATACTTCTCTCGTTTTTAAACAATCATTTTCACTCTTAGAAAAATGATGAAAAGTGAGCCAATTCCGTGCGTGCGCTGTGGGGTCGGCAGTTCGACATCACCAAGGTAGAACAAGGGGGATCTTGAGTTGTTGTTTTTTAAAGCCAGCTGCTCTTCAAAGAAATGCAAGAGATTTTAGCTAGATTAGCTTTTAGCTAGATTCTACAATATTCTACAATATTCTACAATATTCTACAGTATTTTAACCAAAGGAAAATTCACCTTGCCCATTCCTTGAACAATTCAAGGATTACAGTATTCTCTGATTAACTTTGCATAAACTACAATCCATAAACTACAAGCTCTTTCAAGCCAATTTCATTTATAAGGCATTCCGACAGGGATTACGGTATTTTGAGACAAATCAATTCAATAAGAAAGACCTAGCGCTATTCTGTATATCGAAATTCCCCAAATTTTCAGCTCACTCGGCCTTTCACTGAACAAAGTCGGCTCGATGAACCGTTCCCTAGCCGGCACTGGATCCCATTCGAGGAGTGACCCGCGGAGTGACGGCACACTGGAGCTCGAGGCAATTGCCGCCGTTCACGAGGTGAATTTGAAAACAGATAATTGCACAAAATTATCCAGAACTCTAGCCAGAACTCTAGCCAGGGATGCTCGTGAATTCTAGTGGCTTTCGGCTGCGAGCAAGTGATTCTAGAGCAGTTTTTGCCGCAAAGAAGAGTTTTGGTTAATGAAATTCTTTAAAAGACTAGTTTTCAAAAGTCCGTCTTGGTTTGGGAGGCGGAACTGAAAAGGCGAAAGGCTAAAGGCTAAAGGCTTCAAGTTTTTAGCCAATCTGGATGTCAGGAAGAATTTTAAACCTAAAATTTCAGCTCTCCTTTGCCGTGCAACAGATCTCTGTCTCGGAGATCCTACCACGGACACCGGACTTGATCTTCGTCAACGTGACAACGATTGAAGGTGAGTACTGTAGTCAACGAGGGTACTGTAGTCGTACTGTAGCCAGTGAGGGTACTGTAGTCAATGAGGGTACTGTAGTCAACGAGAATGAGGAGTCAATGGTAGTCCGGAGTACTGTAGTCAATGAGAAGTCAACGAGAATGAGAAGTCAATGAGAAGTCAATGAGATCTCAAGTTTCAGGTCAACCCTACTGTTTGGAGTTGACACTAAAGGGCTGGCGAATCACCTCACAGCGCTCAGACTGCATGGTGGGTTTTAAAAAATGGCCAAAGTAGACTGTTCAATCAAATCCAATTTTCTAATAGATTTTCTAATAGATTTCTAATAGATCCCGAGTTATCCTACTAAGAAGCCGGTCTAGTACTGAACCAAAATACTACCAGATTAGTTAGACCTGACTCTGGCCTGATCTTCTAGCAAAGAGCATAAAAGCTAAGCACCAAATCTAAGAGCAGAACAATGCCCAGACAGAGCCAGGGTTAAACTGTAGTCACAGACTGGTCATCCAGCTAGGACTAGTCATCCAGCTAGAACTAGTCATCCAGCTAGGACTGGTGATCCAGTTAGGACTGGTGATCCAGCTAGAACTAGTCATCCAGTTAGGACTGGTGATCCAGCTAGGACTAGTCATCCAGCTAGTCCAGCTAGATCAGGCTAAGACCAAAGAAGATCAAGTCAATCTATTTAGCAACCTTTCATCATTCAAAATCAAAATCCATCTTTTAGACGGGCGACTTCACGAATCTAGACCTTTTCACAAAGTATTACGACAGTTTGTACTCGTTAATGGATGATATTTCTCCCGGATATCGTGTGCGCTTCGGCGAGAAACTCGCGCATCGACTGAAGATGTTACAGGTGAGAGATCGAATATTGAAAGAGGTAGTATGTACAAGAAGTGACAGAACAACGGTAGAAGGATAGGTTTAGCAGCAAGTAGTGCAGAATGAAAGGGTAGTCCCCGTGGAGAGTAGAGTACGGAGAGTAGACTCAACTTGGCTAACTTGACCAACTTGGTCAACTTTGCCAACTCACCCAACTCATCCATCCATTTCAGAACGATGACGACAGCTACGACTGTATGGCCCCTTGTGGCTCGTATGCCTCACCACCACTTTCCCTCTCATCCGGCTCTCCGCATCGATCCCTTCACTCATCCAGTGATTCTCTGCCTGTTGTCACGCCAGTCTCGTCACCAACTCGTGAATTCGAGAAGGCCATTTTTGCATAAACAGTAAAACTAACTCGTTGATCAACGATTTGTTAATCTGTATTATTTAAAGCCAATAGTCTATTAATTCAAAGCCAATATCCTCTTTAATTCAAAGCCGATATCCTCTTTAATCTAAAGCCGATATCCTCTTTAATTTAAAGCCGATATCCTCTTTAATTTAAAGCCAATATCTTCTTTAATTCAAAGCCAATATCTTCTTTAATTTAAAGCCAATATCTTCTTTAATTCAAAGCCGATATCCTCTTTAATTCAAAGCCAATATCTTCTTTAATTCAAAGCCAATATCTTCTTTAATTCAAAGCCAATATCTTCTTTAATTCAAAGCCAATATCTTCTTTAATTTAAAGCCAATATCTTCTTTAATTCAAAGCCAATATCTTCTTTAATTCAAAGCCAATATCTTCTTTAATTTAAAGCCAATATCTTCTTTAATTCAAAGCCAATATCTTCTTTAATTCAAAGCCAATATCTTCTTTAATTCAAAGCCAATATCCTCTTCTAATTCAAAGCCAATATCCTCTTTAATTCAAAGCCAATATCCTCTTCTAATTCAAAGCTAGATAGCCTAAAAATTCTTCCATTTTAAAGCCCATTTTTCTCAATAAATTTTCTGATAATCAGAATTATTTGTGATCATATTTTCCGTGATCATATTTTCCGCTTTTCCGTCGTATAACTACAGTGGGCTACAAATTTCGTTTGTCTATCGGAAAGTTGTCTTTTTCTTTATCTTTCTTTATCTATCGGAAAGTCGTCTCTTTCTTTATCTATCGGAAAGTTGTCTCTTTCTTTATCTTTCTTTTCTTTATCTAGTTGCTCACCCCTGAAGTCCCATCTACTTATCCCAAATTTTGTGATTTATGCAAATGATTTTGCTCATTTCAAAACATCTACATAACTTCATAAGGTCTCTTTCTTACTGTAGCTGAAAGCATTTTTAAAATCTTTTTCTTTTTCACGATTCTACCACTCAAATGGAGTCGAATTTAAAAGGTGGAAAGCAAAGAAATGAAAGATTCTTACAAACATTTCCTATCTAGCGGCATTGAAAGGCAAATGGTCTACTTGAAAAGCAAATGGTCTACTTGAAAGGCAAATGGTCTACTTGAATGGTCAAATGGTCTATTCAAATGGTCAAATGACCAAATGGCCTATTCAAATAGTCAAATGGCCTATTCAAATGATCAAATGGCCTATTCAAATGATCAAATGGCCTATTCAAATAATCAAATGGCCTACTTGAATGGTCAAATGACCTACTCAAATAGTCAAATGGCCTACTTGAATGGTCAATGGCCTATTCAAATGGTCAATGGCCTATTCAAATGATCAAATGACCTACTTAAATAGTCAAATGGCCTACTTGAATGGTCAATGGCCTATTCAAATGGTCAATGGCCTATTTAAATGATCAAATGACCTACTTAAATAGTCCAATGGCCTACTCAAATCAAAAAAATTGCTATCCATCATTTAAAATCGACTACTTATTGTTATCGAATATTTGTTATTTCTCTTGAAAATATGTTAGCGACAAGAATTCAGTTATTTCTTTAAAAATTCAGTTATTTCTTTGATGGGTCAATCGTGGGTACTTTTTTGTGTGGTTTAAAATGTAAATTGATAAAGTTAACTTTGTGATTGTGATTATTTCTTTTAGTTTCAGCTCATTTTTGTTGTTTATAGTTAGAATAAACTTTTCTTTGCTGGAAAACATTTAGTTTTACGATGTGACATCCAGATTGGCAGAAAACCACATTTTAGAGTGTACAGTGCATAGAGGATACGCCATAATTGTCGCGACAAGGTATCACGCGCGTCTAGAAGTCTAGGAGAAGTCTAGAAGGAGTCTAGAAGAAGTCTAGAAGATTCATAAGTGTCTTAAAGTCAACAGAAGTGTCATTTTCCGCGCTACGAAGCTACGGGAACAATTGCTGATACACCAAGAAGCGCTAGACGCCCAACTGTCGTCACAAAGACAAAAATCAAGCGAGTGAGGGACTGAATCACAATCAAACGAGCAGAATTCGGAATTCGGAAGAAGCCAAACCAGTCGGCAAGGCAAATGACAAAGAATTGACAAAGATGGCGATCTCAAGCACCTCATTGCGTCGGATCCTCAAAAATAAACTCAAACTTACTGCTTACAAGAAAAACAAGGCTCAACTTCTTTCGAATGCTGAAAAACATCCAAGACATCCTTCCAAATCCAAGAAAATCCAATAGTTCTGCCAAAATAACTTCCCGGACTTCATTTCTTTTTCTGAGTGGTCACCTAGCTCCTCAGCTAGCTCTCCAGACCTCACCTAGCTCTCCAGACCTCACCTAGCTCCCCAGACCTCACCTAGCTCTCCAGACCTCACCTAGCTCTCCAGACCTCACCTAGCTCCCCAGACCTCACCTAGCTCTCCAGACCTCACCTAGCTCTCCAGACCTCACCTAGCTCTCCAGACCTCAACCCAATGGATTTTTAAGTGTTCTAGAAGTTTCAGTCGGTTCTTGAAGCCAAAGCTTGTTCAAAGCCGATGTTCAAAACATCGAAAACTTGAAGAAATCATTGTTGAAAGCGTGGGAAGAGCTCGATGCAGCCTATTTGGTCGTCGTTGACGCTTTCTTGAAACGCTTGCAAGCCTTCTCAAATGCTAATGGTGACCGATTCGAATTTGATAGTTCATTTATAATTTTTAATGTACAATGTACAATATTCCGTTAAAAATTTGTCTCTTGTCTCTATTCAAAAGATACAAAGCTAGAAATCGTTTCATTTCTCTATGTGCCATCCAAAATTTACACTTTTAGCTTAGGGTGCATGGAATCTGCGCAAACGGCAAATTTTCATTGATTTTCATCGATTTTCATCGATTTTCATCGATTCCTCTCATTTTCATCGATTCTGGGGTAAAAATCAATAAGGATGTGTAGCCAAAAATGTTATAGCTCAAAAATGAGCTCAATCTTCACCCTTACAAGCTCAAGCAAGGGCAACAACTCGACGACAACAACAAACGAGTTCGACTCGAAAGATGTCGAGAGCTTTTCAAGCGGGCCGTCTCTCACTGGGAGCGAATCCTGTTTTCTGACGAGAAGCTCTTCTCGGTGGAGCAAAGCTACAATCACCAAAACGATCGGATTTGGCCCTCTCCAGGCAGCTTTGCGATTGTTCAACACCGAGAAAATCCCAAATCGGTCATGGTATGGGCCGGAATTTGCGCAACCGGCAAAAACTCCTCTCATTTTCATCGATTCTGGGGTAAAAATCAATAAGGATGTGTACCAAAAAAAGATTCTTGAGAATGTTTTGCTTCCATGGGCTCAACAGCATTTTGGTAACGGATTTTGGACCTTCCAACAACCTTCCAACGGATTTTGGACCTGCGCTCCTTCTCGAGCGGAGTCTTGTTGCCAAAATCGAGCCAAATCCACACAGGACTGGTGTAGGACAAACTTTCCGGATTTCATCTCGACCCAGGAATGGCCTCCGTATTCGTGCGATCTCAATCCACTGGACTACAGTGTTTGGTCAATTTTGAAGGCAAGGGCTTGTGCAAAACCCTAGTTTGGAGGCTCTTAAGCGATCGTTGACCAGGGAATGGGATCGAATCACTCCGGTCGAGCTGTGGCCGAGCTGAGGCTCTGCATCGAAGCCAAAGGTGACCACTTTGATGAAAAGTAGATTTTATGCTCTCTTTATATCATGTTGTTAATAAAAAATTGTTTCTGTTACAAAATCTTTTTGGATTAGGCTTTTTGGATTTTTGAATAGGCTAAATTAGGCCGCAACGTTATTTCTGGTCACCCTGTAAAGAGGGTGCTCATAAAATCTCAATAGTACAATCACCCACTCGCCCACTAAAGAAAAAGCCTAGGGACAAGCCTAGGGACAAGAGAAAGAGCCTAGGGACAAGCCTAGGGACAAGAGAAAGAGCCTAGGGACAAGCCGAGAGTGTCACCGTGCCCACTGGGTTCCAGATCGGCTTTTCCTCCCCGGCTGGAGATTACAACGAGGCATCTCTCAAGGCCCGGGGCTGCCATTCTCAACCGCCCCTCTCTCACCTGTTCCCCCGTTTTTCCTCCGCGAAGAAAACACTAAACATCAACGACTTTTTGTTGATCCCTGGAACTCACCAGGATCGTATCGATTGATTTTATGGTTTAAATCGATATTTAAAATTTCATCTATTATTCCGGTACTTGATTGTCTAATTATTTAATTTTTATTTAATTTTCATAACTTTCATAACTTTAACTTTCATTAACTTTTGTATTTCTCTATTTTTCAATAGCTTTATCAATAGCTCTTTCAACAGCTTTTTCAATAGCTTATTTATCAATTTGATTATACTGAAACGAATATAGCAAAAACTATTCCGTTACTTTCCTATTTACAACTCTTTTTCCTCAAATTTCCTCAGTTTTTGCAGGTTTTTTCCCAAAAAACGAATGAGTTTCTCCAGATGTTTAAAGAGAAAAAAAATGAACTCAACACATTCAATGCGTTCCAGAATTCCAGAATTTATCGATTTTTGTCTTTTTTTGCTTTTGAATCTTTTGAATCATTTCAAGGAACTGAGAATATTCGAGAAGATTTTCGTTGATCTATTATAGTCTATTATAGTCTATTATAGTCTATTATAGTCTATTATAGTCTATTATAGTCTATTATAATCTATTATAGTCTATTATAATCTATTATAATCTATTATAACCTATTATAATCTATTATAATCTATTATAATCTATTATAATCTATTATAGTCTATTATAGTCTATTATAGTCTATTATAATCTATTATAATCTTGTTAAGCCTCAAATTTAAAATTTTACTTCTCAATTGGCTAGCTTTTAGCTTTAAGCTTTAAAAGCTTAAATATCAAATTTAAACTCAAAATTCCCCAACCTTTTGTTTCTTTTCCAGTCTTGTTCTTGTAATCATCTTGCCATTTCTATAAGCAGATTTTGCGTCGTTCCCGAAGCGATTCATCGTTTCTAAACATAGAAAAATGACGATTTTCGATTAAGACATCATTCAATAGTGATCTGGCGTGAAAGATCTGGCCAGAAAATTTTAGATCTTGGTCAACCCTGCTTGAGATATCTAACGATATTGATATTGATAAAGATATTGATAACGATATTGATATATTCTCATTGCTTTATCAATAGTTTTTGATAAGAATTGGGCTAGATTCCGAGATTGAACTCTGAATTGAACTGAAGGGATGTTTGGGTTACATTATTCAGTAGATAAAGTTGAGCATGTCAAGTCCTGGGTTAAAGCTGAGAATACTGGAATGTGTTAACCGCCATTAAACTTTAAGACTCGCAATTCACCAGTGATTATTAGGACAATGATTATACCATCTGGTTCAAAGCCGTTCAAAGCGGTTCAAAGTGGTTCAAAGCCGTTCAAAGCCGTTCAAAACCGTTCAAAGTGGTTCAAAGCCGTTCAAAGCCGTTCAAAGCCGTTCAAAGCCGTTCAAAGCGGTTCAAAGCCGTTCAAAATCTTACAAAATCGTTCAAAAGCGGTTCAAAGCCGTTCAAAGCCGTTCAAAATCTTACAAAATCTTACAAAATCGTTCAAAAGCGGTTCAAAGCCGTTCAAAGCCGTTCAAAGCCGTTCAAAATCTTACAAAATCGTTCAAAAGCGGTTCAAAGCGGTTCAAAGCCGTTCAAAGCCGTTCAAAGCCGTTCAAAGCGGTTCAAAATCTTTCAAAATCGTTCAAAAGCGGTTCAAAGCCGTTCAAAGCCGTTCAAAGCCGTTCAAAATCTTACAAAATCTTACAAAATCGTTCAAAAGCGGTTCAAAGCCGTTCAAAGCCGTTCAAAGCCGTTCAAAATCTTACAAAATCGTTCAAAAGCGGTTCAAAGCCGTTCAAAGCCGTTCAAAGCCGTTCAAAGCCGTTCAAAGCGGTTCAAAGCCGTTCAAAGCCGTTCAAAGCGGTTCAAAATCTTTCAAAATCGTTCAAAATCTTTCAAAATCGTTTAAAGCCGTTCAAAATCGTTCAAAATTATTCAAAACCATTTGCAAGATTTCCCCCTTACACCTTACTATCGTTTTTCTGTCTTTAGCTGGATCCGGCTTTATTTTGGGATATTTGTGGATGAGATTATCTGCACCCTTTCAATGGTACTGATGGTACTTGATATTGACTGATGATACTTGGGGCACTCAAAATATTGATCCCATCCAAAAGAGAAAGCTCATCAACAATGACACTGAGATCCAGGATTGAAAAAAAAAACAATTCTGGATGACAACGATGTGTCATTTCTACAAGAGTGCCATCCAGAATTTCCAGAATTCATTTTCCAGAATTCAAATCTCGAACTTTACATCAATTACAGTCACTTTTGTCCTCACGTTCTCTCGTTTCCAAAAAAAAAAATTTGTTTTGAAACGGCAACGATGTGTCATTTCGACAAGAGTGCCATCCAGAATCTCCTTTTCTTCAAGAAACTTTCGTTTTCCAAAACTCTATCACGCTAATTTCAGTCAATCTCTTCAATTTTGGATGAGATAGTTGACTATCATCAATCGAGGAGAATTTCTGCGTCAAAGAAATGGCAGCTCCGATTCCATGCTCAAATTTGAAGGTTTGATTGATTTTGCAAACATTTTGCCAACATTTTGCAACTTTGTCCACAGTTAGATTTTTAAAATCTCGATTCAAGACTGAAATTTATTCAATTCAAGGTTGAAAGATCTAGGATTCCCTTCATCGCTGAAAATTAACATTTCCTTAATTCTTGAACACAGTCTAGAAAGCTGAAAAGCTGGCAGAAAAAGCTGGCATAGATAGTGGATGTGACAAAGCTGAAAAAGTAGTAGAATGTTAGAGTAGAATGTTAGAGTAGAATGTTAGAGTAGAATGTTAGAGTAGAATGTTAGAGTAGAATGTTAGAGTAGAATGTTAGAGTAGAATGTTAGAGTAGAATGTTAGAGTAGAATGTTAGAGTAGAACGTCAGAGTAGAATGTTAGAGTAGAACGTCAGAGTAGAACGTCAGAGTAGAACGTCAGAGTCGAACGCCAGATTAGAACGCCAGATTAGAACGTCTACTCTGGTAGGAGAGTTGGTTAGGTTAAGTCTGACTCCTGAAGCAGTTTGATTCCCCAATTTTAGACAGCCGGCATTGTGGTCGCGGTTGTAGAGGTGGTGTTGTGTATATTAGCAGCATGGGGACTCTCGAGCAATTTCGTCCGTTTCGGCGGCTCTTATTTCATTTGGTGGTTGATTGGTAGGTTTAGAGGCCTTCAACAAAACAATCTTCAATCAAAAAAAGCAATCATTTAGGCATCATCTCGGTGGTGATTCTATTGTTGGCGATCGCATTGATGCTGTACGCGATTTGTCGCGAGAACTCGCGCTGGATGATCCCACATCTTTCGGCACAAGTGAGTGGGGCTGAGAAAGAGGGTTTTTAAACACGACAAATGTAGTCGATCTTCGTAGTCGTAGTCGATCTCCATAGTAAATGTAGTCGATCTCCATAGTCGATAACTTTTAAACAACATCTGACAAGGCTATGTAAAGCTAAGCTGGGTAGACAAGGCCAAGGCCGACCTAGACCTAGACTGATGCTGCAGGTTACTGAAAAATCTCTAGCAATATGTCGTTTAGAGCTGTGAGACTTTGAGAAATCAGAATTTGAGCTTTAAGCTTGAGCTTTAAGCTTTGAGCTTTAAGCTTTGAGCTTGAGCTTTGAGCTTTGAGCTTGAGCTTTGAGCTTTGAGCTTTGAGCTTAAGCTTTGGGCTTAAGCTTTGGGCTTTGAGCTTTGAGCTTGAGCTTTGGGCTTGAGCTTTGAGCTTTGAGCTTTGAGCTTTGGGCTTTGGGCTTTGAGCTTGAGCTTTGAGCTGAGCTTTGGGCTTTGAGCTTTGGGCTTTGAGCTTGAGCTTTGGGCTTTGAGCTTGGGCTTTGGGCTTTGGGCTTTGAGCTTGAGCTTTGAGCTTTGGGCTTGAGCTTGAGCTTTGGGCTTTGAGCTTAAGCTTTGAGCTTTGAGCTTTGGGCTTTGGGCTTTGCTTGAGCTTTGAGCTTGAGCTTTGGGCTTTGAGCTTTGAGCTTTGAGCTTTGAGCTTTGGGCTTTGCTTTGAGCTTTAAGCTTTAAGCTTTGTGATTTCCCATCAATTTTGATGAGATTCCCCCTTTTGTTAGTCTCAAATCTTTATCTAAACGATTTGCAGATTTTCCTGATTCTTTTCCTTGTCGTCGTCGTTATCATCGTCACCTTTTTGCTGATATTCCAGGTGAGCTAACAAATTTCGAGGGTACTGTAGCCGGGACACAATTTAGGCGTATCGCGGAATCCGGAATCTCCTCGGCATCACCGACTATTACATGAACAATGATTGTGAGTTGTTTTGAGTAAAATTACATCTAATTTGAAGGGAAATTTGGTCAGGTCAGGGAAATTTGGCGTGGGGCTTAATTGGGCTTAATATGAGGCTCAATATGAGCATAAATCCACAAAATTTCCCCAAGATTTGCTCAAAATAATTGCCTAAAGCGGTAATCCATTGAAAATCTTTAGCCACTGTCGTGCTGGGTGTTTTGCTCATCGTTATCAATCTGGTGGTCGCCATTTTGGAGTGTTTCTTCTTGTTTATCTGCTGGAAACTTTACAAGTGATCGAAAGCAGATCAATACTCAAAAAGGAAACAATTTCAGACAACTTCAACAGTACGAGGCACTCCGCAAGGGATATCCGTCGGACAATTTGAAGAGGGTTCGTTGAGATTTCTTAAAAATCACTGAATCCGTAAAAGAACAAAACTTTCCATAAGGGAAGAGGTTTGGAGTGAAAAGTTTAGCTGTTAGGTTGGCTGTTAGGTGTCAGGGCAGGTTTGGTATGCTTCTTGGAATCGCTAGATCTTGGAATCCTGGAATCCCTAGATCTTGGAATCCCTAGATCTTGGAATCTTGGAATCCCTAGATCTTGGAATCTTGGAATCCCTAGATCTTGGAATCCTGGAATCTCTAGATCCTGGAATCCCTAGATCTTGGAATCTTGGAACCCCTAGATCTTGGAATCCCTAGATCTTGGAATCTTGGAACCCCTAGATCTTGGAATCCTGGAATCTCTAGATCTTGGAATCTTGGAATCCCATAGCTGCTCTTTCAAATTTCAATTACAAATAAATTCATTTGGGGTGTTTCTACGAAAGCTTTAAGCTTTTAGACCTATACGACATTTGACGGAGCTTAGCTGGATCCGATTCACCGACTTAGAATCCGGTTAAAACAGGTGCCAGAACCTGTTTTAGCTACGGAAGATTAGCTTACGATTAGCTTAGATTAGCTTACGGAAGTGCTATGGAGTTTTAAGAAACCGATAAACAGCCATATGACTTTCGGCATCATTTCATAACAAGATACAAAGTGTACCTGAATTGTGGGGACGATCTCGGCTCAAAATCCGCTCATCTTGGGTGTCTCATCGCATCTCATCGCATCTCATCGCATCTCAGCGCTATCATCAATCGAGTCATTCACTTCAGACTCTGAAACAAAAACAGACAGTTGACTTTTCTGTAGAAACTAACTTTCTCATTAAGTTGCTAAAACAAAGCTTCCCCTATCCAACAGCGTTGACAGTTGACAGTTGACAATATTCAGTTGATTGCAATGAAAGAGAAGTTGCGAATGAAATCAATCAAATTTCACCTCAATTCGTATTCCTAAACGATAAATTTAATGATTGAATGGACTTTTCCGAATATTGTCAACTGTCAACTGTCTCAGCTTTTTTACTTTAAAAGCATTATCATTGTCTGTTTTATGAGATTTCGATAACACTTTTAACAACGAGATTTCCTCACCTAATCATAGTAGATCATAGTAGACGTAGTCGCAAAATTGAATCATTGTTGTTGATTCAAATGTTGCACTTCCAATGACGGCAGCTTCAATCCTAAGCTCGTGACTGCCCAAGAAAGCTCAAGCCCATTGATTCCAAAATGACAACTAAACAATAGAGATTAGATCTTCTCAGCCAGTTTTTTTACCTGATCATACGAAAGATGTAGTCTCCAAATTGAATCTTGGTAATAGCTGTACTTTCAACAACGGCAGCTAAATCCCAAGCCCGTGACTGTCCAAGAAAGCCCAAGCCCATTGATTCCTTGCTCGCAAAGTGACAACTAAACAATAGAGATTAGCTCTTAACATTCTTTAACAAGTTTTTTACCTGACCATACAAAAGATGTAGTCTCCAAACTAAATCTTGGTAATAGCTGTACTTCCAGTGACGGCAGCTTCAATCCTAAGCTCATGACTGCCCAAGAAAGCTCAAGCCCATTGATTCCAAAATGACAACTAAACAATAGAGATTAGATCTTCTCAGCTAGTTTTTTTACCTGACCATACGAAAGATGTAGTCTCCAAATTAAATCTTGGCAATAGCTGTAGCAAAATTGAATCACGTCAATTGTTGCACTTCCAGTGACGGCAGCTCCAATCCCAAGCCCGTGACTGCTCAAGAAAGCCCAAACCCATTGATTCCTTGCTCGCAAAGTGACAACTAAACAATAGAGATTAGATCTTCTCAGCTAGTTTTTTTACCTGATCATACGAAAGATGTAGTCTCCAAATTAAATCTTGACAATAGCTGTCCTTTCAACGACGGCTACTTCAATCCCAAATCCAGCAATTCCTTGCTCGAAAAGTGATGTGTTGAACACTCGATTGGTACCTAAATAAGAAAAGAATTGAATCAGCTTACAAATTGTCAAATTCAAATTATCGGATTCTTGCTCGAGACTATTCTTGGCAATTTCCTGGTTTTACCCAAAACCAAAAGCCTAACTTAAAACCCGATTTTCAGAGCCACTGGACAACCGTCGGTAAATGGCCAGTCGACGATAAACACGGCTCACCGGACATGGGTCACCTCTACCTGTACAATCAGGAAAACGCTGAGAATTCGGGGTAAATTTTTGAAGTTTCATAAGTCTCACAGAGTCAGACTCGGGATCTCAGATCTCACAGAGGTCTCACAGAGCTCTCACAGAGGTCTCACAGAGGATTTTAAAACCAAAAATTCTATTTCTTCAGCTACGGCTACAACGACGAGACTCCACTCTACAGTAACCAGCAGTCAAGACGTTTTTAAGACGTCAAGGCGTTAAGACGTCGATGTTTTTAAGATGTCAAGACGTTTTTAAGACGTCAAGACGTCAAGACGTTAAGACGTCAAGCCGTTTCTTTAAAAATTCTTCTAAACTATCGTATTCTTTTTTTGAAATCGATTGATTTATTATAAAAAACTACAATTTATTCGAATTTTCAACTTTTAAACGTTTGTTTTGTTTGAATAAAGAATTTTTGATAGGATTGATTTAAAATTTCATTTCAAAATGAAAATTTCAAAGAAAAAACAGTATTTCCTGGTTTTCCTGAAAGCATTTCCTGAAAGGAAACGAAAGAAATTTCATTTAAAATATGCAAATTTAGAAAAAGCATACTTTTTGATATGTTTTCCCTCTAGAGACGTCTAGAGAATCAATTTTTCGCCTAGAGAACCTAGAGAATCAGAATCAATCTTCTGCCTAGAGAACCTAGAGAATCAGAATCAAGTTTCTGCCTAGAGAACCTAGAGAATCAGAATCAATCTTCTGCCTAGAGAACCTAGAGAATCAGAATCAATCTTCTGCCTAGAGAACCTAGAGAATCAGAATCAATCTTCTGCCTAGAGAACCTAGAGAATCAAAAACAAAATCAAAAACAAAAATCTCTCTCACATTCTATTTGTCAAATGCGTTCCAAAAAAAACACATCGCATTTGTCAAAGAAATAAAATGATCAAAAAAAGTTGACGAAAATTTGTTGAGCAATTGGGGGGTGAGAAAAGTGATATGAAACGGTGAACCGCGGATCAATTTCCCCAAAAACATATAGGGATAGACAGAGTGATATCCAGAGTGATGATCGACTCAATCACCCGGTCTTGATCGGTTTTATTTTTTCAAAAAAAACCCCCGACAATCCTTTTTCTGAATCCATGTCCAAGTCTGCCACTTCCGTGTCTACTTTAATTGAGTACCGATTAGCAATTTGACCTAATTTTGCAATTTTAGCAATCACCGAACGCATATTTGTATTATCTTTTGGAATTCGAGTCCATCAGACGCGGTAAAGGACTAGAGGACGAGAGGACTAGTCCTCTAGTTCCAATACGGTTCTTTTTTTGATCTAATACGGTTCCAATACAGTTCCAATACAGTTCCAATACGGTTCCAATACGGTTCCAATACGGTTCCAATACAGTTCCAATACAGTTCCAATACAGTTCCAATACAGTTCCAATACAGTTCCAATACAGTTCCAATACAGTTCCAATACAGTTCCAATACAGTTCCAATACAGTTCCAATACGGTTCCAATATAGAGGACTAGAGGACTCATCCTTTTTCTAAAGAACTAGTCCTTTTTTCTTTGTCTAATCCTTCGTCAATCTTATCTCCGCCTAATCTCGTTTCTCTGGAGTCTAATAAAGCTATTTTTGTTAGTCCAAAGTCATTTTTGTTCCTTCAAAGCCATTTTTGTTAATCCAAAGTCATTTTTCTCAATCCTAAAACGCATTTATCAAGTCAACCTTAAAGATTTGTAATCTTTACAATTAGCATCTCTTCCCCAAACTCAACAACTCTTTTCCCGTCAATTCACCAAATTTTCAAATTTTCTCTAAAACTTTGTCAAATTTGTCAAATCAAACGCGTTCTCGTACGCTGCAAAGCCGTTAAAAAGCTGACTCATTTCGACGCTTGTTGATCAATTTGGGCAACTCGGTTGCACACGTTTTCAAAGCAAATCCACCCAGGGAAAATTGGGAAATCTAAAAAATCTCATTCGCGTTTAAATTAATGTTATTTTTGTTCAATCCGAAATGCATTAATTGAAATTTTTGTTTTTTTTTTGCTTTTTTCTCGCTTTTCTTTTCTTTTCTACTTTTCTCAAAACTTTAAAATCTCAATTTCAGCTTTCCCCTTTCCCCAAACTAGTCGTCGATCTCAATAGAATATGTTTATTTTCATTTCTTTACTTCTACTAATCGCCGAGTTGCCCATCAATGGACAGGGCAAAGAATTCAGCACCGAAGAGATCTCCTATATGAATGGGCACAAATATTACGGTAGGTGGGATGGAGGATATGGTGTGGACAGGTTAACTTGGTTATTACAATCAAGTGAGTTGGGTATGGACTGGGGGTATGAACTGGGTCTAGGACTAGGACCAGGACCAGGACCAGGCCAGGCCTAGGACCAGAACCAGGCCCAGGCCAGGCCTAGGACCAGGACCAGGCCCAGGCCAGGCCTGGAAGCAGGGCCAGGACGTGTTCTAAGGTTCTATGAACCTAAGAACCTAGGCTTGTCCAACTTGTCCAACCTTGTCCAACGAAAAGGCTTGTCCAACCTTGTCCAACGAAAAGACTTGTCCAACCTTGGCTCACCGATGATCGAGAGTCACTCTGTATTCAGCTTCACGGCTTTCTTGACATTCATAATCCTGGATGGCTTAAATCTTAAATCAAATGGCTTAAATCAAACTTAAAACAAAACGTGTCCCTTTTAGCTGAGAATTATAATTGTTAGCTAATAGTAGCTTTCCCTAGAAACGAACAATAGGCCTAAAATATAAAAAGCTGATTCACGTATTTCCCTAGGTCGAAGCGAGCAACCGTATTTCCGAGTAAAGCACAAGAAACATTGGCCGGTGAGTGAATTTCTAACAATTGCAAAGCATCAACAATCAAAAGATCAACAATCAAAAGATCAACAATCAAAGCATCAACAAAGTTTCATTTCAGATTGAACTAATTCATATGAATGACTCGGATTTCGGAAAGCATCGTATACCCGACGACGATGTCTGGATGGCGCACGGTAAGTGGAGGAAATTAGCTGTAGCTAGCTAGCTCAACAAGTAGCTGATCTACTCAAGGAATTCGACAATTTAATGGAAATTCTGGAGTTCACATAAGCTAATAAAGCTGCTATTATGTAGATATATGCAAAATTTCAATAATATTTAGATTGGACCGAGGAGGAGCTGAAATACATGCATTGTTTGGATCTACTATGTTTATGCCCATACTATAACGGTTAGTTGGAATGGAGTTGGAGATTTCAGTCAAAAATCGATTTTTAACTGAACTCCATTCCAACTAACCGGCTATTTCTCTAGGTAGTGTTTTGGACGATGTTTGCGTGCTGCCAAATGGAGATGAGCTGAAGCCGATGCGCAGGAAAGAGTACCGAACGCTATCCGACGATGAAAGAACCCAACTGGAGGTCAGATGAAAGAACCAAAGAGATTCTAGTGAATGGATCAGTCTTCCGCTGAATATCATAATTTTTGGCAAGGATTACGGTAGTTCAGCCACACGATTCCAATGCCAGAAACAGCTAAAATATTACCCTACAATGTCACTATACCGTAACGATTTCAGAAAGCTTTTCGCGCAATGCACGACTCCGGGATCTACAATCGTTTAGGACGAGTGCACAAATATGGTGGAGTTCATTCGGGTCCTGGTTTCTTCCCGTGGCATCGAGAGTTCTTGAAGAGGTATAGATTAAAAGGGTACTTCAGCTGTAGTGTAAAGTCTAAAGATGCAGACTGTAGACTTAAACAGTACAACAGTACAACAGTACAACAGGACAACAGTACAACAGGACAACAGGACAACAGTAGAACAGGACAACAGTACAACAGTAGAACAGCACAACAGTACAACGGTACAACAGTACAACAGTACAACAGTACAACTGGACAACAGTACAACAGGACAACAGTACGAACTATCTCTAGTGTCATCAGTACATCACTACGATGCCTCTAGTACCATTAGACAACCTGTAATAGTACTACAAACTGTATCAATAGTACTAGAGTATTTCTAGATCCAGTAGACAAATCTGGAGCTGGCTTACTCGTCAGACCCATTCCCGTAAGTCAAACCCATTTACCCGTAAGTCAAACCCGTTTACCAATACTAGCCACCAATAGCCACCAATAGCAGGTTAAAGAGAACTCGGAATTAGATATCTTGAAATAAAGCTATCTAGATTGTCTATCTTAGATCATTGTCTAGATTAGATCATTGCCTAGATTAGATCATTCTTTAGATCATTGTCTAGATCATTGTCTAGATCATTGTCTAGATCATTGTCTAGATCATTGTCTAGATCATTGTCTAGATCATTGTCTAGATCATTGTCTAGATCATTGTCTAGATCATTGTCTAGATCATTGTCTAGATCATTGTCTAGATTAGATGATTGTCTAGATTCGAATTCATCCTTCGCCGTTTCCTCCCAATGGGCTCGAATCTGGGTCTTCCGTATTGGGACTCAGTGATGGACGCCTATCTACCAAATGAGACGCACTCAATTATCTTCAGCAAAGTATACAAGTTTAGAGATATCAAGATCTAAACCATTTCCAGTATCTAACCGGTGACCACAACGAGAATCACGAAATGGTTTATGGACCGTACGCTCGAATGAAAACAATGGAGGTTTGTGTGCGTTCCAGATTACAATATGCCGCCAAAAAATTTCAGGGTAATCCACTCGTGAAGCGCTATCTCGGCCACAATAAGCAAGGCGAGCTGATCACTGAGGCGAGAATCGACGTGATTATGGTGATTTTGAAATGGATCATGGTTTTCAACAATAATATCCAGCTTGTCCAACAAATATCCAATAATCACCAGCTGAGAATAGTGAACAATGATGCAATTTCAGGATCAACAAGATGTCGTCGGGGTGCTCTCACACTCGAATCCGTTAATGGTCGGTAAAACAAGTGATAAAGAGGTTTCGATATGTTAAACTTGCAGCCATGTTCCCTTCTTCCTCGTTTCAAGTTGGACGAGCGTTTCTTCGAGTACACCCACGATTATGTACATTATTTTATTGGTGGTGATTTCGAGGAGACGCATACAAGGTAAGAAAAAGAAAATCGAACTACAGTAATCCGGAAGGATTGAAAGCAATGTGAAATCGACTCTGTCCCAACTCTGACTGCGTTTCTAGGGAACTGGATGTTCTATCTGGAAATCTGGATAGATGGATATCTGGATAGATGGATATCTGGATAGATGGATAGATGGATAGCTGGATAGATGGATAGATGGATAACTGGATATCTGGATAACTGGATATGGATATCTGGATAGATGGATATCTGGATAGATGGATAGATGGATAGATGGATAGATGGATAGATGGATAGCTGGATAACTGGATATCTGGATAACTGGATATCTGGATATCTGGATATCTGGATAACTGGATATCTGGATATCTGTATAGCTGGATATCTGGTTAACTGGATCTCTGGATATCTGGATCTCTGGATACCTGGATAGCTGGATATCTGTATGCTCTTTCTGGATTGCTATATCCGTACACTGATTACTTTAGCGACCTTTGAACTTTACTTTAGCTTTGAAATCTATTCCTAACCGATTTTCAGCACAAATGACATCATTTTCTATTTCCATCACACTTTCGTTGACTTCATTTGGGAGATGTGGCGACAAAAGATTCAGGTTTGAGTGTAATTAGAGCAAAATAATCGACCATGACCTTCTGGCAATCCTTTGACTGCCCTGGTCATCTCATAGCGTGCTCTATCATAGCTTGCTTTACCTGAGCCTTGCCGTTACTTACCGTAGTCCTACCTACAGTTACTAAAAGTTACCAAAACCCTACCCAATGCCAAAACCAAGTCATTCTCTGCCGATCCTCCATTCTCCAGCCTAACGTAACCGCCGTTAGTTCTGTACAAATAGATCGTACGATCAATTTGTACGATTCTCAGATCCCTAAACCCTAATATCTCATAGAGTGCTCTATCATAGCTTGTTGTACCTGAGCTCTGCCGTTACTTACCTTTTCCCACCCAATACATTTCAGACGAAAGCCGGTCGTGAATCGGAATACCCACCAAATGATCCCTATTGCTACCCGCCAAATCATTTCTACAATGCCTCAATGGATGAGTTGCCAAACCGGAGAATACGGTAATCCATTTTGAGAAATCTATTCGAGTCACGTTTCAGGGACGGTCTCTCGAACAATTACACTGATAACCTGTACACGTACGAGATGAGGCCACGATGCACACACACGAAACCGAATTGTGGCTCAAAGTCGGTTATTGTTAGCTAGCCTGCTTTAAAAATGAAATAGTGTCAAAGTTACACACAAAGTAGCACCAAAACCTATCGATAAGCAACTCAATAACGACTGTTAGCTAGCCTATCGATAAGCGAATCAATAGCGACTGTTAGCTAGCCTATCGATAAGCAACTCAATAGCGACTGTTAGCCTACCGATAAGCGACTCCTGTGACCTAAGATTCTCAAATAAATTAACCTTTCTAGCTTTCTGTTCTGCGATACTGAGAATTTCGATCGACCAAAGTGTCAATCAAAAATCAAATTCGGAGGCAATTGCACCGGATACGAGAAATTCGCGATCTGCTACGATGGAATGTAAGTCTGAGTTCCAGTTTAGCTAAAAATTCGCTTGGCATTGGAATCTGGTTTGATTCGGAGTAGAAAACGACTTGAGCACAAACTGAGCCGAAAGTTTTCTTTTCCGTTACAAAAGATAGCTTAAATGACAGCCATCATCATGAAAAACTTTAAAATTTCCCAATTTCAGCTGTTTGAATGGTTATTGTCGCGAAGAGCCGTCATTCTGGGAGCGGCTTTGGCTGTGGATTAAGAGACTGTTGAGGATAGAATAAAGATGGAATAAATATAGAATAAATATTTTTTAAACATTTTACATTGCACTTGAATGATCGTCTGTTATTGTGCTTATTGTCTAGTTAGTTAATTAGTTTTGTCTATTAGCAGTTTGGTCTTTGGTCTGTTAGTAATTAGTTAGCAATTAGACCGTTTAAAAGAATCCACAAACGGTAACGGTCAATCGTTGTGGTCAATCGTTGTGGTCAATCACTTGTGGACTGGTCAATCGACTTGTGGATCGGTCAATCGACTTGTGAACCGATCAATCGACTTGTGGACTGGCTAATCGACTTGTGGACCGGTCAATCGACTTCTGGACCGGTCAATCGACTTCTGGACCGGTCAATCGACTTGTGGACCGGTCAATCGACTTGTGGACCGGTCAATCGACTTGTGGACCGGTCAATCGACTTGTGGACCGGTCAATCGACTTGTGGACCGGTCAATCGACTTGTGGACCGGCCAATCGACTTGTGGACCGGTCAATCGACTTGTGGACCAGTCAATCGACTTCTGGACCGGTCAATCGACTTGTGGACCGGTCAATCGACTTGTGGACCAGTCAATCGACTTGTGGACCGACTTGTGGACCGGTCAATCGACTTGTGGAAGCCGAATCATAAGGATCTTGGTCATCAAGTAAACGTTAAAGTCTAACAACAACAATCCATTGTTAACCTTTTAAACATAAACGTTCCCCACCTCAGTTTTCTGCTTTGACAACGCGTGATTGACAACGTCTTGTGTAGAAGTTGAGCAAAACGATCGATTGAGACGAGCGCTTTAATGCGCACCCTGTAAGCTGAATAGTTTTTGTTCTACGAACGCTTTGTCGAGGTTTTCTAAACTACAGATTCGCCGGCTAAACTACAGATTTACAAATATTTAAACTGATTTTGTATTAAAGACTAGATTGAATGATGTTTTTCCCAATTTTCAGCATTACAGAGTACGCATTAATTATTGGAAATCTGTAAAAGATTGAAGATTGAAAATAATGACTATAGGGATTTTTCTTGCTGTCTATTAAGCGGTCCATAATTAATGCGTACCCTGTAATCTAATTGTTTTTATTCTACCGCAGCTCTTAATGATTAACGGAGTAAACTGATGATTAACGGAATAAACTAACGGTTTAAACGGCACCGGTAACGGTTCATCAATTCGTGGGCTACTATACAGGTTCAGGATCGTTGCCATTAAGTAACTACCGTTGTAAACTAAAAAACATCTCACCAATCCATCCTCGAATCAATCTTCCACCACCGCAAATCGCTAACGATTGTAAATTTCCACAAAGATCGACGAGCGAGCGTTTTATCGAAGTCCTTTTCCATCTAAACGATATATTCATAAATGTTTGACTGGTTTTTATCAAAATCGAATCAATTGGAAACTTCTGCTCATAATCAAATATCGTATTGCAAAATTTTAATCTTGTTTTAAACGGACTAGACGGTTTCAAACGGATTACGTTATGACGCGGATGACGTTACCAGACTCGTTGATATTCAACGCCAAATACAAATGAATCTTGACCTGATCAATCCATCCTCGAATCGATCATCAGCAATCATCAGCAATCAGTCGATCATCAGCCATCATCAGCAATCAGTCGATCATCAGCAATCATCAGCAATCAGTCGATCATCAGCAATCATCAGCAATCAGTCGATCATCAGCGATCGATCATCAGCAATCAATCGATCATCAGCGATCGAATCAATCAATCCATCCTCGAATTCCACCACCGGGAATCGCTGATGATTGAAGATTTCCATTAGCATCCGAGATTCTAAAGAAAAAATCTTTGAAAAGGATTAAAGACCGAGTATAAAGCTTTAGAGTTTGAGCAATTCATTACATTTTACTACCAAATCCAAACTGATAAGTAATTTTTGTTCAGAATTTCAATTTTCTAGACTCCTTCTTTTACATAACATCTAGATAAGTCATTTCATTTCAAAGCCGCCAAAAGAATCGTTCCAATCCAATCCAATCCTTTTTCACATCCCACTCGACTCTATTTGCGCAGTTGTTCTACTTTTTCGCTGAGATTTCTAGGAATTTTTCGAACGTTTCTCGATTTCTTTGCTTTTGCTCTTTGAAAGAGCTTAAGTGCCAAAGAATTCAGCAAAAAAAAACAGTGTGAATCTTTGAGGAATTCAGCGAACACCACTATCTTCAGAGATTCTTCAAAATTTTTCATTTTTACTTTCGTTTTCATTTACACTAAAGTTTCTACTATATTTAATTGAATGCCTTTTAAATTTAATTGAATGCCTTCTAAATTTAATTCAATACCTTCTAAATTTAATTGAATGCCTTCTAAATTTAATTGAATGCCTTCTAAATTTAACTGAATACCTTCTAAATTTAATTGAATGCCTTCTAAATTTAAATCAAACTTTCAAAAACTTTTCAATTTTTGAAGCACAACAAACTCCACTCAAGCCATAATTGAAAGGAAAAAAAGAAAAGGAAGAGAAGAAAAGAAAATCTCCTAAAAACTTCCCCAGATTCCCAGACAATTTTGTATCCTTTCGGCAATCACATCCCCAAAAAAGAAGTAGTCATTCTTTTTCAGCGAAAGAAAACGTCAAAAATGATATTTTCACATTCACCAAATTGAAAAGACGTCAAAAAGCCCGTATCTAATTTTTAATTAGATAATTTCATTTCATTTAATTAGATGATTTCATTTAATTTAATTAGATAACTTCATTTAATTCTCTTTAACTAATTCCCTTTAACTAATTCCCTTTAACTAATTCCCTTTAATTTAATTCTCTTTAATTTAATTCCCTTTAACTAATTCCCTTTAACTAATTCCCTTTAACTAATTCCCTTTAACTAATTCCCTTTAACTAATTCTCTTTAACTAATTCACTTTAATTTAATTCTCTTTAATTTAATTCCCTTTAACTAATTCCCTTTAACTAATTCCCTTTAACTAATTCCCTTTAACTAATTCCCTTTAATCTAATTCCCTTTAACTAATTCTCTTTAATTTAATTCTCTTTAATTTAATTCCTTTTTAATTTAATTCCCTTTAATTTAATTCCCTTTAACTAATTCTCTTTAACTAATTCTCTTTAACTAATTCCCTTTAACTAATTCCCTTTAACTAATTCCCTTTAACTAATTCCCTTTAACTAATTCCCTTTAACTAATTCCCTTTAACTAATTCTCTTTTTATTAACTTTTGTGTACTCCATGATGCTAATTGAGATGAGATTTTCTTTAAAACTAATTTTGTTAGCGCAATTTTGTTAGCGCAAATTTGTTAGCACCGCAAACTTTTGCTTAACAGTATTTTCGTTTGATGTTAAGTATTTGCGTTTGATGTTATTCCGCCGATTTTTCAAAATCCCTCTAAAATGATATCCAGATGGCATAGGGACCAACGCCAACGGGACCAACGCGACCAACGCATAGGGACCAACGGGACCAATGCGACCAACGCATAGGGACCAATGCGTACCGCTACGCGAGAGGTGAAATTCATGGACCGTAGCGTGACGAACTAAAGCGAAAGCATTTTCCAAGAATGTCTTCATTAATCAAAAACGAAAGTCAGAGGTTCGAAGGCGATTTCGCTAATTTCATTATTTAATTCCTTGTTTTTCAAAAAAATCATCTTGATTTTCGCTCTTTTACTTGTCTTGGCCCCTAGAAAGACCTGTCTGGCCTCTAGAAAGACCTATCTGGCCCCTAGAAAGACCTGTCTGGCCCCTAGAAAGACCAAAATTGGGTAACCATTTTAAAATCTCACAACCAAAGCTCATCCTGGTCAACACAACACGAGATTTCATTGAGAAATTTTGGGTTTTCTATAGTATTTATGGTTTTCGATCGTTTATTTTCGTTCTTTTTCGCTCTTTACTTTTTTCTTTTTTCCTTTTTTTCCATAATTTCATCAAAATCTCACTTTTGCTCATTTCATCTGGCTCACCTTTTAAACGAATCGCTAATTATTTTCGTGAGGAAAGGTGCAATTTCAGAAAAATTATATTTTAATTGTTTTTGGTATTAGGGAAAATTTTTTGAAGTTAGTCAAAAAGTTCAAAAAGTCAAAAAGCCAAAAAGTAGTCAAAAAGTAGTCAAAAAGTAGCCAAAAACTAGTCAAAACTAGTCAAAAAGTAGCCAAAAAGTAGTCCAAAACTAGTCAAAAAGTTGCCTTTTCTCATCCAGACCAAAATCCATTCTGTAAGATTGCCAAAAGTTGCGATTCCATTCTGAAAACAGTGATCCAATAAAGCAGAATCGTGATCTATAGCCGGAATCGTGGTCGATAGCTCTTGTATAAACGGAATTGGATTCTTTTGCAATGCTTTTCTTGTGTAAAAAGGCGCTCTTAAACAAGCTCACCTTATTAGGCTCTGCCTTTTGCAACGATGCCGGAACGCTGATTGTCTTTCTTTATTTACAATTGAATAGATACAACTTTGAATCTTTATTTCTATATACAAATAAACTATTATTTAAATTCTCTTTAGAACTCTTATATTACACGCAAAAAAAAGCGCACTTAGTTTGTCGGAATCGTGGTTGATTGTTAATAAAACAATGGTGGGTGTCGAAATCGTGGTCTAATGAGCGAAATTGATTGGATAACAATTCCGGCTATGGCTATGGACTAGCTGTGGACTAGCTATTTCAGCTATTCAAGCTATTCTAGCTATTCCAGCTATTCAAGCTATTCTAGCTATTCTAGCTATTCTAGCTATTCCAGCTATTCAAGCTATTCTAGCTATTCTAGCTATTCTAGCTATTCTAGCTATTCCAGCTATTCAAGCTATTCTAGCTATTCCAGCTATTCAAGCTATTCCAGCTATTCCAGCTATTCCAGCTATTCTAGCTATTCTAGCTATTCCAGCTATTCAAGCTATTCTATCTATTCTGCCATTGGACCACGGTTTCAGGATAGAACCAAAATTGTCAAAAGCTGAAAGGCTACAAGTTCAAATTCCAAATCCAAACTAGAAAAGCCTAAATTCCAAATCTAAACTAGAAAAGTCCAAGTCCAAATCTAAACCAAAAAAGTCCAAATTCCAAATCCAAAGTAGAAAAGCCAAAATTCTCGATGTGATCAATTTCCAACAAAATTCAAAATACTCTGTACTATGAAATTTTGTAGTTTTGCACTATGGAACGCAGGTTTCCCGTTTTTTAAATCGTTTTGACAACTTTGATCTTTTTTGATCGACTCTTTTTGACGACTTTTTGCCAGTGTCAGCGCTTTGTTCTTATCAATTTTTGGCCATCTTTCCGAGGCTGTTCTCTAAATTTTGCCACAAAACTTCAAAATATTCGATTTTCCATTTGAAAATCCCTTCAATTTAGATATTCAAGTCGATTTTTTGTGGAAAAAAATGGCTTGTTGCTGTTGCGGATGGTTTTGGATCGTTGTGGGTGAGTGAAAAAGAGCTTAAGCAAAAAAGAGAAGAAAATTTGCATTTGGTTGCTTTTGGGTTGCTTTTGGTAAAAGATTGAGCGTTCTGCTTGATGTTTAATGTTTGAGATCGATTTATCATCTAGATTCTAAGCGTAAAATGGCCTAAAAACCTATAAGAAACTCAAACTTAGCTCAAGCTCAGAGAAACGATCAAAGAAACGAATCGATCGATCGATTCTCTAATTTTTCCCGATTTTCCCGTTTCTTCGCGCATTTTATATGCAAATGAAAATCGGGGTCATTCTATAGAAAAGGAAACATTGATTTAGAGAAAAGAAAGAGGAAAATGGGGTTTTCTTTTGACTTTTCTTGGCGGTCATTCGGTTTTTGCTGTGTTTTGAGAGAAAACTCCCATCTGATCGGTTCAATTTTTTTTTCCTTTTCTTGAAAATAATCAAAAATTACATTGCAATTTTGGTTTTAATTGAAATTTTCATAAAAACAAGCTTCTACTTCTACTTCTACTTCTACTTCTACTTCTACTTCTACTTCTACTTCTACTTCTACTTCTACTTCTACTTCTACTTCTACTTCTACTTCTACTTCTACTTCTACTTCTACTTCTACTTCTACTTCTACTTCTACTTCTACTTCTACTTCTACTTCTACTTCTACTTCTACTTCTACTTCTACTTCTACTTCTACTTCTACTTCTACTTCTACTTCTACTTCTACTTGCCCAGGACTCGAACCAGGGTGTTTTCTTTAGAAACAGCGCCATCAATCATCCCAGCACTCTATTGGGTTGGTGGAAAAGTCCTTTCGGATTTTTTGGGACCTTAAATTTGTCGAATTTTGACGTTTTATAGCTCATCCTAAAGCTGAATTCAAGACGGATCGATTGGTAAAAATCGTTTTGAGATATCTCTTTTCTAAAAGTTTTCACAGCTATTTTAGTAAAGGGTGGCAGAGCCAAAAAAAAATGGCTGTTTTCATGTTTCGTTGGTTTTCCGTGCAGAAACCTAGGCTAAATCAGCCCATTCTTTCCTTGACTTCACATTCACGTAGAGACACCATTTTTTTTCGTCACCTGTATCCGATAGTGATCCGATGAATAGATCGACGATCCTGACCTCGGATTTTCATGTGCCTATCAAGAAGGAGTTCGGCTACCTCACATCGCTTCCGGAGAAAAGAGGTGTGAAACCCAGGATCCGAGCTTTTGAACTTTTCCCCATTTTTCGAAGATGTTTCAAAATCGTAGTATGGTGGCAATTCATTTGCTCAACGAGTTCCCGGAAAAATATTGTCACCGGTGGAAGAGTCGAACCAGCGACCCTCAGATCAATAGCCTTTCCGCCGATTTTCGCGACTTCCGCCGCTTTTCGCGATTTTCTTTCGTTTTTCCCCAAAAGGGTCGCTTTCCAAATCCTAGTGTGCATCCCAGATTCAAATTTGGCATGCTTAAAAAATGATTTTCCCTAATTCTTTCTTGAACAAAACAAGCCAAGTCCTCGCGTGGTTCCGTTGAACTTTTCCTTTCTTTCAAAAGTGTGCTCACATAGTCGAATAGAGAAACTCCGTGCCAGAAAAAAGAGAAATCTACTTGTTCGCTCAAAATCGCCAAATTTAGAGCAATACTTTCTTTTCTCACTGATTGACAATTTAAAAAAAAAAAAAAACGTCAAAAAATTTTACGCTCAAACGAATTCGTTTCAAATTTTACTAAAATGTTTTTGATTTTTCTCTGAATCACAAATTTTAGCGGGTTTACTGGTTTTGTTTACTGGTTTATTTATCGTTTACTTACTTTTCTTTGGTTTATTTGGGGGTGGGACAAATGCGACCTTTTTTTTTTGCGCACCTGGACATTTGCGCACCTTTTTTTGCTGGAAAAGGCTTTAGGCAAGGCCGTAGAGCTTCGAAAATATTTCCATATAAGGGAATCGTATGCGTAGATTCCGAATTTCGACAAATCGGACCTCGCTGACACGTCAGATTTGGGCTAAAAGGCAAAAACTACGGAAAAGCGTTAAGTTGCGTAGTTTTTGCCTTTTAACCCAAATTTGACGTGTCAGCGAGGTGTGATTTGTCAAAATTCGGAATCTACGCATACGATTCCCTTCTATGAAAACATTTTTGAAGCTCTACGACCTTTCCTAAGGCCTTTTCCAGCAAAAAAAAGGTGCGCAAATGTCCATGTGCGCAAAAAAAAGGTCGCATTTGTCCCACCCCGTTTATTTATCGTTTACTTACTTTTATTTTGTCTATTTATCGTTTATTGGTGAATTCTTTGAGATTTCTTTAATTTTCAAAAAAAACTAACAAGTCAGCTTTTAATTTTTCATAGATTTAAGCATCCTGAAACTAATACTAGCAAACAACTTGAGACATTCTACCCTACTGTACCAGGAGCCGAGCTAGAATTCTAGCCGAGCATTCTACCCTACTGTACCAAGAGCCGAGCGTTTACAAAAAGAAAAACTTCAGAAAGCCAAACAAAAAGCCAAGTTCTCAGCAAATTCCTTTCATTTCATGACAAGCATTTTTTGAAGATGTTTCCAAAAGATCCCAAAAGCTCCAAAAAGATCCATTCTTAATCCAAAGTTTTCAGCTGTCATGTCAGTGCTCTCGTACCTATTAATGCCGTCACTCTACAAAAATATCTACCGTGCGATGATCGCCAATTTCGGGCCACTCGGATGGCTAAAGCGGAAAGATGTCACCGGAAAAGTGGGTCACAAAATGAAATTCGAATCTTCAACTTTTCGTTATCGGTTTCAAAGTTTAAGACCGATTTAAGACCGGATTTAAGACCGATTTAAGACCGATTTAAGACCGATTTAAGACCGATTTAAGACCGATTTAAGACTAAATTATTTCTTTTCAATTAGGTCTTATTTACGTTAACTTTCACAAAAGTATGCAAAGTCCATTACAAAATTTAAGAATTGTAAGATTGTTAACTGTTACTGTTAATGTTAAAACTGTTAAAGTGCTAGAAAGAAAGTTCTAGTTATCTTAAAATTTCAATTTAACACTTTATAGAGTTAAATTTTGTCGTGATTTCGTTACAACGTGTTTCATTGTAGGTTTACTATTTTAAAAAAAAAGCGGGTAGAGATTAAATAGCTCACAAGTTTGAAATATTGACAACTAGACTTGTTCACCGATAGTGAGACTAGACTTGTTCACCTAGACTTGTTCACCTAGACTTGTTCACCTAGACTTGTTCACCTAGACTTGTTCACCTAGACTTGTTCACCTAGACTTGTTCACCCATAAAGATTGTCAGCCGGCATTATTTAGCCTTTACAATTAAAACTGGCCTAACACTCTCCTATTGTTAAACCCTTTTCACTTCAAAATCCCCATACCTTAAGGAGTTTTTTGGCAACTCGTGATTCTTCTTTGTCTTTGCAGCTCTCGATCATTCTTGGACAATCCCTCAATTCCTTGATCGGTTCCCCGTGAAGAATAGTCGTCTAAAAAGACATAAAGATTGAACTAGCTTAGACTTGTTTTAATTTTAAGTATTTAAACTTCCTCACATAAACTTTCCGTTTTGACAACTCGTGATTCTTCTTTGTCTTTGCAGCTCTCGATCATTCTTGGACAATCCCTCAATTCTTTGGTCGGTGACGCGTTCCTCGTGAAGAGCCGTCGTCTAAAAAGACATATAAAGATTGAATTAGCTTAGACTTGTTTTAATTTTAAGTATTTAATTCTACGCCCTAAAATTACCCAGAAAAACAACATTTGGAATAGAAATTGGTTAATATTAGCTTTTAGAGCTTTTTTAAAACGCGAAAAAGGTGCGCTAATGGACCGGGTGCGCAAAAAAGATGCGCTAATGAACCGGGTGCGCAAAAAAGGTGCTCTAATGGACTAGGTGCGCAAAAAAAGGTACACAAATATCCGGGAGCGCAAAAAAGGTGCGCTAATGGACTGGGTGCGCAAAAGAAAGTCGCATTTGACCCACTCACGAATTTGAAGCAAAAAAAAGAATGATTTGAAGGAAATTAGAATGAAAAAAGAATGAAATTTAAAAAATAAAGCGGTTATTTATAAAAAATTGGCTATTAGCTATTGGCTATTGGGAAAATTTGGGATTTTTCTTCAACGAACTTCAATATTTTTCAATTACAGATCGTTTTGATCACTGGAGCCGCGAATGGAATCGGCCGCTTGATGGCACTGCGTTTCGCCGCCTTGCGCGTCAAGCTTGTGCTCTGGGACATTGGTGAGTGTTCGAGAAATGGACTTTGAATAACTTTTTAACTAATCTGGAACGCATGTAAAGTATCCAGACAAAAAAAATCGCATTAAACTAATCTTTTAAAAATTAAAAAATTTTTCGGAAGATTTTGAGGCTTTTTCTTGAAAATTTGTTAGCTTGATGAGTGTACTTTGGATTTCAATTGTCAAGCTGGATGTCAACTCGTAAATTCGCTTTCAGATGAAAAAGCTTTACAACAAACAGCCAAGGAGTGCGAGCAACTCGGAGCAGAAAGCGTCTTCGTCCAGAAAATCGACTTATCCGCCCGGGAAAACATCTACCAAGCAGCGGATTTGGTAAGTTTCATCGAGTTAAATATGAAATTTTCATTAAAACAAACAAAAGCAAAAGTGAATGTTCGCACCCGGACTCGAACCAGGGTTGTTCGTCCTGAGAATTGGCGCCATTAACCACTTGGCCATCCTGAAACTTGCCGGAATTTAAAAACCCTTTTATCAACTTTTACACTGCGTTCCAGATTTGAGTTTAGCAATTTCAAAATCTTCATTGTCTAACTCATCTAAGAGTAAAGCGATCAAAATCCTCAAATCAACGCCTCAAAAGCTGAAAATCCTCAAAATCACGAATTCCAGGTGAAATCAAAGGTCGGACATGTCGATATTCTTATTAACAATGCCGGCATCGCGAAGGGTGGACTGTTCATGGAAAAAGACGATCAATGGATCGAGGCATCGATGAGAATCAACGCAATTTCACATTTATGGGTGAGTTGAGGGGCTTTCTGATCGTTAACTGACGTAAATGTTATAATGACGGCGCGGAGTGTTGCGTAGTCTAGCTTTAAACGCATTTTTTTCGACATTGTTTTTATGCTACAATGCGCGCTTAGGAATCAAAAAATAACTGAAATTCAGCGCTATTTTTTTGATATTAAAGAAAATTTTTTTGAAAGTACGAGCTCTTTGAAAAAGTTTTTGCTTTTGCGACTACAAAAAAACTTTTGCGACTACGCGACTGTACGAGGGGAGTGCGGTACTATTACAGTATTTACGGTACGTATTTCAAGATACGGTAGAAGCCAGCTGAATGCCTCAATTAGGGTACTAAAGTAAACCCCGGCCACTAAACAAGGACGTTCCAATCGGACGTTCCAATCGGACGTTCCAATCAGACGTTCCAATCAGACGTTCCAATCGAACCCTAAGCTTAGAAGCAAGACCAGGCACAGAAAATTTGACAACAACGTACAGTACGCCTGGTCACTAAGCAGTGGTACTGTACTAATCGAATGCTAGGCTTGCAAGCAAAGCCAGGCTGAGCCAGGCTGAGCTAGGCTGAGCCAATCCAAGCTAAGCCTAGCCAGGCTGAGCAAAGCTAGGCTGAGCAAAGCCAGGTTGAGGAAAGCCAAGCTAAGCCAAGCCAGGCTAAGCCAAGCCAAGTTGAGCAAAGTCTGATAGTGAATTCTGGCTAGCCCTGATCCTCCAGCTGAAAATCTCCAGCTGGAAGCGTGCCGGAGAATGATTTTTCTGGCTGACCCAAATGCTTTATGAATCAGACCCAGGAATATTCCCTGGGCTAGACCAAACCAAATCAAATGCAAGTCATTCTAGAACAGAATTTCGATCAAGCGTTGCCTTCAAGCTAATCAATCTGATCTTTTCAATCAATTCTAACTAATCAATCTGATCTTTTCTTAAAAGTCATAGACTAGCCACATCGCCAAATCTATTTTGATGAAAATCAAAAATCCGAATTCTCAAAATTCTAGTGTGATATCCAGATAAGAAAAAAAGGAAAATTTTCAATAAATTTGCTCTTGTCAATTTTTTGGAATCATCGCAAACTCTTGGCTGGCCGGCAGGCAGTACGCGGCAGAGCAAATTTCCTCATTCATCTCGATTTCAGATGGCGAAAGCTTTCCTCGGGCACATGATCGAAACAGACAGCGGTCATATCGTTTGCATTGCGTCAGTTGCCGGTTTGTATGGAGCGAAAAGTGAGTCAAGACTGTGACTTTTATAGAAATCAAATTTCTAAGCTCTGGTCGACTACAGCGCTTCGAAATTCGCAGCCGTCGGTTTCCAAGAAGCCATCGAGAATGAGGTGATTTTCTGGGGAAATTTAGAAGAATTCTAAATAGCTAAAAAGCCAAATAGCTAAATAAAAAAAACTGGAACGCATTTGGTGACTTTTAAGAATTTTATTCGAGAAAAAACTCAAATTTTGTGTACTTTTCGACTACGCGACTGTACGATTACAGTACCAGCCACTTATACCAGCCGATTACAGTACCAGCCACTTACGTAACAGTATTTACGTTAGCAAAAAGGGGCGGAGCTTAGAGCTGGTCAACGAAGCTGGTCAACTTTTACATCCACAAATCAACAATCCACAAATCCTAGGTCTACTACCTCAACAAGCGTCACGTGCAGTTCACCACCGTGTGCCCATTCTACATTCAGACGCGAATGCTTGACGGGATCCCGTAAGTAGCAAAAGTTGCCATTTCGAGCACTTCGTATCCTGAAGAGCGCCTAAACTACCGTAATCCTATAAGCTTGCCGCATCTTAATCTATATTCCGCTCAATCTGGAACGCACAGAGGCTAATCTGATAGATATCAGTTCAATTATCAACAATTTACCCTGGTGTAATTAGAAGCCCGGTGTACTTAATAGCTTAAACCACCGTAATCCCATAAACTTGCCGCATCCTAATCTCTATTTCATTCAATCTGGAATGCACAGAGGCTAATCTGATAGATCTCAGATCAGTTATCAACCATTTAGTCTGGTGTACTTAGAAGCCGGGCGTACTTAATAGCTTAAACTACTGTAATCCTATATGCTTGCCGCATCCTAATCTATATTTCATTCAATCTGGAACGCACAGAGCCTAATCTGATAGATATCAACTCAGTTATCAACAATTTACCCTAGTGTACTTAGTATTCTAAACTACCGTAATCCTTTGCCGTCTCACTAGCGTCTCCTTTTCAGAATCCCGGAAAGCTTAAACAAAGATGTGCTCTCGCCCGAAAGTGTTGTCGATCAAATCATGGACGCGATTCTCACCGATCAACGCATGGTGATCATTCCGCCGAAAGTGCGCTTTCTGCTCTCCCTGAAGCCGTGAGTGAATGAAATACGGAAAATTTTAACGAAAATGACTGATCTGGAAGGCACTAGGAGTGGGAGACTAGTTGAAAAGTAGGCTCGGCGATATTTGCAAGTACGGCTACGTAAAGAGTACAGTACCGTACTCGACAATAATTGCCGCTTGTCGTATGTCGTTTAAAGGTTATCGACTATGGGGAACTCGAAAATCGAGTCAATTTTGTCGATTTCTCTTCAAATGCATCATTTATGCAATTCCAGCTGGCTTCCCCGGCGTTCCTTCCAGCAGTTCTCGCTTCGACAACACAAATAAACAATCGAAACAATCGTAGGCAGCTTTATTTTGCAGTCAAAAAATTATTTTACGGGTTTATAAAATTTCAAATTTTTTTTTTCGCAAAAATTTTGATAAAACCTTTGATAAACTGTAATTTTTATTGAAAAAAATAAAAATTTATCGAAAATTTTCGCTCTGTGCATGCAAAAAGAACCCGTTAAAATGAAATTTTGAAGAAGATAGCTACAAATCAATGGAGATAGCCTACAAATCAAGCCTCGCGACAACGGACATGTACGGGGTCAAGTAGCGCCACCAGTACTGAAAATTTATTATTAAAAAATATATGGTTTTAAGATGATTTAATTCTGCATTGTACTCCATACAGTCATGGACAAAAGTCTTGGCGGGTCCTGGGTTGCAACTTTAAAACGCGAATCGTGTTCAACTCGTTTCAGCTTCTCCATACAGCTTCGATTTGAATGTTATTGGACACCTATGTGCGTTTATCAAGACGAAACTCAAGGGAAGACGGTTTAGCTCTAAGGTACTTCGTACGGCGAGTTTGGGCCACCATTGCGCCACAAATTTTACGCGATCTAGTTCACAGTATTGCAGCTTAAGGTCAAGCGGCCATTGCAGCTAAAGACGGACCTATAAAATATTGAATTTTTAGCTCCTATGTATGTGCCGCCAAGACTTTTGTCCACTGTTTTTGTGACCTTTTTGTCTTTGACGTTTATTTTTGTTGTCTAAAATAAACTTTCGAGTTCAATGCTTGGTCATAGCTAAAAGTAGAGTAAAAATGCTCAAAAATACTTGTGACAACTTTTTTATAGCCTCTCGGGAAGGTTCCTAAATTTGCGTTTGAAAGTTGCAACCCAGGACCCGCCAAGACTTTTGTCCATGACTGTATCTCTCAAAAAAAACTCAAAAAATTTCGAAAATTCTTTGAGAAATCGGGTCTTTCGAAGAGTGAACTTGAACGAGTCACAGGTCAAAGTTTCCCATTTCTGATTAAGCACTAGATTCTGTTGGCGTTGGCTTTCCTGATATCCAGTTTAGCCAAAAAAAAACACTTCAAAACCTTGAAAATTAGGCCATAAAGCCTCAAAGGCTCAAAGGCACAAAATCAGCTCAAAGGCGTTACACCGAAAACTGCGAGCTTAGTTTTTACAGTTCTCAATTGCAGAGGCTTCAACTTTCATTCGGTGCATTCCAATTTGAATCTTTACAAACCGTGATATTGAAAATGATGAAAAGAAACGGGAAGACGACTCGCGAAATCAAATCGATCCGTCGCGAGTGCTCGCGGTATTTGTGTCGCCACAATTCTCCCCACCAAGAACCACGCTAGAAATTCGATTTGAATTTCAATGCTTTATAAGCCTTTATAAGCTCTATAAGCTTTATAAGGCCCCGTTTGCACTTTAAATGTTTTACAAGTCACTCACATGATGTTGATGTTGATGTTGGAGTTGATGTTGATGTTGATATTGGTGTTCTTGTTGATGTTGGTGTTGATGTTGATGTTGATGTTGATATTGGTGTTCTTGTTGGTGTTGATGTTGGTGTTGTCGCTCTTGTGGACTCGCTTGAATTATCGGGATGTAAATCGGCGAATCTGGCGGAAAACTCGTGCAATGTCGTTGGTTGTCACCGCTGAATTTAAGCTGGTGAGTTGGTCAAGAAAGAAAAAAAGCAACAACGTACAGACGCAGAAAGAGATGCGAAGAGCGACGACGGTATCGACGTCTGACAAGATCCTGTCGAGCCGCCCAGTTCACCAGCGCAAACTCGAGAAGTGCGCCGAAGATGAAAGCTGGACAAGTTCTCGCTTAGCAGCCAGGCAAAAATCGAAAAAACCAACCCAAACAAACGCCAATCCAAATATCGATCGCTTTTGTGTAGCTAACTGGCGGGAGATTCGCGTTGACGCCACTTGCCTAAAAAAACTAGTCGTATTTTCATTCTAGTCAAAATAGTCTTTAGTCAAAATCCCAAAATCAACAAACCTGTGTGGTCATTGTGAGCAATGTGGTGACCCCTAGGGTTACTCTAGCAGGTACAGAGTCCTTGTCAAGCCTAGAAATAGATGATTATCTGGCTTTGCATTCAAGACAGACTTTTCTAGATACTGTACTTCTATAGCATCTTCTCATTGCATTTAGAAGACCAAAAAAAGACTCACCAAAAGAGACCCACGAAACGGCGACCAGCATGAATGATGGGATGTAGAGTTGAAGAAGATAATACGAGAATTCTCGTTTCAACTCCATCACCGTTCGGAGACAACTGTAGACACCTAAAAAATCATCAGATAATCTGATCCAGATTCCAGATCAGATAATCTGGTCTAGATTATCTGCCTAAGAAATGTCCTGTGTTTAGCTGTTTGGCAAGGCGTTGACCTACCTTAGTTTGTTCAGTTTTTCATAGGCTTTCCGAATGCGCTTTTAGTTTTTCCCAAATGATTTGGAAGGCTTTTGGCTTTAAAGTTTTAGCAATCTCTTTGTAAGACTTTCTTGTTTGCCTTAAAAAAAATGTTCCAATACGGTTCTTTTTTTGATCTAATACCGTTCCAATACGGTTCCAATACGACTCCAATACGGTTCCTTTGGCCAAGAGGTAATGCTCTCGGTTACGAAGTTTTTGATCCGAGTTCGACTTCTTCGTCGGCAACATTTCGTGATCATGAGCACTACCACACGGCCAAAGGGACATTTTTTAGTTCAAAGTCCAAAGTCCAAAGTCAAGAAAGTCTCACAAAGAGATAGCTAAAACTTTAAAACCAAATTCCTCACGTTTACAAGTCATTTGGGAAAAACTAGAAGCAGATTCGGAAAGCCTGTGAAAAACTGAGCAAGATAGGATAAGTCTCGTTTTGAAATTCCATCTTAAGTTGACGACCTTTTCTAGTTAGCACAGGTTAGTAGCTGATCTGACTCTTTCTCGGTCTGGTATTTGTCTATTAGCCTACTAAACTTACAGACTACAGACTTTTAGCTATCTTGAAGTGATCAGAACCTTAGTCTAGCCTTGACCCTGTACAGGTTGACCCTGTACGGGGTTTGATCTTTGTTTAAACTAAACCTAAACCAAGGTCAGGTCCAAGTCAGACCTAAGACTTGACAAGTTCTAGAGCTAACCGATCTAGAACTTGTCCTAGATCTGTCCGATCTAGAACTTGTCCTAGATCTGTCCGATCTAGAACTTGTCCTAGATCTGTCCGATCTAGAACTTGTCCTAGATCTGTCCGATCTAGGACTTATCCTAGATCTAACCAGCCTAGAACTTGTCCTGTACTTAAGGATCCTATTGCTGATCTTGTCCATCCTCACCCGTATTCGTGATCGACGTGCAATTCCCCACAGAAACCGATGAGAGAAGAAATGACGGAAGCGACAAACGGAGACCCTTTTTGATTTGAATCGGTTTCTCGTCTTTCCACGTGTATTCTAAAAGACAATTGTAGGGTTACTGTATCTCAAAACTCACCAATATCATCAGTGGTATAGGCGTACGACGCGAAATCGATCATGCAGCTTTGCACTAAAAATTTCCTCATATTTCAATACTGTGACATCCAGTTTCACCTACCATCAAGCGGATAATCGGTGAGCCGCATTGGACACGATAAAGTCAACGTCAAACGAGTGCTGTACAAAATTCGACCAGTGCCTGTAATTAGAGACTAACTTTGACAAGCCAAAAACTAATCTGGACATCACAAGAGCTGTTGGCAAAATCTCAGATAATTCTATCAACTTTGACTTTGATCAAGTCTCTGAATCGGTCAGCTGACCGAAAAATTCTTTGTTTTTTTTGAAGAAAAGCACTTTCTACTTTTCTTTATCTTAAATCCCCACCATTGAACACTCGAACGAGCACATTCGGCGTGTCAATATCGTGCTTTTTACCCTCTTTTTCATTCTGGAAGAACGTGTCTGGCATCTGGAAATGAAAAATTCGGAAAATCGCATAGAAACCCATTTCTTTTGAGCTAATCATGCTTCGTGCATTCCATAATTGAAAACTCACCCAAATTTTCTGCCCTGGCGACAAGACAATGTGAGATAATCGATCGGACACGAACAACAGCCGCTCGTCCGTCCACTCTTCTCTACAAAAATACTGAATTTTTCAGTGAGCGGCAAACTGTGTGCCCTCCAGGATTTCATATTTTGTGCTTAAAAAGGAAATTGTCTTCAAATTCCATGGGGAATTCGTCAATTCTCAAAAAAAAAATTTAGTTTGAGTTGATTTGCTGTCATTTAGCGGCTCTAGAAACTGGAAACCGTGCTAAACCTACATTCTGGAGTGCAGAGTTCAATTCTAGAGCACTTTAAAATCAAAAAGCCATTTCGCACTTGTGGCCTATTGGTAGTGCATCTGTTTCTCAGTTAAACAATCCGGGTTCGAGGCCGGTTGCGGCTTTTGTTTTGCTTTTCATACCTGAATGTGAAATGTAGCGAGTACTCCATGTTCACATCATCCACTTTCGATATCGATCTGAATTTAGGTCGTTATGCAGAGTCTATTCTGATCGAAATTCTTTACCTCAAGTACATGTTCACTGTGACAAGCACGGGTCCAATTTGATCCTCGTCTTCGGGTTCCTGAAAAATCTTCTTGAAAATCCAGAGCAATGATCGATTTGCAATAAAAACTTGCTTTAAAAATTATTCCTTTCCTGTTTCCGACCCTTAAATCTGGGTAATTAAACCAAAAATATAAACAAGGAAGAAGAAAATTTAAATAATAGCCAAGAAAATACCGCTTTACTAACCAAATACATTAGGGTCAAATCAATTTTGAACCGAATCGTTTGAAACGTTGTCAACTCTTCGAGTTCAGTCGATTCAATTTTACAAGCCAAATCCGACTTACTACGCCAGAATTACAGCTCCACCTTTTCAACAGATTGCATACCAAAACGACGCAATCAATTCAAAAGCCCTACGTGTTATATAGAGAATTGAAGCCTGAATTCTTGTCTACATTTCTGTACGAAAAGATCTTTTGATTCGAGTTTTGCAACCGATTTTTCAGACTCTCAAATGAGCTCAATGCGACCAGTCTCCAGCATGCTTCCATTTTTCGATGTTTTCTAACTAAAAATGAAAGCAATGAAAGCAGAAAGACTGGTCGCATTGAGAGTCTGAAAAATCGGCTGCAAAACTCGAATCAAAGATCTTTTCGTACAGAGATGTAGACAAGAATTCAGGTTTCAATTCTCTAAATAACACTTAGGGTTTTTGAATTGATTGCGTCGTTTTGGTATGCAATTTGCTGAAAAGGTGGAGCTGTAATTCTGGAGGGAACTGTGGAGGGAACGGTTTCAACTTACCACCGATTCTCGAAACCGGACCTAGTTATAAAAAGCCTCCGTAGAATTCTAACAAACACGGATTTTTCTATTTTTTTTCCACATGGGCCCTGGTTTTCGAGAAAAGTGTGACCAAAGTTTCGGAACTTTTTTGTGTACAAAGTTTCGGCGAACCGCGACCTCATCTATAAGAGGGCGTCATTGCCAGAAGGCAATAAAAGCAGTCTAGGGAATAGTATGCTAGGCTCCGAAACCTATGCCATTTTCCCCCGCGGGTTCAATTTGGATCAGACCCCAGCATGGTCATATTAGTCAACTGGAGTCATCCCAAGCTGACCCTGGCCTTGACTGGTTCATAAAGTCAGAAGGCAGAAGTAACTTGGCCAACTAGGTGTCAGAAGTCAACTACTAGTAAACTTGAACTTTATTGAACTTGGACATGATCAGACTCTGTCCTAGTTCCCGTTTTTAACCTTTTTATAGATCAGCCCAAGTCTAGCATGACTACCTAGCATGGCTAAATGTCTAGCATGACTACCATGAACCTGGCTTTGGCCTGGCCCATTTAGCCTTAGCACCCTTTTTCAACCAGCCCATTTCACCTGATTTTTCAGATCTTTTTGCAACCCACCTCCAAATTGCCCCTCGGTCTCACTCGCCAATCGTAGTTGCTCTCCGGTGACTCGAGCAACTCCCGGATGATTCGCTGCTCGTCCAAAAGCTTTTCGTATCTAAATTTTGCAAAATTTAAAGGTAATCAAGTCCGTAAACTCACCCGGGAGGCTCAATGGAGGCAATCGTCTTGTGCAGTCCGATCAGCATCAGCACCGATAGCCTCATCTTTTTCGCGACATCTGAAAAAAAATCCGATAATCTTTTGACTTTGGAAATCGTAGAGAAACGGGAAGCCGGCTGAAATAAGGCAAAAAAAACGTCTGGAATTCATCAGCAGCCCGGGGGAAAAAGAACCGTGTTTTGCCACACAAAAAAAAAATGAGAAGAAAAGGAACACTTATGAATTCTTGAGAAATTTCCGTGAGTTGTGGAGCTGAACTCTGGGGCAATTTCTGGGTAGAGCGGCAGGGAATTGTTGATAATACCGTATTGGAGCCAACACTGAGAGCTAACTTTCATGCTTTAGGGACTACTGTTTTCTGAGAAGCGCCGAAAAAGTTTGTTATTTCTAGAAAAGCTGCCAGAAGATTTAATCTCGGGGTATTCTGGAATTTGGTTCTGGTTCTGGTTCTGGAGGTTCTGGAAGACACAAAAAAAGGACGGTTACCTTAAAAAGTTTGCCAAAACAAAATTCAAACAATGGAAATTCAGACAGAATACGATAGTTTAGTCACAAAATAATATGCTTTTTAATAAAGCTTGTTTACTGGTTGGTAGATAAAAGAAAAGCTAGCAGTTAGTGAGGTGAGTTGCAAGAAAAACGAAGAAAAGGTGGGAATGAATAATTCTGAAAAGGGGGACGGGCTGGAGAGTAGCCCCCACCCTAAGAAAGATCCAAGAAATCCTCTTTAGGCTCTTTTCTCAATTTCTTGACAAGATTTTTGAAAGTTTTTTTAAACCTAGTGTAAACTATGGAGTGGATTTGGGAAATTTAGAATTTAGAAGCTAAATTCTAAACTTAGAACCTAAATTCTAAATTTAGAACTTAAATTCTAAATTTAGAACCTAAATTCAAAACTTAGAAGCTAGTTTGTGGGTTTAAAAGCTAGCTAGATGACCAGCTAGCTTTCGAGACCAGCTAGCTAGCTAGATGACCAGCATTTACGAGACTGTCTCATTTTATGGGTCTTAAAAATCGATTTTTCTAAAATCTCCAAATTCAAGATCAGTTCTGGAACACATTTTATGCAATGAGATACAAATTTGAGCGTGAGAGAAAGTTTTTGAAAATTCAGCTCTCATGGATCTTGACTACAAGAGTTTATCGACCAAAAAACTCCTCTAATTTTTAATTTTTATAATTTTCAGGTAATCTGGAAGGCATACGTCCTATATTTGCTAATTTTCATATTCTCAAGTCAAAAAAAGAAAATTCCAAGATCAGTCTCTTCTCCTGCTTCCTTCCCCAGGAAATTTCCCACCAAATAGCCAAGTGCCAATCCTCGCAAACGAGCCAAATCTGGCAAAAAGGGGAAAACGGGGAGGAGATAAAGAGATGAAATCCGACCCATTCTTGGCTTTTTTTCCTCCTTTTCAAAAACATCCAAGCCAGAAACTATACCGAAAAACAACAATCACTCAAATATTCTAGCTAAATATATGAAAAAATCTTGATAGAAACTTGTCAATGCTCAATCTGGAATGCAATTGAGCCAAATCAGCAACAAGTCCTCCCGCTCTGGATGAGCGGACGGACTCGAGCCAGGGATCATTCGCCTCGAAGCATCGAAAAAACCCACTGCGCCATTGTGATCACCCTAGTGGTTGACGCAAAAATTACCCCAAAAATCGAGAGCCTATCGAGAGTAGAGTCAGATAACTCAAAAATTGCCACGAAATGTCAAAAGTTGGCCTCGTTTTCCGGTAATTTGTCGCCAATTAAGTGCTCGACATAGAAGAATACAAATTTCCACGTAAACGGGAAAAGAATCGACCTAACAAAGAAAATGAGCTCCACGATGAACAAAAATTAGAAAACAAAGACGAAAACTGCAATGGATTAGGGGAAAATTTTCGTAAGAACGATTTTCATGAGTAACGAAAATTTCAAATTCAAATTCAAAATCGAAATTTTTAATTGAATTTTGGCAATTTTCAAAACAATGCGCTTCAATTTGGGAAATTGCGTGCAAATGGAGTGCTCATTGTTGCTGAGAAATAGGTAGTTCCTAAAGTGGGTGAAGGTTGAATTGGGTGTGAATTGAAAGGACCCCTTTGGAGGGGTACCTGAATACCCTTTGGACCTTTGGTATCCTTTGGAGGGGCCAATAACACGTGCGGAAAGAGCGAATGTTTCAAAGTTTGAAATCTCCGAACCAGGTCAAGCTAGATCCTAGCAGGGCCAAGAAATTGGATCAAATCTAGCTGGGTTATTCCCGCTTGGGTACTTGAGCCGACCTAACGCTAGGGTACTAGGCAGCTCTGGGTTCTAATAGAATCAGGGTCCTGTTATCTCAGTGTCTAACGCAGCCCAAAGCCAAAGCCCAAAGCCCAAAGCCAAAGCCCTGTGTACTAGAGCTATTCCTTTTCGATCTGTTCATAGGTGTACGACGGAAAAAAACTAGCCGCTGATGTAGTCAAATCTCGTTTTTTCGAAGGTAGGAGACTGTAGAGGGAAAAATACAAAAAATTCTTTTAAATCCTTCGCCCTCAATGATCACTGGCAAAGATGATTCACAACTTTTCACCATTTTTCCTCGATAAACACTCCACTCATATTTCGAGATTCTATGCTAACAGAGAAACGATAACTTTTTTTTTAAAAAAGGCTAAGGAACTTGAAAACAGCAAAAAAAAGAAACCCCTCAAATTGAACTAGAGTCAAATCTTTCGTCGACAACATTTTCCAATGAAACAGGAAGTGAGCAGCTTAATTTCGAGAGATGAAATTCGGCGAGAAAAACTTAAGGGAAACCCCAGTGCGTTCGATGAGCGTCCCTTGTCGTCATTTTTTTTGTGGTTTTCATGGAAAAGAGGGAAAAGACTTGGGTGTGGGTTTAGTATGCATTCGGAATGCTTTCCTCACCACTCGTTTTTTCTCCTCTTTTTTTGACACATTTAGTTTTTTTTGGGTTAAAAGTGAATCCCCCCCTGTCATCCATTTTACCCAAATTAAGTATTTAAGGGTATCTGGGGGAATTTAGCGCTGAAAGGCTTGAAGGAAAAGCTATTCAACTGACGAGATATCCGCTATATATCGAAAAATATCGAGATTTACCGAAAAGAAAGAGAATTATCTAGACGAGTCTCAAGGGAAATAGCAAGAGACCTTAAAACGGCGGAAATTTTTTTTTTTTTGAGAGCTGGGTGTTCTCTTTTGCGCCACATTGGGTTGGAATTGGTCAAGATTGGGACAATTGCTGGACGCTAGTCGGTCCGAGTTCAATAATTTTATAGGATTCCTGAATCCTGGGTTGCATAAGGAGCTACAGTTGCTTTGCAAAGCTATTAATGCATTTTGAAAGATGGTTAAATGTTAAATGCAGTTAAATGTTAAAGTTAAATGCAAATTTAATTTAATTAACTATAAGTTTATGTTGAATGCAAACTGAAATCTCTTCTTGAAGTCAATTTTTTTTTTGAGAAAAAGCAATTCTTTCATTTTCTAGCCAAAAGTCAAACCAATTTTCACCTGTTTACACGAAAAAATGACGGGATTTTAATTATTAAAAAGATTTTAAAAAAGAATTTCTTAGAATTGGCTGAATTGGTGACTTTTACACTAAAAAATGAGAAAGCTTTGCATTATAGAGTTTTTAAAATTGCATCAAATATTCTAATTTGGAAAATTTTCGAATTTTTGGTTAAACTGGAAAGCACAACGAATTTTGAAATGAAAATTTTGGGAGATGTTTAAAATTTTAAAAAATTGTTGGCTCTAAAATTTTAAAAAATTGTTGGCTTCTTTTTTTGGCTTAAGTTTATTTAGAAAAGAATTAGGAAACGCAATTTTTGAAGTTTGTTTATAAAATTAAACCCTAAAGAAATCCGGGAGGCAGCTAAGGAAAATTGAAAAAAGGAAAAAAAGTGAAAAATTTTTAACTATGACGGAGCCTTCCTTTATAGTTCCTATTTAGTTCCTTTAAAGCTCCTTTATAAGTTCCTATTTAGTTCCTTTAAAGCTCCTTTAAAGCTCCTTTAAAGCTCCTTTAAAGCTCCTTTATAGAGTTCCTTTATAGTTCCTTTAAAGCTCCTTTATAGTTCCTTTTTGGGGTTAAAAATTAGTTTTAAAATTTTCTGTCTAAAAATTTGTTCACCCTGGAGAGCACTCTCATCACCGAAAGGGAGGAATTAGGGATTTTTTGGGTTTTTGCCTAAAAAAAGTCTCATTGGAGCAATGGAATGGAGAGTCGTTCATCGAATCGTCCTTTTTATTGCTTTTTGGAGTTCTTTTTCGTTTTCTAGCTTCTCGGTGGGATCCAGGAAATGGGAAATTTAGTCAGAAACATTTTAAAAAGTGAAAAATTTAGGGAAATCTATTAAAAATCAAAAAGAAGTGCATTAAAATTTGAATTTTCACAAAAACATCCAGAAAAGGGCTGATAATGTTTTTTCAGCTAAAATGCGTTCCAGTTTGGCCAAATTTCTGCAAATCGGATACATTTTAAGTTTTGATTTCAAAAATTCAAGGACCAACGCTGAACCCAGTGATAAAGATTGAAAAATTCAACGATTTACTAAAAGCGCTCAAGAAATTCGTGAATCTGGATCTCATTTCGAGGGATGAAAAAGGGTTATTGGACGGCTGTTTAAAAGAGTTTTGATGAACTCAAGTGATGGCCGCAAAATTGCGTTCATCACTCTTTTTTTGCACAATTTGGCCAAAGCTAGGGCAAACATCTGGTGGAATGGGTAAACTGGAACGCAGTTTGACCTTTATCTTATAGTTTACAGGACTGAGCAGCTGAATATACTAAACTAAACTCACTTGAGCGCTTTCGATAAGCACGATCACGGGCCTGCACGGTCAATTCCGTGCAATTTGTCCAACGAATCGCGCAATCGTTACATCGTTTTCAAGAGGCCCTAAACAAAATCGATTTAACATGATTATATTATTAAAAAAAACTAAATAGTAAAGTAGACTATAGAAGCGCGCACTTTGAAGCCCCGAAACTCGGCTTAAAACGCTTTTTCCTAAGCTCTCGTTGTATTTTTCGGCTCTAAATGTCTATAACTTTTTACAGAAACAAGATTTTCGTTTACTTTTTATATATTTTAAAAGAAAACATTGATATTAGCCTAGTTGAGGAGGGAGGGGCATGATGTTTGCTTCAAAACCACTTTTTCCAGGGTATTTTTATTCGTAGATTCCGAAAAATACAACGAGAGTTAAGGAAAAAGCGTTTTAAGCCGAGTTTCGGGGTTTCAAAGTGCGCGCTTCTAGTCTACTTTACTATATACGCTTAAGCTCAAGCTATCGACCATTGGGGCACTTTTCATAGGTCAAAACTAGAGTGAAAACCATTTTTAACCACTAAATATACATTTTCCAACTTAAATTGACTGATAGATGCAAAAGAAATTGAAAGAATTAAACGGTACCAAGGTAGTTGGGAGGCGGCACTTTTTTCTTCAAAACCACTGTATTCTTGGGTAGTTTTAAGCGTAGATTTCGAAAAACACAACGAGTGGTCGGGATTTTCTTCAAAACCACTTTTTCCAGGGTATTTTTAGGCGTAGATTGCGAAAAACACAACGCGAGCATAGGAAAAAGCGTTTTAAGCAGAGTTTCGGGGCTTCAAAGTGCGCGCTTCTATAGTATACTTCCTAAGCCCAAGCTATCGATTATTGGGGCACTTTTCAAGGTCAAAACTAAAGCCAAAACCATTTTTAATCACTAAACATTCATTTTCTAACTTGAATTGACTGGTAGATGCAAAAGAAATCGAAAAAGAGAAGAGGTCTAAAACATAGAGAAGATGTCTAAAAATCGTCTTTTAAAACATCTTTTAAAGCCAAAAACACTTCTTCTGGCATAACCTATTGACCTATTGACCTTCTGGCATAACCTTTTGACCTATTGACTACGTTTCTGATTAAATTGAAGCAAAAGAAAAAGCTTTTTCCAAATTTCGACCATGTGGTCCCCTACATAAATCAAAATCGGTCAAAATCTCAAATTTTTTCGATTAATTTTTCAATTTCTTTTGCCTCTACCAGTCAATTTAAGTTAGAAAATGAATATTTACTGATTAAAAATGGTTTTGGCTTTAGTTTTGACCTTGAAAAGTGCCCCAATAATCGATAGCTTGGGGTTAGGAAGTATACTATAGAAGCGCGCACTTTGAAGCCCCGAAACTCGGCTTAAAACGCTTTTTCCTATGCTCGCGTTGTGTTTTTCGCAATCTACGCCTAAAAATACCCTGAAAAAAGTGGTTTTGAAGAAAAAAAAGTGCTCCCTTCCAACTACCTTAGTACCAAAAGGCCTATTTAGACATTAAATAAATTAACGCGAGGCTATTTTAGTTGAATCCTTTCATTTCTGACTAGAAAATGTTCCAAGTACATGAAAATTGAGGAATAAGTAAAGAGATAAACGAAAAAAATGCTCATCAAGTGAGGAATGAGCGCACAAATGAAAAGGTTTTCTTTTCTTTTCTCCAAAAAGACATTCCGCCTAATGACTACCCAAGAACAAGTGGTTTTGACGAAAAAAAAGTGCCGCTTCTAACCTCGATAACGCCAAATCACTTTAACATAACAATAATGTTAGAAAAACTCACAAATTCAGCTCCAAAAGTTTCCCATTCTTGGCCAATTTTGCATAGATGAAGCCGCAAACGTTTAACGTTAAAAACATCGAGTACGGGAGATCATCTTTTGAACCCAAGATGGAAAAAGTTCGCTCGTAAACGACCATTATCTGAAGAAAATGAAAATGATTATACTAGATAAGTTTTTTAAAAGAAAAACAAAGAAGTATAAGCTCAAAATAGCATAAAAGCATAAATAGCACAAAATTAATCAACAAATCTTCAAGAAACAATAGATTTTTAGGGAAAGGTGCTTTTTGAATCAATCGTTTAATCATCAATCTTAGAAATTTCAAAGCTGATAGTTGTTTTAAATGCGAAATGACACAAGTTTTGGGCTCTTTGATGTCAAATTTTGATTTAAAAGTACGAGATTGAGCCCGTGGCGCAAGATTCTTGGACATGAAATAAATGTATTGAAATGAATCTGGTGAAGCTTTCATTGCGCGGTTTTAAAAAAGAAAAAAACTGTCATAGTTGAAGGTTTTAAAAGGAAAAATATGCAAAAACAAAGTTTTTTAATAGGTTGTCCCATAAAAAATTGCCGTTTTTCAAAAATTTTTATTTTCAACACAAAATAAAAAGTAACAGCGTAGATCAAACAATATATTTTCCATGATCATCATAGACATTTAACCAACGTTTTGGTAACTTTGCAAGTCCACACTTGTAAAAAGCGGGTCGGCGTAAAAGAAAGCAACCCTCCAATTCGTCCTTGAGGTCACCTTGGCTGTTGAATTGCTTGCCTCGAAAGAAATCCTTTAGCGAGAAAAATAAATAGTAATCAGATGAAGGAATATCCGGGCTATAAGCGGGATATAAAAGTACATTCCAGTGCAAATTGTTTTCCATAAAATCCTTCGATTTCCTCGATTTGTGGGGATGGGCGTTGTCTTCAAGCACAAAAACGAAACCATTCCATTCATTCTGATAGACCAATCGGAGAATTTTCTGCCCAACTTGTTGCATATGACGCCTATAAACATCACTGTGAAAAGTTTGACCCTTCTGGAACAGCTCCCAAAAAAGTATGCCAGAGCAACACACAGAAATCGCTTATTCCCATGAGTATTTCGTTTTTCCACCACTTTTCCCAATCGACCTTTCTTCAATCATTGTCGTTTCAACACTCGACAATCATAGAATATCCACGATTGATCATGAGTCACAATATTGAAAAGAGGAAACCGACCGCATCGATATTCGTTCAGTGGTTGACGGCATGACCGCGCTCTTTGGCCCTTAATCGAATTTTTCAAATGATAGGGAATTTGCCGCTGTTTCAACCACTTTCTTCCGTTTTTTTTGAGACAACGCCATACTGTCATTCTTCAGGAATAGCTTTGTGCCAAAATCCGAGTCGTTCCTTCGGGATTTTGCTGAAGTTGGCGCCTCAACGTCTGTCGATTCACTTTTCTGGGACGACCGCTTCCTCGCTTTCGTGTGAGCCGGTTGTCACCTTTTCGGAACTTCTGAAACCACCATCGTGTAGTCCTTTCCTTGACGATTGTTGGCCCATAAAAGAATTAATTTCTCTCGCTGCTTTGGCCGCGGAAATCCTCTTGAAATATCGTTGATGGATTATTGATGGATTTCTTTACGAGACAGCGCCATGTGATCGATCACAACTTTTTTTGTTTTTGATTCCTAAAAAAGAGAATTTAGCACATAAAACTAGAATTGTAAATTAGTATAATAAAAAAAAAGAGAAAGAAAAAGTGTTAATTTGTCGCTGAATACGAATCAAATGAAAAAAACGGCAATTTTTTATGGGACAACCTAATAGCAATAACCGTGAGTTAATTCAACTTTTACATCATAAGTTTTAAAAAAAAAAAAATACCGACTGGGGCTACCAGTGGTGAATTTATCGCATACACGAAATATATCAATCACAATACAACGACACACACAATACTAGGCTATATCTTAACTTAACCCACGTCATGACAGACGGCTCCCTAACCCTAAGCTCAATGGGGAACTAAATAGCTTTTTTGGTGGTGAAGGGAAGATGACGATGAAGGAGTGGCTTGTCACTTTAAAGAACTGGGGCCACAACCACCAGACTGCCCTCCAGAAAACCTCTCAACCCGAAGGGAAAGGAAATCCGAAGGGGGTGACCATGTCGCATGTGGGGTTCGAACCCTCGACCTTCCGATTAAGATAAAAGACACTTAACCAGTCAGCCACACGTGCTCACGTGCTCTTTTAGACCATTTAATTGGATTGACCTTTTCAGATAAGTAGGTCTGACTTTGACGAAACTGTATGAAAATTGTATGAAATTTGTATGAATGTATGAAAATTAAATTTTGAGGACAGACAAGAAAAAAATCAGCCAAGATGATTAACAACTGTCAATATGTTGCGCGAATTCAAGCAAATTTTGTGTTTTGTATCCGTATAAACTTGAAACTTCTATATATAATTTTGTCATAATGAAAGATTTAATTTTGTTGTGACCAAAGATACAATTGTTAAAAGCCTCCACCACCTTTATTACAAAACAAAAAATTTTACACAAATGGTTAGGGTTACTGCTCCAGGAGTCGGTATTGATGTTGTTTGAGCTTCTCTATCAAGTCCTCCTCGGCAACGATGGTGTTGCCCGACGGACCAGTTTCGAGGACGAAGTCAACTTCGACGGCAGGATCAAGCTAAATAATAAAAATTAAAGATATAAATCAAAATTGAAAGTGAACTTTGCCAATAAACTTTCACTTTTCCCCTTAACAATATAAATAACTTAAGCAAATATTCACCATCAATTGCGCGTCGTAAATAGTCAGGCGTCTTTTTGAACCTTCGGTGCCACACTCGTATTGAAGAGCACGCGACTTAGGGTGTTGGAACATCATCGTTTGATCACCAAAGTGGACCTCAAATCCGGCTGCGTCTATGGTAAACTTGGGGAGGTCTTCGGTGGCCATCTGCTTGGTGGATGAGAAGAGAACCTTGGCATTCATCGTTCTTAAATTTACAAAATCAAAATGAAAATGGACAATTGTCACAGAAAAAAGATGAAAAAAATCGAACTTACCGGTTGTCTTCGCAAAAAACGTGAAGTATAAAGGGGTGATTTTAACGGGGGGTAGTCAAAACAGCGCCATAATAGAAAACGTTCAAAACAGCGCCGTCAAATTTCTCAAAATCCAAGAAACCAAGCCGGTTCAAGTTTTATATCAAAAAATTCCTTGCGTTCTTGGCTACATGATGGGTGAAACAGTTTTTTAAAAAAGTTAATATTTCACAGATAAAAAGAGCACTCAAAATGGGTCTCTAAAGATTTTCAGTTAACCAACTCAGTATCACTCGACCCACATTTTGAGTGCTCTTTTTATCTGTGAAATATTAACTTTTTTTAAAAAACTGTTTCACCCATCATGTAGCCAAGAACGCAAGGAATTTTTTGATATAAAACTTGAACCGGCTTGGTTTTTTGGATTGTGAGAAATTTGACGGCGCTGTTTTGAACGTTTTCTATTATGGCGCTGTTTTGAACGTTTTCTATTATGGCGCTGTTTTGAACGTTTTCTATTATGGCGCTGTTTTGACTGCCCCCCATTTTAACTTGTCAAATCTTGGCTTTTTATCAATGTTAATTTCATATATTTTAATTTTCGCAAATGTGATCAAAGATTTTATTTTTTTAGTACGTTTTTCGAGTTATCAATAATTTTTTGAAATTTAATTTTCTACAAATATTTAAATATATTTATTAAATATGGACTCACCGTCCCTCGTCTTCAAGTGAACTGTTGTGGCTCTCACATGAGTCTTCATCACTTTCTGAAGAGTTCATACTTTCGAGTTCCATTTTACCTGAAAACATGATATATTTCAAATTATCATTTATTGAATCATAACACTAGACTTTGTAATAATAATAATACTTTATTCAAACGATAAAGTGAAAGAAATCATAGAGAAATGCACAGTGATACTTAATCATACAATACATACTGAAATCAATAAGCCAATTACTTACGGCAAAGAGCCACTAGATCTAAAGCATCGATACGTTTCTTGAATATGAAAAGCGACTGAATTTCTCGTATGTCGTTTGGGAGCAAGTTCCATAATCTAGCGGCTCTAACGGGAAATGAATTTGATAAAGAGGCATTGGAAGCAAAGGGAATTTGCAAAAGGAATGAGCCACTTCTGGGCCCTGACCGCGGTTTAAATTTGAAAAAGTCTATAAACAAAGGGCTAATCTGTTTACAACGGAGGATTTTGAAAGTTTTCATAAAATTTCATAAAATTAAACGATGAAAAATCACGAATTGTTTTGTTTTTCTTAATAATTCATTTTAAATAAGAACATTTTAATTGAAAAGAGATCAAAAAAAAGTAAAGGAAAGAAGGTTAGAAGGGAGTTTTCAAAGTAAAGAAGATAAGATGATTTGTAAATGATACAAATGACAATTTGGATCTCTATTTATAGTGGATGGGGAAATTATTGTCGTGTGAATTTCTAGATATCGTAACAAAATTGGTGAAAATCGGCAAAATCGGGTCAGATACGGGACAATTAAATACTATAAATTGACTATCAATTGAAATATTGAGAGTTAAAACGCGAGAGACTAAGGAAGCTTGAGACAACGGGATTTGTTAAAACTAAATGTATTCCCTCAAAACGAACTTTAAATACCAAACGCGTATTAGTCTAATTGCTATGAAAGTAGAAAAGGATGGCTATAACACAGCAAAAAAAGAAAAACAGCCAGAAAAGGAGGAAGGGAGTCCCTTAAAAGCGGTGAAAGTGTTGTTAGTTAGCCAAAGTTAGTTGAAAGAGAATTGGTTAAGCCAACAAGGGAAAGGCACCAACTTACGGCGAGCTTTTAAAATGAGACATAGCCTATCCTAGTTATCCAGTTCAATATTTTTGCTGGTACATTAATGCTGGTAAAGTACTGTTTTAAGTACATTAATGCTAGTAAAGTACTGTTTTAAGTACATTAATGCTAGTAAAGTACTGTTTTAAGTACATTAATGCTGGTAAAGTACTGTTTTAAGTACATTAAGGCTAGTAAAGTACTGTTTTAAGTACATTAATGCTGGTAAAGTACTGTTTTAAGTACATTAATGCTGGTAAAGTACTGTTTTAAGTACATTAAGGCTAGTAAAGTACTGTTTTAAGTACATTAATGCTGGTAAAGTACTGTTTTAAGTACATTAAGGCTAGTAAAGTACTGTTTTAAGTACATTAATGCTAGTAAAGTACTGTTTTAAGTACATTAATGCTGGTAAAGTACTGTTTTACATATTAAATTGTTTTCTTTAGTGAACCAAAACCGCTTAGTTGGGGCGACGAAGAAATCGCCGGTGATTTGAACAAAAATCGACAAAAAACAAAAGATCCGATGAAAATCCCAGGGAATGGTTTGTTTTTTTTGAAAATACTAGTTTAATGAGTAAAATAGGTTGATGATAAATGTTGATTTTAGTCTCTGATCAACTTAGCAACGATCTTGTCAAAGAAAAGAGGAATTTTGTTTCATCGTCGAACCGCTATGGTTTGTTTTTGGCTATTATTTCCCTCACTTTTTTCCTTTTTATAGCAAATTGATTCGTGGCTGTCACCAAACACCAGACGACCGAGGCGGACGTGTGGTGCGCGTTGTTCGACCCACTCACACCACCGACAGGCGAGCGCGCCATTTTCAACGCACACGATGGTCTTGATGCCGGCGCCGTCAATCCGTCCGGCTCCTCTGGCTCGTCGCAATCCACCCAATCAACTCACAATGACGGCACAGAGAATAGGCCATCTAAGTCAAAGATCGTTCTCATCCACGACAACGCGCGCCCTCATGTTGCAAAACTGACTCAGCGCGATAACGACGACGGACTCAAGCGGTATTTTTCTTGTTTTTCTTGAATTTACCATTCATTTTTTCTTTTTCAGACTTGACGTTTCCTCGTGTTTTTTTTCTTCGTCGACGCTTTCGTCTACGCCAATGCCAACACCAACACCAACACCAACACCAACACCAACACCAACGCCGCCTCACCGAGGAAACTGAGCCGATTTTCTCGGTGAAACACCTCAATTCGATGCGGATTCGATGCGGAAAGACCAAAACGAGACACCAACATTGGAAGGAATTCGGCGAAGAGAGGGGTCTTATTTTTAAGTTTTCAAAAATACTAGCAAGTTTTCAAGATGAATTGGATAAAATTTATCAAAAACTTTGTCTTTTCAGTACGCCAACCATCTACTTCTTCCAACAGCAACACTGGCCCCGAATCATCGCAAATTACGCTCGATTCTCAAACTTCTTGTAGGTTTTTACGATTGATTTTTCTGGTAAATTAGTGAAATTTTAAAGTTTCATACAAAATTTAGGCAGAAAATGAAAAATTTGAACGAAAAATCAATCTTCTAGAGACAAACTCGAAAACTAAAGCGTTTACTTTAACATTTTTCATCCTTAAAACCTCTGTTAGCATCTCTGTTAGCTTCGTTAGCTGTATTGTGTCTCAAAATATGCTTTAGAATAGAAAACTATCAAAATTTGTCATCGAAAATCCCTTTATTGATCCTCTAAATCGCTGAGCATCTCTTCGATGATCGTTGAATTGGTTCGACTGTCGGGGAAACGATTTCCCGGGAATTTCTGCGAATCCTGGAGCTCATCGAAGAGTTTTTGCTGGGATTTGTCGGGTTTTTCGGGAAATTCTGTGACGTCACCGAATTTCTCGAGTTGACTGTCGGCGCGATCCTAAAACTTGCCTTTTTTTGGGAGTTTTTTGGAAGAGTTCTATGCGGAGTGCATTCAAATTTGAAAAATGGCTTCAAGTTTTCAGAAATGACCCACCGAGAAGAGGTAATCGTCGACAATTGCGGCGAATTGATCGATCGACAAATGGCCAACTGAGGAAACGTCGAGCTCACGGAAAACCGGAAATTTATGTGAGTTTTTGAAAGAATGGAACTCATTTTATGATTCTAGATTGATTTAAAGATTATTGACTATTAGAAGAGCTATTAGAAGAGCTATTTGAAGAGTTATTAGAAGAGCTATTTGAAGAACTATTTGAAGAGCTATTTGAAGAGCTATTTGAAGAGCTATTTGAAGAGCTATTAGAAGAACTATTTGAAGAGCTATTTGAAGAACTACTAGAAGAACTATTTGAAGAGCTATTAGAAGAACTATTTGAAGAGCTATTTGAAGAGCTATTTGAAGAACTACTAGAAGAACTACTAGAAGAACTATTTGAAGAGCTATTAGAAGAACTATTTGAAGAGCTATTTGAAGAACTACTAGAAGAACTACTAGAAGAACTATTTGAAGAGCTATTAGAAGAACTATTTGAAGAGCTATTAGAAGAGCTATTTGAAGAGCTATTAGAAGAGCTATTTCAAGAGCTATTTCAAGAGCTATTTCAAGAGCTATTAGAAGAAGTTCTTCTTCGCCATTTTCTGAATTTCCCTTTTGCACGCCTACCTTTTCAGCTAACTCATCACTGAATTCGCCAAATGTCTTCGCAATGTACTAAAAATGAGGAAAGTTTAGGTTTTTAGGCTTTAGACTTTAGGCATTAGGTTTTAGGCTTTCGGTTTTAGGTTTTAGGTTTTAGGCTTTCGGTTTTAGACTTTAGGCTTTAGGTTTTAGATTTTAGGTTTTAGGTTTTAGACTTTAGGCTTTAGATTTTAGGCTTTAGACTTTAGGTTTTAGACTTTAGGCCGTAGGCTTTAGACTTTAGGCTTTAGGACTTGTTGGTTTAGGAATCTATTGATTTAGGATTTAGGCTGCTTCGAGAGTTTTAAAAAAAAGACCTTAAACTCGTTCTCGGTAATGATGCCGTTTCGATCTTGATCAAAAATGTCAAAGCATTCCTGGAAGTGTCTTTTGTCTATTGGAAAAGGCAAAAATGCGCTCAATATTTGGAGAAAAGTTCACCCGAATCGTCTCATCATTCGTCACTTTGGCTAGAGTCTGTGACTTTTTCATACATGCGCAAAACTCGTCAAAATCGATCTCTCCATTCCCGTCCGAGTCCACCTATGGTATTTTCAGTAATCTCGGATTGCATGTCATTGCTTTAAGCTGAAAAGAAGTGTTGCTAGGAGATGGATATTAGACTTGTGATGTCTGTCGATCCTTTTTGATCTGTCGATCCTTTTTCTCCATTAAATTATCGACAAAAAGATTGACAGAGGTTTTCTTTACAAGTGTAATGGATCGATAACTAGTTACGGTAGTTCAAGAAGTGCAAAAAGTGCCAAAGAACTGCCGTAGCCTAGTTAAACTAGGCTCTGTCGTAGCCCAGAGCCTAGTTTACCGTTCGTTTCTTACCTCTTTGATAATATTCTCAATATGTTCATCACTCATCCCAACGCCGAGTGCTTTCATCGCTCTTTTCAACTCCTCGCTGCCGATAGCGCCTAGGAAATTGGGAAATTTGGTTTTCAGAAGAAACTCAGATCTAGTGTCAGTCAAAATTCTGACAGAATACTAGCTTTTATCTGGTTTAACTTTGTCCAATGCTCATTTTTGACTGACCCGATCCATCAGTGTCAAACATTCCAAAGAGTTGTTTCCATTCTTTCAGCTCTTTCCTGCAGTAAAGAGCAGTTGAGAAATCGTTCAATTTAAATGATTTCTTAATAGAAAACAAGAAAACAATTGAATTAAGACTACACTCTATGAGATGAGCAAGAAGATCAAATTTGACATCATCGCCCTCCAAGAAACAAAGGCCAAAGATGACTCCACGAAGACATAGGCGAACGGCGACCTGCTCATACTCGGCCACAAAGGCCAAAGATTAAATTAACCTTACTTTGAATATTTCTGTTCTCTTTCCTTTGTCGTTCTCGCCGTGCTCGAGCCATCTTCGGAATGATGTGAGTGCTGAGATTGAGAGGAGCCACGGCTGAAATGCTAGAGTGCTAGAGTTTTCAATGGCAAAAGTTTTGAACAGTTCAAGCTTTTCTAGACTTTTCTAGACTTTCTAGACTGATTTTGAGTGTTTACGAGGTTTACCAATTCTACAGCTATTATCCAATTGTTTCCTAAGCTATCCAAGTCCGTTTTGTCAAGTCTCACTGGAATCTGGCTTCTAGAGCTTCTAGAGCTCAAGGCATAAAGCAAAAAATCAACCGCATCTTTAGATTCCCATTCTTGTTCGAATCGGTCGTCGACGGCAACACTCCGACTCGATGCGAGCGCATTTTCAAGCAAAAAAAACAAACTGAAATCAATAGATTTTCAATTTTATGTCAAATCTGGAAATCACAAAGCAAGAAGGAAAAGAAAGAAGTTGTCGATTTTGCAAAAAAAAAAAATAAAATCTCAACTTTAGCAGAGAAAAGAAACGTAGCTGGGCTTGTAAATGGAAATTTGTCGCTATAAAACGATGATTTCAATATATTTTTTGAGCAAATTGGAGGGCATTCTGATGATAAATTCAGTTGAGAAACGATTCCTGAAAAGGTGAGCGAATGTTCGCGTGTCACTGCTTCATTTAGCATAAGAGTGAAGGGATTTTCGTGCGAAAAGTCTCCAAAATGCCTAAAATCGTTAGAATCGAGGGGAAATTGAGAGAATTTGGATCTAATTTCATCTAGTTTCTCATCTAGTTTCATCTAATTTCATCTAATTTCATCTAATTTCATCTAGCTTCATCTAGCTTCATCTAGCTTCATCTAGCTTCATCTAGCTTCATCTAGCTTCATCTAGCTTCATCTAGCTCCATCTAGCTTCATCTAGCTTCATCTAGCTCCATCTAGCTCCATCTAGCTTCATCTAGCTTCATCTAGCTTCATCTAGCTCCATCTAGCTTCATCTAGCTTCATCTAGCTCCATCTAGCTTCATCTAGCTCCATCTAGCTCCATCTAGCTTCATCTAGCTTCATCTAGCTTCATCTAGCTTCATTTCCAAGCTTTATTTCCTGTTTATCTGTTCGTCGGGAAAAAAATTTAATGTCTATAATGGTTTTTTTGGGTTTTCCAGAGGGAAAAGATTGACAAAATGGGTTTTCTGAAGCGGGAAATGCTGGAAAAGAGCTAGAAAAGAGACGAAACGCAAAAAAAAAACGATAAAAAGAAGTCACCTCTCGACTCAATCAAGTTAGTCAGCGTCCCGCTTCTCGAAAAAGCCTAAAATGGAGCAGTTGAAGTCCCCGAGAACCACTTCAGACTTCTAAACATTTTATTTTAAATGAGAAAAACTTTAAATGAGGAATTCTTTGAATTTTTATCAATCCTGGACTGCATTGCATTGTTTTCTTTGAGAATTTTTCGGTTTAACTCTTTTCTCAGCTTTCTCAGCTTTCTCAGCTTAACTTTTCTCATCTGCAACAGCTCTAACAACTGCAAGAGCTCTTCCTCAACAATTCTCAGCAAATTTACTTATAACCCTCAAAAAATAGAAACATTTTTGCAAATCCTGGATAACATTGCGTGTTTTTTTGCTATTCCTACCTTTCTCACAAGTGAATATTTCATTGGGGCTCAGTGGGTGGATGTTTTTTCAGACTAGTGGGCTTTTCTTCTTTTCAAAGACCGAAAAAAAGATCTTCTTGACCTAAAAAAAGACTTCCTGGAACGCACAGCGATCATTCAAATCGGCAAACTGAGAAAAATTGAGTTTTTTACATTATCCCCTTTTTTTACATGTCTTTTTAGCTAATCAGCTATTCAGCTATTCAGCTACTCAGCTACTCAGCTATTTAGCTAATCAGCTAATCAGCTATTCAGCTATTCAGCTATTTAGCTAATCAGTTATTTAGCTATTCAGCTAATCAGCTATTCAGCTATTCAGCAAACAGCAATCAAGCAACCAATTTTCATTTTAAACCAAAGCCAGGCCAATTTTAATCTCAAAGAACTCTTTTGTGATGTCCAGATTGAACAAATTTCTATTTAAATTAGGTTTTTCATTTTGATTTATCCAGATTTTTGAGCAAGATCTCAAAATTTTACAGCAAAATGTCATCAAAACGATTTCCCACGAAGCCTCAATGCAGCTGAGAAACCACATTTTTCTATATTTCCTTTTCCTACACTTCATTCTGATAGGTGAGTCAATTTACGAGTCTTTTACGGATCTTTACGTTAACCATGAGATTCAAATATCAATTCAAAAGTCAATTTAACAAGTGACTTCCCCAGTGTGTTTCCATGACTCTCAGAACTCGATAGGGCTTGATTTTCGTCTACAAAACTGTCAAAATCTCAAAATCTATTAAGATCTTAATATCATAGATATGCTAGAAGTTTACACAAAAAATCGTCACAAAAAAGCGATCAATGACAGCAAAATCGCTAGTGAATGAAGTCGACTCTCGATTTAACAACGCTTGATACAATGATTTTGATTCTTAAACTCTTGATTCGTAAACACCCCCTGGTTTCTGCGTAGCTGCCCAGCTAAACGCAATCGTTGACTGCAATCGTTGACTGCAATCATTGACCATTCAGGGCAGCTATTTGAGGCGTCGAAATTTGAGGCACTTTTTAGAATCGTTAAATCGAAATTTTTTTGTCTCAAGCACAAGTAGATCGACAAGTAGAGCGACAAGTAGAGCGACAAGTAGATCCACAAGTAGATCCACAAGTAGATCCACAAGTAGATCCACAAGTAGTAGATCGACAAGTATTCCAGAGATGACCCCATCATACATAGACTTGCATCAAATCGATGAAAAAGCCGCGATTTTCTTCTTTGTTCATCACAAAGTGCTTTCTGCCGGCATTTGTCCACTCGGTCAATGTCAAACTGTCAAACGCTTCAAACTCGAGCCAAAGCCGATCAACAAAGGGCTTGGACTTAGTGCGTAGGCTAGCGCTAGCGCCTAGCACTAAGTCTATTTGGGTTTGGGCTGAACCCCCATTTTTTGGATCTCAGCGAGTTCTGGGAGCTAAGGGACACCCGTTTGGCGTTGTGCTTTGGAACCCAATGGGGAGTATGTTCCCAAAATTTCAGGTCGATCTCGTGTCTGGAATTGGAGATCTGACATGTCGATTTTGGGATTTTTTTGACATAGCCTAAAACGTCGAGATAGGTCCAGCTGAGTCTCCCAAAGCGGTTAGAAAAAAATTTTTTTTTTGGCCCATAGCTAAGGTTGCAAAAAATTTTTCCTTTGATGTTGCCGACACCGCCTTTGATCTTACCGCCATTTTCCTTTCATCTTGCCGCTATTTACCTTTGATCTTGCCGCCGCAAGACCCTACGAAGGTTTTGAAATGTTGAAAAAAATTTTCCTTTTTATCATACCAACGTCAGCGTTGATCTTACCGCGATTTTTCTTTGAGCTTGCCGCCATTTACACTTGATCTTAAGGCCGAAGGGTGTTTTGACACCTGCGGATTTCCTTGCCACATAGCTAAGGCCTGAAAAATTTTCCCTCTGATGCTATCGACACCGCCCTTCGACAGAAAAATTAGCACAGAAAACTAGAATTGGAAAGCAGTATAATAAAAAAAAGAGAAAGAAAAAGCGTTAATTTGTCGCTGAATACGAATCAAATGAAAAAAACGGCAATTTTTTATGGGACAACCTAATATTTTTCCAATCCTTAATTTCTCTGATTACTAATTGTTATTATTATTTACCTTATTACTCACAGAAATTTTGAGTAGCTTTCAGTGCAACCTTTTATTGTTCCACCCTATGTTGTTGATCCAAACGCGCTGTGGGTTCAACAGGCCATAGGCACTAGCCGCTAGCCTCGCACTAAGTCTTTATTCCACAAATTGATTCTATTTTTTATTTTCAAAAACTAAATTTGGGCTGCTAACGCAGCCCAATAAAAGTCCTGAAATCCTAAACCTGAAGCCTCAAGCCTAAGCGTTTTAAGGCTAAGGCTTTTGGTTGGGTAAAACCCAACCAATAAAAGAGTTATTTGGGTTTGGTCTCAACCCGTTCCAATTACTGATCTAATACAAGTAATGATGGGGCTGAAATGTCCCTACTTGAACAGCTTCTTTGATCCGATAAAAGTACGGAAATCATAGGGCTGAAATGTTCCAATTTCCACCGTCGCCTCGATTCAATAAAAGTACAGAAATCAATTTGCAAGGATCCCCACTAGCCCAAACCCAAATAGCCGCCTTTTTTGGGTTCTTGTGTTAATATGGTTCTATTTCTAACATGCGCTTTAGTTGATTTTCAAAACTAAATTTGCCCTTTGTGACCTTGATTGTCTGGGTTATCTGGGTCAATTGAAGTAGCATCCAGTTTTCATGTGAGATTCTCAACTTAATGTTAGATTTCGATTTAGTATAGGCTGTTCGAGCCAACGTACCAGTTTGAAGTCAGTTTGAGATTCATGATTTGCGAAATTCCTTTGAATTCCGATTCTATGATGATCCATATGATCGTTCTATAGTGAAGGGCTATAGAGATATAGTCGATATTCTATAGTCTCATGGTTCATGGTTACTGAAAGTTCTTTTGATGTCACGTACTATCATCCACTATATGATCGATATATTATAAATTGTGAAGTGAAAGTGAATAGATCGATTACTAAGCGTTAGTGATTGTCAATATATTTCAAGGTCACTCAAATATTCAGGCCTCCCTCCCCCAAAAAAGGCGGCTATTTGGGTTTGGGCTAGTGGGGATCCTTGCAAATTGATTTCTGTACTTTTATTGAATCGAGGCGACGGTGGAAATTGGAACATTTCAGCCCTATGATTTCCGTACTTTTATCGGATCAAAGAAGCTGTTCAAGTAGGGACATTTCAGCCCCATCATTACTTGTATTAGATCAGTAATTGGAACGGGTTGAGACCAAACCCAAATAACTCTTTTATTGGTTGGGTTTTACCCAACCAAAAGCCTTAGCCTTAAAACGCTTAGGCTTGAGGCTTCAGGTTTAGGTTAGGCTTAGGCTTAGGCTTTGTTAATCCGCTAAGGGATCAACAAAGGGAATCCGAGTCTCAAATTGATTTCGCAAGAGCTGAAAATGAATAGAGAAAGGCTGGCCGAGTAGCCAAACCGCTGGAAATTGTACATGCGCTTGGCGAGTAGACAACAGCAGACAAAATCGATCGGTTTTGTCAGCTGTCAGCAACCGATCGGTGGATTGATCCCGGATCAACAAAGCCTAAGCCTAAGATTGGAAATCAATGAAACTCTTCTTATGAAAACGAAAATTCAAAAAAATGGCAGAGAAACGGATGAGAAATTCACTTTTCTTGTTGATCAATTTTGTTGAATTTTCCCTAAACTCCCTTTTTCTTTGTCACTTTAATAAATTGACTTCTTTTCAGTTTCCACACAAAAATCGGATCCAATTCGAGCAGGTGGCAAGAATTTCAGTGTCATCCCGTCGAATGGAACCCAGAGAAACGTGTGCGAGTCACTTTTCGGAGTGGGACAAGGTGAGTATGGGGTGAATGGTAGAGTGAATAATTCGAAAAGCTAAAATGATGCCATTGAGGCAAATTATTAATTTCAATACCTACTGTGCGTTCCAATTTAATGTTTGCCAAGCGAAATTTGCCTTTGAAAGTCAACTGACTGCTTCTAGAGTCATTGTCAGCGATCGCCTCTCCAAACTATCCTCAACTCTATCCACCGAATCAGGTTTGACAATTTACGAGTCAGTGTGTTCCATGATTGCGAAAAAGGTGGTTTAAAGCTGAAAAAACATAGGGAAATCTTTCAGGATTGCGTCCGAGTCATTCAAGCGAGTCCTGGCTATGATATCGTCGTGAAATTCAACTTTTTCTTTCAAGTTTGCAAAAATAGTAAGGAAATGGTGTAAGGGAGTCTTTCAAATTCTAGGTCGAAGGTGCTTATGGAGTGAAAAGCGGTAAAATCGAGTACGACGAGTTGTGCCCAAATGATTTCGTGGTGAGTGATTCATTTGAAGTTTCAGCCTCTATAGCTGATGCTCATAACTTTTGCCAGGAAACTGTTTTGCCAATTTTGAAAGCGGATTCGGAATCTCTATGTAAAACTGCATAAGATGAGCTTAAAGAAAGCCATCTTGATCTATTGCACTTTTCTAGTAAGCTTGATAAGTTCTTGATAAGTTCCCTGGTGGAAGCAGCTCAAGAAAGGTTCAGGGAATCTTTAAATCAGCTCTGATTTGGTAATGATTTGATTTGGATTTGATTTTGATTTGATTCTGATTTTGATTTGGCAGGAGTTCCGCGATGGGCGCTACGGATTTTCACGATTGATTGGACGTTTTTGTGGAAACGAGATCCCACGCGAAGAGATCAGAGCGATCACTGGTAAGAAAATTGTACGATAATTGACTTGGATTACGGTAACAGAGTACGATAGAGTACGATAGAGTATAATAAGAGTATGATAGAGTATAGTAAGAGTACGATAGAGTATAATAAGAGTACAATAAGAGTACAATAAGAGTACAATAAGAGTACGATAGAGTGCGATAGAGTACAATAGAGTACGATAGAGTACAATAGAGTACAATAGAGTACAATAGAGTACAATAAGAGTACAATAGAGTACAATAGAGTACGATAGAGTACAATAGAGTACAATAGAGTACAATAGAGTACAATAGAGTACAATAGAGTACAATAAGAGTACAATAGAGTACAATAGAGTACAATAAGAGTACGATAGAGTGCGATAGAGTACGATAGAGTACGATAGAGTACGATAGAGTGCGATAACAGAGTACGATGGAGTACGATGACAGCGTACGATGGAGTACGATGACAGCGTACGATGGAGTACGATGACAGCGTACGATGGAGTACGATGACAGCGTACGATGGAGTACGATGACAGCGTACGATGGAGTACGATGACAGCGTACGATAGAGTGCGATAGAGTACGATGGAGTACGATGACAGCGTACGATAGAGTGCGATAGAGTACGATGGAGTACGATGACAGCGTACGATAGAGTGCGATAGAGTACGATAGAGTACGATAGAGTACGATAGAGTACGATAGAGTGCGATAGAGTGCGATAGAGTACAATAAGAGTACGATAGAGTGCGATAACAGAGTACGATGGAGTACGATGACAGCGTACGATAGAGTGCGATAGAGTACGATAGAGTACGGTGAGAGTATCGTATTCAGTGCGACTAATCTGTACAGTCCTCTAAAGAATTAGAGATCGAAAAACTATCGTATCGAACTAGCTAAAGTTGCCAAATCGTCCTTACTAGCTATAGCCGTTTACCGATTTTCTGAATTTTTAGGTTTTCTTTGGATCCGTTTCCATTCCGATGAATTCCTGCAATACAAAGGATTTCACGCAAGCTACGAGATGGTCCGCGCATCCGTACAGCGCCCGCTTGACGGGGTAAATGGTCAGTGATTTAGAGCCGATGATTCAGCTATGATTCTGCTAATGTATCGACGTTTGAAGCTGAAGCTAAAATTCTGTCCAAATTTCTGACAACATTGTTGATCATAGGCTTTCTGGATCATAGAAAGCTTGCTAAATCCAGCTTTTGTTTTTCTTTCAGAGTGCCACTTCGAGGTGCACAACGCGTTAGACGGATGGATCGATTCACAAGCTGTTCAACATGTTCGAGTTGGTAACAAATGGCTTTACTGGCTTGCTATAACACTGCAAAAGCTGATTGAATATCCCAAATTTGAATAGCCCAATTTCCAGCAAGGTGCCGGGGAATTGGAATGCGTTTGGCGAGTGGAGATCCCAAGAAATCTCTCGATATCCCTCTTCTTCATCGATTTCGATTTGGCTCATCCAAATCATTGCGAGGATAATTTCGTCGAGGTATTTGCCGGCACAACTGGGACACCGATTCGCAGGTGAGACATCTTTAACTGGTTAGAGACTTCTTTAACTGGTTAGAGACATCTTTAACTGGTTAACGATCTCTAACTGGTTAACGATCTTTAACTAGCAAATATATCACTAAGGAAAAGCCCGGCATCATCTTTTTTAATCATCTTTTTGATTCTGCATTTCCAGATTCTGCGGCCTAAGCGCTTCGAACATTTTCTCATCGAGTTCGGTTCTCTTTTTGCGACTCCGTTTAGCATCGGCTCGTTTATTGAAAGAAACTCGAGTGCGAGCGTTGTTTTCATCGTATAAAAATGGTAGGTTTTTGGAGAAAGACAAAATTGAGTGAATTTCCGGTCTCAATTCGGATTTAAATCCATAGTCACAATTCGAGATTACTTAATTTCGTGGAAAAATGACTTTCCATTTACTAAAAAATGTCGAGTACGGTTTTGTCGGGTTTTGTAGGGTTTTATCGGGTTTTGTAGGGTTTTGTCGGATTTTGTAGGGTTTTATCGGGTTTTGTAGGGTTTTGTAGGGTTTTGTCGGGTTTTGTAGGGTTTTATCGGGTTTTGCCGGGTTTTGGTGTCGAGTTCTCTGAGAGAATCGCAACTTGTTTTCATATCTGGTTGATCCTGCCAGTGACGATATGCTCATGTTAAAGACTAAGCCATGCATATCTTAGTTCAGCCCTTTTACGGGTAGATGGCTACGAGTAGATGGCTACGGGTAGATGGCTACGAGTAGATGGTTACGAGTAGATGGCTACGGGTAGATGGCTACGAGTAGATGGCTACGAGTAGATGGCTACGAGTAGATGGCTACGAGTAGATGGCTACGGGTAGATGGCTACGAGTAGATGGTTACGAGTAGATGGCTACGGGTAGATGGCTACGAGTAGATGGCTACGAGTAGATGGCTACGAGTAGATGGCTACGGGTAGATGGCTACGAGTAGATGGTTACGAGTAGATGGCTACGGGTAGATGGCTACGAGTAGATGGTTACGAGTAGATGGCTACGGGTAGATGGCTACGAGTAGATGGCTACGAGTAGATGGCTACGAGTAGATGGCTACGGCTCATTATAACAGTTAAAATCCTCACGAAATTAGCATTTTGGATACTTCTAGTAATTCTGAAGCTAATACACGTGTGCACTTCGGTGTCATTTATTAGATTCACCAACCGCTTCGGCGTCAAGTGATCATTCTGAATATCTTGCAGACCGCATCCGCATGCGTAAGCGGCGGCAATTCGCGAAATTAACTGCCCTATCAACTTTTGATGGTAGTTCAGTTGACTACCATGGTCGTAACGGGTAATGGAGGATCAGGGTTTGACTTCGGAGAGGATGCCTGAGAAACGGCAACCAGGCAGCAGGCAGCAGGCTAAGGAAGGCAGCAGGCGTGCAAATTACCCACTCTCAATTCGAGGAGGTAGTGACAACAACTAACGAGATTCTAGTAATCTAGTAATCATTTCTAGTAATCCAAATCAACGCAAAAAGTTTTCAAACTGCATTTTTGGGTCTAAACTCTTATAACTTGTTAAAGGAATAACCAATTTTTGTACTCTTTCTTTTAAAATGAAGATCATATTCTTGGCAAACAAGAAAGCTTGATATTTGTATTTTTGTAGCAGATAATTTTCTTTTTAATGAGATCTGAGCATCAAAAGAAAGGTTTTTTTGAAATTTTACACTAAAAAAAATGAATTTCTTTTTGCCAAAAATTCGATTTTTACTTTTACCATAATCATTAGAGTAAACAGTTGATTTCAGACAAAAATTGCTCCCTACTGGGGATGTTCTCTTGTGGTGACGGGAAATGCATTCCTCGATCACTCATTTGCAACAACAATCACAATTGTCCGTATGCTTTCGACGAGACACAGTGCAGAGGTGAGTGGATGAGTGGAATGAGTAGAATGAGTAGAATGACAAAAGAGATGAGTAGAATTGATCAACATTACTTTCTACATTATTAAGCTGGTGAAAAACGAGATTGCTAAAGTAAAAGGTGCTTTAAAATCGGATTACGGTGGCTTTTCTGGGGCGCCGATGAGCTCTAGATGTACTGTTTTTAGGAAACAGTGTGCACAAGAAGAATCCAATCGATCTGAGTTGATCGCATTAGAATCCCAATCATTAGTAGCCGATGAGCTGTAGATGTACTGTAGAATAGTAGCTGTAGAGTAGCAGCTGTAGAATAGCAGCTGTAGAGTAGCAGCTGTACTAACTATTCTCAGGCATCGCCAGTTCAACTCTCACCATCGCCAGTAGCTGTAAAGTAGTAGCTGTGCTGTACAGTAGCTGTACTTTAATCTCTAGCCTCTATCTATCGGATTACTGTCTCTCCAGTTAACTAGGCCATCATCAAAAGCTATCCAACTATTCTCAGGCATCGCCAGTCCAGCTCTCACCGCGCTCCTCTCTTCCGGCTACTTTCCCCTCATAATGCTCATCGTTTTGGTCTTCATTTCGGTGGTTTCTCTGTACATCTGGAGTTTCCACTCGTACCTTTGCAACCTTTGCGGAACGAAGAACAAGATGCAACGGTTTGATCAAATTCAAAATTTGAGCCATTACTCAATTCAGACTTCACGAAGCACCCGAGCAGAACGGGAAACTCAAAAAGGAGACTTCACTCATCACATAAGAGACGGTTTTGTTTCGCTGTTGATTTTCGATTGGCCTTGTTCCGAAGAATAATGGGAATCTCAAAGCCTAGCCCCGGCCTACAGTAGTACATGTTCAAACCTGGACCAAGTCCTGGGTCAAGACCAAGTCCTGGACCAAGACCAAGTCCTGGACCAAGACCCAAGCCAAGGGCTAGGTTTACGACCTGGGGATTAGCTCTGGATCCAGAACCTGATAGTGAGATCAACTCGGAGCCAAGCCATGAGCTAGATCAACTAGATCAACTCAGAGCCAAGCCATGAGCTAGATCAACTAGATCAACTCAGAGCCAAGTCATGAGCTAGATCAACTAGATCAACTCAGAGCCAAGCCATGAGCCAGGCTCGGGCCTGGGTTTACTTTAACTATCACTATCAACTCCTCGTGCACTTTTGTCATTTCTGTATCAACTTGCTCATTCATATTTCTCTAGCAATTGCTTGTCTTTTTTTTTGCGATTTCTTTTGCTTTTCTTGATCGATTCATTGTGATAAACCTTTTAAATAAATAAATATTCTGCTGTCATAAATATACAAATAGTCCTAATTTGTATTTTTTGCTACCAAAACTTATCACCGCTTAGAATTTGAAAAAAAAACGATCTCTACAGAGAAACAACTGAGCCAAAAACCCAAAAAAACGAAACTTTCCATTAAACTTGCCATTTCCCGCATCTGATCGGCTTTCCAATGGCGTGTAGATGCTCATCAATAGTAGAATTTGAACATAGAAACTGTTGAGCAAGTTCACGCATCGTTTGACAAGGATCCGGTTCGATGGCAGCCTTCAAAATATTGTTGTTTACCCCTTGAAGTCGACGAGAGTGTTCATCATCCTCGAGACTTTCACAAACATTCCGAAAGCGTCGGAACCAGGCTCAGCATCGGCTTTCGGACAACTCATTCCCAAATGCTTTGACCAAATCTCGATGGGATTCCGCGACTTTTTTTTGCCCAGTTTGAAGTGGTAAAGTAAGCAGACGCGAATGTTCGAAGTCGGTCATCTAAAGCAAGAAAAAAGATCTCAAAAATAACAAATTATCCATTTAAAAAGTTTCCAAATATGCACAAGATAACGTACTTTTAAATACAGAAAGATATGTTTTAAAAGCTTCTCTCACAACAAAAATTTTAGCAACGCTTGTTTATATCCGAACAACCTAATACAATCTACCTTTTGATTTGTGTCCGCCAAGAGTGTGCGCTCGAGAATTTTCACGAATTGCGAGTGTTCCGTCGAGTTGGCCGCCTTGCCGGGCTCTTTCAGACTCGCGTAGCCGTCCAGAATCATTTTTGTTATTCTATTAAATTGTTAAAAGAATTCATTATAAATATTTGAAAGCAATACAAGAGTTTTAAAGAAAAAAAACAAGGAAAAAGGTTAAAACGCAGTTAGTGATTGAATTTAATAAGACTTAAGGCTTGGCTTGGCGTTCTTTTTAGCGCTTTTGCATTGGCGTTCTTTTAAACGGCGTTCTTTTAAGCGCTTTTGCATTGGCATTCTTTTAAGCGCTTTTGCATTGGCGTTCTTTTAAGCGCTTTTGCATTGGCGTTCTTTTAAGCGCTTTTGCATTGGCATTCTTTTAAGCGCTTTTGCATTGGCGTTCTTTTAAACGGCTCTCTTTTAAGCGCTTTTGCATTGGCGTTCTTTTAAACAGCGTTCTTTTAAGCGCTTTTGCATTGGCGTTCTTTTAAACAGCGTTCTTTTAAGCGCTTTTGCATTGGCGTTCTTTTAAACAGCGTTCTTTTAAGCGCTTTTGCATTGGCGTTCTTTTAAACAGCGTTCTTTTAAGCGCTTTTGCATTGGCGTTCTTTTAAACAGCGTTCTTTTAAGCGCTTTTGCATTGGCGTTCTTTTAAGCGCTTTGCTTGGCTTCTTTTAAGCGCTTTTGCATTGGCGTTCTTTTAAACGGCGTTCTTTTAAGCGCTTTTGCATTGGCGTTCTTTTAAACAGCGTTCTTTTAAGCGCTTTTGCATTGGCGTTCTTTTAAACAGCGTTCTTTTAAGCGCTTTTGCATTGGCGTTCTTTTAAACGGCGTCTCTTTTAAGCGCTTTTGCATTGGCGTTCTTTTAAACGGCTCTCTTTTAATATAGTCCCCTTATTTGCACGTAGTGAATTGTGTTAAGATTTTGGTTACCGTTTCAAAAAATATAGATCTAAAAGAATGAAAAAAAAAAAACAAGTCAAAACCGATATAGCATCATTGGAACTAATCTTACTGGATTTGTATTTAAAACAACGAACTTTTATTGACTAATCCTCGTAACAATGTCAACAACTCCTCAAAAACAATAACAACACAAAAAAACAACAACTAGCACATAAACGAATCGAGGATCGATAAAATTTTAAACGGAAAACGTCTAGGACGAAATTGAGTAAGCTTAAAATTTATTAGTTCTTATGCTGTTAGAGCTTTTGAAAAAAAAAACAAACAATTAAACAAACCCGAGCCCTGTTTGCCTTAATTCCACGATTTCGTCGTTTCACTTTCTGTTTCATGTAATCGACACATGAGCTTTTGGCACTAAAAAGACAATGTGAGTGGATAGATTTCAAGAAAACGCACCAATATAATCGGGTATAAAACAGGACAAGTGATCTTCAACGTGTGCAATTGTTTGTCCGTTGACAACACTTCCCTCTCGCGGGGATTCGCCGCAAAATTAGGAGAGATTAAATAGTTGAACGATTAAAGCAAACCTTTAGCTTAGCCGATCGCAAAGCTTCCTCATGAATCCTTTTTTATGGCATTTTCCTTCTCTGTTTATTTTTTTCTGTGTTTTCATTCTCTGTTTATTTTTCAAAGCCTAATTGTTTTAATTTCAGGTAAAATGGACTCAAGCCAGATGGAAATGAGGAATTTGACGTACGAAATGAGGAATTTGACGTATGAAATGAGGAATTTGACGTACCAAATATGGAATTTGACGTACGAAATATGGAATTTGACGTGCGAAATATGGAATTTGACGTACGAAATGAGGGATTTGACGTATGAAATGAGGAATTTGACGTATGAAATATGGAATTTGACGTACGAAATGAGGGATTTGACGTATGAAATATGGAATTTGACGTACGAAATGAGGAATTTGACGTACGAAATATGGAATTTGACGTACGAAATATGGAATTTGACGTACGAAATATGGAATTTGACGTACGAAATATGGAATTTGACGTACGAAATGAGGAATTTGACGTACGAAATATGGAATTTGACGTACGAAATATGGAATTTGACGTACGAAATATGGAATTTGACGTACGAAATATGGAATTTGACGTACGAAATATGGAATTTGACGTACGAAATATGGAATTTGACGTACGAAATGAGGGATTTGACGTATGAAATGAGGAATTTGACGTACGAAATGAGGGATTTGACGTATGAAATAGGAATTTGACGTACGAAATGAGGAATTTGACGTACGAAATATGGAATTTGACGTATGAAATGATGGATTTGACGTCATTTCCGGTGGAACGTCTCTCCTTCGATCTAAAGTTGAAAATCTTGGAGTAAATGTGATGTGATTGAACGCAAAAGGTATGATTTTCTTTTGTCTCCGACGAAATCTTTCCACATCGAAATATTGATGTGACAAAGGATTGCGTTTACATTTTGTGGCAGCCCAAAATGCTTGGCCAATCTCGATCCTTTCAAAGCCGAGAGCTCGAATATTTCCTTCTTTCCAAATCGATTCTTCTGACCAAATCGAATTCCTCTGACCAAATCGATTCCTCTGACCAAATCGATTCTTCTAACCAAATCGATTCTTCTGTCCAAATGGATTTGGCTTTTCTTTGTTTTTCCTTGTTCCATTACCTGCTTTAAAGATTAAAAATTAAAGATTAAAGGCTAAAGATTCAATAGAAGAAAGGAATATAGTTTTTTATCAATCAAATACAACATAATTATACATTTTTTGGCCTTCTATGTCCCGATCGAATCAAAATTATTTATTGGTTATTTTTTTGTTGTCTTTTATGGTGTTATTGTTTTCATTTTTGTTATTCGCAATTAAATCTCTCACTCTCAATCTGTCATTAAATTCTCTCATTCAGGAACAATGACGACGCTGACGTGCTGATCAAGCTGACATGCTGCTCAAGCTGACGTGCTGCTCAAGCCTCATTCCGTCAACAACTTCTCTTTCATCGCAATCAAATGCCACTGTTAGGTCAGAGAGCTTTTATGACTGGAATTTTCATAACTAACATAATCAAATACCTTTTTTAGACTCCACCGTGTCTTTGAACCAAGCGTGGCTTTGAAGCAAACGTGTCTTCAACTTTAAAGCAAACGAGAACAAATGGCATGAGGTAAGAACTTGTCGTACTTGTACTTGTAATCATCTTTTTTTTGTTTCAGAGTGAAGCGGACAGGTCAATTGTTGTATTGCTGAAGAAGAGCGGATTTGGACGCTGAAGAAGAACGGATTTGAAACCGAGATCGCCGCCACAATTCAAGTACAATTTCTACTTAAACATCAACATCAAGCATCAAGCATTAACATCCAAACTCTCTGAGCTCGAGTTTAAGCGATTAAGGCGATTAAAGTAATGTAAATTTCTTTATTTGACAGCTCGATGAGAAATCAGGCAAAACTGAAGAGTAGGCAAAGTTTTTTTGAGGGGTTTGTGAAAGACAAATCATGGCAAAATTGAAATATTTGAGATTTTTTGATTTTTTGGAGGAAAATCAAGAATTTGTGACATTTTTAACGAAAATTGACTAGAATTCTAAACATTGCTTTAGCTATAGTACATAATTAGTAATTAAGATAAAAGAGATATCTAAAGCTATAGATCGAAACCGGTGATGATCAGTTTATGCGAGTCGGCCTGCACTTGCGGAGTCGTTGGAGCTGGGGATAAGGACTGGGCAGTTTCCTCCCCACTGGGCAAATTCTTTGACTCCAAAATAGGCTCAGGGCTTGAGCTGGAGGTCACGTCGAGTCTGGGCGGGGTTCCAGTGCTTCCTGGACTTGCCAGTGAGCTTGCGGATTTCTGCGACTTAGCTACCCGGGGCTCCACGATGAATTCTCTGAAAATTTTGTGATTTCCAGCTTTCTGCAAGCAATGTGCGACCCAGGATTGAGAAATTAAAAAGAATTTTTGAGTTACGACGAAAATTGGATCAGTTTTGCGGTCAGTTTGAGATTCTGCTCACCTGTACTCGATTTCTTTCTCATCGGCGAATGGAATCGAATCACACGACATGGAGGGCATCAAGGGGATTCCGAATGATCTCCCGCTTTTCTAAACGATTCGAGGGTTACTGTGACTCTAGACAAGAGTACTGTAGTTCTAGACATTATCCAGATATCAGATATGGTCAAACTTTCGACCTTATAACCGATTCTGCACTCCAGCTTGGCTAATGCTGTGAATTTTAAATTATTTCGATCTTTCTGAACAATTCTAGAGCTTCGGATAGGTTTTCAGAGCTAGCTAGGTAACTAGATAGCTAGCTAGATAACTAGATTACTAGATAGCTAGCTAGATAACTAGATAGCTAGCTAGATAGCCAGCTAGATAGCTAGCTAGATAGCCAGCTAGATAGCTAGCTAGATAGCCAGCTAGATAGCTAGCTAGATAGCCAGCTAGATAGCTAGCTAGATAGCCAGCTAGCTAGATAACTTTAGAAATCATTTAATTTCGATTCTAGAACGCACTTTTGCCTCAGTTGTGGTCAATTCTCGATCTTCGGGTATCCTTGAGAGTGATGTGGATCGAGTGACTTTTTTGAATTGGAGATTCTCGGGATGAGCCTAAAAGTTGACTTAGCTACAGTATACTGAACAAACAATAAGCTTCAGATAAAGCAACACTTTAAAAACCCCTCATGTGCTTTCCAGAATCGCATTTAAACGTTTCAGGCACTCACCCGTCTCCTTGTGCCGATCATCGTCAAGCCGGCGATCAAATTCTCGCCATCTCCCTCCACTCGCTCGAAATCGGCCAACAAACTCGGTAACTTTGGTGTTTTTATATCGATTTGGTTCTCTTGGAGAGCATTTTGTTCATTTTCATCGATCATTGACGCAGAGGGGATTGTGAGAGATGGCGGCGGCGGGGGAAGAGGCGACTCCGGGGAATCAGGCTCCTAAAAACTGAATAGCTAGCATGCTTAGCAACTGAATGCTAGCAACGGAATGCTTAGCATAAAGTAGAGATCATTACAGTAGCCTTATATTCTACAGTAAAGCTAGCAACTCCCGCTTTACCTGGACAATCTCGACTCTCATCGGTGCCTCATCAATTGTTGGAATGATCGGTGGAGGCGGTGGAGGAGTGGGCAAAGTTGAGCGATCCACACGAGGACTTTCGCCTAAAAGGATTCTTGTTTATGGGGATTTTTGTGTCTCTAGTGTTGCACTGGTTAAAAGCTTTTGCAGAGACGTTGCAACAATTGCAATAGCTATCCAATATACCAGTGATTACCCCTTTTGATGATGATGGCTCGTTGCGGTTGTTGTTCATTGATTTCCTCGGCGATCACCCTTCGCACACTGCCAGTTTCCGACGGTGATGGACTTGGACGATCTTCCCATTCGGATTGTTCCGAGAAAATCGCTTCATCGGGATCAGTTGGTAGGATTGGATTTATCTAAAGGGATTTCGCTTAAAATTTCTCTGCTCTGTGTGTTCTTTGTGCGGCCGCGTAATCGCTCGCCGTCTGGCGCAGGGCTTTTACATAACCTCCTTCCCTCTCCCTTTCCCAAACTAATCTGACCGATTCTCTAATTGGACATTGACTTCTCCTCAAATTGGACTCAAATTGGAGTTCTTCTCAAATCAAGGCTAATCTCAATCTATTGATGAATTGAAAACTGCGGGCTATTGTCATATGTGACAGTTTGAGCACTTTCTTCAAAAGAAACCCATTTTGGTGTCAATGGAAAAGTTTAGTTCCTTTAAAGCCCCTTTAAAGCTCCTTTAAAGCTCCTTTATAGTTCCTTTAAAGCTCCTTTAAAGCTCCTTTAAAGTTTCCTCCTTTAAGTTGTAGAGAATCAAAAATGAAGCTTGTATCCAAATTTTCAGAAAGATTCAAAAACTGGTTTTCAAGAAATGCCAAATTTTAGGAATTTCCACAAAACTTGCATTTTAAGCGAAACTACTAAGTGGATCTTTTTGGAAATTTGGATATAAGCCTAACTTTTGATTCTCTACAACTTTACCATTGACACCAAAATGGGTTTCTTTTGAAGAAAGTGCTCAAACTGTCACATATGACAATAGCCGGCAGTTTTCAATTCACCCATCCAATACATCCTCCAGTCCTCCATTTTTGAGTCTCACACACAAACCAAAATCCAACTACGAAAGAGGAATCCGCAAATTGACTGTAAAATGGGCAGAAGTCGTCAATAATAATGGAAATTATTTGAAATTGATTGAGGGTTTTATGTTGAATAAATCTCAGTTCAAAGTCCGGCAGTTTTCAATTCACCAACCCAACCCAATTGAAATTTGCCAAATGATTTGCCCAAGCTGGACAACAGTACACATTTCAAAACGATAAAACGTTTAGAAATATGATTTTATCTAAGCTCGACTATAGTAAGCCTTTTAAGCTGGACTATGGTAACGATAAACTTCTAAAACTTCTATCTCACCGCTTGCTTCCTGAACGAGCTCCTCGGCATGAAAAGCGCATCGGGGCGAGCGATCTTCTGAGGCAAAATGCTCACTCGTGTGATTGGAAGAGTGGATGAAGTCGATGAAGAACCGCTCGTCGAATAGCTGCTCGTTTGGAGGAGCTCTGTAAGGCCTTGTAAGATTTTTGATTGGCTTTGGCTTGACTACCGTAATCCTTGACTACCGTAACCCTTGACAAACTGAGCGAAAACGAGCCCTTCTGCTTCATTAGGCCTCAGAACTAGCTGCAAAACCCGAATTAGCTGGCCTAGCTCGATCTTGAACGTCTTGAACGATCTTGAACATCCTACAGCGCTCTACCATTCTTCTTGGCCACTTCTAATCTATTCTATAGCTACATCAGCCTACTATAGGCGCTCTGGATCAGTCTGGTTTAGTCAAGTCTTTACCGTAACCCTACCGTACCTGATGGTGGACTCTTCTCACTGAATGCATCGCTCATCGATGCCGGACCGACGATCACTTGTGGTAGGGCTACTTCAGAACTTCGTCCCGGGCTTGACCTCGGCGGTGGCATTGGAGCCAACTCGTTCAACTCGAAATATCTCAATGGGCGAGTCGGTTGGCTGATTGTCGAGCGGAGGGGACTTCTTAAAGATTTGATCATTCTTTAAGTTAAACTTTGCTATAAAACCTCCTTTTCGGATCATCGTAGACATGGGTTTTTACGTTGATCACTGGTGGCTCGAGATGAGCTAAAATTGATTTTTTTTCATCACATTTCATCATTCTACCTTTTGGATGAAATTCCAGAGCTTTTGTTCGATGCAGACCCCGTGGTGGAGGTAAACTTTGCGATCTTGAGCCAAAAAATGAGCTCGTTTCATATGTGGACAATAATGGAGAGGCCTGGGGGCTGAATTGGATATCATGTAAGCTTAAGAGAGAAAAAAACATTTGGTGTCTTACCTAAATGGACCGTACCGGGGCACTGGAGGCGGTGCGTCGGACGAGGAACTACCTGAGTAGATGGAATCTAGCGGAATGGCATTCAAACGATCGGCTGAACGATTCGAATGTTGTTTTTGATTACGGTAGGATTTGGAATGGAAATCAAACGGAACTCACTTCTCCTCAATGTAGAGATCAGTGACGAGGTTGGTGGAAGTGAGCTGAACGATTGCAATCGAGGTGGCTCGTCGAGGCGACTCGGACGATTGATGCCAAAAATCGTTTCCTTTGTCTAGAATGATGTCTGAAGTCTTAGGCACTAGATGAGCGATGCTAGATACTCTAACATCGATCGATTTCAGATACTCTTGAATCTTACAATTAGATAGCAATCTTACAAGCAATCTTACTAGATATCAAAGATTTACGGTGTGGTCAAAGTACGGGAATCATAATCAAGCTTATAATCAAGCACTCTTAAGAACTAGATTCTTAGTTTAGAATACACTCCAGTCACTTAGAATCGACCGTCGACGACCGTCGAATCATCGACCGTACCCCATTAACTCACAGCCGCTTTCCGCAATCCTCGATCCGCATCTCTTAACTTCTCTTCCCTGATTGTTCTTCTCCGTTTCTCTTCGTCCAATTCTTCTTCTTCATTTAGTCGATTTAGGTGTCTGAAAAAGGAATTTTGCTATTGTAAATATTGCAGTAGATCTTAGACTCTAAAAAATTGGAGTGAATATTGAAGTGTTTTCCTCACGAGTAATGCGTTTACTTGTGAAGGGAATTTGCTAACAAATCAATTCTTTAATCAGTACCAAACGGCTGAATTTCTTTACAAAAGAGTCGTATATAAGTCGTCGCTTGTGATTTTTTTCTTTTCTTTTCTTTTTTCAATTTTTTTAACGCATTACTTTTAAGTGTGCACTTAGGAAAAATTACCGTACTTTTAGCGAAAATTATTGCAAGAAAATTGGCGCCAAAAAAAGCACGAGCCACAACTTATACAATACGACTCTTTTGTAAAGAAATTCAACCGTTTGGTACTGATTAAAGAACTGATTTGGTAGCAAATTCCCCTTCACAAGTAAAGATATTCAATTTACTCGACGTGTAAAGAGGATTACTCGTTGTTAATCGACCAAAAACGTTGATTAGCCTCGAGTAAAAATTACTCATGAAAAGTTTGCTCGAGTAATCACTTACTCGCGAGGAACACACTCTAGTAGAGATGTTATAACCTTGGATAGTCTTGAATAGGAGAGTAGTCAAATATAACATGATCCCTTGGGTCACTAGCTAAGTCCAAAGGTTCAGGCTGGCCTAGGAACGTTTAGAGCTAAAGCCTGATTAGAGCTGAAGCCTGATTAGAGCTGAAGCCTGGTTAGAGCTGAAGGCTGGTTAGAGCTGAAGCCTGGTTAGAGCTGAAGTCTGATTAGAGCTAAAGCCTGATTAGAGCTGAAGCCTGATTAGAGCTGAAGCCTGGTTAGAGCTGAAGCCTGGTTAGAGCTGAAGGCTGATTAGAGCTGAAGCCTGGTTAGAGCTGAAGGCTGGTTAGAGCTGAAGCCTGGTTAGAGCTAAAGCCTGATTAGAGCTGAAGCCTGGTTAGAGCTAAAGGCTGATTAGAGCTGAAGCCTGGTTAGAGCTGAAGGCTGGTTAGAGCTGAAGCCTGGTTAGAGCTGAAGTCTGATTAGAGCTGAAGCCTGATTAGAGCTGAAGTCTGATTAGAGCTGAAGCCTGGTTAGAGCTGAAGCCTGGTTAGAGCTGAAGGCTGATTAGAGCTGAAGCCTGGTTAGAGCTGAAGGCTGGTTAGAGCTGAAGCCTGGTTAGAGCTGAAGCCTGATTAGAGCTGAAGCCTGGTTAGAGCTGAAGGCTGATTAGAGCTGAAGCCTGGTTAGAGCTGAAGCCTGGTTAGAGCTGAAGGCTGATTAGAGCTGAAGCCTGGTTAGAGCTGAAGCCTGGTTAGAGCTGAAGCCTGGTTAGAGCTGAAGGCTGGTTAGAGCTGAAGCCTGGTTAGATCAGGGCAGGCCTGTAGGTTCATTTCACTTTAGATTGACACGTTGGATTCTGGTGTCCTGGACGAGTAAGACTCGAGTTCCTAAGACTTTCTCAGACAGTAAGACTTCGTAAAATTGCTGGACAACGTTTATTTTGGTTTATGATCATTGTCATTGGTCATTGATCTTTGCGATCATTAAAATCATTACAATCATTGTGATCACCTCAATAGATCATTGCGTGTCACCGGTCGGCTCTGTCGTCTCTCAAGTTCGTCGCTTTTTACCTAAAAAGCAACTTGTTTAAAGTTGTTTAAGCTGCTGGAAAGCTACAGCCAAGCGGCGCCGCCAGGAGGCACCGGCCGGAGCCCACGAGGGGAGGGGCGGCGGGGGGCGGGGGCGGCGGCCGCGGGCGGGGGCCCGGCGGGGGGGGGGGCCGGGGGGCGGGGGAAGCTGCTGTCAGAAGCTACAGTCAGAAGCTACAGTCAGAAGCTACAGTATATCAAGATCCCATTCCTAATTCATGCTTGACTCCCACCTTATCATTTCGATTCGACGTCTCTGACACGAGTGAATCCTCGCTTTCGGCGAGTGGTGACAAGACGAAATCCTCGGCGTACGATCGGATCTCATCGTAGGTGTCGCTAAAAGACTCAAAATTTGCTTGTTTTTCACGAATGCCATCCAGATTTGAGGAAAATCGACAACAATTCGTAGTCTGTATTCAGCTTTATCTACAGTGACCTATGAAAGAAAAAACTGACCATAAAAAAAAATTGAAAAAAATTTCTTAAAAAAAACCCCCATTTTTTTTGCTTTAAAACATGAAATGCACTCCAGATTCGAAGAAAATTGTAAAACATTTTGCTTGTCTGTATCTTAAATGCAAATTTCTCTGCACGCTCTCGGATCAACACCAAAAAATTCTCACTCCAGAACTCTTTACTTTCAGAAAAAAACGTCAAAAAAAAGTGAAAAATTAGAAATTCTCACAAAATTTTATAAAATTCGACACACAGAAACGGGAAACTTTTAAAGAAATAAAAGAAAAATCGCAAAATTAAAGAGATGAAGGAAATTAGAATTCGAAATAGGTTCATGCGTTAAAATCACGAAATCAAGAGGAGAAAATTTGGTTTTTTTGGAAATTTTTGTAAAATCTGGAAGTCAGGACGAAGGGAAAATTTGGTATTTTCGAAATTTAAACAATTTGAAAAAGTTGAGAGTTTTTGGATTTTAGACTTGACGAGCTACCGTAGCTGACTGGCTTACAGTAGCTGCTTTAAGACAGTGAATTAGTGAATGCTGGAATGCACTACGCCTAGCTAAGCATTTATTAGCGAAATTAGTACAGTTTTGTTAGAGCTCACAAAGTACCGTACCCTGACCGATGACTTTCTGATTGTTTTTCGTTGTCTACCGTAGTTGTCGAGTGAATATTAGTGAATGCTGGAATGCACTACGCCTAGCTAAGCATTTATTAGGGAGATTAGTACAATTCTGTTAGAGCTCACAAAAGTACCGTTCGAATACCGTTCGATGAGTTACCGTAGCCCTGGCTTACAGTAGCTACTTTAAGACGGTGAATTAGTCAATGCTGGAATGCACTACGCCTAGCTAGGGATTTATTAGCGAAATTAGTACAGTTCTGTTAGAGCTCACAAAAGTACCGTACCCTGGTCGGCGGCTTTTTCATTGTTTTTCGTTGTCTACCGTAGTTTTCGAGTGAATATTAGACAATGCTGGAATGCACTACGCCTAGCTAAGCATTTATTAGCGAAATTAGTACAATTCTGTTAGAGCTCACCAAAAGTACCGTACCCTGACCGGCGGCTTTTTGATTGTTTTTCGGTGTCTACCGTAGTTTTCGAGTGAATATTAGTGAATGCTGGCTAGCACAAAGCCTGATTAAGCAGAAATTATTTAAGTGAAGCCGAAAAAGAAAAATTTGTGTATCCCCGAGAACCGAGCGTTAACTTTTGTGTGTGTCATTTGGTGTGTTTCGTAGTTTTTTTTTTGTAAATTTTCGTCAAGTGCTTTAATATTGTGCGTTTAGGAAAGGAAATATTGGGAAATTGTGGAAGAAATCAAAATTGGAAAGCTGAAAAGCTGGAAAGCTTTTTCTGGAATTGAAAAGGGCAGTGTTTTGGTGGAGAGAATGAGGACTGATCGATTTTTTTGAAAAGCAACTCAGCTACAGTAACCCGAATTCGATTTTTAGGCGATCTGGAATGCACGGAAAGTAACGATATCAAAAAAAGCTGATTTCGAGCCGTTTGAATTTTTGTGGTTACTGTAGTCTGAGGACTGATCGATTTTATTGAAAAGCAACTCAGCTACAGTAACCCGAATTCAATTTTTAGGCGATCTGGAAGGCACGGAAAGTAACGATATCAAAAAAATCTGATTTCGAGCCGTTTGAATTTTTGTGGTTACTGTAGTCTGAGGACTGATCGATTTTATTGAAAAGCAACTCAGCTACAGTAACCCGAATTCGATTTTTAGGCGATCTGGAAGGCACGGAAAGTAACGATATCAAAAAAATCTGATTTCGAGCCGTTTGAATTTTTGAGGTTACTGTAGTCGACTATTTAAGAGATTTTGTACTAGGAAATAGAGCTTTTCCCGGGGATTGATTTGGTTGTGGATTGGGTTAAGACGTGGATAAATCTGGTGCCTTACAAATGTCCGATCACGTTTCCAAGCGGATCTCTTGTTTGATACAATTTGAAGATTTCCCCGCTACCGCTCGTTTGTTGATGACCACCTGAAATTCTTTGAGATCACTTCTTAAGAAGATCACCGTATTCAGAGAACTTCGAAAGCTGATGTGTGCTCCAGATTGTTCGTAAAGTTACTCACTTGGCGTGTGCTGGCCGAATTCGGCCTCAAAGTAGCCTTCATGAGTTTCGGCGCGAGGCGAGACGCGTTCACGCGATGCCGCCTGTTGTTGAGGGCTGTGGCTTCGGTTTCGGCGCTCCTGGAACGCACAGATGAGTTGGGGAATGAAAAACCGGCTTTAACAATTACGATAGACTGAAGCAAGTGCTACAGTAGCCATCGAAAGCTCTTTTCTATATTATAACAGATTTGTTGATTTGTCTAAGAGATCAAATTGCTAAAAAACGTTCATAGCCTCCCTGGATAGACTACAAAACCCTTTAACGAAACTCACGATTTGTTCATTGTGATATCTCCTTGTGTGCCTTGATCTGTTCACTCCACTTCTCGCTCTTCTCCGATCTCGTTGTTCTGTTGTTTTCTCGGTTCGTTCTTGCACCTAGAAGTTCGTTTTAGATCTTGTTTTTGATCTTAGAGCTGGGGCGGAGTCTTGGCTTTGTTCCTAGACAATCAGTTGGTTCTTGTCTTGACAATTCTTGGCATAACACCTTGGCCTGGATCTATCTCATTTCCAGGGTCAATGCCTGGTGAGCCAGGAATGTTGATTAGGCTAACTAGGCCCGGATTTGAGGCATCCAATTCCGTAGATCAATTCCGTAGATCAATTCTGTAGATCAATTCCGGCCAGATCAATTCCGTAGATCAATTCTGTAGATCAATTCTGTAGATCAATTCCGGCCGATCAATTCCGGCCGACCTTTGAGCCGAATCATTCCAGTTCTGGTTAAAGTCCGTCAACTCTAGGAACAGCAAACGAAACTTAAGTGCTTTCTATAAAAGTACTTTCCCTAAAAGTACTTTCTATAAAAGTGCTTTGGTTTTCTCTTGGATTTGAAAGTTGAGTTGGAAGTTTTAGATGGTTTTCGATGATTTTAGGCATAGATTTGGCTTTTCTAAGCATTTGGTTCAAGTTTAGGTCATGTTAAAGCCATTAATAGTAAGCCAATAGTAAGCCAGGAATCTGCGAGAATGCTTTAAAGAGTTTCCCCATACTTCGACGATCCTTGCTCGTCTTCCCTCTCTTTGTCCGCTATGATGTTGATGCTGATGATGCTGATGATGATGATGATGATGCGGTGTCGAGTGATCGGATCTCCGCGGTGCCATATAGCCCGAATCGGATGTGTCCACTTGCAATGGGTCGCTTAGTCTAAAAATCTTGATAATTGTCTATTATTGTTGATTTAAAAAATGCTTATGCTTAAATCTGGAACACACAAGATCTATAGAAAGGAAGAATTCTCGATAATTAGAAGATTCAGATCAACCATCGAACCTGCTCTGACTGTTCGGCACTCGTTCCACTGGAATTGGCACAGATCGTCCAGAGGATCGTCCGGAGAATCGCCTGAGTTGATGTGAGTTCCAGGATTTACGAATTTCAAGGCTTCTTTAAAATCTAACCTTTCCTTAGTCGCATAGACATCAGAGTAGGGATCCCTGGCAACTGGTGACGGTCGAGAAGGTTCCCATCTAAAATCTTTGATTTCTAAAAGCTCCCTATTCTCCACTGCACTCCAATTTAAACAAAAAAAAACACGCTAACTGAGAAAATTCAAGCAATCATCTTGCAAAAATGAGTTGAAAGCAATTTTGTTTGGTTTGGTTTTGAATAGCTGGTTGTTTTTGAGTACTCTACCGAATTGCATCCACCCGCTCATAGGACTCGTTCGTGATTCTGGAAGGCAATTTGAAAAGTGTGCTAGTGGAAACATGAGATTTCTGATGTTTTTTTGGGTTTTCCGGGTCTCTAGTACTTATCCCTGGGGATTTTCTAAGAAATGACCTAGCTACAGTAATCCTTTTCTTCATTTTTTTGGCATTATGGATCTCACAGTAGATAGCTGAATTGAATTTTCATCGAAATCTCAACCTCTCATCGAAAGTGTTCAGCACTGGGACGTCGAGTGGTGGTGAGGGTTTTTGAAGTGATGGAGATCTGGAAATGCAAAGCTAAGATGGAATTTGACGAATCTGGAACGCACTTAAGTGCCGGAAGTGCCCTGTAAACGGGATAATTCTCGTTTTCGTTGTTCAGCCATTGCACTCCGCGTCTCGCCTCCATTGGCGCCGCGTCATTGATCAGGGTCTCGGTTCTGGAATTGATTTGATACCTATATCATGCTCCAATCAGCTACAGTACTCTATTCTATTTATTCGGCTTGAAAGCGTTAGCGATAAACAGCTTGAAACAGCTGAAAATCGATGGAAAAAGAAAAACTCTTCAATCGAATACAGTAGTCGAATTTTTCTCCAATTTCGCTACAGTAATCCAATTCTAAGACGTATTTTTAGGTGATCTGGAGCGCACAGAATATAATATAATAGGAAATTATAGAAATCGACGCATTTGATTGCTCAGGGTTACGGTAGCTGGAGCACAGGGTTACGGTAGCTTTTTAGACCGCGCCGCTATCGTCTAGACAGCGCCGCTATCATCTAGACAGCACCGCTATCGTCTAGACAGCACCGCTATCGTCTAGACTGCACCGCTATCGTCTAAAGCGCGCCGCTATCGTCTAAAGCGCGCCGCTATCGTCTAAAGCGCGCCGCTATCGTCTAAAGCGCGCCGCTATCGTCTAAAGCGCGCCGCTATCGTCTAGACCGCGCCGCTATCGTCTAGACCGCGCCGCTATCGTCTAGAACCGCGCCGCTATCGTCTCGTACTGACCTAGCCGCTGTCCATCGCTCATAATTTGGCCCATTTCCTCTCACAAGATGTGCTCTTTCGTCGATTCCAGGTGGTGGTGGCAGAATTATCTAAAAGATGCTCGATCTACCGTAATCCACAAAATCCCCCACCTTTTCTGGATTCTCTAGATCGATTGGCGTGCGAAAAACCTAAAAATCGAGTCTTTCAAAAAATTTGGCAGCAAGAGGATTCGAACCCGCGGGCTTTTGAGCCTGGACTCACAACCAAGCTCACTACCACTCGGCCATATGGAAAGTGTGAGCTTTTGAGATTTTGTGATACTCAGATATCAAAATGCCTTCCAGTTTTTCGATTGGACTAACCTCAACCGTTGTTGTCGTCGTGATTTGATCGTTTAGCACTCCTTCACCACCACGAGCGATTTGCTGAGCTTTTACTTGCGGAATCTAAAGGAAAACTTTTACACAAGCAGCTAGTGTGCGTTCCAGAATTGCGAAATTGACAATCACAAAAGCACAAAAGCACCTGTATTTGAGTGGATCGTCGTGGGAACACTGGCTGCGGCGTCTCGACTCGGCGCACCTCGGTGGCACCCTCAAATCTTTATGCTCATTTGCTTTTGTGTATGCCAGAATTGGGAAAAATTGTGAAAACTTCTAGGAAAGAGTTCTTAGAATGGCTGAATTTAGTCAGAGTCACAAATTTCGATGATTTCGGCTGAATTTTCGATTGAATGATCGAATTTCGGGTTTACTCACCGTTTGAAAAACATTCAACGTGATCCGATCTGGCGGGAACATCTCATCGGGTGGACTGTCGCTTCCATCAAATGCCAATTGTGGAGAAGCCGCTCGTAGCGGTGACAAAGGCGGGTAATCTGAAAATTTGGGAGTTTTTTTTGCTTCAAAATTTGTTGCTTCAAAATCTGTTTGCTTTTTTCTCACCCCGTTGTCGATAGCTTAGAGCGCTTTGCGGTCGTCCAGTTTCAATAGCTCCCACTTCGTATTGCAAAGGATTTGTTGAAGTCGATGGCCAACCGGCTGGTTGATTGGAGGATTGCAGAGAGCCTGCAATCAAAGGTTTAGGTCACGGAGTACTAAGAGTGCTCAGGAGATCAATTGTAAAGGAGCCTGGTCCCTGGATCCTGATCCCTGGATCCTGGACTCTGGATCCTAGTCCCTGGATCTTGGTCCCTGAATCCTGATCCCTGGATTCTGGTCCCTGAATCCTGGATCCTGATCCCTGGACTCTGGATCCTGGATCCTGGATCCTGGACCCTGCTCCCTGAATCCTGGTCCCTGGATCCTGGATCCTGGACTCTGGATCCTGGTCCCTGGATCCTGGTCCCTGGTTCCTGGTCCCTGGTTCCTGGTCCCTGGATCCTGGTCCCTGGTTCCTGGTCCCTGGTTCCTGGTCCCTGGTTCCTGATCCCTGGGTCTTGGACTCTGAATCCTGGTCCCTGATCTCTGGACTGGTCCCTGGATACTGGACTCTGGATCCTGGATCCTGGTCCCTTTGATCCTGGACTCTGGATCCTGGACTCTGGATCCTGGACTCTGGATCCTAGTCCCTGGATCCTAGTCCCTGGATCCTGGTCCCTGGATCCTGATCCCTGGATCCTGATCCCTGAATCCTGGACTCTGGACCCTGGACCCTGGATCCTGGACCCTAGACTCTGGATCCTGGCCCCTGATCCCTGAATCCTGGTCCCTGGACCCTGGACTTCTGCATTACTAGTGTCGGTAGGGTTATGACCTATCGATATTGAAGAGCTTTCGTCAAAAAGATGCATTTCGGCGAAACCATTGTACTCATACTGCCTGCTGAGCACCATTGTTGAATAATATAGCCAGATCAAAAGAATTGGTTCACTTTTGGCTTGGATAATCTATAGAAGATCTATAGAAGTACTTCTATAGATCATAGAACTTTGATGCAACTTTGGAAATTGAATAGAAGCGTCAAGTATTCCAGAAAAGCGACCCTCGCTGGGGAAAGTAAACACCGAGTAAAGTTGAAACTCTGTAAAGAGTTTTGTCTTGTAGTTATTTTAGAATTGGTGAAGGTTGGGTAGGGTTGAGAGCAGCTGAGTTAGCAGCTGAGTTTCGTGCCAGAACAGAGCTTTCGATTGATCTAGGCCAAAAATAGATACAGAATCGGCCTTCTCGAGATGATACCCAGCCTAGAACCTCAAGAAACTGAAATGTCTCGTTGATGGGTGTAAGACGATCCGAGCGTGTTGCCTGAGTGCCAACTAGACGTTTTCTCTTCTCTCTCTCTCTCTCTCTCGAATCTATCTCGTACCTGAGTCAATATTGCGTCGAGTGTGGATACATGAGGTGAGAAATGGGGGGAATTGGGGAAAGAAAAGAATTGGCAAAGGTAGACTGATATCCAGCTTGGACAACCGAGTCGAGATTTCGATGAGTTCTTTCGGAAATTTTAGAAATTTATGAATCAGTGGATTTTCTTAAGGTAACTGGTTCTTTTTCTTGAATCGAAAAAGCGCGAATTTTATTTTGACGTTAATTTTCGCATATCTGGATGTCAGAATAGATTTTCCGAGTGACAGGGAATCAATTTTTTCAAATTCGGTAGCCAATCATAGTCAGCAAGCCTATTGGGTAATTAAACCACTCGAAAAATTGATTCATTCAAATTTTCATTATTAATTTTATTCTAACTGGCACTCATGCTAGCTATTGGGTAATTAAACCATTAAGTTTTCAAAAGTTTTGAACTTTTCTATCTAACTCACCCGAATTGCGAAGCTTTGTGTTCTGTGGAGCGCCTTGGATCGCCGAGTGAACGATTAATCCATTGTGCGGACCGTGGGCAGTGATTGTTGTCTTCAAATTGATCACCTTAAATCGAGAATGTTCAAAATGGTAGACAAGTTATAGAAAAGCTCAAAAAGCTTACCACAAAGCTTACCCAGCTTACCCACAAATCTCTTACCATTTTTTGAGCTCTCTCAGCTCTCGATCGACTCTTTGCCATATTTGTGCCCCTTTCTCCTCCTCCGCCACTCCCTTCATCACCACGAAATCGACGACGATCCACTTCAACCAGTTTTGTGGGGTTTTTTGAGTAAAGAATAGCTGAAATAAAAGAATTTCGAGCATCAAGAGAAACAAAGTTCATGAGGAACAGGAAGAAGAAGAACAAGAAGAACAAGAGGAGCAGGAGCAAGAAGAACAAGAGGAGCAGGAACAAGAAGAACAAGAGGAGCAGGAACAAGAAGAACAAGAGGAGCAGGAACAAGAAGAACAAGAGGAGCAGGAACAAGAAGAACAAGAAGAACAGGAGCAAGAAGAACAAGAGGAACAGGAACAAAGAAAAAATGTTCGAAAACTCTGCAACTTTGAAACCTGAGTTTCTCAATGATTTTGATAGCTTTTCCCTCATCCTAATGGCACATTAACAAGACAGAATTTCATTGAGAATCCAATTGTGCCATTTGTGGAACGATTTGGCTAAATCTTCCCTCTCATAGAGGGAGAATTGCAAGAAATGTGAAGAAATTTGGTTCATTTTCTCTACAAATTTGGTTCCTTTTCTCTATAGATTTGTTTCCTTTTCTCTACAGATTTGTTTCTTTGCAATTCGACCTTTCACCGGTATTTGGAAAAGTTCGGCTCAACAAAGCCTCAAAAAGACCGAATTCAATCAAAGACCGAAAGTCAGAAAAGGGAGAAAAGAAGATTTTTTTGATAGATTCAATGAAAAGAAAACGTTTAGAACGTTGCAAACGACTTTTAAGGCGCTGACCGGCTGGCCCCGGTGCTGGCGGAGATTTTTGGTGATTTGGTGGTGCTGAGCGACACTAAAAGATCCTCTGAAAAGCGGTTTGATATTGAGCAGATCGTACTTGATCCAAAGAATCTCTTCCGTTAGACGACAGAATTGTTTCAAGACAACAAAAGCCTCAACAATCATGGCTAGTCAAAATTGACAAGATGTCATTGATCTTCACTCCAGCTAGAGTCAAAATTGACAAGATCTCCTTGATCTTCGTTCCAGCTAGTCAAGATTGACAAGAAAGTTTACGTCTGCTTGTACTTTTCCCTTGATCTCAATTTGATGCCAATAATGATTGGGTTTTTCAACAAGGTACTCCATCTTGTGAGAACAGAGCACAAAACTGTTGATTGGATTGGATTGGATTGAATTGGATTGGATTGGATTGGATTGGATCACAAGATTTGATCTCCTTAAATCAAGATTCGAACAACTTCCCAGAAATCACCGTAGACACCAGTCAACAACGCCCAGGCGAAAAGGCGAATCGTCATCAAACTCGCCCAATCTCAATATCTCAATATCTCAAGATTACTCAAGATGATCGATTCTTGATGCTAAAGCTTATGATGCTTATGCTAAAGCCCAAAAATCAATAGACTCTTTGAAACGAGATTTAATGAAGACAAAGAAATCTATCAGCAGCTATCAGCATTGATAGCTCTATCATTGAAACATCTCTATCAGCTAAAGTCATTCATGATTTCTCAAAGCGCTTAAGAAAATTTATTAATGCTAATGATGGCCATTCTAAATGTAAATGACAAACTCTAGTTTGTGGGACAGTCAACAGTCAACCATAATTGTGAGACAGTCAAGACCCAGGCTCCAGTAGAGCCCAGTAGAGCCTAGTAGAGCCTAGTAGAGCCTAGTAGAGCCTAGTAGAGCCTAGTAGAGCCTAGTAGAGCCTAGTAGAGCCTAGTAGAGCCCAGTAGAGCCTAGTAGAGCCTAGTAGAGCCTAGTAGAGCCTAGTAGAGCCCAGTAGAGCCTAGTAGAGCCCAGTAGAGCCTAGTAGAGCCTAGTAGAGCCCAGTAGAGCCTAGTAGAGCCCAGTAGAACATGAAAAATGAAAAAGAAAAGTCTCAATCCGTTTCTATAGATCTTTATGTTTTTGAAATGAAATAGAAAGCTAGAAAGCTCGATAGAAAACTAGATAATCGATAGGGAAATGGACAAAAAAGATGGAAAAGATGAAAAGAAAGGGAAAATATAGAAGTGATGAAGGGGAAATGGAAAAGGCGACTGCAAAAAGGGGCCGAAACGAACGAACAAACAAAACACCCAGAGGGAATCCCGTCAACTTCTCCCCGATCAGTATAGATTGAAGTTTTGTGCTAGTTTTTGGCAATGGTGACATCCAGGATAAACCAAGAGCTCGAAAAATTTCAACTATTGTTGAAGAAGCTTGAAGAAAAACCATCGAACTTTCCCCCACGTCTCCCATCAACTTCTCCTAAACACTATAAATCGGCATTATTCTCCAGTATTAGAAAGGGTGACATCCAGCACGGGGATAGAAAAAACAAAATTATATAATATCAAAGCAATTAGCGATTTCTCGATTAGAACTCGACTTTTCTTTGCAATCAAAGCGTTTTGTGGCTAAAATCACTTCAAGATCGACTTTTTTTTCGACTTTTTCGCGAATCTGGAACGCACAGCAAATTTCTGGGGAAAAGAAAATTCTTTTTTAGCGAAATGACGAAATTCGATATTTCCTTGAGGAAAATATTTGCTCACTTTTCAGGGAAATTCTATTTTTTTTCCCCTGACATTTTACCATTCTAGATAAATGCAAATTTCTTTATGCGCTCCAGAATGAAAGATTATAAATTCAAAACAAGGAAAGCAAGCCCAAAAACAAAAAAAATATTGCGTAAAAAAAACCGACCGAAATTTTTGTTTTTGATTTTTTTTGCTTAAAAATACAAAAACTCAGCTTAGTGCGCTCCAGATTTATCAAGAAATGAAAGATTTTTTTATTTTATTTCAGAATTCACCGAGAAAAAAGCCCAGCTATAGAGTGTTGGGGTCGAGTTTTGCTCGCTTGTTTACTTTGTTTGTTTATTTGTTTGAAACGGAGGAAAGCTGAAGTGAGAAGGACTGGGGAAAGAGCTGAGAGTCACTTTTCGCGACGCATGAAAGCGAGAATGGTGAAAGTTACGAAAGTTAGGGTAAGAATTTCAGCCTTGAAACGGGACTGGGGCAATTCCGGCAAGAATATGCATCTTCTGAGCTTTCAAAAGTGATCAAGAGTCGATCTGGAGCACAGTCTAGAGATTTCATGTTTAAAAAGATAGGAACAGTGCTGAGTTGATGTCTCTTGATTTGCATATAGATTTGCATTTAAATTTGCATATAAAATCTCATTTAAATTTGCATTTAAAATTTCATTTAAATTTGCATATAAATTTGTATTTAAATTTGCGTATAAAATTTCATATGAATTTGCATTTAAAATTTGCATTTAAAATTTGCATTTAAATTTTGCATTTAAATTTGCATAAAATTTCATTGAAATTTGCATATAAATTTGCTTATAAAATTTGCATAAATGAAAACCCCATTTAATTGTGAAAAATCTTCAATAGATATGCAAAGTGACGTCCAGATTGGAAAATCCACTGGCGAGTGGGCGGGTAAAGCCTCTCGAAACGGGACAACGGGACATGGATAGCCTCTCGAAGCCGAGAGAGAAAAGATTGGGCGGATTCCCGGCGATCACCCGCACCAACCCACCCCGGGCACTCAACGAATATCAGATCTGGATAGCAGGAGAGCTGCTGGGCAAAGTGGGCAAGGTGGGGGAGATGGGGGAGGAGTGATGGGGTTGGTGGACATGGACACCACTGGCTAGCGAGGTGCTGATGATGATGGATACAAGAGCTCCACCAACCCACTCGAAAACCCCCATCGATACGATCTGTGACTTCCAGGATTTGCGAAAAGTTGGCTAATTTTCAAAAGCATCTTTTAGATCACAAGAAATCGGCTCGAAGTCGAAGCTCGAAGCTTACAGGGCTTTAAATGGAAATTAAAATGAAATACGAATGAAAACAAAATACTCAGCTGACTCAGGAATACCGAAAATGACTATTTGCAGTTAAAAGACCGCTATTTGATATGGAAATTTGGAGAGAAGCGAGTCAAGAGATGAGTCAAGAGATTGAGTCACAAAAAAATGTAGGCGGAGCGGGGAAAGAGAGAAAAAGAAGGCTCGCTTTTCGTGTTAGTGTAAGAATTTTAAAAACAGAAAGCTTAAACAGCAAAAAGCAAAAAAAAGCCCGACATTTTGCCGCGACCGGATCCGAACTCGGACCCTTCGCCTGGGAAACCAACACACTACCATTTTGCCATGAGTGCAAAGCTTGAATTCGATTGTTGAAATTTTTGGATTTTTTTTAGTGATATCCAGGATGCACAATGAAATCAAAGAAAAAGCTGAGAATTTCAAAGTTTTTGAGAAAAGTGCCCAATCTTTTTTCAGAGGTTTGATTAAAAAATTGATTTGATAAAAAAATATTAAATAACATCTAAATTAGATAACATGACATCCAGCTTGAACAAAAATCCAAAAAATAAAATAAAATCCGAGGAAAATAGCCAGTAAATCGGGTGGGAGATCAACGACCGGGTATCGGATCGCATTCCGCTGTATTGATCAAGTGAAGAGGGAAAGATAAGGTCTGGAGAAGTCGTGCTGCATGCCATTTTGAGAGGCAAAGAGCCGAAATGGGGAAAAGCGGCCACGCAATCGCACAAATAAACAGGCACACAAACAAAACCCGAAACGACTACAATGGGCAGATTATGGGAGAGAGGAATGGAAGAGACGAGATGGCGAAGTGCCAGCCAACAATGGGCAAGCTGGGAAATGCAAATTGAGCGCTTTTTTTAGACTCAAAGCTTGTTTTAGGTAGTACAGTAGCTACAGTACTTCTTAAACTGAATATCTTCAACTTGAATACTTTCAAACTCGAGATATTCAGCTATTGTACTATTTTTCAATTTCCCATTACCCAAACGGTCTAATCTGGATGGCACTTTAGTTGATCTAAACGTCAAATAACCAAATTCGTTACAATTTCGATACACTTAAAATAGTCACTACAAGATTGGAGCAATTTAAGCCTTCTGATGCATCAGAATTGTTCAATAAGCCCCGAAGTGTCTAATCTGGATAGCACTTGTGTCGACCAGAACGCCAAAAAGCCGACTTCCTTACAAGTTCGATACACTCAAACTAGTCACTACAAGATTGGGACAATCCCAGCCTTCTAATGCATCAGAGTTGCTCAATTACAATCCAAATGTCTAATCTGGATAGCACTTTGATTGCTCCAAACGTCAAATACCCGAATTCTCTACAAGCTAGATACAGTCAAACTATCCACTACAAGATTGGAGCAATTTAAGCCTTCTAATGCATCAGAGTTGCTCAATTAGCCCCGAACTGTCTAATCTGGATAGCACTTGTGTCGACCAGAACGCCGAAAAGTCGACTTCCTTACAAGTTAGATACACTCAAACTATCCACTACAAGATTGGAGCAATTTAAGCCTTCTAGTGCATCAGAATTGTTCAATAAGCACCAAACGGCCTAATCTGGGTAGCACTTGTGTCGACCAGAACGCCAAATAGCCAAATTCCTCAGAAGTTAGATACACTCAAACTAGTCACTACAAGATTGGAGCAACCCAAGCCTTCTAATGCCTCAGAATTACTCAATTACCATCAAAATGTCTAATCTGGGTAGCACTTTAGTTGATCTAAACGTCAAATAACCGAATCGCATATAAAGTATTAGGCTGTCCCAGGGTTTAATCGGTGAATTTGTTATTTTTCAACGAAATTCCGAAAAGGAACGAAAAGACTTTCTGGACAGGCTAATCGCTACAGTAACTGCAAAACAAAAGTTAAATATCGTCATTGTTTCAGGAAAATTTTAAATCTAACTGAATATCTTTGAAATTGTGAATAGATAACGGAATATTTTCATTTCTAATTGCTTCACCTATTCGAGATGGGATTTTCAGGGAGCTCTTTTCACTTTCCAGCGTCGACGATAAGCCGATAATTACCCCGGTAAATCCCGAGGATCGAATGGAAACTCTGAAATGGATGAAAAGAAAAAAGAAAAATGGATTTGCTACTATTCCATCCTGTAAAATCTATCGGAATTTCATTTTCGTTTGATGAAAAATTTTTAAATCTCTAAATTCTCTAAATCATTTGAACAAAAGCTTTTGCTGAACTCCAAAAAGCACGAAAATATTAGATTTATAACTAAAAATGGTTCATACTGTTGAAATTCAGCCGAGAGTACGCGATGTTACTTTGAACGAGAAGTGAAAACTGTTGTACTACTCACTTTTCAGCTTCAAAAGCTCGTGTGCACTCCAGAACGCTTAAATATTTGAGAAATTCAGCATTTCAGCTTTAGCGTTTTGCTATAAAGTACTCAGCGTCAAAACGGGGTCATTACTGGTTAAGGAAAAACGACTCGGCTAGATATTTATGTGCTTTCCAAAGGGCCCATAGGGAAAGCTGGGCCCATAGGGAAAGCTGGGCCCATAGGGAAAGCTGAATACTTCTATTTAATCTAAAATGCTTTAAAAATTCGCATATCAACATTGAAATGGTAAATTTTTATCTGAAAATCATAAAAATACCCGTTTCAAAATGACAAAGTTGCTTATATACAGTAACTAGTAAAGGGAAAACGATTAAAACCTGAAAAGCGAAGAGATCATTGGGTGGATTGTTGTGTGGAATGTTGTGAGAGTGTCCCATTCTCTTTTTCCTCAATCCTCGGCATCAACGTGTCAGCGATGTCGCAGGGTTTCGTGTTAAAGAGTAATTTGTGGGTGATCACATGAGAAATCTCGAGTTGCACGTTGTCCTGAAAGAAAGATTGCAGTAAGGAGATGATTTAGGCTTAGAATCTTTGAACTACCGGGTCTGAACCAGGGACAAAAGGGCGAGAGCTCTAGGAGAGAAAGCGAGAGCTCTAGGAGGAAGCGAGAGCTCTAGGAGGAAGCGAGAGCTCTAGGAGGAAGCGAGAGCTCCAGGAGGAAGCGAGAGCTCTAGGAGGAAGCGAGAGCTCTAGGAGAAAGCGAGAGCTCCACTATCCACTAGACAACGAGTTCATGTTTACAGATCTCTGTAGAACTCAGAAGCTTTCAAAGCCTCTGAGAAGCTTTCAAAGCTGCTTGTAAACTCAAGGAATGATTTTTAAAAGTCTATACAAAAGAGAAGCTTATAACTTTTGAAAGAGTGCTGCATTGCAAAAACGGAAAGCAGATTCGGAATCAGCGCAAAATTCTGCGTCGAATAGTATATAACTCTTGTCATTTAGTCACCACACCCGCTGGATCTTCCTTTGTAAGCAAAATTTCTTCAGAATTTTCTTTTTCAAGCTTTTTTTTCAAAAATTTGCTTTCTAAAAGTACTAAAAGTGATATATTATTGGAAAATCTAAAGAATGAAATGAAATAAAGCTTGAAATTATTATCCTTTTACTTTGGTTTAAGAGAAATTTAACATTAACAACAATTTAACAATTTAATAAGCGGTGGAAAAAGCTAACGGCTTTAGCTTAGCCTAGAAAATAAGCTTTCTTTCTGTTTAGCCCTAAACAAGATCGTAAAAAATGTTTCGACAAAGCTCAAACACAAAAAAAACACTACCGTTTGTTGAAGTCCAACAAGATCCGACGTTTTCGTCAATAGCAATGGATTCTCGAGCTAAAAATAGAGCTTTATCAACAGTTTACAAGCTAAAAAAAGCTTTATCAACCGATTTACAAGGCTAAAAAGGCTTTATCAACCGTTTACAAGCTAAAAAAGCTTTATCAACGGTTTACAAGCTAAAAAAGGCTTTATCAACTACTTACAAGCCAAAAAAGCTTTATCAACCGTTTACAAAACCATTGTTAGTCTAATTTTGCAAGTTTAACACAAAAAAAGCGTACCTCAATGAGTTTTCCACGTATAATTTGCGCACCAATCGCCAGCATTGCTTCTTTTTCGCTCAACCATTGCAAAGAGCCTAAAAAAGATGATGATAGAAAGGATTAAAGCTTAAATTAAAGCTTTTAAAACTTTTAAGGCTTTTTGGGTTTAAATTTTAAAGATTTTGAGTAAGAAATCTGCAAAATTTCGGTTCATTTACAAGTAAAGCTGTTTAAAGCTATTTTTGAGCTGTTTAAAGCTGTTTAAAAGCTGTTGAAAGCTGTTTAAAGCTGTGTAAAGCTGCTTAAAAGCTGTTTAAAGCTGTTGAAAGCCGTTTAAAGCGGGTTTAAAGCTGTCTAAAGCTTTTTAAAGCTGTTTAAAGCTGTTTAAAGCGGGTTTAAAGCTGTTGAAAGCTGTTTAAAAGTTGTTTAAAAGTTGTTTAAAGTTGTTTAAAGCTATTTAAAGCTATTTAAAGCCGTTTAAAGCTGGTTTAAAGCTGTTTAAAAGCTGTTGAAAGCTGTTGAAAGCTGTTTTGAGCTGTTTAAAGCTGGTTTAAAGCTGTTTAAAGCCGTTTAAAGCTGTTTAAAAGCTGTCTAAAGCTGTTTAAAAGCTGTTTAAAGCCGTTGAAAGCTGTTGAAAGCCGTTTAAAGCGGGTTTAAAGCTGTCTAAAGCTTTTTAAAGCTGTTTAAAGCTGTTTAAAGCTGTTTAAAGCTGTTTAAAGCGGGTTTAAAGCTGTTGAAAGCTGTTTAAAAGTTGTTTAAAGTTGTTTAAAGCTATTTAAAGCTATTTAAAGCTGGTTTAAAGCTGTTTAAAAGCTGTCTAAAGCTGTTGAAAGCTGTTGAAAGCTGTTTTTGAGCTATTTAAAGCTGTTTAAAGCTGGTTTAAAGCTGTTTAAAGCCGTTTAAAGCTGTTTAAAAGCTGTCTAAAGCTGTTTAAAAGCTGTTTAAAGCCGTTGAAAGCTGTTGAAAGCCGTTTAAAGCGGGTTTAAAGCTGTTTAAAAGCTGTTCTAAAGCTGTTTTAAAGCTGTTTTTGAGCTGTTTTTGAGCTGTTTAAAGCTGTTGAAAGCCGTTTAAAGCTATCTAAAGCCTCAAAAAAAAGCTCTCAAACGGCTTTTACATCATTTAAACAAGAAATTAGATAAACTTTTTATTAGTTTACCTAAGTCTTGTCCATCTAAATCGTCAACGGAGCTGAGTTGGCCATGCATTTCCAATAGAATAGGTTCCTCATCGTTTTTCCTAAAGAAATAGCCGATTAAAATGTGTCAGTTTTTTTAAAAACTAGATTTTAACATCTTCCTCTAGAAAAATCGCTCAAAAAATACCTGTAAACGAGTTGAACTTGCATCTTTTCTCGACTTTGCCGCTCTGATTAGCCTTTCAATCGATTCACTAAAATAAGAGCTTAATTTTTGAACAAATTGGAATACACAAGAAAGATTGGAAAAAAAAGAAAAAGAAAATATCGACTTTAAGATTTCAAGCTTGGTTCAATTACCCAACTGGGGTCACTAATTGCTCAAAATGTTTTTTTTTCGTTTTTAACTGATTCTATCGTCAAAATGCGCTCCAGAATCTAGATTTTATCAAAAATTTCAAAGAATCTGTGCCAAATTCTTCTAAATTTTGGTTCCTTTCAATTTTGGCTCTGTCTTGGAAGCTCTTTCAGTCTTAACTCTTCTTCAATCCTAGTTTTATTTTCAAAAAGCTTCCAGCTTCCAGCTTCCCTAGCTTCCAACCTTTATAACACAGCTAAAAATCTCTTTTCCTTTTCAGATTGCTCGATAAAGCAGTTTAAAACAAAAAAAGGAAAAAAAAGCGTTTTTGATCGATTAAAATCTTTGTTTTAACTTTGTTTTATTAAAATTTCGCGGCTTTTATCGAAACGAGTACGTTTGACACCAAAAAATGAAAAAGATTTGTGCACGTTTGAGATTTGGTCTCATTTTTGTGCTCAAAGATTCCATTGTTCAATGAATTGCCTCAGAAAATCTTTGAATCTTTTAAGATTTCAAAGATTTTCTGAGGCAATCTTGAAAGATCTTTGCTTTTTCAAGCTCTTTCAAGCTCTTTCAAGCTCTTTCAATGCAATCTTTCAAGTTCTTTGCTGTTTTCTCAAATCCTTTTTCATTTCTGTTCAGAATTTGAGCTTTTTAACGTATAATCTTTTCTTTTTTACAGATTCATCGATGATTCCTGGATCAGTGGCCGCGATTTTAGTAGCGGTGGCAGCGATTACGGTGATGACAACGATTCATCACATTGATGAGGGACACGTCGGAGTGTATTATCGGGTGGGTTTCTAATATTTGATTGTTTTGCTATTTTACTAGAGCAAAAACATTGTTTTGCACTTCTTGAGCTGTATTTGAGTGCTAGCGAAATGAAATAGAAGTGAAATGATAGTTGACGGAGTGGAAATGACTAGCTTTTGGCTAAATTCTTTTAGAAATGATTGATTTGCTATTTTTTGCATTGATGCTATTGATTTGCTTGAGTAAAAGCTATTTCTTGTTGTTGTTTTTGCTTTTAAAGCGTTTCTTTGTATTGCATCAACCCATCAACGATAAAATGATAAAAGTAGAGCGTCAATAGCTTAGAATAGCTATTAATAGCTATTGATGGCTATCGATTGCTGTTGATAGCTATTATTTGCTATTGATGGCTATTAATAGCAATCAATAGCAATCAATAGCTATCAACAGCAATCAATAGCTTAGAATAGCTATCAAGAGCCATATTTACTGCTGTTGATAGCTATTCTAAGCTATAGATTGCTATTAATAGCTCTCAACAGCAAACAATAGCTATTAATAGCTATCAACAGCAATCAACAGCAATCAATAGCCACCAATAGCAAACAATAGCTATCAATAGCTATCAATAGCCTTTTTAAGCGTTAATAGCCACTTTCTATCTCTAATCTTAACGGTTAAACGTTAAGAACACCAAAAATCTACCTAACTAAGCCCATTTTACTTAGTAGACAATAAAACTAGCTGAAAAAGACGCTAAAAAGCTAAAAAAGGACACTAAAAAGCTAAAAAAGCTAGAAATCCTTGTTCAAATGAAACCATTGACACCATTGACATTTTTTATTCAGGGAGGTGCTCTTCTTTCAACGATTGCCCATCCTGGCTATCACATGATGATTCCCGGCTTGACCAGTGTCAAATCTGTGCAGGTAATTGACTTGATTCAAGCTTTTTACTGGTATTTTCTTCAGGTAACTCTTCAAACAGACGAGGCGAGGAATGTGGCGTGTGGAACGAGTGGTGGAGTGATGATCTATTTTGATAGAATCGAGGTTGTCAACATTTTATCCCCTGATAGTGGTGAGTTTCTTGTTCATTGATATGTTTCTCATTGATATTTTGCTGAAGATAGCTTTTTTTGCTGCTTTTGCTGTTGCTTTAAACCTAAACGAATCAATTTTTGGTTAAAATCCTTTTTTAAACTTCGGCCAAACTTCAGCCACAACTTCAGCCACAAGCTTTGGTTTAAAAAAAACATTTTTATTTAGTTTTCGCGATCGTTAAAAACTACACGGTTGACTACGATAGAGTGCTCATTTTTAACAAGGTTTCTTATTAAATTTTGAGGTTTTAAAACCTGTTTAAACAAGCTTCTTTCTAGGTGCATCACGAGGTGAATCAATTCTGCAGCAGTCACACTCTACAAGAGGTTTATATCGATTTATTTGGTAATTTAAATCTTTATTTCAATTTTAAATGCTTATTTAGATCAAATCGATGAGAATTTGAAGAAAGCGTTGCAAGAGGATTTGACAGTGATGGCTCCCGGTCTCTACGTGCAAGCGGTACGAGTGACAAAGCCGAAAATCCCTGAAGCAATCCGACACAACTATGAAATGGTGAAGAAATGGGGATTTGAATATATGTCGTAGCCGATTATGAATGAGTGGGTCTAGGAGCGTCCAACCATCAAGTATTTAGTATCATTCAACGCAGAATCATTGATAATTATGTTAAATTTTTAAAATTAGAAAGATTGGATAAAAAGGAAAAAAATTATAGGGCTTCAAAGTTTTCTCTTGAACAAACAGTTTTTTTGCTCTAATTTTTTTTCTTTTCATCAAATCTTGCTAATTTTAAAAATTTAACATAATTATCAATGATTCTGCATTGAATGATACTAAATACATGATGATTGGACGCTCCTAGACCCACTCATTCATAATCGGCTACGAGGGTCCCGCCGATTTTGAATGAAACGTTGTAGCGCCGGCAATTTTTAACCTAAACTCACAAATTTGGTACCAATCGACGCAGAATTTAATTCGCTACAAGATGATATAATATTGTCCAAGGGTTGCTCTACTAGAAAGATTTGCCAAAAAATTTCATTCATAATCGGCTACGACATATAAACTAGAGATTTTCTATTGAAGTAAACATTAAAAGCGCTTAAAAGCACATTAAAGGCATTGTCTTTGCACATAAAAGCGCTTAAAACCACTATTAATTATCTTTTTCTAGGTAGAAGCCGAGAAAACGAAGCTTCTCGTAGCCAGTCAACATCAGAAAGTCGTCGAGAAGGAAGCGGAAACTGAAAGGAAGAAAGCTGTCATTGGTAAGTGAGGTTTTAAAGTTAAATTTTAAATATTCAATTAGGCTAAAGCTAAAGCTGTATTTTTAACTACTAAACAATACAATAGACATTTTTCTTGCATCTGTTAACTTGTAAAATGATTTCATCGTTTAGAAGCCGAGAAACAAGCGCAAGTCGCGTCAATCGTTCACCAGCAGACAATTGCTGAGAAAGAAACGTCACGAAAGATCAGTCAAATTGAGGATGAAAGGTGATTTCTTTAAATTAATATTTATATCAATATTTATATCTTTAGCAACTTGGCTCGAATTAAAGCTAGAGCCGATGCCGAATTCTACCAAGCACAGAAACAGGCTGAAGCGAACAAAATGCTCTTGACATCGTGAGTTTTTATGGTCAATGAATGCCAACTTTGGGTCAAAATTTAAGCGTTTTATCAAAAAGTATAACCTAAAAATAAGTGTTGAATACTTAGAAAAAGAAAAAGTAGAATAGCCTTCAGAAATTGCAAAAAAATTGCCATTGCCAGAAAGCCATTGTCATTGCCAGATTGCCAGAAACGAATTCCCTGTTTTGGAAAACTCCACCATGCAAATTGTACGCAAGACTAATGTTTTTCGGGATTCCTGACAATCTCTATGGAGGATGGAGAGCTCGCCTCATGCGCACACGACTCGGGTTCGATTCCTGCCAGTGACCTATTGCAAAAATTTTTTAAAAGGCGCAACTACATGAAATTACATTAGACATGTGTTTCCGCGTTTTTTTTTTTAAATACTCAAAGGGGACACGCTTAGTGCGCCCAAAGACTGAGAGATGGGGGCAATGGTTGTGGTGATGGGGGGTTGTGGTGTGCAACAGTTATAATGTTCAAAAATCGAATTTTCTACTCACACAATCTATTCTGAAAACTTTTTGCGTATTTTTTTGTGAGGAATCTAAATCTGAAAACGGGAATCGAAGCTCTCTACGCGATTTTGCTTTCTGATTTAGAGTAAAAGCGTAAATAGTCAAAAAACGTACGAAAATTTGAAAATTTCGCATTTTTAAAAATTATTTATGTCTTCTTTCCGTTATTTATATCTAAATATGAAAAGCAGAAATGAATCAAAAATGAAAATGAAAAAAGCCAGCAAAATCTGTTCAGCGGGGGCTGAGGGGAAAAGCATGACGGACAGACGGACGGACCGTATCTGAACCATATTGGAACCGTAAATCTTTGAGAAAAAAGAACTTAACACAGTTCAATTAGGTTTATTTAAGGGTTTCCGTTAAAACTTAAACTATGAATAGCAAAAACAAAGTTTTACTGGAGTTTTGGAAACTTTTAAGTTTTAACTTTTAACTTTTAGCATCGCGACTTTTTAGTCTAAGATTTTTGAATTATTCACTCAACTTATCTTTCCCTTTTCCAGAGAATTTCTCGAGATGAAACGCATTGAGGCGGTGACAACGAACAACAAGATCTATTACGGCCCAAACATTCCCAGCTTTTTCTTCAGTGGCACAAAAACTGTGGAAACTAATTGAAATGAAAAAGAAATCGTAAAATTTCGTAAATTTTTCGTAAAATCGAAATCGTAAGCTTTTTCCTAAGCCATTCCTCAACTTATTAGTCAAATATTTGTGCACTGATACGATGTGCACTGTTAAAATGTGCATTGGTACGATTTTTCTCCAAATTTTTTAACATATCGAAGTACAGAGTGTTTTTTTGCAAAAATTTTTGTTTAATTAAAAATTTTCTAAATTTCCCGATGAAATTCTTCAATGTTTAGTCCCAATTTTTGCCAAAAAACCGGTAATTTTTAGGATTTTTTTCTGATCTCGCGAATTTTTGAATTTTGTGATAAAAAATTTCTCTTTCTTTCGCTCAAAACGATTATCGTTTTTAATTTTTGCTTTCATTTTGTTAATAAATTTTTCAAAATTTGATTTTATTGTTGAAAAAAGATTGCTGAAACTCTTTTGAATATCTGTTTTTGATTTGAAGTGGGTTTTAGTGTTAAAGAAAGAAAGATTTTAGTGTTAAACTTGATTTCTCATTTAATATTTCCATTTTAGCCGATATCTTCCTATGTCACTGCTGAATTTCTTGCAAAAGACGTAATTTTTTTGAGAAGACTTTGTTGTTGTGATGGTTCAGCTATTGTTTACACGAAATTTTCGTTCTTTTTCACCCCACAATCCATAGAAGGATTGTCTGCCACAGTGGAAGATCCGATGAACCAGTCACGGTTGTCCATGAAGAGAAATCTGAAGTTGGAGAGAAAGAGAAGGGACCAAGCTTCACTGACAGAGTTGATTGGCCTCTTCAAGAAAGGTCCAGCCCATATCGACTATCCAGTCTCCGAAACTTTGCGAAATCACGAATATTTTGTTTGCCTCTTTAACAATGTAGCGCACATCTTTTTGTGGAGTTGGTTCTTTGGGAAAAACTTGTGCTTAACCTCTAATCCGTTTCCTAAAACGTGCCTATTTCGAGAAAACTATCGGAATCTTAACTCGGGTTTTAAATTCAATTGAATGCAGTAGATTAGCCAACCGCTTTCCAGTAAAGAACTAGTTTAGCCAACCGCTTTCCAGTAAAGAACTAGTTTAGCCAACCGCTTTCCAATAAAGAACTGATCCACCATTAATCTTTCACTTATCTCTCTTATCCGCCTCCTTTTCACCTGAGAACTGGAGACTTTAAAGAGAATTTCCCCATTACAGATCGTTTTTTCGATTCGGATTTGTCGAGAGGCTTCGAATTCTTTTCGGATTCGCGCCGGCGACAACGAAGAAATCGATTCAACAATCGCAACAACAAACAGTCACAAGAACAACTGAGAAGAAAGAAGAGCAAAGGGTAAATTTTAAAGCAAAAATTGAAATCACTGTATGAGAAAACCCATAAAATTTGAATCATTTTTACATTCTTGGCTACTATTTTAATGATCACGGTTCGACTTAAGCATTCCTCTAATTGTATTTTCAGCAAATCTGACTTATTGTTCATGTAGACAATCTGTATTTGGATAATTTACTATAGTTCTTTTTTTGAAAAGTCCAGTTAAAGTCCTTTTCTCTTTCTAGGTACTCACTTCGACAACTCCTCCTTTGGCCACTCCAACGATCGCTACGGGAAGTACCCCCGAAATTGTTAAAGCACAGGTTTGTTGCTTTTTTACCATTAAAAACTCAAGCTGAACTTATTTTCAACTAAAGTATTCCTTTTTTTTTTCAGCAAACCCTTTCGCCAACGAGTTCACCCGTTCAAACACAGAAAATGAACGCATCGACCAAACTTTCAGCGGTTTGTTTTTACCTTTTGAGGTAATAAAATAAATTTTACATTAAAATTTGATTATTTAAAGCTTCTAGTTTACAGCTAAAGGGCTTAAAAGACTAAAAAAGATTTAGCATTTCGAAATTTTCGTATTAAAAACTTTAAACGGCTATTGGTGAATTCTTATTGATTGCTTTTTTGATTAAATTTAAACAATTTACCTTTCAACATTAGAAATTTGATAATATTAGCCTCAAATTGGTTATTGTATTGTTTTTTTTTCAGGCTGCCCGCATTCCGTTGATCAAATTTTTGGGCGCTCGTCTGCCACGTCCGAATTTCAATCGGTGAGCTTTGAAATTGAAATAAATTTGAGTCAGTAGACTTTACAAATTGTGATTTATATGTTATGTAACTAGTAAAATGAATGATTCGTTTTGTGCTAACTTTTCACGTTTAGAGCCGATTTACCGCCACTGCAAGTCGCTGGAAACATTGGTGAGCGATTGTTTTCAAGAAAAATGATTCTATTTCGCATTTTTAGCCACTCCATCACCGACAGTCACTCAAGCGAAACCGTCATCGATTGGACCGGTCGGGAAAATCCCCCGTGGACACGGAATACCCGAGACACAGCTCCCGAAACGGTGTGTTTTGTGGAATAGACTAACAAGTGCATCAGTGCCTTTGAAATCTCGATACCCGATTAGAATTCTCTTCTTGATTAACTAGATCAAAAATTCCTGGAGGAAAAGTGATCTTAAGCTAAAGAAGGAGTAATCTCTGAATCAAAAAAGACCATTTTTTTTAATGCTTTAAGAAAAACTAGGCGAAAAGTGTAATTCAAAACGTTCAAATCTTTTTTTTTCTAGATTACGTCGTCCACTCATCGCTCAAGACGAATGTGATGCGATCAATGTGAGGTTTTATTAATAGAAGAGGCCAGCCACCGAAAAATTGGCTTCTGCTTTAAAATTGAAGTCTAAAAGCAGAAGAACCAAAGATAACTAAGATAAGATAATAAAGATAACCAAAGATAACCTAAGCCTAAGGACGTCAATTAAATGATTTCTGATGGTTCACCGAATGAGTTTGAAGCGATTTTTGAGAATTTTTCCATAAGAGATCTCTTTTTTTCATCGATTGATCACAAAACATCGAAAATCGATCACAAAACAATAATATAATGTTATTTTTGACATTCTGGAACCACTGACAAAGCACCCGGATTGAATCTTTAAAAAGAATGAGCTTTTGAAAGAATTTCCCCCATTTTCTTTCTTTTCTCGTTACCAATAGAAACCCCAAGCACTCCTTTTTGCGTCAAAAACCACAAAGAATTTGACATATTTACGCCAGAAAAGTTGATGAAACACCAAAAAAAGCTAATTTTGATTTGAAATTTTGAAATTTTGAAATTTGAAAAAATTTTGCTTTTAAACTCAACTTTTTATGTTCTTTGATTGATTGTTTGAAGAAAAACTTTAAATTATCAATGTTAAAGTTGTAAGTTTAATAGTTGTAATGCAAAAATGTTAATAAGTTAATAGTTGTAATGCAAAAATGATGAAAAAATTGCGGCTTAACTAAAGAATTTTTTGAATTTTGGATGAAAAACCCTTGAATTGTTAAACTTTTATTGGTAACTTTTTATCATTTTCTCATATTTAGGCCGGTGGATCGTATGGACTTTGAGGAGATTTGGGTTTTCGAATCGAGAAATTTTCACAGCTCAATTTCATAGCGATTTTTTACAAAATTCTCCTCAAAATCTTGTAGTTAAAAGGATTTTTTTAGGTTTTTGCTAGTCGATTTCAACAATTTTAACGAAAAATTGTTGAAATTCATCAATTTTAATGAAAAATTGTTGAAATTTATCAATTTTTTTAGTCATTTTCATCAATTTTTTTGCTTCTCGACCACTTTCGTGTTGAAATAAATGGATTCATTTACAGATTTTCCTCAATTTTTCTCGATTTTCATCCTCAGCTGATGATTCACTAACAATATTTGTCGGATTAATTGAATTTCTTTTTTTCTGTGACTATTTTCTGTTTTATTAGATGGACTAAACGGCGTGGACAACACGAAAATCGATGGTTTCCGATGGAGATGAGAAGAAAACGACGAGGTAGGGTTTTGGCAAAAATTTAGATATTATTTGTGTAAGCTTTTTACACTAAAATGTTAGCTAATTAAAATTAGGGAATAGGTTTATGGAATTGTAGAAATCATAGATTCTTCCCTCGTAGCTATATGATTTTTTTGTATTTCAAAAATTCTAATAGAAAGCTTTTTAACACGATCACGACCAAATGTTATTAGTTTTTGAGTTATTGAGAACTTGAGTTAAAGAATTAAACTTCGAGAGTTAGAGAGAGTAAACTAGACTTGGAGAGAGTAAACTAGACTTGGAGAGAGTAAACTAAACTTGGAGAGAGTAAACTAGACTTGGAGAGAGTAAACTAGACTTGGAGAGAGTAAACTAGACTTAGAGAGAGTAAACTAGGCCTAGAGAGAGTAAACTTCGAGAGTTAAACTTGAGAATTGGATAGAAAAAGGAGAAATGAAATAATTTTGTGTTTATTAGCTTTCGAGTATAGGGAAATGTTTAAAATTATATTCAAAATGGTTTTTTTCAAAATGGTTTCTGTTCTGGTTGGTCTAGAATTATATTAAATAGAACAAAAATACGAAATTCTTAATGCTGATCTAAAGAACTTCGAAAGGATCTTAAAAAAAACGAAAAATTACCTCAAGAACCTACAATAGCTAGCTAACTAGCTAGCTAGCTTAGATCTCGGCTAATTGGCTAGAAAAGAGAAAATCTATAATATTTAGCGAATCGTCAACTCTTGCACAACTTCTTGAACTCTGCAATGGAAATGAAGAGGATAGAGGAAAGGGAGAGGAGTTGGCTGATGAGGTAGTCTTTCAAATAAATGCCTAAATGCAATGGATTTAGATCATAAAAACTTTGGAAACTGCAGTTGGTCGGAAAAGAATCGATAAGGAATTGATTGCGAATGGGGATCGAAAATTAAATCAATTATTGACGGGAATACAGGTGAGAAAGCTTCATTTTTGATGATTTTTGATGAATTGCTTTTCAGTCCTTGCACAGTGATCCAGTTCTTGAAGCACTTCTTCTCGTACTTGAATCATTCATCGTTCATTCAAATGGTAAGCTTAAGCAATCAGGATTTGCTTTCGATAAGAAAATCAGCTCTGGAATCGGCTTCGTTTCAGAAAGAATTATTTTGTCGATCTTTCATCTGTTTAGCTCATTCGAAACGGCTTCGAAAAGTCGCTCGTTTGGATGGAGTCTCGTGTTTGATTCGAACGATTCGAACGGCTTTCAAACAAACAACGACAATTGCGATTATTGCTCGTCTAGCTGATATGTTGTTGATTGTGGCGGTGAAGGGTTGGTTCAAAATAGATTTTATATCACAAATCTGTTTTCTAGATCGAAAACTTGCGCTAAAGCTTCGAATGAGTGGAACGATTCCGTCAATTGTTTCTTCAACTCTTGATTCTTCAAAAATCGAACGAAAATTTCAATTGTCGTTGCTGAGGCTTCTTTGTCGAGCTCTTAGATCGCGTGAGTTTTTAGAAAGCTTTAGCTTTACTGTTGGCTATTTGGATTGAAATAGTACTGAAGAGGTCTAATTGATTGGAATTAGGATTAGATTAGGATTAGATTAGGATTAGATTAGATTAGATTAGATTAGATTAGGATTAAGATTAGAATTAGGATTAGAATTAGGATTAGAATTAGATTAGATTAGAATTAGAATTAGAATTAGATTAGATTAGAATTAGATTAGATTAGATTAGATTTGCTTTACTTTACTTTACTTTACTTGAATATAAGTTTTGGAAATGATCTTCTTGACTATCTGCTAAGCTTTATCTAAGCTAAGCTTCAAATTTTCTAGCTCGAAATGCGCAAATGATCTCGAAACATCGCCCGAATCTCATCCAAATCGTCACCATGTTGACAGAATTTCATCGAGAGGATCGAGAAAGAGTGAAATTTTCTTTGAAATCGTTTAAAAGATCAAGATTTTAGACGTCAACTGCTTCGGAGACATTACTCTACGCTTTAGCAAGATTACTCGAATCCATGTTTCTCATCGCGAAAAATAGTGAGTCGGTTTTTTTCGTGCAAAAACAAATGGCAACTCGAAACACTGACTTCTCGTCTATACTTGCCATGCCGTCTATACTTGCCAGATTGCCGTCTATACTTGCCACCTTTTTTCCGAGAAAATTCTAGGTTAGCGCTTTAAAGAGTTCAAGAAGAAACGTGAAATTTCATTTTTTTTTTCATTCTTGTTAATTTCATTCTATTCTTTTCGTGTTTTTTTCAATATTTCAACGCTTTTTCAACTAAAAAGTTATAAAAACAAAGCTTCCGCCATAGAAAATGATAAAAACCACTTAACTTAGCATTAGTTGGCATTTGTTTTTGCAGGAAACAAAGAAGATAAAGCTAAGTTCGTAAAGTAGATCGTCAGGAAGCAAGTGGGTCTAAAAAAAACTCGACAAACAAAGCTTTCGTCAGAGAAAATGCTGTTAAAAACGTAAATTAGCTTTATCTTCTTTGTTTCTTGCAAAAAAAAATGCGATCACATCAGAAAAACGCAAAAAAAAAAAAATGAAAAAAAGAAAATTGAAAAAAATGAAATTTCGCCCAAATTATGAGGAGTACGGTAGTTTTACCACGCTTTAAAGCGTCAACGAAAGCCTACCACTGTTCTACCAACGCCAAGCGCAAAGGATTTTCTCGGAAAAAGATCGCAAATCTCGCCTATATGACAAGCGTTTTACTAATGAGTTTTACTAATGAGCGTTTTACCAATGAACCCCACAACCAATGTACAATTAGACGATTATCTAAAGCATTGTTTCTTTATGAGATTTGACTCTAGAGCTTAAAGAGCGTAGGATTCTACCAGTGAAAGCTTAACTTTCACTGGTAGAATCCTACGGAAAAAGTCACGGAATTTCCCCAAAAAATTTGCTCAAATCAGTGAAGTTAAAAGCTTGCCAAAGTTCCTATAAGCTCAGCTTTATAGCCAAAGCTATAAAGCTGAAATCTTAAGCCTTCAAAGCTCAAGCTTTTGTTTTTGCTCAATTTATAAATAATCGATTTTCGAACGTGTTTGAGAAAAATCGGCTATAAATCTGGAAAAACTGCAAAAAAAATCGGCCATCTGTTCATGCTGAAATAGCTGTTTTTAGCTTTTTAGCTTTTTTTTGTTGTTTTCATTACAATAGAGTTCGGGGAATTTTTGGCATTTCTCTTTTCTTCAAAACACAACTTTAGTCGGTCATTCGATGCCCATTGGACATTCAAAAAAAACGGCAACAGCTGATCCTTTTCCCCTCAAAAAAAACAGATTCCTAATCTTTGACCTGAGCTCGGGTTTTATCGTTTTAAACTCGAAGCTGCCATCCAGTTTTTCAACCTAAACTTACTCAAGTTTGACCTAGGTTTGCTAATCAATCCAGTTTGCTCAATCCTTTTGCACAATCCTTTTGGTTTGGCAATCAATCCTTTTGCTTTTGCTCTTCTTTACATCCAAAAACTCAGCTAAAAATGAATCTAGTTTAGCTTTGCTTTATTTTTGAGCCTCATCTGATGTATGAAAAGGTAAACTTTTCAACGAATTGACTCTCCCGTTTCCAGAAAAAGCCCGAACCCATCTGGCAAACGAGGCGACACGCATTGTTCATGAGATTTGGCTCTACAATCTAAACGAACGGAGAAATGTTGGTGAAACTAGTCGATCAGCTGATTGGTCAATCGATCAGCTTGCTTTTTGAATACAATTAAACGAAATTCCTATTTCTAGAGCCTTCCTGAGATTCGAGAGGAAGTGGCGCTCGTTGCAACAGCTGTTTTAAGGCTACTCGTCAAAAATAGTAAACTTTCAAAAGCTTTCCTTGTCAATTTTTCTCTGATCATAGAAAAGTCGAAAGAGGTGATGGTGCAGTTGGATACGGTCCGCATTTGTGGTGAGATTGTCGCGAATGAATCCGAGAAATCTGATGAGGCCCAAAATCCGCTCATTGCACAATTGCAGGTGAAAAACGGGGACTTTAATTAGCGATTTTGGAGTGCACAACGTTGAATTCAGCTGTCAAATTGGGGGGAAAGCTTGAGATTTGAGTTTAGGATTATGGTAGATTTGTTCACTGCATAGTTTTCATGGAATATTTGTTGAATCTCGGCCGGGTAATGATTTAGGTGACGTTTTTGGAGTGCACTACGCACAATCCAGCCATTAAACTAACCAAAAAATAGAAATTTAAATTTTGATTACAGTAGATTATCCAGAAAATAGAAAAAAAAGCTTTTGACCTTGTCAAAATTTTGCTTTACAAATTTTCTCATGCGCTACAAATTCCCTAAAGAAATAGTGGTTTTTGAGATTTTTTGAGAGATCTTTTTGGTAGATTTTTTTGCCAGATTGCTTTGGTGCAAAGTGTTTCCAATGGCAACCAGGTTCTCTTTAATATCACAAAAAGATTGCATAGCTTGCTCGAATTTCTCGAGTTTTTCATTCAGAATTTACAAATATTTCTCTCATTTTTCTGAAAGCTGGATAGCATAAAGAGAAATTTCGTTTCAGACAAGTTTCAGGAGTCTTTGTGCGGTTTGTGTCTTCGTTGCATGCCGACCGAGCCGTTTCCATTGCCGGCTAGCACAAGTTTCCCGTATACTTTGGTGAGTTTTGTTGGGCTCTAGATAGCTAAAATGCGCGCCAGTTTGGACGCAAACTGAAATTTGATGTTCAGATCCTTCCCGCTGAGCAAATTGAAAGACGGCGATCGATTTCGAGAACGGTGCACGCTGCCCGACCACCGAGCACGTCGAAGACTCGGATTGCGGCGAATGGAAATGATGGAACACAGGAGGCTTTTCTTGGGTCAAGCGGTCGGTCTTTTGTCTTTGTCTTTGTCTTTGTCTTTGTCTTTGTCTTCATTTTTGAGTACTGTAGCCTGGGTCACCTTTTAGAAATTGAGTGCAAACTCGGTGAAATACCTTTCAAATACCGAATCCGAATGAAATACCGAATCCGAGCTCTCTAGAGTTTAGAATGCGCTCCAGATTGCATTATTCTGTGTTTTAAAAGAGAATAAGTGTTATATAGGATGAGTTATGAGCTTGATAAGGTCAAAACCTAGTTTGGGTTAGATTACGATAGTTTGGGCATTTTTTAATCAACGACAATCAACGACATCAATCTAAAATCAAGGACAGAAATCGAAATTAAGCCCATTTAGAGCATGAGTTCCAGATTGGAATATTCTTGACTTTTAAGGATCATTAGTTTTTTGGAAAGCGAGTTTTTGACTTGATAACGTTAAAGTTATGGTAGATGGGGGATTTTTTAAGAAAAATGACTGAATTCGTCAAATCGAAACCAAGCATCGGCCGTCTTTTTCGAGTGCTCGTCCAGGGTTTGTTTATTTATTTGTTTTCGGCATTGAACGGCTCTTTTTTTTGCTTTTTGCTTAGCCACTTTGACGTATCTTTTCTTTGCGCCTCTCAGCCAGCGTCAGTACTCGAGTTCAAAAGTTTTGAAAGAAATTTTTGCGACTTTCTTTTTTAATGCTCTCTATTTACTGATGAGCTCTATGAACAAAAAAAGAAAGTGAAAGCTTAGATTGAGGAGATCAGATTAGAGGAGATCAGAAGAAAATCTTGCTCTTAGACTCTTGTTGTCGTTAGACTTAGAGTTGTTGTCGATCGCCTAGAGATTCGCCTTGAATCCGGGAAATGCTTTGTTCGTCTAAAATCGAGAATTTCTCAATTGGGGGAAATCGATTCGTTTATCGGGCTTTTCAAAGAAATGCGCGAAATTTCTCCGCATCTCCAAGTGATTCGTCAGGTATAATAAGCTATGCCTAGTTTGACATCAATTTCCATTATCCTTCTTGTCCAATGGTTCCGATTTTCATTGCTAACAACTTGCATCTCCAGCGAACAACTTCAGATCAAACAAATTTCGATTTTAGAAGACGAGGATGTTGGAGAGGAGGACGAATTCTTGACACTACTTGAAAGTCGAGACTTTCGAAAGTTGAATGGGAAAGGGGATGGGTTGCTGATTGGAGCCGAGGATGAGGTGAGCTCGAGAATTTCAGAATTGGCTAATATCGAGAAATTTTCAGGAAACTGCCACCGAAAAGGATAAACCCCAGATTTTCAATCGACAAGAGACACTTGAGTTACGAGAAAATTACGAGAGGTTATTGAGAAATTGGATCAACTAAGGACGATAGTTTTAGTGCGTTTTCCGAATTCGATCGAGGAGTTGAGGTGTCTTTTGCTGGCTTTTCACAACCGCCCACTCATTTAGAGGCGATTCGGGCTGAAGTGATGGTGAGTGGAAGTTGTTTGACAGTTTTTTGAAACTCGAAAATCTTTTAGACAAGCCGTTCCGTGATACGTTTTGTGAAAATTGCATACCCAGAGATTTGCGGACCAGATATCGATCTAGAGATGCAACCATTCAAATCGACTAATGCTGGCGTTAGGTGAGTGGGAAGCATTGCTAGACAAAAAGGGCAATCCATAGAGCTCAGCTTCCCAGCTCATCCAGCAGCTAGAAATTGGGTTCTTGCCTGGAAACTATTGGCTATTCTATTCTGCTAAAATATTCTTGCCTAGAAAATTTTCTTTTTTTTTTAGAACGATTCTCACTAGCCAACTTGCCCATTCGCGCATTCGGAACGAATTTGAGCGCCGTGTCGTTTACTCACTCGATTCCATTTCCGATTTTCAATCGACAGCTGATAGTCCGAGAGTTCCATTGGGGAATGATGATGTACAAAGGTGGGATTGAAGCTTTTATGATATGTTTCGAAATGAACTCGATTTTTGAATTCTGTAAACTTGATAGCCTTTAACTGATAGCCTGCCTGACCCTCTGGGTCTACCCTGGCTTAGCTTGACCTTTGGCCAGCTTGACCTTGGCTAGCTTGACCTTGGCTAGCTTGACCTTGACTAGCTTGACCTTGGCTAGCTTGCTTGACCTTTGGGCTAGCTTGACCTTTGGCCAGCTTGACCTTTGGCCAGCTTGGCCCTGTCCCAAGCATCAAGCTTTTGACTGTCAGAAATCAAAAAATCGAGCAAAACCGTTTCTAAAGCTACTGTACTCTTCCAGGGTTGGCCGTGTCACCTCGATCGATCACCTACTTTTCGAGAGCCGTTTCGAAGCCGGAAATCTTCGAATGGCTACTATGGTATCTAGATTAGAGAAATCTCGATGAAATGATTGGAAAACTTAGGTTGGACCAAATCATTATGAGCTCATCTTGTCTCCAGACGTCAACGAAACCAGAAATCATTTTCAGTGGTTTTATTTTGAGGTAGATTTCAGCTGTGAGGTCCAGATCGATCGAATTTGAGATTCGAAACGAGTTTTAGCTCTTATTGGATAGATAAACCAATTGAAATCGTTGCCACTTTCAAAATGAATTCAAAATTTCAAAAGACGGAAAGATTGAGGATTTTTCTTGCCTTGTGCATTCCAGATTGACGATTGCTATTTTTGAATTCGATTTTCTAGATCTCGAACAATCGAGCAAACGTCCCGTACACGTTCGAGATTATCAATTGCCTCAAGCCGACGAGTATGTTTGGAAGAGGTAAAGAGATTTTCGAGATTTTCGATATTTTCGATATTTTCGATATTTTCAATATTTTTTTTATTTATATTCTATATTTGTATGTATTTTGTATTTAAATATCAAATTTTCTATTGAATTCAGGGTTTTAAATGCTAATTTTCGACTGAATTGATTGATCGTTTTTAAAGAATACAAATTTCAGGCATGCAACCAGTGATGTTCTCGGTGAGTGAAGCAATGGAGGGACGACCGGGATGGGTACGAGCTGGGCAAAAGGTTCGCATTTGAAAGACTACTCTACATTTGATGGCTACTCTACATTCTACTCCTACATTCTAGGATAACCATTTTCCAGGATAAGAATTTGAATTTTATTTATTCGCTTACTTGTTAGCTTATCTTGTTGGCTTGACAGCTTGTTGGCTTGACAGCTTGTTCAGTGAGGATTCTCGTGCCGGACTGTAGAAAGGAATAGATAGATCATCTGTAGATCATTTTTTAGATTCACTACTACCGCAATCTCTACACGCTAAACCAGGAAAATGATGAGAATGACAATAAACGACCGGGGTTTGTGTGAATTTTCGATTAATTTTCGATTAATTTTCATTAATTTCCCCAATTCCTATATAAATTCAATCATTTTTTAAGTCATTTTTAAGTCATTTTGCACTTTTTTTTTGCAAAATTTCAGCTCAGCACACGGTCACCACGGGTATTTGTGTGCATTTCTTTTTTTCCCCCCTCCTAGAAATACTGTAGCGTTTCTTTTTTCTAGACACTGGTGGCCATCATATTGGATGCGTCTCTTTCGCCGTCGACATCGCCGGCAAAAGGGCGCAAAAAGGAAAGCAAAAAGGTCCAGAGAAATTCGAATTCAATGTAAAATGCTCTTTTTCTTTTATGGGTTCTCCTTTTTTTGTAACCGCTGTAGTGATGTCCAGAAATTGGTTAGAAATTCGAAAATTCGGGTCTTATTGCGGTTTTAAGAGCCGAATTTATCGTGGTCAACAATTGAGGGAAAAATTGAAATTTTCACAAAATTCTTAATCTGGATTTGCTAGTGTGCTCCAGATTGGCTAGAAATTCGAAAGTTAGGGTCTTATTGCAATTTTAAGCCGAATTTATCGTGGTCAACAATTGGGGGTGAGCTAGTGGAAATTGAAAATGAAAAATTTGCATAAAATTTTTGGCCTGAATTACCTGGTGCACTCCAGTTTTGCGTTTTGCAAAGAGATTACCGTAATTTCGTTTGAAGTTTTTGCGAAAAGATGACCTGAATTTGTTAGGCCATTCCCCCGAGTGCCGTGTGCTGCTGAGCGTCCCCGAATTTAAGGCCTAGTTTTTCGAGTTTACATTGATACATTGATTTATATTGATTTCTCTTTCAGATGTCTTTACACGACTCGTTTCACTGTTTCTTTTCGTCACAAATTTGATGTCATCTACATTGCATACCATTTCCCGTACACTTATTCCTTTATGAAGGTCAGTGTTGGGTTTTGTTTGTTTGTTTGTAAATACTGTATATATAGTACCCCACCACCCTCGTACATTCGCGTAGTCGGAAAAGTTTTTTTAGTATTTCATTGTTTTTCAAAGCGCCCCTACTTTTAAAAATACGTCTTTAGTATCAAAAAATAGCCGAAATTCAGGGCTATTTTTTGATACCTAAACGAACATTATAGCATAAAACAGTGTCGAGAAAAACTCGTTCAAAGTTAGACTACGCGAAACTCCGCACCCTCATTATTGGGAGTGGGGTACTATTACAATACTGTAATTGTACCCCCCCCCCCAATAATGACGGTGCGGGTTTCGCGTAGTTACGGTAATTTCTTCTTGTTTTTGTTGATAGTTTTTCGATAATTTTCTTTTTTTAGACAATCATTCATCGGCATCTAATCACAGGAAATAGCGAATCATCAAGAATACGAGCTGATGTTATTGGTCAATCACTTGCCGGAAATCCCATTCACGTTTTAACAATCACAGCACCTGGAACAAAAGAGGAGATCGAGAAACGGTTTGTTTTAGAGCTGTTTTAGAGTTATTTTAGAGCTGTTTTAGAGCTGTTTTAGAGCTGTTTTAGAGCTGTTTTAGAGCGGTTTTGTTTCAGAGCTATTTTAGAGCTGTTTTGTTTCTTTTTTCTGATACTTTTAGCATTACAATTTTCTAGTGAAATAATCGTTTTGATGTCTCGAGTTCATCCGGGAGAAAGTAACGCTTCGTGGATGATGCATGGTTCGTTTTTGGTGTTCGCTTTGACTTAAAAGACCTTTAAAAGATCCCCCAAGTTCAGGAATTCTCAACACTTTGACTGCGAATAATCGATCGATTCGTGATCTGCTTTCTCGTTTCATTTTCAAGGTGATTCCGATGTTGAATCCGGATGGAGTGATCAATGGAAGCCATCGGTGAGCTCGGATTGAACTTTCGTAGGCTCTAGCTAAAGTTTTTCGAAGATTTGGATGTCATGTAGGCTTTTGGATTAAAGAAAACGGCAATATATTGGCTTTTTGAGAGATTTTTTGGAGATCTGGATGTCATGTAAGCTTTTGGACTTAACAAAGCTACCTAAGCTGCTTTGTGAGTGGTTTTTCGGAGATCTGGATGTCATGTAAGCTTTTGGATTTAACAAAACGACAATCGCTGCTTTTTGAGTGCTGGTCGAGTGGTAGTGTGTTTGGCTCTCGCTCACATGGCCCTGGTTCGAGTCTGCTCGGCGGCAGTTCCCGGGAAATTTTGTAGAGCCCTCGTTTCATAGGTCGTTTAGAGCTTTCAGGCTATTGGGAATTCAAATTTCGATCCAATTTTTAGTGTTGTCATAGAAATAGAAATAGCTTTCCATCATTTACCATCACTTTCCAGGTGTTCTCTAGCTGGGGTCGACCTGAATCGTGTCTGGGATCGTCCATCGAAAAGCCGACACCCGGAAATCTATCACGCGAAGGGGCTCGTTCAATATATGGTTTGTATTTTGGCCAGATTAAAAAAAATGGGCGTAAATTGGAAGATTCCCTACAATTTCACTAGTTCTCGACTGTTTACCGGATAATTTATTACGAAATATTGATAGCTTTCATTGCATTACACATTTTGGAGCTCACAACACAACTTTCCTAGGTGGAAGTCCTTGAGCGGCGCCCATTTTGTGTCATCGACCTGCACGGGCACTCGAGAAAGTACGAATTTTTTTTTTTTTGTTGCAAAAACAGCAAAATCTCATTCTCAACATCTAAGTTGTATTCCAGGATGAACGTTTTCATGTACGGGAACAATCCGATGGAGAGTTGGCGACTCTCTGATCGCCAATCTTTTACCGACCTTGATGAAAATCCCGATTTCCGTTTTCTACCCGAAATTCTTGACAAGGTAGCGGCTTTCACTTTGACTTTCACTTTGACTGGCTATCGTAACCCCCGAAAAGGAGTTGAATGGGTAAATTTCAGCTATCACCTGGTTTTTCGCTGAAATGCTGCCGTTTCTCGATCACGAAACCAAAGGAGGCGTCGGCGAGGTGCGTTTTGAGCTTTTGAGCTCTTTAAGCTAGGTTTTCCGGGGATCTGGATGTCACATAATCTTTTAGATTTTAAAAAAGCTACAGTATCCTTTAAAGCCTAGATGGCCGAGTGGTAGTGTGTTTGGCTCTCGCTCACACGACCCTGGTTCGAGTCCGCTCGGCGCAAAATTTTTTGTATTTTATGCTTTAATCGGTTTTTTGCTTTTTTGGCATCCTCAAATCGTCCCCCAACTCGATTTCCAATCGAATCCAATCGAAATCTACTCGATTTCCACGTATTCGAATCGAAAATTTCAGAATTGCCCTTTGGCGTCAATTCTCTCTCTCGCGCGTCTACACGATGGAATCCACGTATTGTGGTTTTGATGCCGGTAAATATCATGGATATCAGGTGAGCATTTGAAAAAGAAAGCTCAAAATTAGGGTATGCTTTGAAGGAACCAAATTTAGAGAGAAAAGGAACCAAATTTGTAGAGATAAGGAACCAAATGCTCAGATTCTTTAGTTTTCACCGTAACTCAAATCTAATACTTGGATAACCAAGGGTGCCCTCCAGGATCACCGAAAACCTTAAATAATAGAAAGAAATTCGTTTTTTTAGATTGGCGTTTTCGAGTTGAAAGAGGTTGGCGCCAAGTTGATCGCCTCGATTTCGGCTCTTCAAACGAAAAAAGTCGACGATTCGCTCGGCTTTCTGCGCGAGGCTGCAAACGAGAATTCACAGAATTCACAGAGTCAACAGAAAAATCGAAAAAGCGATCGATCACGCTCGAAAAGTGCCACCAAGTCGGGTAAACGAGCCACCATCGAGCAGGTGAAATGCCCGCGAAAACACAAATCGATTCTCGAGGATTAATGGATGCGTGCCAGCATTTCCACATGTACATATCACAAAATCGCATACGAGCTTTTAGAAACGAAATTTTCGAGTGAACTCATTTTCTCACTTTTCTCACTCTCACAAAATTTTTGGAAATTGTGAAAATCCGTTTTCTTTAACCTCAAATCCCTGCCATATTACTTGAAAATAAAAAGAAAAAGCTGCTCTTTACGCTTAAAGAATCGCATTTACCCTTTAAAAATATCCTCTAAACTTAAAATAAACTTTTCACACACGGTACTGTGATTACTTTAGAAATGTTTAGAAATGAAATTTCTTTTTTTTTTAGCGCCTTTAATTAATTTTCGCCATTTAATTACCCCGCCTATCTGCATTCCATTAAAGAAATTTGCATTTATGATTTTGACATAAAATGACGTAAAATGACGTAAAAATAAATGTTTAAACGTTGAAAAGCTTTTATTTTTTTAAGCACACTCAACACTTTAACTGAATATCTTTACTTTTTCAGAATTTATTTTTAAAACGATTTTTTTTAAACATTTTTTTTTTGAACAATTTTTAAAAAAGATTTTTTTTAAACAATTTCTTTTGATTAATTGTAAAATTTAATTGAATTTGGTGTTTTGAATTTTGAAATCTTTTTTTTTAACGCTTTATTATTGTAATAAAGTAAAGATTATTGGAAAAAGCGATCCTTCATTTAAATGCTTTTTTCTAAAAACCAACAACGTTTTTCTCTTTTCAGGAAATGTCCACCATTGCAAATGATTAACCGATCAACAATCACAACCCGCCTTCAGCAAAATGCTCGAAGATTTGTGATAAACTCGACGATAAACGATCAACAATGATCATTTGAAACTTCCTACCTGTAATAGTACCCCACCCCAATAATGACGGTGCGGAGCGTTGCGTAGTCTAGCTTTGAACGAGTTTTTCTCGACACTGGTTTATGCTACAATGTTCGTTTTGGTATCAAAAAATAGCTGAAATTCAGGGCTATTTTTTGATACCAAAGACGTATTTTTTGGAAGTACGGGTGCTTTGAAAAGCAATGAAATACTAAAAAAACCCTTGCGACTACTCGACTTTACGAGGGTGGTGGGGTACTATTACAGTATTTACGGTATCTAGCTACAGTACCCTGACGGGGTCACACTATGTCTATACCGTCTATTACAGTATTTACGGTAGCTGCTTTAAAAGCTGCTGTTTTAAAAGCTGCTGTTTTAAAGCTGCTGTTTTAAAAGCTGCTGCTTCGAAAGCTGCTGTTTTAAAAGGTTTATAACAAGTTCTAATGCATTCTCTAGAGGTTTTCCCGAGTCCTCTTTTTACCTGTTTTATCAATAAAAAGAAATTTACATTAATTTTATTTTTAAGAAAAAAAAAAACACATGACTTCGTGAAAAATAAAGAAAATGTGTGGCAAAACGGCAAAAAAAAGAAAAAAATGAAAATTTAAAGAGAAAAACGAAATGAGAAATGAATTCGAAAAGGTTTTTTTAGCGGGGAAAATTTGAAAATTTGAAAAATAAATAACATTTGACTAGACAAAAAAAAGAAATTGCAGCCGAAAAAAAATGATGGTTTTTATAGAGGGAATTTAACAATAAAATATTTGATATAAAATTCGCATTATTACTCAGTTATTCAATCAGTTTTTTTATCGAAATTTTTAGAAAAAGCAAAAAATTTTGACCACCGCCGGGACCGTCGAACCACTCGATCTCGTCTGTCTCTGATCAATTTGGTTCCTTTAGGCGGCGGCGGCGGCGCCACTTACCACTCGGCCACGCGTGCCTGAATAAAGATAAAGATAAAGATAAAGATAAAGATAATGGATAAAGATAAAATTGGAATTTCACTAAATGCAGTCCAGCTTTGAGATCGGCGATGAAGATTTCGAGTTGTTGGCTTTTCTAGGCGAGATTTTCCCTCAAAATCTTCATCGCCTTGAAAATCTCGAATAAATATCGCAAAAAGATCGAAATTGTGAAAAAAAAAAGCGAGAAAATCATGAACAACACGAAATTTGACCAAATTCTCAAAAAAAAACGCGACAAAAAAAAAGGACGAGATTTTTGGGGAGGGAAGAAAAAAAAAACAAAACAAAAAAATCTCAACGAAAAAAATTAGCTTCCTAGTGAGTTGGGGCGCGGATTTCAAAGATTTCATGAAATTTTACAACAAACATCGAATAATGTGAGTGACGAATTTGGGGAGGAAACGGCAGCTTGCGTAGTCTCTTGGGGAAAAGAACTCTTGGAAAAAAGTCTCAATCTTGTTACGATGAAAAAGGAAACCGTCAAAATCTCGAAAATCTCGAAGAATTGGAGAAATTCGAGTTTTGTTGGCTAATGTGCATTCCAGATTGGAAATCGGCAATAGACGCGGATGCCAATGAGCCTTAAAAAAAACGTCAAAAAGGGCGCCGGTTCAATTACCCAACTTTGAATTAGCCAATCACGAAATCCGGGGGAAAAAAGTTCTAGAAAACGTCGCGTGCGTTCCAGCTTGAACGAAAATGTAACTATTTTCCAGAAATGACAAAAGAGAGCCGAGAAAAACGGGAAGGAGAAGGCGGAAGAAGAGAAAAATCTGAAATTGGGGAGTCTAGTAGAGACCACAGCCACGCAAATTGTTCGCGATAATCACATCCGTCACCGCATCAAAGACGAATTGGATATTTGTTGTGTCAGTGGCGCACGTCATATGGCAATAGATCTCCTGAAAATTAGAGGAATTTCAATGTCTCCAAAAATCAGTCTTAAAAGTTGTACAAAAGAATTTCCGAGAAAAGCTGTTTTTAGATTTCATGGCTGCGTTCCAGATCGGAAACCGACAAAGGAAATCGGCGCCAATGAGCTTTAGAAGGCACCAATGAGCTTTGGAAGGCGCCAACGAGCTTTAGAAGGCGCCAATGAGCTTTAGAAGGCACCAATGAGCCTTAGAAGGCGCCAATGAGCTTTAGAAGGCGCCAATGAACTTTGGGGGCACCATGGCTTTGAAGGCACCAAGGCCTTAGAAGGCGCCAATGAGCTTTAGAAGGCGCCAATGAACTTTGGGAGGCACCAATGAGCTTTGGAAGGCACCAATGAGCCTTAGAAGGCGCCAATGAGCTTTAGAAGGCGCCAATGAGCCTTAGAAGGCGCCAATGAGCTTTAGAAGGCGCCAATGAACTTTGGGAGGCACCAATGAGCTTTGGAAGGCACCAATGAGCCTTAGAAGGCGCCAATGAGCTTTAGAAGGCGCCAATGAGGTTTGGAAGGCGCCAATGAACTTTGGGAGGCGCCAAAACGGTATCCAAAATTTACGAATCGCCAAGCTCACCTTGTTCGCCGATTTGTTTTTCGCCTCGAATTGCGCCTGAATGTAGGCGGAAGCCTCGTGATAGTCTTGTCGGCCTAGAAATCGTATTTATTTATTTATGTGCCCAAACAGTGCCCCTTTCTACAATCGTTTCAAAAAAAGACTCACCCGAATACTCTGGGAAACAAACAGTTAACGGGCTCTTCTTGATCTTCTCCTCAAAGAGATCCTTCTTGTTGAGGAAGAGGATAATTGACTAAATTATTTTTTTTTAATGCTTTTTCTCCCTCATTTTACCGTATCTGTGAACCATTTATTGTTGCAAATCGAGTCGAACAGCTTCAGTGACTCGTGCATTCGATTCTGAAAACATTTTTGTGATTAGTTTGCGGTCCTGGAACGCACGGAGAAGATTGAACAGAGGCTTTAAGTTGAATTACCGCCTTTTATGGCTACTTCTGTCACAATTCGAGATCTAGCCCGTTTAGACGCTATACTGTCAGTTATTGAAAATCTAGCTTAGCCAAACGATATTCTGGAAGGCACGTAAAATCTTGAGCTATAAATATCAATCGATCGCCTTAATGGCTCAATGGTTAGCGCCAGAATGGCTACCATGGCGTTTCCCCTCTAATCCATTAGCAAAATGAAAGAATTGATTTGAATAATGTAATCCTGGACCTCACACTGTATCGCAGTCTATTCATAATATGGAGATTTCTATAAAACACCGACCGTTGTCTCGTCCTCGTGCAACACTTGATCGTATTCGCTCATAGCCACACAGAAAATGATCGCTGTCACATCCTCAAAGCAATGAATCCACTTCTTTCGCTCGGATCGTTGCCCACCGACATCAAATAGTCTGAAATCATTACGGTAATTGAAGTAGAAAAGAAGCAGAAAAGATTGAGCGAATTTCTTGATTAGTTTTTAAGAGATCTTTAAAATTCCATAGTTTTTGTGCAATCTGGAATGCATTTAAATGACTCACTTGAAATTGAGATTCTTGAATGTGAAATGCACTTCAACGATTCCCGTCGTTTTGACACGAGTGCGAAGGATGTCTTGTTCGGTGGGTTGATACGAGGCCTCGCCTAGCCTATCCAAATCGTCAAGGAAGCTGTAATTGAGATGTTATCGAGATTGTGACTCTAGATGGCGACTCTAGCAAAGTACAACGATCAAAAGCCAGCTAATCAAAGCTCAGCTAATCAAAGCTCAGCTAATCAAAGCTCAGCTAATCAAAACTCAGCTAATCAAAGCTCAGCTAATCTAATCTGCTAATCACTCACTATTTCGCCGAGTCATTTAGCTGGTATTCGTTGGATCGCGAGAAGCACTCTTGCACTCCAACATCACCCCACAATCGTCTCATTGCAGCTGAAATGAATTCAATAGATTGGAGCCAAAAAGGCCATAAAAACTCACAAAGCAACTCTTCCGAGAAGGGTTCAGTGTCCTCCATCCTGGCCACAACATCCATCACCAATTTAGCGTCAACCTAGAAGCATAGAAATGATCCCAGTGAAAGGAATTGTTGTCTAGAAGCCTAGAAGCCTAGCCTAGAAGTCTAGAAGTCTAGCCTAGAAGTCTAGAAGTCTAGAATCCTAGCCTAGAAGTCTAGAAACCACCAAAACATCTTTCTCGTTCTCACCTCTCTTTCCGAAGTGGCAAAGCCGACACCAAGATTGATCATAGCTCGCAGAATGGCGACCAGTGATTGCACTGTATTACTGTAGACGACCGGCTTATATTGTTTGTAGTCCTCGGCAGTGAAACCAGACTCATGAATGATTCTAAAACAAGAGTTTATCAACTGTGTTCCAACTTGAAAGCTACAGCTTTCCAATTTCCGAAAAATCCTTTCTTTTCCCTTTCCCAGCTCCCAACTTCAAACTCACTTCATCTGCTTGACGATTGTTGATTTTCCTGACTCTCCAGCGCCTAAAATAAAAACAAATTAGTCCAGATCAGAGAATTCTAAAGGATTTTTAGCGAAAAGTGAAAATCTGAGCAAAATTTGGGTAAGTGAGAATAGAAAAATGATTTTTGATGATTTTTTTCGTTTTTAGCTCTGGCTTTGACCATTTGACTCTGATTTTAAAAAAAACCCCACCAAGTAAAAGCAATTTGATATCTTTTGCGGCCATCATCCCGTCTTCTTTCAAATTTTTCTCAATCATTCGTGAGCGCTCGAGCGCGGCACGTTCCTCCTGAAAAATGAAAAATTAAAGCTGAATGAAAAGCTGAAAAATTTCAGCTGAAAACCAGCTGAAAAATTTCAGCTGAAAACCAGCTGAAAATCAGCTAAAAATCTTATGTGATATCCAGTTTGATTAAATCAATAAACAATTTTGAATAATTTTTGAGAAAATCTCCTTAAAAATGCTCTATGAATTTTTCGTTTTATAGCTGGAGGCTAGGCCATGCCAGGGCAAAAGTTATAGACTTATCTGCCAATGAGAACTTAATTCTGGAAGGCAACTCAGTGTTTAGTTGATTTTAAAGTAAGATTTCTTGAATTTCGAACCTGAGACATTGTGCAACCCATTTTTGTGTTTTTGTTGTTCTCAATCGGCTCGTTTCACAAATATTGCCCTCTCCGGGGATCACTTTTTCCTTTGTTTTTTTTCGCTATCCAATCGGATCGTTTATGTCGGCCTTGTCGCTTTCAAAAGGCCGTCCAAACGGCTGCACAGACCGGCCCACCGAAGAAAGCACACACGGAGAAAGAGAACCCTAAAAAATTGAAGCAATTAGAACATTAACAAGAGAGAATTTCAATGGGAAAACAAATCCTGGAATGCACAGTAAAGAATGAAATCAAAAAAAGAAACGAAAGGATCATTCTGAGAAATTCTGAGAAACAAAATTGCGTAATGCATCCGAAATTTTTTGGTTAACCTGAAAGAGTCAAATTTTTGCATTTAATGGAAAAATTAGCTGTTATGCTAGCCAGTTGGAAGGAAAATTCAAAAATCTATCTTAAATTCAATGAAATGTAACGTGAAATGGTTGAGAACGTGGAATGAATCAACCCTATGCCCGTCAAGCAACAAAATCTCAGATAGAATTGATTGAAAAAAAGGGAAATTTGGTCAATTTGTGAAATCGATTAGGGAAATGGGTAAACAGATGAAAGAACAGAAAACAGAAAGTATAGAAATGCTTTGAATCAAAATCGGCTTGGACTTTGACTGACTTGAAACAGGACTGGTTATCTAGAAGACGAAAAATGAGTGATTTTGGAAAACTTTTTGATGCCAAACTTCGATCTGGCTATCAGTTTAGTGATTAAGATTGAAAAGTCAATGTTTTGGTGTAGTTTTGGGTTTTCCATCGGTACTTCCTATTCAGCTTCCACTTTCTGCCAGAAAGTCAGAAAAATCAGAAAAATCGGATTTTTCGAAAATTTCAAGTTCCTTTTCGACACCTACGTTTTTTCTTACGTGTTCGAGGCTTTGTTTGAGACTTTTTTTTTCTTTTTTTTTCTCAAGGATCGCATGTGGATAAACGAATTTCACGCAGACACTCCGGTCTTTCACAGCTTCCTTTCTTTGATTTTAAAAACTTTCTTTTCTCTATCAAAAAGCATAGTGAGGTCCAGGTTTAAAGGGTTTAAAGAATTTAAAGTAGTTAGCTGAAAATTTGTCAATATCTCTCAAAAAATTGAATTTTCTTTAAACAGTAGAATAAGATTGGTACTCTAGAGTGAGAATCGATCAAGTTAATAAAATTTTTCTCAATTTTTCTCTGGTTCTGGATGGCACAAGAGGTGTTGAGCCATTTTTTGAGGAATTCTACTGATTTTGGACCTAAACTCCGGAGGTAGGGTGGAGCACTCCAGGATCGACGGCGATCGATCGAGCACAGACAAGATAGCACTCCAGGGTCGACGCTGAGACCTAGCTACCCTATAGCCAGGCAGAGCGGTGAGCTCCAGGCATTCCCTCTCTCCTATCGGCCGTTTCGCGATTCTATTCTCCTCTCGCGAAAAGGGAACGGGCTGAGAGGGAGGGGTTGGAAAATCAATTTCTCAGAGCTCTCCCGTTTCTAGAATATTGTGTGCCATCCAGGATGGCCGATGGATGCTAAAAGGGATGGGTCTTCTCTAGGCAAAAAGGCTACTTTCGCCGGCAGCGTCATTCAGCGCCTCCCATTTTTCTCGACCTCCTTTTCTAGGCACATCCCAGGGAATAACGAGCGGGATCTGGTGGCCCTGGAGGGCACACAGGGGAATGAGCTGGGAAGGGAGGGCTGGAGAGGGGGAGGGCTGGGAGGGCTGGGGAGGGGTGAGGGTGAGAGCGGCTCGCCTACGCCTCCTGCCCTCTCGATCTTCTCTATTTTGCACCTTGAACCGTGACACCTGATATATCGCTGGCGTGCTTTCCAGAAAAGACCTGGAGACACAAATTTCGGGAAATGGATCAATGACGGCTGAGTTTACTGGGTAAATAAAGAATGGGTCAAGTGTAGTGAAATAATTTTTTTCATATTTTTTTGAGAAACAACAATTCTATTACCTAAAGTGCGCTCCAGGATGCACGAAAAAAGTTAAAAAATTCGCAAATTTCGTAAATTGATTGAAAAATTTGAGAGGTAAAGGTATTCAACTCGAGCCCTGCGAGTTTTTAAAGCACATTAAAACTAGTCTCATATTTAAATAATGTGCATTCCAGAATTGGCAAAAAAATCTATAGGATTCTATTTTTTCTTCATGGCTAATCAAGAAATTGTTGTTGAAAGGGATTGGGGTGAGTGGTGGGGGAAGAAATGGAAAGAGTGGGTAATCCATCGACGAGGAAATAGCTCAATTCCTTTTCATTTCCAGTAAATTTCAAATTCACCCTCAATTCCGGGTTTTCCGGTCATTTCCAATACGGTTCTTCTTTTGATCTAATACGGTTCCAATACGGTTCCAATACGGTTCCAATACGGTTCCAATACGGTTCCAATACGGCCCAAACGGTTCCAATACGATTCCAATACGACCAATACGGCCAAACGGTTCCAACACGGTCCAAACGATTCCAATACGACCAATACGGCCCAAACGGCCAATACGCCAAACGGCCAATACGACCAATACGGCCAAACGATCCAAACGGCCCCAAACGGCCAAACGACCAAACGGCCAAACGACCAAACGGCCAAACGACCAATACGGCCCAAACGGCCAAACGACCAATACGGCCAATACGACCAATACGGTCCAATACGACCAATACGGCCCAATACGGCCAATACGACCAATACGGTTCCAATACGATTCCAATACGGTTCCAATACGATTCCAATACGGCCCAATACGTTCCAACGACCAATACGGCTCCAATACGGTTCCAAAACGATTCCAATACGGTTCCAATACGGTTCCAATACGGTTCCAATACGATTCCAATACGATTCCAATACGGCTCCAATACGGTTCCAATACGATTCCAATACGGCTCCAATACGATTCCAATACGGTTCCAATACGGTTCCAATACGGTTCCAAATAACTCACTCAAAAAAACTCTATTGAAGCCAGAAAAACAGAAAAACTAAAGATCATGCTCGAAGATTGGTTGAATATTTTTGAAATAAAGGGTAAAAAAATTTTTCTGATTATTCAAATATCCGTTCTGGAAGGCATTTAGAAAACTGAAATCAAGAAAGAGCAAAGTTTCCAAAAAAAAAATTGACGACGGGAGGTGTGGAGCGTTGAAAAGGGACTGAGGCCTTTATGGCAAGGAAAATGGGAAAAGCCGAATGAAAAGACAGAGAGATCGGCCGAATTGGACCGCATCCTTTCCCGTTTTCCCTTTTTTTTCCTTCTTCTTCCCATTTTCGATTTGCGCGGAGAAGAATGAAGACGAGGGGGAAGAAATTGAGAATTTGAGGCTTTACCCGTATTCTGAGTACTGACAAATTTTACGCTAGAGGGCAAGTCGAATAAATTCGGTCGTACGGTCGAATAAATTCAAATAAATTCAAATTTTCGTCTTTCTATATAAAATGGGAATCTGGTTGACTACGAGAGACAAGATTGGGCAAATTCTCGGTTCCTCATTTTATCCCCAAAAATTCTTTTCTCATATTTTGCGATCATGGAGGTCATCAATCATGCTAAAGTTGTTGTTTCGAGAATTTCCCACAAAAAGAAAAAAGATCAACCATCAACCAATCAACCCAAAAATCAGACATTGGAAAAACTTCAAAAGACTCCAAAAACGATAAAATCATGCCAAAACACGCAGTGTGTTTCCCAACTTGAGTAGAGGCAAAGAAAAATGATTTTGCTTGAGAGAAGTGACGCCGTTTCACGCGACAACTCTTTTTCTCGAGTCCTATCTCGAGCCAATTTTCACCCCTTCTCAATCTAGCTAATTAACCGGGCTTTAGGAAGAAAAGCGGCCTCGATTTAGTCTTTCCTGGGTATCACACAAGCAATTGGTTCCTTTCTCGTTTTAATTAAACCCCATAAAATCTCGGTGAGCACGTGGCGTTGAAAGGAGAATGTGAGGGGGGGGGGAAATCGGTGATTTGATGAAAAATCAAACAAATTTGCATCGCCATTCACCAATCTGGAGGTCAACTTAGATTTTGAATCGAAAAAATCGAAAAAAATTGTTATTCGACAAAAATTCGTGAGTCATTTGTTCAGTGGCGGTGTTCGGAAAACTTTTTCAAACTTTCGAAATTTTAAAAAGCTTAAGCAAGTCATTAGCCGTAGTGGGATCCAGGATCATCAAATCAGCGAAAAAAACAAATTTTCCAAGGTCAGGCGACGAGAAATCCAAGCAATCTTGCAAAAAATGGGGTAGTGTCCGGATGAGATGGATTCCCCGCATTTCCGGCACCAGGAAAAATCCATGACTGTCTTCTAATCCACCCCTGCCTTATCCCCAGCCTAATACCTAATTGATTCTTGCATTCATTCACGAGATATCTTTTTTTGTGTGCCGTCAAAAAGTTCCCTGGCGTTTTTGTTAGGGGTTTCCCTCTTGTCACTCATCCAAAATCTTGAAAATGACGTTTGAACCGGCGTTTGAACCATTCCGGCGACAAGATTACGCTGCAGATTTTCGAAAACCACAAAGGAATTAACGTAAAACGATAAGCTAAAATATGGTTAAAGTTGAGAAATTGTTGCATAAAAAGCTTTGAGCTTAGGCTTAGGGCTATCGGAAAATCAATAATGGAATGCATAAAAAGCTTTGAGCCTTGATGGCTATCGGAAAATATCGGAAAATCGATACTGGCACGCACAAAAACGTTGAGTGAAAAAGTTCGAAATCGGGAATTCGATATTTCGGTTGCCTAAGGCTTGACCTCGAGGCTCGAGATATAGATCGTTTTTTCAAAAAAAAAGCCCGTGTTGGCCTTTTGAGTGCTGTCCAGAGGATGGGGGAAAATTCGAAAAAAAACCACCAGAGAAACGGGGCATATGTCGCTAAATCTTTCCAATCTTTCCAATCTCCTCTCGCCTTTTTCCCCAAAGTTGAGTACCCGGTCTCTCAGTCTTGGAATGACCACATAACAGTGCAAAACGGC